GTAGCGGACTCACACTTATTCCGGATATCTTCCCTGCTGGCCTGCGTCGTTACAATATCCACCCTGAGTTTGACACTCTTGGAGATACTCAAGAGGAGTGGGATTGCTTTTGTGAGGGTATGAAAGAGGCATGGGCAGCACTTCCCGATAGACTGATCAGGCAGCTCATCTACTCAATGCCGAGGCGCCTCAGAGCCTGTGAGCGAGCCCAGGGTTACCAGACTAAATATTAAGACTCAGAGCATTCAATTGCTGCAATCAGATTCAGTTTTCACCGTGTGGTTATTGAGATATTGAGGTGTGAATATTCACTCAAAAGTCAAGATTGCGGCCCAAGCTTTTAGCGCGAACAGACTTCTGTCCACTCACTGTACCTAGCCGCTACAAGGTTACGATGATTACCTCTTTCTTAGTGTCTGTATATATAATCCCCAACTGAATCTAGGCAATTACACTTTAGAAACAATCTGATGGAATGATGATGAGCTCAAACCACGTTCCTCTCATGGTTGGGAAGTGTCCGGGTTGTCATTTCAATATATCATTTACGAGATTTAGTCCGTTCTACAACTATCGACTTTATGAAACATTCAACCCTCATGTGACTACTTGGACCATCCGGAAAGTTACCGAATTAAGATTTACGAAAGTAGTGACGCCCAAATGCTACACTTATGAGGATCAGTTTCGAGAAGAAACCACTGGCACTAAGTCTCGCTCGGACTACTCGGACTGCAGCCTCTTTTACTCTGCCAAATTCCACTCTTTTGCAGTGGACCATAGTTTCGTTGTATTTCTCCCTCCGTAACTCGCAACCATAGCTTATTGACATGTACCTCCAAGTGATAACTGCTCTGAATATTGGGTCTTGCTGTTCAAAATCCCAAACAATAAATCAAGAAGACTAGGAAAGCGAAATACGAATTCGTTCGATATCCTGCGCATATAGCCGTCATTGCATGCAGGGTAGATCCCATGTACTCAGAAAGCCTCGTTACTATGTGCCTGCGCATCTCGCGCTATGTATACTCATGAACAGAACGAACTGTACCTCAACAAAAGGACCGTCATCTCATCATCTCTCGTCACCGCTCTTAAACTCGATCCAACTGCGGACTTCTCCTTCTCCTTCTCCCTCCCCTCCCCCATTATCCCTAACCTCTTTAACGGCCATACTCCCAAGCAACTATTCACACATGGCCCCAAAGCCCCTTTATTCCCCCTGCGCTCACTCTTCTCTAGCACAACGAACAAAGGGACTGAACTCCTGTGATCCCCATACAATGCATTCTCACCGTCTACATGATACCACATGAATTGTCAAGCGTAATGATCGAGTCACAATTCTGGAAGACTGTGATGGTCATTCGGCACCTGAAAGCAGTGCGCCGCCTTCTTCCATAGACAAACGTTGTGCAACATTGGCCACATGCGAGCAAATCAGCTTATGTTGCTGTATCAACTACTCCTCGTCCTTCTTACTCCCCTTGTTCGCCCATCTCTCCTCCCTCGCCCTATCGCGGTCAATCATCTCCCTCATCGCCGCCTCTTCACTCTCGTCTTTCTCCCTCTGCCCCGCTTCCTCCCTCTCCGCCCTCCTCCTCTCCCTCCTCTCCTTCTTCTCCTTGACCTTCTCATACGACCTTCCATGCTTATCAATCCCAAACTCCCGCCTCGTCGTCGGCTCTATCCCAGCTTCCAACTGTTTCTGCTTCTTCTCGCGCTTCTTCGTGTTCACTCTTAGACTCTTTTTTTCTTTCGCGTGTCGCTTCGCCCACTGATGCCATTCCGTTCCCTTGGATGAGTCTGGGAACTTGGTGGATTCCACTCCGTCGGTGTACACCGCTTCCTTGGCTGGTTTCGGTCCCTTGGTGGACTCTATTTCCTCGGTTGATCCATCAGGCATGCGTGCAAGGAGTTCCTTGAATCTGGATTCCAAGTTGCTGATCGCGGCCTCTAAGTGTGCACGTGTGTGTACCTCGTCGTCTGAGCTATGTACCGTGTCGATTGGTGCGAATTCCTTGGCAGTATCTCGTGTTGAGGGCTTGGGCTGAGTTTTGCCGGTAGATGAGTATTTTCGCACTTTCGAAAAGCCGAGCTCTTCGAGGGAGTTGAGCTCTTCCTCGGCTTGTTCGGCTTCTTCTTCTTCTTCTTCTTCTCCTGCAAACAATTCCTTGGTAGATTGTCCGCGGCTTTCGAGTACGAATGCCATGCCCAAGGAATGCGTGCCGTTGGTCCCGTGCACGCTCCGCAGTGCTCTTTCTGCTGATGTGTTCGATACGCTGTCTATCCAGAACGATGTGCCCTCGAAGAGGCGTTTCGCTGTCCTGTACACGGTCCCATTGACAGGTATGAGCTTGTCCTTCTCATCCATTGTGGCGTCAACCTGCAACCGCCCGCTCGCATGACCAATTGTGATGGCACCATCCATGACAGGCTCAGGTGCGAGCAGCTGTTCGACGAGGGTACCGGGAATGCGGGCAGCGATTGCGGTGGTCAAAGCCGCTGTGAGTGGAATGGCACGGTGTGGCTGCGTGTCTGAGAGGAAGCGGACGACGAGATCAGTGTGTGAGGTTTGGAGTGTGTGGCCAGAAAGCACAGAGTGCTCTGATGACATGGAGATGAGACCAATCTTGGGGATTGTGCGGGGGACAGCGTCTTCAGTGGGGGCGATGCCCATAGCCACTGCCGCAGCTTTGCGGATACGTTCGAGGAGAGCGAGTTTATCGGGCAGCTTGTTGAAGTCGTTGGGTAGAATGGTGCCGTCCACGCCGACGTCACTTGCGCGTAGGAAGATGCAAGGGTTGGCGCCATCGACACAGGTGACCTTGTAGTCTAGGATCCGATCAACCTTGTTGCCAGTGGGCAGCACTTTTCCAGTCTTGCTGCCGTACGGCCGCTCGAAGTCCAGCTTGATCTTGGCGCCAGGGCCAGTCACGCCATCGATGGTGTAGTTGCCCACAACAGCAGCTTGTCCACCAGCAACATCGAAGGTAGCGTTGATGAGTTTGCCAGTGTTTGTGTTGCGGATCCTGACTGTGACTTCGCCGTTGCCCTGTGCATATACACGTGGCGGCAGCAAGCCAGCATTGTACGCATAGGGACCGATGGCACTGCTCATGTTGCCGCAGTTGCCTGCCACATCCACCTCGTCGTTCTCGATGCCCAGGCCCACGAATGTGTAGTCTACGTCTATCCCGTCCACAGCATCGCCTCTAGTCTTTACATTTTGAAGGAGGTCACGGGCTGCATCAATGCCCTTGTACGCGACCCTATCAGCAATTGCCTGCTTGGGGATGACCTTCCTCCTGCCGTACGGCTCCACTAAGCAAACCTTACTGAGGCTGGAGATGCCAGCTCCCATGCCGTCCAGCTGACGGCCAAAAAGGTCGCCGCTGCCCATTGTTTGCCGGAAGATCCCAGGCCATTGTGCACGATCTTGCGGAAGATGCTGTGGCTGGAAGAAGACGGCGCGCGAGGTGCCGCCCCTATAGTAGGCGGCGGGGATCGGGGACTGAATGGTGGACGCCTTGGGCTTGGGCGTGCTATGGTGGGTGACGTGGGCGCTGATGCGCAGAGAGAGGGACGGCGCGGGTCTCATCACGCATCACGCATCACGCATCATGCTGAAGCTTGGAGCTTGGAGCTTGGAGCTTGGGTGGCGCGATGGAGCTGCTCGGAACGCAGGCCGAGGTGCGGAACGGTGGTGGTGGCACGGTCCGTCCGCGATGACCTCCGAAATTTTGTTTCGTTTCTGGGAGCTTCTGCTGTCTGCATCATCACATCGCCTTCATCTTGCGCCCTCTCACAACACTCCTACTGCCATCCTCCATCTCCGCCTCCACATCACGCCCCACAATGTTCCAGAGAACCCTCCTCCGCGCTTCGAGACAGGCTGCCGTCCGCCCTGCCGCCTTTGCGCCCATCAGACAGCAAGTCGCAAGCACACGAGCCGCCGCGCCCGCCATCAGATGGTACTCGGACGCGCCCGCGGCAAAGGAGGCCGAGGCGGCTGAGAAGAAGGAGGATGCGCCCAAGGATGAGTCGGCGCAATTGAAGGAGCAGGTCGAGAAGAAGGACAAGGAGATCGTCGAGCTGAAGGTACACCAGCTCTGGTTCATCTCGCCGTATACACGTATTGACAGCACCGGCAGGACAAGTACCTCCGCTCAGTCGCCGACTTTCGCAACCTCCAGGAGCGCACAGCGCGCGAGACCAAGGCTGCCAAGGACTTCGCCATCCAGCGCTTCGCCCGCGACCTCGTCGAGTCGGTTGACAACCTCGACCGCGCCCTCTCCACCGTTGCGCCCGAGAAGCTCCAGGGCGACAACCAGGATCTGTCGTCCCTGCACGAGGGCGTCAAGATGACCGATGGCATCCTGATCAACACACTGAAGAAGCACGGCCTCGAGCGCTTCGACCCCTCCGCAACCAGCGAGAAATTCGACCCCAACGTTCACGAGGCTGTCTTCATGGCACCGCAGCCAGGCAAAGAGGATGGCACCGTCTTCTTCACCCAGCAGAAGGGCTTCTACCTGAACGGACGTGTGCTGAGGCCTGCCAAGGTTGGCGTCGTCAAGAACGCCTAAGCGCTGTATTCTCCGCATTGAAATCTCTTTTTTTTTTCCAGCTCCCACGTTTGGGGGGCGCCTGTGGACTCGCATCTGTATGAGTATTTGTCTGGCTCGGTACGGCTACACCTGGGTGGTTCTATTTGGGCATGGTACATTGGGCACGGCGTTGTTGTGTACACCCTATAGCACGACTTGTGCGTTTCTCCGCAGCATGTCTCTGTATATTCCCCTCTCACGCATCTCAAAAAGGCTCGGCGGCTGTGAGGAGCTGCTCTTGTACATTGTAATATTAGTCACGACGGAAGGAGGATTGCTACAATAAATGGACCAACACCATCACGAATGCGAATGTTGAATACACAGCTCAGTCAAGTTGTCACGTATTCCCATGTGTTCCCTCAATCAGCCCTTTTCTCCCTCTGCGACGTGGTGCTTTCCCTCGTTGATGATGGCTGCACAACACTAGCGGCAATTGCACCCTAGACGAAGAACGCGACATACTCACAACACCACAACAACCATTAACGTCACATCTTATACCGAATGGCTCCAACCACACCGGCAATGTCAGGGCCACCACGGAAAAGACAAAAGCTCACTACCACTGCATGCGAACCATGTCGAAGCCGGAAAATCCGCTGCAATGGTGCCAAACCAAACTGTGAAGCATGCTCGAAGCGCGCTCAACAATGCATCTACCAGACCACGCCCGACGTTGAAAGCGCGAATGCGTACGTTGACTCGTTGGTGAATCGCGTATCTCAATTGGAGCAAGAACTGAACAACGCGCGCGCGACCATTCTGCGATTGTCCACAGGCCCAGCCATCGCGGCACCGCTGCCACAACATCTCAACATTGATCCCAGATTGCTTCCTGAGAATGATGTATCTTCTGCTGAGCCCGGGTCTGTCGACGCAATGGGTGGCGATGCCGGCGCCGAACACCACTCAAGTGACGGTCAGACATTCTACGGCAGCTCATCAGCACTTGGATTCACGCGCCAGATGTATGGGGCCATTCTCCAGAAGGACACTGCACCAGCAGCACCAGAGGTAACAGGAGCACCATCTTCGGTTCAGCAGTTACCGGCCTTACCCGCGTTCACAGAAGCCTATGTTGCACCCGAAAACTTCTCGCTCTTGCCCAGAGAACTGGCTGATCGTCTGATGGACCTCTATTGGGATCGAGTTCACGTGCTCTATCCGTTCCTGCACAAAGCTTCGTTCAGTCAAGCCTATGAGGATCTTTGGAAACCTTCGTCAGAACATCGTCCACGCTACAGACCAGGACTGGGACTTGGTGCCTCCAAGGCATCCGGACCATCGTCGGTCCTCTTCCATTGTGCCTTCAATGCTGCTTTGGCGCTCGGCATGCAGTTCTCAGACCTAGCGTTGAACGAGAGGGAGCGACTTTCTTCTGCCTGTCAGGCCAAGTCCAAAGATCTGCTGAGGCTCGATCTGTTCGATGATGGCAACATAGCGCTGGTTCAGACGTTGCTATTGTTGACTCAGTACTTCCAGTCTACCAATGGGCCAAATAAATGCTGGACTTCGATAGGTCTTGCATGCCGGCTTGCACAAGGACTTGGCTTGCACATTGAAGAGGACCGCTTTGAGCAGCAGTTCAGCGTCACGGACCGCGAGATCAGAAGGCGTGTCTGGCATGGCTGTGTTACCATGGACATCATCGTGAGCATGACGCTTGGCCGACCTGCGCTGCTCATCGGGTCCAAGGCTCGAAGCCCTCCAGCTCCGATCGATGGAGATGACGAGTATCAACTTCTGAATACACATGGGAACCCACTGTCCTCAATCGACTTCTTCACAGAGACTGTCAAACTGTACCGAATTATTGGACGCATCCTGCTGAACATCTACAAGGACAACGATGAACATCACGAAAAGCCTGACCCCGCAGAAGAGGACCGGAAAGACGATGTTTTGCTGGGGTTCCAAGACGAACTGGCCCAATTCGCTCGCGGGCTACCGGAAGGTCTCAAATGGCAGTCATCGTCATGGCAATTGCGCCACGAAACAACGGGAATCCTTGCCCGTCAGTCGCACGTCCTACATGTCAGAGTCTTGCATGCCCGTATCTTGCTCTTCCGGCCAGCTTTCTTGCAGTACTGCCGATTGCACCAAGGCAAAGATGGCGTGCAGTTGCCTGCTCTCGATCCAGAGGCTGCGGAGGACGCCATATCATTTCCCTTGACATGTGTCCAAACAGCCCTTGAGCTTATTAAATATGTCAAAGAGTACTCGGCGACCGAAGCTACCGGTGCCTGGTGGTACAACGTCTTCTATACACGTTCTGCTGCTATGGTCTTTCTACTGTCCGCTGTCTGTCCTTCGATACATGTCAGAACTGGAGACCGCGCCTGGCAGTCCGCATGGGCCGACTGCGTGGAGATCCTGACGACGAACCTCCCTCAATACGCGCTTGTCAAGGCATGTCTAACCACGCTCAAGGCGCTGTACCGAAACGTAGTTCGTCAAGGGACTGAACTCGGGCTTCTCGACCTTAGCGAGGTCGGCAACACCGACGACATGCTGTACACACAAACTCAAGCGCAAGGTGGGAATGAGCAAGATGCAGTGGGTCAAAAGGAGAGTTTGGTCAGAGACGCTCAGGACCTGCCGATGCCGGCTATGGACGCCAGTCAGGATTTGCTTGACTCGATGTTCGATCCCTTCGCATTCGTGGAAAAGGACCTTTTCACCGATCTGGGCTTTGACTTCACACAATCATTGGTTTGATGGGGTGCTGGTGTGGCTATCAATAGCATGTATAATTTCGCACCCAGCTCCCCCTTTCGCCAGCAATCTTCATACGTATTGAATTAGGTTAACGCAAACAATGCTGGTAATAGCAACACCGCGCTACCGGCCTGACCCTCGGGACTGGGCAGCAGGGGACCGCACCCGCAGCAGTTACCCTCGCCCCGGCTCCCGAAATCGAGATACGAGACATTGTAATCGCAAAAGCGGACGATGACGTTGCAACTCTGAAAGCGGCTTCGAAGAAAGCAGATGAGGTGCTGGGTGAAGGATAGATCGTATCCAAGAGCCAACCGGGGGCATTGAAAGCACGGGAAAGGATCGACAAAGTGATGGAAGGATTTTTTGGAGAAGATCACAAAGGATGTGGAGCAACTTGAGACAGAGACTATGACGAGCCAGGACAGGGTGAAGATGTTGGAGGTCCTGCTGCAGGTCGTTATGGATACCTGGGAACTTAGTCTTGAGAAGATGAAGGGCAAGGTTGAGCAGGGTGGAGATGAAGGGAGCGTTTGAGAGATAGGCTGTGAAGATCTTGGGAATTTGATGCGGCCACAAAATAGTAGACTTGATGTTTACGTCTAAAATGGGTTGGTTCTGTGAGAATCGTGTTGGCTTAGATGCCAATGAACGAGATGTGGAGACGATTGGTCTTAGTAGGTGCTGCTCCTCACCTTCGCCTCGAAACCGTAGCTCGCCAAGCCCGCACAGCGCACATTCTCTTGCTTCCCTTTCGAGCTCGCTTCTACGCTGTCACCTAAACGCCAGCGACGCTGCCAACCGAAACTGCACGCTCCGTCGTACCTCGCCAGCATGACCCCCCAGTCCCTCAGACAATACACGTGTGTCAACTCTCCCTTTCGATCTTGATTCAACTGATGATAAACACAGGAGGCCCTGGACGCAGGTACTTACGCGCGATCCAAGTCAGAGCCTCGCAGCGTCATAGTCAACCCCATCAACCAAAGCATCCAGCTCCACGACGAGTTCGACAAAAGGGCTGAGACGGTGAAAGAGCGAGACAAGACGGTCCATGAGCGCGACACCACTATCGCGAAGCAAGACTCTGGGTTGAAGTTGTTGAAAGCGTTCCCAGAGCAGAAGATCAAGGAGAAACTGGAGGAGCGGGATGTGGGCTGCCAAGAGACGGCGAAGGCGCGGAAAGCTGAGAAGGCGAACAACGAGGCGCTGAAGGAGATGAACAAGGCGCGAGAAGATAGCATCGAGGCGCTGAAGAAGAGTAACAGGAGTCAGGCAGAGATCATCGAATCACAGAAGAGCGCCATTGAGACGCGGGAGGTAATCATTCAAACGCCAGGATGTACCCTCGGGGGTCTAGCCCGTGGCGTCAAGCGTCCGAAGCACAGGTCAAGGCGCAGGAGGAAAGCATCCATGCGCGGGAGGAGATTGAGGTGCTGAAGAAGCAGCTGCAGGAGGAAAGCATCCATGCGCGGGAGGAGATTGAGGTGCTGAAGAAGCAGCTGCAGGAGGCAAACATAGGTGAGCAGAAGATGAAGAAGCTGCAGGAGGCGCTCAAGGAGTTCATGGTGGTGGGCGAGGAAAGCTAGCCAGGTGACAGATTCCACAAGCGTGAAGGAATGACCGACAGGCGTAACCTGATGAAACATGAAACAGTATATTACGAAGATAGCGCGGGGAAAACGGCGGTGAATCAGACATGGACACCGGATGTGAGCAGACAGGGGCAATTCCAAGTCTTGAAGGACTCCTACTTGGAGTTTGTCTCGTGCTAGCTGCCTTGCTAACTCGTCGAAGGCCTACGCCATCTTCGCTAGCAAATCTGGTAACCTCATCTGCTCGCTATACGCGAGCGAAGCAATGACGCGCTTGCCCTCTTAATGGCAGGCGACATGGGGCTTTCGAGCTGGCCATAGTCTGCGACTGCCACGATCCCTCACTGAGTATTTCTGGCGTCCATACTCGTACCCTTGTGTAGCAGGATGAGCGTTCGGGCTACAAGCGCAGAGTGCGCGGTCGTACAGCACCTGATACGATGCTGCCTCGTTCTGCATTCCCATGTCTTTCCCCTGGTAGCGTGTTCAGTCCTCGTCAACCACCTCCTCGCCATAGTTTTCCTCCTCCTTGGAATCGCCGGCTTTGTCGTCGGCCATCTTCTGGGTCAGGAAGGTGTTGATGTTGGTCTGAAGGGTCTTGAGGTTGGCTTGCAGGTCGCCCAAGTAGGTAACGCGGGCGGCGGTGGAGGAAGACGATGATGCTGCGGGCAGCTGGGCGAAGAAGGTCTGTGTGCCGTTTGGCGACGCGTAGTCTGCCGAGAGGATCGACATGGCGGTGACTGACGTGATGTGTGGTGGAGGTGGGATGGTTCAGTGAAGGAAGATAGTGCGGTGGGGCAGTGTGGGGCTTAGCGTTCAGCCTCATGCATGGATCGCCTGGGAGCTAGGGGTGGGCCTCAGACGACACAACTCCTACATTCTACGGCGGCATTTTGAGAAGACGATGTCAGGACCTACGACTTAGGAGGAAGAACCGTTCACGTGATATGTGCAGAAGTGTCCTGCTGGCCATGACCGCAAAGACGTGAACGATCGCAGCCTCCGCGAAAGCCACCTCGATACCACCTGCCACTGCCGCCGTGCAACACGCCATGCAGCCGACCTCTCCTCCCCCGCAGACGCCGGGCCTGCAGCGCCCCTCGCTCGACGAGTACGACTCGGACGGGTCGCAGGCAATGCTGCAGCAGACGCGCCGCTCGCCCATGCACCCGCGCTCCATCAAGTCGCCCACCTCCGAGCGCACCAGCACGCCCGCCCAGAATTACTCGCGCCCGGCCATCATACACGCTACCCAGAGCCAGACGTCGCTCGTAGACCGCACCCACCTCGGCCACCGCCCGCGACAGCGCTCGCAGGGTTACTTCGAGCCCAGCCTCTCGTCCATGCGCAACGACGGCCTCATGTCTCCGCCGTCCCAGCACCTCACCGCCAGCCAGATCGCTGCCCAGGCCGCGTACCAGCAGAGCGCACAGCACATGCGGAAGCGCTCGACGACAGTACCAGCCCCCGTGGACAACAATGCTGCTGCGCCCAGCGGTCGCATTCAGCCCATGAGCCCACCGCCCATGCCCGGCAACCCCTCGATGACGTTCAAGACGAACGGCATGACGTACCAGCAGGGCTCCATGGCGAACAGGTCGACCGCTGCCACCGCTGCGAATGCTGCCTTCCCGACGAGTCCGCTCACTTCCCCGAGCTTCCAAGAGACGCAGTCGCAAGGCACGTCCGGACAGGCATCGCCCAGCCTCGCTTCGGCGACGCCGGAGTTGGTGCTGCAGAAGGCGCCGAAGGAGAAGAGCAAGATGAAGCTCTTCTCTTCTAAGCAGAAGAGGGTCGAGGCGGAGAAGCCAGTCGACAAGAAGCATCAGGCGCTGCCATCGCCAGGCAAGATTGGCATCGGCATACACAGCTCGCATGCGCTCAATCGCGTCATGAACCAGTCGACCACGAGTCTGCTTGACTCAGGCGTGAGCAGCAGTAGCGCGTCCATGTACTCTTCTGCGAATGCATCGACGTCGACGCTTGTGCCCAAGATCGACCCCCATGCGCCGCACGAGAAAGAGAAGCACAAGCACCACTTCTTGTCGCGGACGAAGGCTAAATTGAAAGACAAGGATGATCATGCATTGCCGTTGTCCTCTGTGAACAGCACATCTCGGCCTACCAACCCGAACGCGCCCGAATCGCTGTACAACTTTGCACCATCCTCGCCGCTACCTGGCAGCTCGTTCCCTAGCTCAGTAACAGGACTGGACCTTCGGCACGGCGGCCGCGGACTGCGAGAAGCAAAGAAGAACGCTAAAGCCGCAGCATATCTTGGAGATGCCCTGGACGCGGGCTATCGCGACCAACGCCCTTCCTTTAGCACCGAGCGCTCAGAGTGGCCTTCTCTGGCGAGCAGCCTAAGCAACACACCCGGCGTCCCCATCCCCGGCACCGCCATCCCCCACACAGCTGAAATGCTAAACCTAGGATCGTCTTTTGGCATCAACGGGCTTTCGCCAGACGATGCGTGGCCCTTGCTGAAAGCTCGGGTGTTGCTGATATTCGAGGGTGAGGATCCAAGGCCGCCGGTCGAAGACTTCAATGCGCTTGTCACTGTGCACATAAAGCGCTGCATCCACAAGCGCTCGCCTATCCTGCTCATCGAAGACTTGAACGAACTGCTGTACACCGGCTTCGGCTCGCTAGACCAGACTCTCCAACACGTCCCCGACGAGCGCCTGATCCCACACCTGGTCGAAATGTGGCTCGTAGTATTCACCACCATCCTCTCCTTCCTACAAGCAGTCTTCCTCCCGCTCGACCTCGAATTCCGCGGCACAGGCATCATGTCCAGCCTCCAAGCCAGCGAGTTCTGGGGCGTCATGCTCCCCGACGAAATGAACACCAAGTCGCCCACACACAAAAACATCCCCATCCTCGGCGAGCTCGAAGTCAGACGCATCACGCTCCTCATGTTCCGCGACATCGTCATCCTTCCGCGCTACGACAGCCTGATGGCAATCTTTTCGCGTCTATCTCTCGAGAACTTGAACGCTGGCTTGGAGTCTCCGAGTCCGATCCCCGACGCACGACCAGGTACGGCGTCCAGCGCGTCCGAAGCACTCGCCGGCTTCCCAGGCAGTTACAGCACAAACGCTACGTCTCACTCGAGCACGGGGTATCTCGAATCTACATCCTCCTCCCTCCCACCCTCTGGCCGTTCCCGCGCCACCAGCAACACATCAGCTGGCTCCTTCTCTTCAAACCCACACTCCCACCCCTCTACCCTGCACCCACCGACTCCCCTCCCCACGAGCTTACGCCCGCAGCCCATGGACTCCGCGAAAGTCACCGAGACGGTGGGACGCATGCTGCAATGCATTTCTGTGCTTGTCTCGCTGCAAAGCGGCGACGAGAGTCAGGAGAAGATGGCGAGGATGAGTAAGGAGTTGAAGTACAATTGGCTCGGCCGTGGGCGCACCGGTAGGCAGCGACAGGGATTTGTGGGGCCGAGGAGGGGTGGGGGGTTGCCGCTGGGGAGTCTGAGTTTGAATTTGCCGGAGGAGGTCGAGGTCGGTGCATGAACAGATATCACGAAAACAGTCGTTGCTTCTCGAGGCGTTCAGGTGTTCACAAAGTTAGAGAAGCGTCTAGAATGAGTTCATGGCGCTTATTAGGGACGGTTGGTTTCTCGCTTTCGTTTTGTACATATAACGAACCCCTTGAGATCTATTCATTCAGCAACGTCCCCATCATCCTCCACCACAATCTCCCTCAGCACTTCCCCCCCCCCCCCCCACCTTCCTCATCATCTACACACCCTTGCTCACTCCCTTTGTCTGCTTCTCCAAGACCTTGGTCCTCTCATCCCCTGCCTTGAGCTCTTCCTCTTGCGCCTCGACCCCATCCTCCAGCGCCCATAGTCCTATCCTCAAGGTCCTCGATCATCTGGTCTGAGCACGCATCGCGGTATCCTCCCTCTTGCACCCACGAATCCGCTTGCTCGTATTTCTCCCTGTAGCACTCTTTTCGGATTTTCCATTGCCGCGAGCGACTTGCGCATCTGTCCAGTGAGCGGGATTTCTGGGCGATAATGGCGCCGCACTTGGAATGGCTGCAGTTTGCTGTGCCGCAGATGCTGACGCGCTCGTCCCTGCGCGCTCGCTCAGTTGGCAGCGCCGATCGAAGCTCGCGGATGGTGCGCCATAGTGTTCTTGTCGTGGTCGGGTCCAAGCCAGTCGGGAGAGTAGCCTTTGGAAGGCATTGTGAGGTGGAGGATGGTTTTTGTGTGTCGGCTGTGGTGGAAGATTGTGTGAGTGTGAAGTGAAGGCGCGTGTAAGCGAGACGAGGACCTTGTGGTGGTGATGTTTTCAACGCAAGCTCTTGATGCAGTTGCAGAAGAGTGGTAGTCGATATGAAGACACCATGTTGCTAGTAACGTGCCCTTGACGTCCGGTAGATAATCCCCCATCCTGCCCTCATCTGTGACACTGGTACCCACACTGCCTTCGCCTTGGAGTGGATTGCCATCCCACAACACAAACTCCTTTCCCTCCTCTCCCATCCTAAGATCCTATCGAAGTTGCTCGAAAAAAGTTTAACAGGCTTCCCATCATCCAGCCCAGCAAACTTCCCCACCCACCTTGCCTCCCTAGCAAGCCCATGCACCTTACTATTCTTCCTGACTGCCAGCGCTACCAACACACCCGCATCAATCAGCACTTGGGCGGGCGAGGCGCGCAGTAGACGATTTGTTTCCGCGCTCCTTATGCGCAGATATCTTACGACATTTGTCCAGCCTTTTCCCAACGACGTTTTGTTGTGCGGGAGCACCGGTGTCCTCGTTAAGCCTGCTGTAGCATAGCACTATCAACAAAGTGGCTGTCGCTACAATCAGAAGCACCAGCCTTGCTCGCCGTTTTCTCAATGTTGGGAACCGCGAGCTCTGCCGCGGCTGATAATGAATCGTATCTCTTGTCGTCGTTCATGTTCGCTTTGAGGGTCGACACGAGATATTCCCAGAGCCTGACGATGGCGCACGGAACAGCAGGTGGTTGCAGTTCTTGGTGTCATCCCACGGTGTCGGTATCTTCGGTATTCGATTCCTCGGGGCTGCTGAGTTACAGTGCAATATCGGCAGATTTTCCGCTCAGTGCTATGCGTAAAGCTCACCTGTCCGCAACTCCGCCTGGACGGTCGTCTGGCAATCGTGGACAACTCATCTTCTCTACCTTCTGGTTGCAAAGATGAAAGACCTTAACATGAAAACGGGAGATGCGGTCGACGCCGTGACTGTGGCCTCTGTGCCTCAGGTCTGCTAACATTGCCATATGGCAGGCACCCGGCTGACGTAGCAACAGAAGGAGAGCTTCGATGAGAAGTTCTCGGTGGACGAAGTAGCAAGGTAAAGAGCTTCCAGGAAATCTCAAGACAGATTAGTTGAAAGAATCGCAGACAGCTCAACGCGACCGCAGAAGAAGTCCTCGTGGCTAGAGACCACCCGTGGAGGCTCACTCTTGAGGAAACGCGCCGCGTATGATACCTCCTTAAACATTGTCCATGTGTTGTCACCTGTAACTCTCCTAGGCTGTCGATACCCTAGTCTTTGAACATACTCTCGACCCCAACTTTCCAGAGCGGCTCAAAGCTTTCCAGACTCATGAAGAGATGGCTACAAACCCCGAGGGCTACGAGCGAGAGATCTCAAGAGTAAAAGTCGGAATCTCACTGCTCACGACCAATAGTCCGTATGCAGAAATGTGCGTTGTCGACGGTCCTCAAGACGAAGTCAATCTTCCTGTGTCGACCATTCACTCTTGGGTCATCGGGTTTCTCTTCGTCGTCTTCGTTGCCTTCATCAACCAACTATTCAGCGTACGTTAGCCGTCTATCTTCCTCCGCGCTGAGATTGTACAACTGCTGGCCTACCCGGTTAGCAAGGCTGCTGAGAAGGGCCTCCCTGATATTGGCTTCACATTGTTCGGTGTGCGCCGTAGACTCAACCTACGTGCCTTCAACAAGAAAAAGCATATGCTCATCTCAACCATGGCAAGTGTAGGTAAAACACTACCGATTTCGAGATACATTACCTTCACCTAGTGGATGGATAAATACTTTGGCCAGCACTATGAAAAGTCTTTCGTAAGCCTTTGTATGATGATGCCCCTTGTTACTTCACTGACGAATTCAGGCTTACCAAATCCTTCTTGTTCTATCCACAAATCTGATGGGCTTCGGTTCGGCTAGTCTGACTAGATGATTCAAGGTCTACCCATCTTTCTGTCTCTGGCCAGCGTCTCTGGTAACAATCTCGCTGAACAGCGTTCTGCACAGTGGTAAGTACCTGTGAGATGTGCCTGACCCATCTGGAGTACTAACGCCGTGCTAGAAAACTGCATCCCATACAGCCTTGGAGGTAGCCGGAGGTTTGCATGCAAGTTCAAATCGCAAAATCTCTGTTGTCAACTGTCAAAGCTCAAGGACCCAAAGAGACCTAGAAGGTACCTCAGAGCACTCAGCCGCTTATCACCCAGATTATGATTGCAAATAGTTGGCAAATTGAATGGTTGCTCGAGTATCTGGATCCAAGCTTCGGTTTAGATAATCGATCCCTGTCCAATCTACTCCGTACTCACACCGTGCTCCCGATCAGCTCCAACAGACTTGACGTCCATGTCCTCGATCGGCCGTGGAGGTCTACAATATCAGCCCTTGCTCATCCTGGAGGTCTTCATATCTTACTTGACGATGACCTATTGGTCATGGCAATGCGGTACACCGTCCTTGGGTGCGCAAGTAGGGCCTCCGCACTTGGCCTGGAGACGCCATCCAATGGATGGGCTACAGACCTCGATTGTGTTGAGGGTACCGTCGCAGCGGTAAGTCTGCCCGTTGCAGATGTCTACAGGCACGACAGCGGCAGCAGCCATGCCAGCGATCGCGAAGAGGGCGAAGAGTTTGGCGAACATGGTGAAGGTTGGGTTTCCTGCAAAGTTGAGCCCCGGGATACTCAAAGATGTGAATCGGAAACTTACTTTTGAGATTGCGGTTAAGAAACTGGTGTGAGATGTGAAGAATGAAAAGGAAGAGATGGGAACGGACAAGTTTTTGAGTCGCTCAGAAGTTAGTGCTTGCACAGACGTTGGGTGCGTACCGTGACAGTCGTCACCATGTGACTTTAACTGCCAATAGTACAACAACTCAAAGGGGCAATCAGTGAGCAGACACACTGTTCTCTTCCTTAACTAGGAACCCTGAGCCCTGATGTACCACGACGTAGAGTTTGAAAACATACAGTCATTGGCTCTGTTCCGTAAATGCTCTTGACCCTGTGCATCGCCCCTCTTTTGACGCCCAACTACTACAACCCTTTAACCACAAGACCTCAAGTCTAACGCCCAAATTCAACGCTCCAGACAGACCTCTATTACACTTGTACCGAAATTCTCCCTAGTATTCCTCAACGGTGTATTGGAACTGCTTGTTTTCCGACAGCAAGTCGATCGATGAATGTCTCCGACCTAGATAGGGTTCACCGATGTCGTAACCTCCTCCAAGAGCATTGCCTGCGACGCATCAGCCCCGCGTCTTCTTCTCGATCGTCTGGGACCGTGTCTGTGCTTACCGTGCCGGCATGACTTGAAATTCCCTCGCAAGTGTCCGGCATTTGCAGCCTCTTCCATGGTAGGAGGAGTATGTTGCCAAGTGGAGAAGTTCATGAGCTGATCATACGGTGCAGATGGGCGGGGAACAAAGGAGCTTGGACGATCTGGATACAGTGGAAGAGTTTGAGAGAAGCTTTCCGTCCTCCTTGTCGAGTGTGTTTGTCTATCGTATGAGTTGGTGTCCTTCTGTGGCTGCATAAAAGCATTCGTCGGGCGTGAAGAGGTTGGCCTGTTGGTTGCAGAGAGTGTGTTGACGTCGCTGTGGCTTTTGTTCGAGATTAGACTGGCATTAATTGGATCACGTCCAGATTCCTGCTTCCACAGTTCGCCGATACCATCCAGTTGACCTTGGAACGGCACATACGACTTCTCTCTGGCATAAATGTGGACCTCGCTCAAGCACTCATACTCTTGTTCGCCGACCAGTCCTGTGATCAAACCCTTGTACTCAAGGTCGATGTCATTGCAGTAGTAACCACTCCACCCTTCCGATATGTAGCAGTCGAGCACCGACCTGAGAAGGGTTTGAGCAGCGTCTTGAGCGTCCTGGAGTGTCGGGAAGGTACCGATTTTCATCACGAGGAGCTTATCCTGGCCGCAATCCTGATGATGCGACACTTCGTACTCCAGTTGTGGGGTTTGTGTGAGGCTGTGCGTGGAAGGCTGATACGGAGTCAGATGTTGGGACGCCATCTTTGCTAAATTCGTACGAATGAAAGCTGCGCTGCTTTTGAAAGTTCTAGTGTTGGAAATTGGATAGCGATTGAGGACGCTGTATAGGGCTGTAATGTATCTTTGTATGGCACCTGTTTGTAAGCTTCATACTATCTGGTGGGCAAGCTGTCTTAGCTGCGAAGTAACATTCAACTTGTGTCTCATTGTCAAAGTTTTGAACAAAGGTTTACAGAAGTTTGAATATGTTTGGGGATTTTGAATGCTGTTTGGGTGAGCGATAAATCATATGCAATCAGTGCATTGGTCACCAGACACTTGAGGCTGTGGCAATGTCCAATCAAGTCCGGTGAGGAGAGATGGCGGGCTCCAACCGCTCAATGCCCGCGTTTCCATGTGCATGCGCCAGCGACATGGAAAACTTTGCATGTCTGGTAATTTGACGAGGCATGTTTCGATGCAGTGGTCTGTAGCTGGTGACGATAATGGCTGGTGTGAAGGAGAGCAGAAATTTGTTGGTGCCGGCGAGTGGGCGGCGGCCAACGCCGGGTGTGAACAACACCATGTGCAGCATCGCCGCTTTGTTACTCTACCATATTCAGGTCTGGACCCGCTGGAGGTCTACACAATGGAAGCCTAACAGAACAGAAGATTTGTTCTCACGCTTTGCTACGTATCCTGACCTGGACACGGTTTCCACATCAATGAGCTACGCTTGCAGTGCCGTCTTGAGATCCAGAATTACACTTCTAGGCTCTTAACAACAAACTTTCGGCTCAACTGGCATCTCCAACGCGCTTTCTTCCAGCTCCTTTAAGGGCTCTACACTTCTCGGCCTACTGCCCTACCACCTGGCGATTTACAGCCCTACTACCTGGGGATTCAGGCGTGCAACCTCGCTCAACGATAAACACCTGATCAGAACTCTTAAGCAACTACATTACGATTTAACCACATCATTGTCAGCATTTACAAAAGTCCAATCTTACGTGCAAAATGACCAAGTCTTATCCCAGCTCGTTTCTGATACGCCTCCTCACGCACGATGTTCGCCTCGAGATATACTCACATCGTCTTGCCACCCTTCAATGGCTACCAAAAGTATGCCGGACCCCGGTTGTCAAGCCGACAGCTGAGAGAGGAGATGGACAGTGAGGGCAGGAGGCAGCTGCGAATGTACCTAGACGACGTTAGCATGGATGAACCGGGGAAACGAAATGGTGACTGTCCAGAAGAAGAGGTGGAAGCAAGAGAAGAACTTCGTCATCTCGGCTGCGTGAAGTTTTGCGGTGCCTTCAACTCTTTCAGGAAGATCGGTCATCAGCCCGAAGGTCTCATTCGCATTACCACCCATCGAGTGCGACTGGCACTACCAGAGGTACCCATACCTCTCAGGTGTATGCTGCATTATCCTGAAGTGGCTGAGAGGGAGCGTGACCGGCAAGAGGGAGTGTACAAGAAGCAGGTTGATTGTCTGCTTGAGCCTCTGGGGCAGCTACATGCACTCCACCTTGCGAGCATTGATATTTGTTGCGGCATGGGCCGCTGTAAAATACTGATAGCTATGGTAAACGATAATGTAGGACTATCGGGTCGATGAAATACTGCGCTAAATTGCTATCTAGCTGGGAGATGACGACTATATACCTGACCTCAGGCCAGTGACCGGTCATACACTAGACTAGGGTAGTCTGTCAGGGGTACAGTCAGACCTTGTACAGACCGACCGATACCGCAACAATATTGAACTCGTAGCGGACGAGAGCACGATGACAAGAATCGCCAAAGACTGGATGCTGGATCGAGAGTTACAAAGCTACAGCAGCCAACCGAGATTCCTTGGAACTACCGTCCTCGGCCATGTACTCGATATCTATATAGAGAGATTGGTGACCAGGGTCATGGCTTGATGAGGGACTTGTCAAAAGACTGGACATTCAACACGGCCGTCATCAAGTGGCATGGAATTTCGGTTCAAAGAACTTGGCACAAGATTGGCACCGCCGCGACACGATGAGTATGTGGGAGAGCGCCTCCAACGGAGCATCGTGCACCTCGGACCGTTGGCAAGGTTCCGTGCAGATCGATTTTGCCGTAGAATAATGCGTTCAAAAGCAATTGAGGGCCTTCAAGAGGCGTATCAGAAAGGACAAAACCATGAGACAGGTGGGGGTTGGCAACTTACTCCAGATGGAAAAAGACGACGATAATATCGTGGATCTTGCAAGAATCAGAGAGAAGCTACGAAGACTTGGGGTTATGGAAGGCAAAGATACGGAACTCGATGTTACAGAGATAAGATCGGCAGAGAGATTGGCAAAGATGGAAGTAGGATGAGATACAACTGCTTCGTGATAGGAAAGGGGCCTTCCGCAAAGGCAGATACATGTTGGTCCATTTGTACATCAAACCTTACCTTCAATACTCCCTCAGTTTGAACTCGAAAGTCATTAACCAACAAGTTGTTTTCGTTTGATGAAACAATAGCTTTCGAAATGTACTACCCGGTGGTTGAAGTCAAAAGTTCGTGGAACACTCCAGGGTGGAGGCGCATCTTCATACCGTCCTTACTTTTCCCATCCAGAAGCCCACCCGAATGTCACACAACCTCTTGATCGCCACTCGCGGCTCAAAGAAGCATCACCTCGTGCAACACACGGTCGTCGCCAGACCGCTGCGATCGTCGGTGTCTCGTTATCACCCCTGGCCGCTTTTCTTGCTTCAGTCAACCAAACTCACCTGCAGCGAACTGGAGACGGGCTTGCACGGTCCTAAAATTGGTTCTGAAAGTATCCAAAGACTGCAGCCAATCAGCACCAGACCAGATTTGCGCCTAGGAATGGTTCGATCTTAGCCACGCACTGGCGTTCTACGTCTTTTCGACTTCTGCATGGTCATGAGTCGCAAAGATTTGTGACGGCAGATCGAAAACCGGTGTCGCAGACAGATACATGTGAGTGACTTGCAGTTCTTGCTGCCACGAGGGAGGAAGGGGCAGTTGATGGTCTGTGAGAGCGAGAGCAGCGACTTTTTGCGTGTTTTGGGTGAACTGCTGCACTGCACGGCACGCATCGGCAAAGTTTGAGTCGTGAACAAAGCTTGTAAGCTGTCAGTTGTGTGATCTGACACAGATAGTGCAGTATCGATAGGCAAAAGTTGCAGTAGTGAACGTCTATCACTTGTTATATGACTTTGCGACCAACTTTCACGATGTCCCAATTCTGTCTGTGTCGGTGAGGTGCTCACTCACATGACCAGAGGCGGCATTCATGATGAATTTCAGGAACCACAATTGTCCCGTTCACATGTCGCGGCCCCTGAGCGAGTTTCCCGTGTCCAATTTCTCCTTCAATCAATCTCTGTCTCGATTTCTTAGTGAACTGCCATCGATTGGAGGGGGCGAGCTCCGTGAGGTGGAGGCGCTGTGGTTCCCGCATGCTAGCGTTGATGCCGCTGTCAAGTATAAGCGAGATAAGACTGTATGAAGGCGTCAGCGGCACAGTCGCTTTTTCCCGTGCTGCAGCCTTCCATTGAGTCCTGTGCAGGGTGTCCGGACCTTGCCAGATCGTCATCGGCCTTTCTCTTCTCGCAGACAGCAATTGCGACTCATGAACAGCCGAAAGCAACGCAATTCACAAGTTCACAACGTGGTGAAGCCGTACCAGACGATCGCTCTCGAAATAAACCTTGCTTAAACCAATCAAAAACATAGTTTGGTAGCTTTCATGGGTAATTTCGAGGACCGTCTAGTCACCAACAGCGGACACTTGCATCCTGGCTCTAATCATGGGAGAGCGACCTCGGATCCATGTCCGGGCAGCATGGATTTGCATCTTGTCCGAAGTGTGGCTGTCTGAAAGAACGTCATTCTTTGCTGGCAGTCGCCGATTGCAGCAGTAAGAACAACACCCTGCAGTTTCATGTCATCGCTCGTCATCTCGCATTCAAGCCTTTTCTCCACGCACTTGCGCACTTGCGAACGTTGAGCCCGAGATACAACGGCTCTTTGTCGAGTCTTCATCTCGGTTTGTTGCCGAGTCAGACTGACAAGCAGTCCGGTAGCGCCACGGTTCGTCTTGAACTCGCGCGAGCTGTGTCGCTAGGGGAAAGAGATTTGCATTTTGCAATCAGCGCCTGCCTCGATGGGGGATGAGCTGGGGAGATCGGCGTGTACCGTGCTCCGATTGCCGAGGCTTATGCATGCACGCGCGACGGGGATTGGACTTCAGCTCCATCCACAATCTGCATATCCTGAACAAGAAACGAAGTTCGTGGGCGCGTTAAGCTAGCCAACGTCGTTTGGAGCTGTTACGCGGCGCGCCTGCTGCTCGGCGACCTCGAGGATCCCATGTGCAACCACGGGCGTTGACTTGCCATGCATCGTAACCCGATTGGGGAACCGCCGCCGGTAGAGGCAGGTGCAACTTCCTCTGCGGTTGCTAGAACGCCGCCATGATCTTTCGCTTCGAGACCAGGCACAGTGCTTTCTGTAGTTCCTCTCGTGTATTTATATTCGGCTCCAGCCACGCTTTGCTCTCCGCCTTATGTGCCCAGTCCTTCTCCTCCCCACCAGAACGCCAGTGCACTCCCATCACTCACAGCGGAGGCCCGTCCGTATCAATCTAGTCTACAACGATCTTCCCGCCAGCTCGCGTGGCTTATAGTCAGCTCGCTATCGATCCCATCGTTCGCCCAGGTTACTGGAATTGCATATATCGAACCCCCTCACGGACCTCGTTGTGGTTGTTTAACAGGAGTCGTTCCTGCCTCACCTCACGCCCGCACGCGACCCAGCCGTGTCGTCACCCAAACATCAGCCCACAACACACCACTTTCTCTACGCCATGGTCTACAACCTCACCTACCGCCGCCCTCAGAGGCAGTCCGGCTCATCCAGTGAGTCAGTGACCGGCGAGCACAAGCAATTGTCCATCCATGAGTCTGTCCGCTCTGGTAGCAGTGGCATGTCCTATGGCATTCCTGAGGCGCTCTCCTTCGACCGAATCATCGCCGGTGGCGTCTGTCCTGTAAGTTTTCCCATGTCTCGTATTATGACTTAGCCACTCCCGCAATCTGTGGTGCTTAAAGTTCTGACTGTCGTGCAATGCTGACCACGTGTAGCCTTGCACTGTCCGTGACTTCATGAACTTCTTGAAGTACATCGAGCTGTCAGCCGAGAACCTACAGTTCTTCCTCTGGTACCGCGACTACAGCAAGCGCTTCAATGAGCTACCTGGGAGCGAGAAGGTTCTGTCGCCCGAGTGGCATGACGACAAGACTAACGGCGAGGTGCCCAAGCTCGTCACCAAGAAGACGCACCCAGAGGCATCTGTCATTTTGGAGGGCACTGACTTTGCCAGCGAGAAGACTGTGAAGCACAGCGACAAGAGCAACAGCAATAACCCATTCTTCACACCACCGCACACGCCAACAAGTGATTTGCACCGCCGGGAGGAGTCGTTCGATTCGTACGATGAGAGCATGACTACTGGCAAAGTGAACCACTCTGAACGTGCTGCAGGTGCGTTTGAGAATGCGGGGCTCAAATGGAAGCCTTGTGAGTTTTACTGACTTTCTCTTCTCTTTTAGGAACCAAATGCTCATGCACAACAGTAACCGTTCAGCCATACCGCGAGGAGGTTAACCGCATCATCTCGATATACATCGCCGATGGCGGCTCTCGTCAGCTCAACCTCTCCTCCAAGGAGCGCACTGCGCTGCTTCACGCTTTGCAGAACACCACCCACCCATCTGCATTCAAGGACGTCATCACCACCGTTGAGTGGTCGCTCCGTTGCCAGGCTCACCCCAACTTCATCCGCTGGACCATCTGCAACGGCAACCGCCCTCGTGTCATCTTTGCGCGCGGATTGGGTATCGGCGGCATCGTCGCTGGTCTCATTGTCGCTATTATCCTCACTCTGAGCAGCGCTGGTCGTGCTTGGAGGGCTCTCTCCCTAATCGGCTTCGTCATCGGCATTTCCACGCTCATCGCTGCCTGGAAAGGTATGTGCGTTGTCCTCCACGGCATGCACCACCGCCACTTGCGACCTTGGGAGCTGTTCACCTCAGACGACGAGCCACAAGGCTACGATGCGAAGATGGACTCCGCCGACACCCTCGGCTCACACGCATCCAGCAACTCGTGGGAAGACGAGCCGTGGGTTGCAAAGTACGAGAAGCGCAACGTCGTTCGCAAGATCTTCGATCGCGAAGTCTGGATCCAGGAGCCTGCTCTTCGCCAGATCCAGGATACCATCTTCATCCAGGCCATTCTGGGCTCACTCATTATCGGCGGTGTTACGGTTGGCATCTTCTGCGCCGTCCCCGCTGGCAACTTCTTCTAAGCGCCATTGATGTCTAAACGCCCCTTACCTTCTTAACGCCATTTTACCGTTCCCGCGACGCAGCGCCATATCTGGCTGCTTAAACCATGTTTAGTGCGATATACCCTGATACTTGTACACAGTTCGTTCGATGTGTAGGAGGTAACATTCTGTGTAACGTGGAATCTTATGTGTCGGCGTCTGGTGGATTGTGTACATGATGTAGCCGAAACGGCGGTATCTACAGATTGCACAGTTTCGTTTTGTTATTTACGGCCGTGCGAGGCATTCTGTCTTGATAGCGTGTACGCCAAAATGTCACTATTCTGCATCTCGATCACCGCCTCTTCGTGACCATCCGTGCGCAACATCGAGTGCAGCGCCGAGCACAACACCCAGTGAGTGAAGCTGAACCGGGCAGCCACCCAAAAGCAATGGAGAACGACAGGCTATCACAGCTTTATCGCAGCACCCTTTGCGCAGCTCAACGGACCTTCGGCGCTCAACAGCATACGAAGCCGACAGCGCAGCCGTGAGATCCGCCTTGTCACCTCACTCGCAAGGTGACAGTGAGAACAAGCAAGCAAGGACTTGCCCCAGTGGATTGACCGGCAATGCGGCTCTTTGTCGGGCTTTGCGTGGTGCAGTGATGTGGTGGCTGTGCAGTGCACTTGCAGTGCCCTTGCGGTGCACGGATGGGGTTCTCAGGAACCCTTTACCGTCTTTTCGTAGGCAGCCGCTGTGGTACCAAGCATCAACACCATACAATTTGGACACGAGTAGGATCGAGACAAGCAGCAAAAGCTGAGAAAGCTGTTTTTGAGGGTCTCAGATGAAGGATGGTACTGCTCTTAAGCTTAACACTGGTGTAATGTGAAGTGTGGTGTCTGTGGTAGCGAAAGTTACACCAGCATGATCAGTGCAACCATGCAGGGACGGTGTTGGAAATGACAGAATCACGCAGGACTAGCAGACTGACTCAGAGAGGCCTCAGAATGAACACGCTGTGAAGTGGGTACATACGGCACACCATTCCAGGCGAACAAGAGCAAAAAATGCTCGAAATCTCCAAGTTGCCTGCACTTCAACATCTCAGAGCCTCACAAACTGGCGGTGGAAGACATCCAGGAACACAAGCTAGACTGTCGCTAAGCTCGGTTAGCAAGGACGCCTTGCCAGTTTGTGCTTGGCGCATGTTGGGAAGGTGGAACTCCCGCCCGGTCAGCGCAAGGCGAGGAGCAGAAGATGCGTCACTGGCGATTCAACATTCGAAAGATTGCCCCGCTATGTAATCCTACGCGTCCTGCGCTCCCCTAGAATATTCTCTACAATATAAACTATACCACACCGGTTGCTTGATCCCTGTTCGCTCTCTCTTCATCTCTTGTTCGCCAACGCCCTACATGCGCACGCGAGATCAGTCTCACCACATCGCCTGACCTAGTCCTCTCTTACATGTCTTACACCGACCACGACCGCTACTACCGCCCCCGCCATGATGCGTACCCTTCGCGACCTCGCGACTCAGACGCATACACCTCACGCTATGCACAACCGTCCGCTCCGCGCGAGAAGCCAACTATGCGGGGCAACGTGAACAGCTACCCTTCCTCATCCTACTACGACTCCTACGCCCACGAAACATGGAGATCCGCTGCACTTCCTCGACACCGCACAAGCACCCGTAAAGCCACATGGCCTCCATCACCAGCCGTCGAGGATGAGAGCGTTGCTGCAAAGAAAGAGGCATCTTTGGTGGTGGGTTCGGAGGAGGGTGAGCCGCCGATCAACACGCGGGGCACTGTCGATCAGGAACATCTGCTGGATGAGATTGAACAACCCAAACAACCCGACCAGGATGAACGACGCTATGTCCTCGTGCCTGGCTCTGGCGATAGCGGCCTCAATGCAGCACCTAGTGCGGACGGAGCGCGGAGGAAGAGCTTCGCTGAGCGAGGGAACATGCCTCACCTGAAGACCGACGTGGAGAGTGATCCAATCCTGTTCACGAAACGGGTCTCGACGCCCTACTCTTACACGCCGCAGAAAGAGTCCACTGCGCCTGCATCTGCGGGATTCATGCTCTCGCCTGAGCCTATCACGCCTGCCAACACAAGCAAACCTAGGTCCGCTGCCAGTCGAGATGCGTGGGACGAACAGAAGGACCAGAATGCCAGGCCATCGAAATCGATACCAGTACGCACACGCCGGGACTCGTTTGCTCGATCAGCTCCACAGTCGGCCAAGAACGATGTTTTCGACGACTCTGCATCGGAGGGAGAGAGCATGACGCATCTACGGACGAATGAGCGAAAGCCTGCGCGGTACAGCTTTGTGAAGAGCGACTCTCAGAAGGAGGATCTAAGAACGAAGCTGCGAGAGAGCCAGCCTAAACCTGAACCAACAAGGCGCGATTCCACACAGCGACCGCCAACTGCACGCACAGGGTATGACACCTCGTCAGGCTCATCTAAGGAGAGCTCTCACTACCAGTCTCCTCGCTCTTCCTCTTCTTCAGTCAACAGCGAGAAGAGGAAGTCGAGGCCTGCTCATGTGGATACCGCGTATGCCAACAGCCCTCGTCCATCAAGTCGTCCAAGCTCACCGCTCCACGGTGCGCCCTCGCCAAAGTTGCCACCACGACTGCGCGAGTCACCTCCTGGATCCAGACCCTCATCACGAGGCAATGCGACTCGACCAGCTTCGCCATTGGCATGGTCGACTGTAATTAGTCCTCCTTCTCCTCGCCAGGTACCGATCACTGAAGCAGACTGGCACTCGACCTACCCACCTGTCAGTGCCAACGACCGCTCGAGGCCGCCTTCACGGTTCGGTAGACACGAGACAATACAGATCCCGCCTCCACGAGTCGACATCCAGAGCCCATCACCAGTTAGGCCTAGCAACCCTCTACCCTATCCGGTGGAGGATCACCATGCCGATGTCTGGATGCCGGGAGAGGAGCACTACCAATTCGACCACTCGGCTGTTTCGTCTTCACGACAGGTCTTCAGAGATGCGCCGCGAGTTGCCTCGCCTTCAATACCCAACTCGCCTCGCCAGGGTGATGGATTCCGAGAGCGGTCTGGAAGACCCAGGACGCCAAGGCCGGAAGAAGCACCACGCGTGAGAAGAAGCAGATCGAATAGTGTCGACTCAAAGCACAGCACTGAAGGCCGAACCAGATCCAGCAGGACCGCCGCTCTCCTCGACAGGCCCCTCCCAAACTGCTCAAGGCCCACTGCGACCGACAGATACGACGACTGGTACTCTTTCCCCGGCTACCGCAACTTCGACATCTGCCCCTCCTGTTATGATGGCCTATTCGCAGACACACCCTTCGCTCACCACTTCTCACAGACTCGCCGCTATGAACGACCCACGGAGCGTTTCTGTGACTTCAGCAGCGCATGGATGCGTCTCGCCTGGCTTCTAACCATCAAGCAACGCCGCCAGTCCATCGATCTGCTCTACGCACTCGCCGACATCTCAGGCTCAGACCGTCCCTGTCCCGGCGACCGTGAACTCAGCGCCGACCGCGTGTCCTGGTATGGCATAGCCGACCAGCGCGATGGACTGCACGTCGCCAACTTCGCTGTTTGCGCGGCGGATGTCAAGATGTTGGAGGTTCTGTTTCCCACCGTCCGCGGATATTTCGTACGTCTGCCGCCCGCCTCGACCTACAGTCCCGAGAAACATACCTGCAGCCTCCGTGTGTCTTCGCGCCGCTTCCCGAAGTACCTCGACCTCCTCGTCGAGATAGACGCTGAAGCGCAGTCTACTGGCCAACGACCAAACATGTCAAAGTTCATCAAAATGGCGCGTGAGAACGCATTCAAGGGCGAGTGTGCGAGGAACAAAGCCTTTGTGCGGAAGGCGTGGCATTTCATCCCCGAACTTCCAGAGTTCACGGTCTGCGAGGAGTGCTACGATGAAGTCATCTGGCCGGCTGTTGCTGCGAAGAGCAGCTCGCTACCGCGCTTGGTCAATAAGAGTATCCAGCTTGTACCCAATGAGGATCTGGAGCTGGGCAGCAGTTGTTCTCTCTACAGTCCAAGGATGCGCAAAGTCTGGGACGTGTCTGCGAAGGAGGGGGACTTCAAGTATCTTGAGCGCAAGGTGCTGGAGCGGAAGAGGAAGGAGATTTTATTGGCGAAGGAGAGGAGGGGCGTTTTGCAGTGGTTGGCTGGGCAGGAGAAGGGGAGTAGGGGGTATGAGAGGGCGAGGGAGGAGCTGAAGCAGTTGGAGAGAGTGTGGAAAGACTGGGAGTAGGTCAGGAAGTTAGGTAGAGAGATGAATTGAAGTGACATTCTTCAGTCGCGGCTCGTGTGCCGTATGCCTAAGCTTTTTCCAGCTCCCATCTGCGACCGTTGCTTTACCCAAACCCCCTCACTATCGTCTTAAGCACAGCCTCCCAGCCCATCCTTCTGCCGGCACACTAAATTGGCGCCCCAAACATCTCAGCATAAGCGTGCTTGGAGTCACTCAACAGCTCCTTGTACCGCTCGCGCTTCTCCTTCGTTGTCGAACGTCCCCACCCTCAGCCAGCCCGCCATTAACCGATGACGTAGGACCTCATCTCGTACGTATGAAGTGCCTTTAGCGTCGCCATTTCCTTTCAGCTGATTCCGAAGTTTCTCAATGCCCATCCCGAATCCTAATTTAATCGCGGGTTCCTCGCCTTCCACTAGTATGCCTGTTCACAAATGACCCTTCCTTGCCTCTCGGATACCCTTCAACCCCACATATGCAACAAACAACAGAACAGCATGAATATTGCAAACTACTGTCGTACCAAGAACCCGTTTACATTTCTCGAGCTCGCCCTGGCTCGCCTTCTTGTCTTCGATCTCTCGCTTGTACGCCCTTTTGGGGACTTCAATGTCCGCCTTGAGCTGTTCGATGGTGGCGTGCCCGTTCGTAGGACGCCACTGGCTGAGGCCAAGGGTTATACGTTCGTCGAGAGAAAGCTGTCGAGTGATTAGTGGAGAAGATGACTGGGGTGGAACGCAGACTGTGGATGTAGTGGTATACTCGTAATCCATTGGCATCAACGCCTCGTAGGTGTGGCGAGATGTTCGAGTGTTGACCGCGGTGACAACATCTTGGATTATGGGTCTTTGGCCGTGTTTCGTCGATATGAGCAAGCTTCGTAGTTTGTGGTGGTGTTGATGCGGCTGGGAAAGGGTGGAGCGGTTGTGAACCGAAGAGAGCAGGAAGCGGCTGTGCGGAAATGGTGAGGTGAACGTGAGTTTCGATTAAATAATGTACGCCGCATTCGACCTGTCAGTGATTGCTCATAGTACCTAAGACTTTGCCTGATTATCTGCACTGAGACTTCAATCAACAGCCACGGTCATGCGACTGCATTGCAAACCCATGCACCTCCTGCTCTACTCCTGCCATGCTCTCGCGCATGAGCGCCAGTGGCCGAATTGACGACCTCCAGAGACCTACGCCACCTATTAATCATCCAACAGCCTCATGATAATTTCCACCTTGTTCTTGATCTTCTCCTCCACCTCCTCGTTCGTAAGAACGAGCTTCTTCTTGTCCATTCTGTCCTTCTCCCGGCGGCTGCATAGTATCGTGCAATAGCTTTCTTTTGTTCGCGCGATCAATCTCGCCGTACTGCGCTTGGAGGAAGTCCAAAGTCAGTTATCGTGCTGTCAGAATAGATAGAAGTTGAACGAGGCACCCGGGCTCACCTGGGTGTTGAGAAAATTGCTCGTCTTGTATGACATAGCTTGTGTTGTAGTTTGGATAAGTTAGTTGGAGCGCAAATGTGCAAATAGTACTTCTTATTAGCAAAGAGGCTTGCTACTTCGAAGGCAGCAAGGCTTGTAACTGAGTCGGTCAACTGCAAATAGGTTCACCTTGGGCCATGTGATGGATAACTGTCCAGAGCGAAGCGGTGAGGGTAGCTGCAACGTGCGCCATTCGTCGCATTGATGCTATTCGCTGGTTGTGCTATGCGACTCTTTGACGGGAAGGAGCATGATCCTCCGGGCAATGCGATAAGGTGGCGGTTTGAGGTGACTTATCATTTCTTTACGTGTTTGACAGAGTATCTGTCCGCGCAGCAGGCGCTCTCAATGGCCAACTCGTTGGTCAGCGTCCGTGCCCTTGTACTGTAGATATTCGCTCTTTCCCGTAGTACTCAATGAACAGTTCACGTCACCACTCTCATCAATAACCATCAAAATTGCTAAAGCAGAGTGGGCCTATTTGTGGAGAGCCGTGTTCGAGTCAAAGGGCTGTTGGGGTAGACTAAAGTTGTTACTGCGTGAGCAGTGTCGGTCGGAGGCTGTGGTCAATGATTGCATTGCTATCTGTGTTGTTGTTCGGTGATGTTCTTGTGCAGGAGTTCTCCGCTCAGAGGTAAGTGCAATTGCTCCCGGGCAATGCCTTCTACAATAAAATATCATGTAACTTCAGCCACGTAGTGACAAAAGTTCTATACACTCAGCGCATCTGGACATGGATCATCTGTAGTAGCCAAGTGAAGTCTGTCGAACCCAGATGCGCGGTCCACCAAGTGTTATTGGACTCCACCGTGGGGTGGCCAAGTGCGGCTGGGGTCCATGGACACGCGTTCGGGCTTCAAGATAGAGTGAGCGAGTCCCATCGATACTCCATAGATTCCATGTGAGCCCCACGACAGTCCAGACAACTCTTGTGTGACAAGCGAAGGAGGACGTATACAGACTCGCGTGGCAGGCAAAAGGGGCAGTCTACGATCCCAAGTGGCAGTCCAACAGCCCAGGAGGGCAATCCACAAACTGAGGTCGCCTGGCAGTCCAAATCTGCCCAAGTCAAGACCTCTCTAACTTGTATGCAAGAACGCACCTTTACTTTAGTAGTTTCGGCCGAGAAGCTCATTGGTAGGCGATCGCCATACCCTACTGACCCAACCAGCCCTGCGTTCTAGTCATGCGACTGTTTAACCCCGGATCGACACTGCACTGCTGGGGATGACATCCAATCTCTAACCTAATCTGAGCCATGTTCGGCACGCGCCGACTCACTCTTCCCCATCTGCTCTTGTCGCGTGCGATGTATTTGAGATATGATGTCAATACGTTGCACGTGTCGGGCGGCTTACTGATATAGGAAGACTGCACCGCTGGTTGCTCGAGTAAGTTCTGCAAAGCATCGATTCTCTTCTGGTATCCTGAGCGAGGATTGAAGGTCATGCCGAGGCGGTAGATACGTCGCCCTGTCGTTGCGCTGATAGAGTGAGACAAGATAGATTGCTTCCCACTCGGCCGTAGCGAATAGGTAGACTTCATCAGCATAATGCAGAGACTTGCCGCAACGACTGAGAAATTTCGAGCATCGCTATGCAGGAGACAACGCACTTGACTGGAAGCTCTAAGATAATGTAGCATTCATGACGGTTATATATGAAACAGTAAAAAAGTAACGATCATGGCAAAAAGGGTATAAGGTGCAAAAGGCGCGAACAAACAACAACAAGACAACACACCAACTTACCCCATGGAATCCATCCGTCGTTAGACCCAATCGGAGCACTGCCTCGATAGAACCACCCTCGTGGTGTCCACAACGTCTCGCAAAAAGCAACGATTCGACCTCCGAGATACAACACCGTCATGACCCACAACCACCCTCAAGTCGAAGCCTGCGCAGCAGCAACCAGCACATCGATACCCGCCGCATGACTCGCCGCATTGGACCCATCCGATCCACCCTGCCACCTATCCCTGATAACACCATCACCGTTCCTAGCATTCGCCAGCGCCGAATCAGCGTTCTTCTTCAGGAAGTCAGTGTATGCTTGCTGGCCCTCGTTCTCATTTAGCGTGGACAGCCCTCTGACGTATGCGCCTTTGAACATAGCACCCTGCTGATCCAGCGGGTGATCAACTGGCTCGTTCAAGATGCCATTATCGCTCAGTTTACTCATTGAGGCGTTGGCGAGTTCATTGGCATGGCGAATCAGATCGCCATCGCCTTTCGCTCTAGCTAGTTCAGAAAGACCGGTGAGTACAACGCCCTGGTTGTACGTCCAAGTTGTCTTCCCATCGTTCTGGCAAGATGTCTGATCGACGCCGTCATTGATGAGTTTGTCGCCGTTGATGACACCGGAGTTGTAGAACCAGTCCCATTCCATCTGCGCCCAGTTCTGATAGTCGGCTTTCTCCTCGGCCGAGACACGGTTGGCCAGGGATGCGCCAACGGCGAGGAAAAGCTCGTTGGATATGGATGCGATGGATTCCTTGGGCTTGTTCCACCAGATACCGCCTTTGCAAGGTGTCGTCCAACCGCCGGTCATGTCTTCAAAGAGATTTTTGGCGGTGTCGAGATATTTGACATCGCCGGTTAAGTCGTATGAGGCTATCCAGCCCATAGCCCACCAGCCTTCATCGTCGTAAAAGTCATTCTTCCAGTTGTTGTAGCCCTTCTGATTTGGTGACTTATCGTATGTATTGGAGATGATGTCGATTGCTGCTTGCTTGAAGTGTACGTCCTGTTTGCCGAATTTGGCGATGGTCTCTACAATGTTGCCGGACTGCCACCACATATCATCCCTTTGCAATGATGTCAGTGAAGGTAGCATTATTGAAGGAGATCACTTTACCATAAGCCGGTCTCTGTGTTATACCATTTGTCCTGAAGCAGCTTGATAGCGGACTCCGCATCGCTTGCGTAGTCGGCATATGCTGTGTCCAACAACAGGAACACAACAGTCAGTGAAGGGATGTACTTCATAGTAAAACGTGGTGATGCGTGCAGAAGAAGGAAGTCGATGGAAGCTGCGTCTGTAGAGAGTTCAGCGTTACTTGATGCCTATGAAGGCGCCATACCTGAGGGATGTCCTTTGTTTTATGTTCCCAGGAAACGCCATGAACGTGCCAAAACGAAACGAGTGCCGTAAGGCTAGGCATTTTGGACCCAGAAACATGCTCGGCGCCAGCCTTTCACATATTTGTTAGATAATAGTGCTAGCTGTATACTACACTCAGCACAAGGCCCTATAGAAACAAATCTGATAGGCTTGGCAATGATGCGTGTTGTAACCATGAGCTCTACAGCATGCTCAAACTTCCGATCCCTGCCCAGTGTGACTGAGAGCTTGTGGCACTGCCAGCAAGGCGACTTCGCCATGAGTGAGATGATGAGGATCATGCGGGCGATGATCTTAGGCAAGCTAGTCGGTTTTGCCATGACCATCTGCCAATTGACAACGGTGATTGCGACATGGTGGTAACAGTCAGCAAGATGAGTGATGTTGGAGCCTGACCGACGTGGGCCCTATCGTGGACGACGATGCGGCTGTTGTCAAGGATGGGCTTCATATGATGTTCTGAAACACATGTCAAAGAGGTTTCTAATACGGAAATAAGTTGATGGTGGACCCTGATTGGCGTCAACGTTTGACGGGCCGGAAAATCATTGGGTCGCAACATGACTTAGGCAAGAAGCGGAATGGTCCAGGAACCCTGGAACGTGGCTTGTGAAAGGTCTCTCCTGTGCCTCCACAGCCTCAGAATGGAGGCCGCAAGGCGAGACAGCAAGGTCTCAGCTAAGCGCCAGCCCGAACACCAAAAGCTTACCAAGGGTTGGCGCCAAAGAAGGAGTGTGCCAGATGAAGGGCCAATTTGTGATTACAGGTATGGACTTCTGGGCGAAGAACGTTGCAGACGCGAGTTCTGAAAGCACAAGGTATGCTGGGTCGACGAGGTCTCCGATTGCAGCAGCTCTTTCGCGCGAGCACGCAGGTCTTGATTCATCCTAGCAGAATTGCTTCTATCGATCGCACATGTTAGATCAGGCCTTGGATGATCGCAGCGAGGCGCATGACTGTAGTGGTCGGCTGAGACAACATAAAGAAGTCAGAGGTCGTATCGTTTGTTGCCATTTTCAAGGCCAGTTGCGGGGTGCCTTGTCATCTCCGCAGCATCTTCCTACGAATCTGAATGTCAGATAACACAAAGGTAATCTTCTTATGCTAGAGTCAACCTTTGGCCTTGCAGAGAGGCAGTGCTTTGATAGCAGGCTTTCATTTCGACGAATTGTCGAGGAGCACAACGCCTGGATACGCAGATGAGTGATGTGACGATCTGCAAGAAGCTGCCGTTGCTGGAATATTACGTCCATGGGACTGCCGGGTCATGATGAGATGAAAAGCGGGCGTTGACGGCAGAGATTCATCTTATCCTGATGATGGAGGGCGGAGAGGAACAGAGGTGTTGTGGAGTACTCCCCATGAGTGTTCTGAGGTCCTTCGGCTGCTTTGCCGCGCAAGGCGAGCAATGAACATAGTCGAGCCAAAGCCGAACGCAAGCGGTGGTCGAAGCAGAGCTCGTGCAACAAGCCTACCCACCAAGCCGAACCCGCTGCTGTGATCTTGTGCTCTCCTGCCACGTTGAGGTCGAGCCGCGTGAAGCGTGAAGAACCGAACCCACAATGACGCATTGCACCCGGTCGCGACTTCCGAGCTGCGGTGCGCGCTTTCTTGTATGCGGTGACGTAGGGTCTGAGGGGTCGCGTAAACAGTCCAGGCGCAGAGGTGGGGTCCTCGCCATGCAACAGCGGACCGCGCTCTGAACATGTGCCTAGAAATGACGGAACCGCCATGGAATTTCTGTCAAATCCCCATCAATCACGCTAATGCTTGCTATATGATCGACCAATCGTGACTGTCGTAGGAGCTATGCCCTATCAGACATCCTTACAAGTGAGCTCAACTGCTGCCTTGTGGCAGTAACCCTGCCACTGCAGTGAGCCTGCCGCGGCTGGGATGGTGTCGAATTGCACCTTCTCTCACTACGATCAAGCAAACAGTGACGTGCGAATTTCGTAGGTGGTAAGGAGCAGATGAGAATGCCTACTTAAGAGACCTCGCTGCGCTGCTCAAAGTGTCAATCATCAACGCACTCTTCAACTCTCAACTACAAACTTCAACTTCTACCACTAAATCAAACCACCAACCCACAATCAACATGTCTGACAACCTCCGCAAGGGTCTCGGCGAGCAGGCTTCTGAAAAGGGTGAGCACCACTAGCCTCGTCGCCCAACAAGACACTGACCCATCGTCCAGTCACTCCCGACTCCCAGAAGTCCACCACCGACAAGATCGGTGAGAACGTCTCCGGTGCTGGTGACCGCATTGCCGGTGCCGTCCAGCCTGGTCAGTCCTTCCACTCCACCTCTTCCAACACACACTGACTTCATTGCAGAGGGCCAGAAGTCTACCGGCCAGAAGCTTGGCGATGCTACTCGCAGCGGCTCCGACGAAACCTCCAACCAGGGCGAGGGTGTCCTCAAGCAGGCTCAGGACGGTCTGAGCAACGCTGCTTCCTCCGTTCAGAACGCCCTCGGTGGCAACAAGCAGTAGAGAACCCTGCGGTAGCTCTGTTACGACTCAAACCTTCCATGTGGCTTTAAATGCCGGACGGACATCATTATACCCTACGATACGAATGAAATGAACATTTGAACTAGACACCTTGCTCTTTGTGACTGTGATTATGCATTGCGACGCTAGTGATGTTGATGATCGACTGTCAACTACTCAAGCTGGCTGCAGTGACCTGTACTCTGTCAGCTGGTGCCTAGTCCTGATCATTCTGTGTCACTCACCAGCGGACCTTGTTTGATCAGAAGGTCCTTGACAAGACGATCATGCATTGGAAACAACACCTCTCAAGCCGATTGTGCGCAGTGTAAAGGGTATCTTGCGTTTGATAGACAACCTACGGCTATCTCAACTGTCCTCATCCTCTACCTCTTCCATTTCGACGTGACGTAGCTTGTTCTCTGCAACTCTTGCCTCTGACTGTGCTCCCTGTATCTTCCCCTGTGCCTCGGCAGCCATCATGCTGTACTCTGCTTCTTCGATCGCAGCCTCTGCCGCTTTCTCAACTGCCTCACCCGTTGTTGTCTTCAAGAACTCGTCCAGTTCCGGATCAGCTTCAGGCTCAGGCTCAGGCTCAGGCTTCTCCTTGCCCATATACCCATCTTCTCGTAGCTTATCAAACTCTTCCGGCTCCAATAACCGCCCTTCGCCCTTCGCCAGCTTCATCTTCTGCGCCACCGCCGCAGGCATAAACTTCGTAGCTTCCTTGAGGAAATCGCGGACCTGCGGCGCCGCCTCGTAGACAATCTGTGCTTTCTTCGGCTCCGGCGCTTCTTCCTCGCCTTGTGTCCTCCGCTGGCGCTGTCGCGGTATCGGTGGGGGCGTATCGCGCGGCATAGGAATATTCGCTACGTCCGCATCCGTATCACTGCTATCATCCTCCTTCCTTTGCCCATCCCTCGTCCGCTTGCCCAGCACACCGGCTCCCCTCCCCCTTTCACCCTCTCGCCCATCCCGATCCCCAAAGGTGTCGTGTCTTCTCTCCGGCTTGAACTGCGGTGCCTTGTCGCCAAGCGCGGCGCGCGCCTTGTTGACTGCTGCGAGGTCCTTTTCTAGCTCTGCGAGGCGCTGGCGCTCATGTGGGCGCAGCGCGCCGCTCTGGTCGAGGTCTTTGAGCTGGTCGATGTCGCGCTGGATGCGTGCGGGGTTGCGGCGGGCAAGCTTCTCGTTGCGCTGGGCTTGGACAGTGGCTTTTTGTTTGCGCTGGGCTTTTTGCTTGTCTGCTTTCTTTTGCTCTTGCACGGGGTTGTAGTTCTTTTCCTTCGGCATGGTGACGGTTGATCTGACGATTTTTGAGGGTGTATGTCGAGGAACCGGGCTTGTGCAGTCCTCGAAATCGAGGATTCAAGAGTCTGGTATTTGGTTGGTGATGTGTGGATGAAACTCGTAGTTCGAAGGTCGAGATTGACGTAGTTCGAAAGTCTGTGCGCAAGCTGGAACGCGACCGCATCTTTCTGTCACTCCACCTTCCTTTCTTTGGACACACGCTCCTGTCACTGACCCTCCAGATGTTTGTTCCAAGAGCAGTCAGGCTCAAGGGCGTAAAAGAGAGTCAAAGGCCGAAGATATCGAAGCCACAGACGATACCACAATCACGCAAAGATGAGACTAACAGAAAAGATGCGCTCGTCGAAGCAATGGGCGAGACGAGTATGAACTCACCTGCACCACCACATGATACAGCTTCAGATGCAGCAGCTCCCACCCGTGGTCCTCGATTCACTACCAAGCCTGTCACACCGGAATACGTTGCTCAACTAGCTGCCGGCATTGAGTTGATCTTTACAGATTACGCACATCAGGAGGAGGAGCGTTCGAGATGGCTCAAGGATCGATATAGGGTTGTCGATGGCGAGAAAGACTGTAGGTGAACTCCTTGGAGGGATTCTCATCAAAGCTGACTTTGTGGTAGACATTCATCTCACAGCAATCCTAGAACATCCCAACATCTCGAAGCTGAAGCCAGAAGCTACCCAGTTTCTCCTCAAACAAGCCCTGCACGGCCATCCTTCCAACGTACTCGAGCTGTCGCAGAACGAATACTATGTCCGTCGCCGACCCTCTAGCAACCCTCTACCCTTCGTGCCCAAGAACTCGTTCAACATCGTGGATGACGACGGCCTCAGCTTCTGGGACCAACGTACCATCTACGTAGAACCACATCTACGCAACATGTGTCCAACGCCGGCAAGAGTAGCGCAATGGTTGACTGAGCACGGCCAGTTGAAGCCGAAGTGGCTGCCCGTACAAGCAGTGCACACGCTCTGGAACAGCTGCGCCTTTGTTGTTCTAAGCGGCAACGTGATGCAAGAGGGCACGTGGAGCAAATGGAGGGAAGCTGGAAAGCCGGACGACTGGAAGATCATGACCAAGGTGGAACATACAAAGCGCACTGCTGAGTACCTGGCACTACTCGAGAAAGAGGCTGTCAGAGCTATGCGCAGAAACAGGGAGGAGACAAGCCAGCTGCCACCCATAGCACGACCTGCAGCGCTTCCTATGGCGTTTAAGCCCTTGCCTAAGGACGCATCGATCAAGGTCGAAGGCAAGAAGAAGCGCAAAAGGCATAAGCCTTCGAAGTCCGGTGATTACGCTGGGCAAGGTAACGAGCAGGCTGAAGATTCAGTGAACCAGGAGACGGCGCATGAGCCAGACACAGGTATGGCCCATGCGCCACGGGAGGTACAGCGAGATGTTGCCCAATCGACAAAGAATAAAAAGAAACGCAAGAGGCGGAAGAGTAGCAAACCAGACAAGAATGTTGACGATGCTACTGATGCAGTAGCTCCAGCAGACGATGATGAGCCGAAGAAGAAGCGTTGTCGCTGACACAGGTTCATTGGCACATAAAGGCTACACATCAACCCACATGGCACTTGCTCGTGGATCGCAAAGGAGGCTCAGCCACACCTCAAAGCACTATCTATCGGATGTCTGCTGCCGTTGAGCCTCAGAGAGGCGTGCGCTAACCCCAGGCTTACCCCGCTTACTCGACAACGCTGACTTTCCAAAAGTTACCGAAGATCGCCGATAGAACTACTACCATAACGGTAACGCGTCAACAGCTTCAAAGCTAGTGGGCCGAGGAACTACGCGTTCGTAGGAGGGGATAGTTCTACCGCGGTCTCGCACAACATCAGCTCTTATAGACGTACACAGCATAGCAAGAAGTACATTCGAATAGCAAGCTCCACAGCTTCAATTGACCATCTTCCTTGCCAACTACTTCTAAAGTCTCTCCACACTTGTGAAGACCAGCGACAATTTGTGTGAAGATGACAACAATAGTCGACAGAACACCAGAAGGCATCGTCTACCGCGCCGCAAAAACCTACCCAGTCCCCAACCTCGACATCCTGACCCTACTCTTCGGTATAGCTCCCTTTTCCATTGAAAACACGCATCCACCCAACTTCCACGCTAACCGCTGTCAACGCGTCTCTATCAATTACGCCACTAACTCTCCCAGACTCCGAACACCCCCTAGCAAGAGAAGACACACCAATCCACATCTCCGCCGCCGACCCCTCGCTTATTTTAACTGTCGCTCGAGCACGAAAATTAACCCAAGCAACCTCAGCAGCCCTACGAAAACATTTCGGAATTGGAAAAAATGGACCAGGCAAAGACATATGCTCAGTGATCTCAACGGGGCACTACCTCCTCCCGGCGCTCTTCTACGGGATCATCGGCGCCGGCGGCGTGTTCAGCGCTGCCTCCGCTGCTTCCACTGCTAGCGAATTATCAAAACAGATTATCAGCGCGGGAAGTAAGATTTTGGTAACCTGCGATGCGACACGAGATGTAGCTGTCCGAGCGGCGGAGGAGGCGGGATGGGGACGGCACGGCGGTGGAAGAGTATTGCTGATGAGCGAGGGTGCGGAGTGGGCTTTGAAGGTCGTACAAGAGGACGGTCGATTACAGCCGAATTTGATTGATGAAGGGGAGAGGTTGGAGTGGGAGCGTGTTACGGATCCGAGAGTGCTGGAGAATAGTCTTGTGGTTCTGATATACAGCAGCGGGACGACGGGTCTGCCGAAGGGTAATCATTTCTCCCTCCCCTTCTCCAGCCTAATGTTTGTTGTACAACAGCTAACGTACGAAGGCGTCAAACTGTCCCATACCAACCTCGTCGCTGAAGCAGTCATTCCAGGCGACATGTTCAAATCATGGCTTTCCACTCGCAACACCCGCTCCCCGCCTTTCGAATACCGCACCATTGCGCACCTCCCCGTCGCCCACATCGCCGGCATCCAAGGCTACCTGATCAACCCGTTCTACATGGGCGGTCCCGTGTACTGGATGCCGCGGTTCGACTTCGCCCAATTCCTCACGTACAACGCAAAGTATCGCATCACATTCTTCTTTACCGTGCCCCCGATATACTTGCTGATCGCCAAGAGTCCCGCGGTAACAGACCAGTTCAAGACGGTAGAAATAGCAATCAGCGGCGCTGCACCCCTAGGAAAAGGCCTGCAGCACGCAGCATCCCAGAAACTCGGTGGGCCAGAATGTTTCATAAGCCAAACCTGGGGCCTCAGCGAAACAACAGGCAGCGCAACGATAATGCCAATGCACATGTCCGACGACACCGGCTCCGTGTCGCCGCTAATCCCCAACATGCTGGCGCGCATCGTTGATGACGACGGGCAGGACGTCGAGCCCGGGCAGCCCGGCGAAGTGCTGGTCAAAGGCCCGGTGGTGTGTAAGGGGTACTACCAGAACCCGGCCGCGAACGCGGAGGCGTTTACGGGCGCCTGGTTTCGCACAGGCGATATTGCGGAGTTCCGGAATGGTTTATTTTATATCGTGGATCGCAAGAAGGAGCTCATTAAGTACAAGGGGCTGCAAGTCGCACCTGCAGAACTCGAAACCTTGCTACTCAACCACAGTGACATTCTTGATGCGGCGGTGATCGGGATTGAGGCGGATGGGGGAACGAACGAGGTGCCGAGGGCGTATGTTGTTGCCGATAAGAGTAGGATTAGTGAAAAGCAGATTGTGGAGTATGTGAAGAGGAATGTTGCGGGGCATAAGCAGCTGAGGGGCGGTGTGATTTTTTTGGACACGATTCCGAAGAGTCCGAGTGGGAAGATTTTAAGGAAGGATTTGAGGTTGTTGGCGAAGAGGGAGCAGGGTGCGAAGTTATGAGTGGTGGAGTCTTGTACGATGAGGAGCTTCAGCTCGTCCTTCAGGTTATTGATACCGCCAGCTCAGCGAGTACTTTCTCAAGAAGGGCAGTTCTTTTGTTCTTGTGTGCTTTGGAGTGCGCCGCGGGGATCCTGCTCTTGCTTGCGACCCATCTAGGTAGTGATACCGCACGAGTATTAATATGAAGAGCTTGGCTTTGAGCAACTGCTTTGCTTACCAGCTGTGCGAAGACATATCCCACGTCACCTTTGAAGGCATTCCGCTCTATGGATGCGAGCTTGTCGTCAGACATGTTTGCTATGTATGCTGGACGAAGTTGTGGCTTATTGAGATTCGGGAGGCGAAACTTGCAATTTCAAGTTTGGAGGTATCTGTGGAGCTGAGAAAGAAGCGAGGTGGATGTGAAGCACGATACTCCATCGCGGTTCTCAAACATTCTATGTGCCATATCTCGTGCCTCAGGGTAGATTATAATCGTTTGTGAAATGTACGGACCCTCTTAAATTTTGGCACAGTAACTGTATGTACCACAGTATAGCATGCAGGCACATACAGTAGTGGTTAATTGTCCTGGTGCCCTAAACTAACCCACGCTATGCCCTGCATCCTGTCACCCAGACTGTTATCCATCCTATCAACCAGCCTTAGCTAGCCACTCGGAAGCTTTTGCCCACCTGTGGCATATGCTGGATGATATTGAGCCAAAATCCAGGGGGGGGGGGTCCGTACATTTTGCAAGGCACCGATATCGTTCGTTCATATTGTTTTATAATTGAGGAAAGACAACTCCATTCCTTATTGTACCCACTTGCGCTAGCAATTGTCTAAGAAGGTGGTTTCGATCTAGCGCACTTCCCAACCAGAGGCCACTGAACGCATACCTTTCATCCCATTACACGATTGACTTTCTAGACGTCTCCAGGGCTCTGTATGAGCTTTAACCCTTTTTCTTCGACTCCTCACCCAACTCGCCCACCTGTTTCTCTAGCACCTCAATCTCTTTATTCTTCTCCGCGATAGGGTCTGCCTCACTCGTCGCCGTCACCGCAAGACTTTGCACGATGCTCTCCATTTACTGCTTAGAAGACAGTACGACGCCTGGATATGATTTCTGAATATCGCAGTTCTGAATCCGTAATTAATATGCAATCCCCGAGGGTCGTGTTGATTAATGATACGTTGAGATTACCTAAAAGACACGAACCAGGTCTGCGATGTATTCGGGAGGAGAGGAGAGCCTTGGGATCTCTCTGATGAGTGGTCAGTACTTGGGCGCCTTTCCGGGCATTTTGTAAACCGCCTTCCACGACTAGCTCTCGCTCAAAGAGTGCCATCGACTTGCCATGAAACTCAGACTGCAACTCCACCAAGTGCACACCTGCTCTACCTTGTCTGCTTTTAGTACCAAAAAGCTCACTTCCTAAGCACATCCACAGCGCTTCTTATCCTCCCCTCTAACCCTCGCCTCTTCTTCTTCAGCGCCTCGATCTCCTTGTCCTTGACAGCATTAATTTCTAGTGTCTCCTTGTAGTCACCTCCATGCCCCACAGTGAGGACTTGTTGACATTGCTCTCTAGACAGGCCTCCAAAGGACGTATTAGCGGTTTCGGTCTGATTATGAGAATTGGTACTCGCTACTCATGTCTTGCCAGACTTGCGCGTCAAGCTTGTGGAATTATGACGTACTTGGAGATGCGGGCTAGCTTGGAGACATATTCAGGCTCGCTGGGATCGTTCTCGGAGTCGGGTTAGTGTGCTGTGTCTGATACAGTCAGGGGTTCTTTGGGTATCTCCAGGACATGGTTAAAGGCATTCGTGCCTACGTTGCTAGTGCTGGACATGTTGAGTGTGAGTGGCGCGAGAGTGTGATTGAGAAGGCATGTATGCTCGAGTTAGATTCCGAAAGTCTATATGTAGAATGGGCGAACACAGTCGCAAAACTTGGCTGACCCAATAGGCCTTTGAAAACCTCTAATGTAAACCCCTAAAGTTACACCGCTCTGATCATGATCTACAACCAGACCGATCTCTCCGTCAATGCAGTAGCTTCATCGCTGACATCCAATTTCTCGACGACCATATCGACCTTTCACTCCAACACAGCCGCCATAGCCTTCTTCAGCGTCTCAAGCCTGCCCTTCGCCTGCAAAACCTTCTCTGCATCCGTGATCCAGCTTATGACTGCGCTTGAGCAGCTCGATATCACGCTCCAGATCGTAGTAGGACTTCTCGTAGTACTCTTTGCTCTCTCCCTCAACTCTGAGCTCCTTCTTCGCTTCCTCAAGCTGGCAGGTTAAGTGTTTGTTCTCTTAGCGGAGATCATGAACTGCATCTTGGAGCCTCTCTACCTCCTTGCAGTTCGCTTTGGCCTCGCAAAAATCGTGGAGGGCTTGGGGGACGTTGGGAATGAGTAAGAAGTTTGGAATCTTGATGGCTCGTCGTTGGGTTGCGCAAGGATCTGTGAAGAGATGGGAACTGTATGGTCTCAGTCAGCACCATGCTAAGTTGAAGATGCGATGTGCGGACCTTGTCGGGACCAAGACCTAGTGAGGAGCTCTGGCGAATATTGGAAGGTTCGGAGGGAGGTGATGGGGATGAAGTCTTCGTGCAAGAAGGAAGTTCTTGTGGAAATCCCTGGCTAAGCGGGCTAATGCTGTGGAGGTGAAGATGAAGTTCAACATGCCATCCGGGTTCCCAGACGTTCTGCACATCGCTACAGTCCTCGAGCTCTGGCTCCGACTTGACCTTGCCCTTGCCTTCCTCTTTGATTATTCCACACCCATAGCTTAATACACAAAACGCGTTTGTTCTCTCTCCAACACCGCCATACTCTCACCACAACCGTCTCTCCACACACATCACAGTCACCATAGACCACAGCATGCACAACGCCATCACCCCCCCCCCCCCCCCGAAGCCGCCGGTCGGGCTACCTTACAGAGCCTCGCCTCGGTAAAGCAAAACCTCCAATCCTAGAACCGTACATTGACACAGCTGTCAGACTCTTCCAGACGACCTCGTCGACCTCGTCCCCTTCCTCCGCGTCATCCAGGTACACCAAAAGCCCATCACAATCGCTACAGGCCATGAGGCCTTCACTGATAAAGTGGTGTAGGGCTGGACGCCTGGCGCACCCATAACCACCGAAATGGTTGCCGAGGCGAAGGAAGCGATGCTCGACGGGGCTATGATGTTTCTACGTGTGCTTGAGGAGATGATCGAGAAGAAGAAGAATGAGAAGATTGAGGCGCTCAAAGGCAAAGGGTGAAGGAGCAGGAGCAGAACATGTAGGGAGATACGAGGTGGGTCGACATCTGAGATCCTTACCATGACAGCTTGAAGCTTGCGACAGGCGGAAAGGCTGAGGAGGAAGGAAGAATGGTGGAAAAGCATCCACCAAGCTTAGACACAATGAACACATCTTGTATCGTACATTTACGCTGCCTGTGTCATGGACAACTTCCCCTACCAAGCCCGCGGTCTCTCAACACTCCCACCCTTTCCAACACTGCCCCTCATACACCCCGAGTGTACCACACTTCCATCCGGCCATACTCGGATAGCGCTTCCACCAAAACGCTTGTGGCACACAGCACAGTGCCTCTCCTCATCGACCACCACCCTTCTATTCAACCCACCTGGCTTATGCGGATCCCGCTCATATTCCCCACCCAAATGTAACATCATTTCGACGCCGACCTTCTCCACACCGCGAAGGCGCGCAATGATGCGTTCCTCGTTCAACACGGAGTTGGCGGCGCGTATCCTTCCTCTGAAGTAAGATTCCAGGTCCTTGACAGGGAGCGTGGGCGGGACGAGATCCAGCGTCGTCGCAGCCGGTAGTCTCGCGCCGTGTTTCGACAACAGATCGAGCGCGGGAGGCCAGCTAGCGGCGTGCGGAGGCGGGGGCGTTAGGTAGAGAGAGAGCAAGATGTGGTAGATGGATGGTTCTTGGGTGTCGGGGACGCCTTTTTCGGATTGAGATTGCGGGTGTGGGGTTGTTACGGGTGTGCTGGCGGAGAGGAAGATGGTGTTGCAGTATCTGCTTGTGTTAGTTGCGTGTTTGCAAAGGTGGTGAGGGGAGCAAGGGATGGCTTACTCTTCGGCTTTTGCATAGTCCTTGAGCTGGAAAACGTAGATCTGGAGCGCTTGTTTGTGCTGGCCCATTTTGCTGAGTACGATGGCGCGGGACTCGAAGAAATCCGGATCTGGTCACAAATTAGCCCCCTCCCACCATGTTTTATGGGAATGCCGACTTACCATCAGGGCTCAACTGCTTGAACACGCGGTAATTGTTGTAATTCCCGCTCGTCCTCAAAAATGTCTGCAACCTCTCCCTCCACTTCACTTTCTCCTCCTCGCCCTCAAACGTCCCCGTCCTCAACCGCTCCAGAAACAGATCTACAAGCTTCTGATGGAAATCTGGCGTAAGATCGTTCAGCTCCTCAATGACGTGCTCCAGATACTTAACCGCAAGCTTAAGATCCAGTTTCTCCAAGAACTCAAGCACCCGCTCCCTCGGCAGCGTCTCCGCGTTCTCCGTATCCGCGAGAAACACATCCATACCCAGCCCCGGATCCGTGCGGAGCGGCCACTCCGCGAACTCAAGAATGAGATCGATCATCTCAGGCGGTAACTGCTGGAGATAGCCTACCGTGCGCTGGGGCCCTTGCAAAGCGGGCGCGACTTCCTCATCAGCCTCGTTCTTGCCGAACTTCTCGAGCAGTTCGAGCGCCTGCCGGTGCAGCTTCTTGCCGTGCAGGAAGTCGATGAGGTCGGCGTAGCGGCCTGTTTCGTAAAGCTTCTCCTGCACGACGTTGGGTTCGCAGAAGTTGGGGAGGCGGAAGAGGGAGCCTGCGAGTGTGGATTTGGTGAGCATGTAGGCGCGGAAGAGGGTTGTGTCGACGAGTTGGGCGACGTCCAGGAGTTTTGCTGTCCAGTCGATTGGGCCGGATGTGTCTTGGATGAAGTACTGGAAGGGGGGTTTGTACTCTTCCGGTTGGCTGTCGCTGGGTGCTGGGAGCGGCTCCTTGAGGTTGCCGTCGGTGTCGATGTAACGCTTGATCTGGACGCGGCATTGGGCGAGGTATGACTGCAGTGCTCGGACGGCGTTGCTGAAGTCGAGCTGCTTATCAGACTGAGTTGTCTCGGTGACTTTCTTGGGAGGCCTGATGCTCGCTGTTTCTGCTGCATCGTCCCGGACAGAAGAGCGGATAGACGCTGTGTCTGAGTCGACCTTCTTGTGCCCGCCGACCAGCCTACCCATCATCGATCGTCCGATGGTAGTGGCGGGGTTGAACGTGCTTTCCCTGCTGATCTTCTTAGTCTCTTCGCCCTCCTCGGCTTGCTTTTCGCTCTCAAGCTCCTCCTCGTCTGCTACGCTGCCATCACCCCTGACGCTCTCCTCATGAGAAAGGTCACCAGCGACGGCTCGCGGATACAGCGCTATGACGCGCTCCGGCGGTGCCTTGGCATCGATGAACAGGTCCATAGCATCATGCCACTTCTTGTCGTGAAACAGAGCCTCGGCCTTGAGCATCTTGATCTCGCGGACCCGACCCTCCTTGTCCTGCAGGAGCGTGTCTTCCAGCATGTCGAGCAGACTCAAGGCTTCATCGTAACGGGCGGATGCCGTCAGCTGGTCGATCTGCGTCTCGTAGCTCTGCGCACCCATGCGCCATATGCACCGATCGCTCGCGACCAGGAAGCCCTTGCCCGCATGCGCCAAGCTGATGTTGGGCTGTGGCACGTGTAGAAAGGTAGCGTTCGGCAACGAGATGTTCTGGAGCAGATTCAGCGTGTCCGGGTTCCTGATCTCCAGGCTGCCCTTGGACGGTGCCTGCAGCGCCAGCATGTACGGATACGAGTAGGCCAGCATCTCCGGGGCGAACGGCCATGGCACCTGGCGCTTATCGATAGCGTTGCCGTCGGTATCGATGAACAAGCTGTTGACATCCTTGGCCAAAAGCATCTGGCCCTCCCCAAGCCGCGTCGCAAGCGGCTTCGGCACCCAGCTGCCCATGCCCATGTAGCCCATGCCCGACGACGAGACAGCGCCGAAGCGAGCGCCGCTCTGGCCGCCAGCGTCGCCCATTGCGCCTGGCTTGACGATGTCCTGCACCTCCAGGCTCTCCATGTCCACCATGACGAAACCGGGGTCCATGCCCGCAACGAGCTTCGTGCCCGTCGCCCAGGTGAGGCTCTTGACCGAGGCGATGAGCGAGATCTCGGTGGCGTCGCCGCTGAGCTCCATGTCCTGCCATGTCCACAGGATCATCTTGCGCTTGACCGCGACCGCCAGTCTGCTCACGATCGACGGGATGCCGGTGGTGGGGTCCTTGACGATGTTGCTGGCGGCGGCGAAGGTGGTGGCGCCGCGCGTCTTCTCGAGCTTCTCCTGCAGCTGGTACGTCTGCAGGTCGTGGATGGAGACATAGTTGTCCGACAGCGAGATGAGGATGTTGGTCTCCTTGAGGAAGCCGAGCTGCTGGATCGGGCGGCGCGAGAACTTCTCTTCTTCGCGCAGGAGGTCCGCGGGCTTCGCTTTCGCTGGCGTGCGTGGGCGGTCGCCGTTGGTGTCGCCGTTGGTGTCGCCGTTTGCAGCGCCAGCAGCGCCGGCAGTGCCTGCGGTGCCGTTCTGGGAGGGCGCGGGCTCAGTCTCCTCGTTAACGCGGTATATACGCAGACTCCCCGTGTTCAGCCCGACAAGCACGCGGTCACCTACACACCATCATCATCAGCAATCAGCATCATCCCCGCAAGCTGTACGAAGCTTCCTACCGTACGCAAGGATGGACTCGATCTTGGACTTGTCGCGCTGCTTTAGCTCGACGATCGGCCGGGCGCTGAAAGCGGAGAGCATGTTGGGCGGTGAGTGGCGCGCTGATCATGTGAAGGGGAGCATGTCGTTGTGTGCACCCCGTTGTGCGCCTGTCAAGCTCATGGGCCTGTTGCTGGGGCTTGGTGGAGGCCGGAGCGTGCATCGTCATTCCCGCCTGCACGGGTCCAAGCTTTCCGCGTGCGGCACGTAGGCGTCCTTCCAGATGTGACCGCAGAGTCACCCATCACGTCACAATGAAGTGCAGAAGACGGACGGTAACGAGAGTGTATTGTAAAGAGCGGACGTGGGAACATACATGAGGGGGTATTGTGATTGGCTACGAACAGTCCTCAGCGGACACCAGACCGTCTCCCTCGCTTTTCTTCCACCATGGTGTGTGCAAAGAACGCCGGGAGGATCCAGGAACAATCTGGCGCCACACCGCTCCATCGCCCACCGTCCATACAGGTCGGGCAAAAGCCACAAATCAACTCAAGCGGCGGCGCAAGCGCACGCAAAACCAACCCCACGTCCGAGGGACGGGGACTGCTTTTACTCGTAAACAAAACCAGCCGTACAAACAAACACAAAAATGTCGACTTTCAACAACATCTACCCTCCACGCCCCAGCACCCCTCGCAAAGTGTGGGAAGTGGAAAGGGTAGGAGGAAAGACATCACGCTCGTTACCAGTCAGCACGCCAACTCCATTTCCCGCCAAAACAACAGCCACAGCGGGTCTTGCGATACAACCAAAGGGCCGGTGGTATGAGAAATGGACCGAGTCGAAAAGGTCGAGGAGGCGGCGAATGAGCGATCATATCCACATATTGCCGGCTCGTGCACAGCACTAACCTGCGTCTCTACACTGCAGCCTTGACCAGGCGCGCGCGAGGGGCCGGGTCCAACGGGCAAGCCACGGGAGGAGCGGGCGCATCGGGCGCGCGAAGAAGCGAAATGCAGAGTTCCAGGTGCGTGCTGGAGAGGAGCGGGCGTAAGGGACCTCGGGGACAGACTGACCGAAGAGAGATACAACGCATGCGTCGCAAGCACTCCGACACAACTCTCCTTGCGATGAGGAAAAGGAGAGGGGGAGTGTGGTCGCATAACTCCGGATCTACTCCTGCAGAGAAAGACATGGGATCTCGTGCGTACATGTGAGACGATGGAATTGACATGCGTTCTGAGCAAGGGATACAGGAGGGGTCTCTCAACGCTCGCAGAAGCAGAGCATTAACAGCGCAGAATAAACCAAAATACAAATCGGGGTGTTGATAGGAAAATGTAAAACACCAATTCACACAACGCGGAGGAGAGCAAAGCTCATTCAATCCGCGCGTCTCCGCGCCAGAGAGCGTATTCGCATCATCTGCCACATCATCGAAATCGTGAAATGAAACTTCAGGGGACCAAGAATGGTCTGAGCAATTACGGCTGCAGTCGCACTGTCAAGTGGCAACCCGGCCGTCTGGTAGAGACTCAGAAGCAGAAGCGGCGGTCAGTGGTAGACAGTTGGGTTGTCGACAATGGAATACTGGACGGGTTTAGTGCCGGTCGGAGAAGGGATTGTGCTTCTCGTCGAGGGGCGAAGGGTCGGCAAGGTGGCCGTGGCTGCTCATGCGTACGTGGCCGGGACGAGCTGAGTCGGTGACGGCGCGCGCACCTACTTGCCCGATCTTCTCTGTCTCGGGTTCGACAGTTTGGAAGGGTCGGGGAGTAATTGTCCAGGGTGCGGCTTTGTTGACTTGGTAGTCGTTGGCGACGTACTGCGGCGGAGCGGAATCAGCGTGGTGAACAGGGGCTTTGGATTGGTGATCGATGGATGGGTCGGTGTAGTAGGCGGTTCCTGTCTCGGGATCGCGGCAGACGAGATGAGTCGATGCGTATACGAGGCCGCCGATGGCGATGAAAAGCCAGATGAGTACAAGTGCGACGGAGATGAGCGCTTCGGTCTGGATGCCGCTCAGGAGCTTCTCGATGACGTGGTCGACTGCTTCGGTGATCTCATCCTTCGCCTTGCCGTTGGGGTCGGACAGCAGTTCGGCAGCAGAGTCAGAGCCGCTGACCTGAGCAGCGGCACCAAGAGAGAGAGTGTCGTTCGACACGCCGGGAAAGTTGACGTGAGCGTGCTCTTGGACCCAGGTCAGGCCGTTTTGGAAAGAAGCGATCTTCAGGCCGATCAGGCAGTTCAGGACGTCCTTGATGGGATCGTAGAGAACGGTGCCGCCGAACGTCGAGTTGAGGGTCTTGCTCATTTCGTCCACGAAAACGTTCAGGGTGTTGTTGACAGCGGTGGTGCTGGTGTTGACCCAGCCCAAAATGTCGTTGTTGATCTCGTCGTCCAGCTTGGCGACGGCGTCGTTGACGCCCTCGGACCAAGACATGGAGGCGTTGTTGAGAGAAGCAACAACCTTGCCGGCAAAGTCAGCGACCTGGTTCGTGAGCTCAGGAGTCTTGTCTTGAATAGCCTTCAACAAGAGGTATTGACAGAAGCAGGCGAAGAGACCCGCGATACCCAGAGACAGGAGAAAGAGCATGGGAACGGAGGTGGCGTAAGCCCAGGCCCAGCGAACAATTGCTTGACGACGAGCTGAGCCAAAGCGCCTGCCGAACCACAAGCCGAAACCGGAAGAGGTAGGGCGTGAAGCCAGGTAGACAACGTCCATGCCTTCGTGGCCTTCCGCAAAGAGTGCAGCACGTTCTTGCATCCTGCGGTATCGACGGGCTTCCATCCACGCCATGGGGACGCAGACAAGGATGGCGAGGACAATCAGTACGCCAAGAGCGATTTTGCGCGCATTGTAGGCCATCGTGATGAGATCGTCGAAGAAGTCATTGATGGAATTGCCCTCGGAGCAGAAGTTAAGCGTGTCTTTTTGTGGGACAGGAAGCACATCGCGGTCGAACGTGAAGTTGTTCATGGCCTGAATCAGCTTCTTGACCTCTTCGAAGGGGGTACGAATGATGTTGTCGGTGAAGTTCTGCACCTCCTCGAATGTCGGGATTGAGTTGTTCAGCTCTTGGAGGCCTTGCTGGAGTTCGGGTGGTACTTGGAGTCCCTTCAGCTTGGAGATCTGCTCGTCAAGGTTGATCTCCGGCTTGTCGAAGCCGGGAATGTTGAAGTTGATCTTGTCAAGAACGGAGTTGATACCGTCGGTGACAGTCTTGACTGCGTTGCCCATGTCGTCGGTGACCTCATCGATGGTTTGATTGAGGGTTTTGCTGATTTCGGTGCCGATTTCCACAGCAGCGTGAAGGCTGCCGCGAACAGCCAGGGTGATCAGGCAGAGGTAAGTGCTTGTCATCATGTGAATAACGAAGAGAACGATCTCCTCGATACCAGTGACGCTCATCTCCAACATGGCCATGAGGCCACTGACTGCCTTCTCAACCCCAGAAGCGGTCATCTCGTTGACGCCCTTCGCCATGTAGTGAGGCATGGAAGCCATGGAGCTACCAATATTCTCGACTTGGGTGCAAGCACTAAGGGCTTCGCGGCGTGCGGAAGCAAGGCTTGAGTCGGTGCTTGCGATGGCGATAAGCAGACGAACGAGCACTAGAAGGAGGAGAATCGTCCAGCGGTTGATCCATATTTGCGAGAGCCTAGCTCGAAGGCCAAGGTATGGTTTGAAGTTTGGTGTTTGGTTCATTGGGGGTCGTGGTGCATTTTGCGGGGCGTAGTAGTCTCGCATCTCATGATCGCCAGCGGACATAGATGGAGGCACAGCCGGGAAGGATTGCTGTTGGTTCGCTGAGGAAGCCATGACAGAGGTGGATGGTTGTGAAACGGGGTCTGAAAGGTGTATTAGGGTCGAGCGTCTTCAAGTTCGTTGTATAATCGTAAAGGCGTTGTCGAGAGTATAGTCCAGCTATAACGTGTATCTGCCAGAGATAGGCTGCAACGGAAGAAAGGTATTATGCGCTTAAGAAGGAAAAAGACAATAGAAACAATAGGAAATCCAACGCTCCGCACAATGCAGGAAAGATTCTGGAAGAGGATGCGAGGTGAAGGTGAGTACAAGTGTGAGTGGAGATAGCGTGAATATCAATCTTCACAATGCGGTATGGAAGCGAGCTACGTACCGCGAGAGAGCGAGGATCAGCTGCAGGCGACCCACATGGTACCAATGGTACCGCATGGAATGGCCTGCCCGACCTCTCCGTTTCAGAGCGCATCCAGCTCAGTGAGGCTCAAGTTAGACCAGGTGGATCCAGGAAGTGGTGGTGGCCCAAATACGCGCCCTTGGAGGTGGAGCAAGCCACTGCCGACCAGTCATTTGCTTGTCAGACTGTCGGTCTGGGGAAGACCCAAACAACGCGCTAGAACGATATTGCGCGGCTGTTATTTTTGAGCCTCTTTGTCCTCGGGTGGTTGTCGAAATTTGTCTGAGCGGGCGTTCTTTGTTCCACGACTTGCGCTCATTGGCGGCCTGCGAAGTCGTACGGGCGCGAGAGAGTCAGATCTTGCGACCTGCGCAATCTCGTGACGTACAGCCCGTCGCAGGCGGAGTCGTTGTCGAGCGCAAGGGAACACGACCTCCGAGCGTCAGTCGTCAGCAGAGGAGGTGCCCGAAGTCTGAAAGATGCAGGCACGGCATGTTTTGTAGGCTCTCGCCGCACGGCCGCGTCAAAGGCGTAGTGGCGCCGTTATCCCGGTTTTATGCAGGCTAGGCCAGACGTCATCTCGCACGTGGAATGTTGTTTTCTCTCAATGTCTCTTCGCATATTCAACATCCAGCTTCACAGTCGCTGCAATGAGATTCGCAGTCGCAATATCTCCCTTGCGCGAATTGCGGCCTGACAGCGCTTGCGGTGTGTTTTCGTGAACACATCAACAGGCGGTGGTGATCAACAGGTGGCTGAGGCGTAGCGCCCGTTGTGGGGAGGGCAGCCCGCGGTCGATCGCTCCTGTCCAATCGCCGCCCTGGCGGTTGGGGAGATCTCAAACGCGGTGCTGTTCGCATCCCAACCTCTTCACCATTATCGTCAAGATTCTGCGCATGTGCCACGAGATGCCTTCAACATTTGCCTCGCTCCAGCTCGCAGCTCACATGATCGTGGATCACGTGTAGGCATTCATCGTGGCATTACATACGGAACACGGAACTTCGACGAACCGCTTCTTCTTCACTTTCACCTCGCGTGCCGTCCACCAGCAATTTCGATTTCGACGAAGTCTGATCGAACACATTGATGGTCTCTTGGAATCGTATACTCCGCGAGTTGGGATGAAATTGTGTGCCTGGAGAGATCTGTAGCTCGGAAAAGAGTTATAGGCTCGTAAGATGAAGAGGCAGTGATGAGGTTTGCACATCTTCCATCTTTTTGACTATCCTTCAAGAAGTCGAGTGGTTATTCGTGTCTGTCGGTGATCCATTTCGTCCTTTCCAGTATGAGATCGAGCTTCAACAGGTCCGCCTGCTTCCACAGAGCTGTAGCTTCCTATCTCGTGAGGAAGCTCAACAAACATTTCATCATGGCTCGTGATCTCCCTTCTCACCCCATCTCTACCTCCCTCCGCCGCTATTGCATTGCATCTCCCTTTATTCATCTTTGTTCTTCTTCGTCGTGTCGGCGCTGGACGCTGCTTGGTCTCTGTTGTGGGCGCTGCTGGCGCAGGTGTTGTATGCAAAGTGGCAGAGAACACTCTTTCTGGCGCCAAGCGGGTCCTTGGAGCCGGCTTGAGGCCTTTGGAGGCTCACGATAGGCTTCACTTTCACTGATTGCCTCGCTCCGCAGTCGCTTAAAAACTTTTCGTCCGCTCATTCCACAGTCAACACCAAGAAACAGTCACGGACTACCACAACGCACTTCGCTTTTTCTCGCGCAATCGCCCGCCGTCAGGCCTATTTGTTGTTCTCCGCGCACACGCTCTCGCCCTTTCATCGTTCCAGCGCTTTCGTATCGCAACCCAAAAGTTTTGGACTTACCTGGACCACATAGACACGCATAGATCGAACAGACCGCGTGATCAACCCAGCAACGCACTACCGAAGTCTTTTATCCCCACGTTGTATCGTCACCGCTTCTTCATCAAGCATGCCTCTCACCTTGGTCTTCGGCTAGCTCTAAGGCATCAGTCGAGAGGTATATAAAAGCGATCCTAATGTGAGCATCATTCCTCCACCAAATACTTCCTAACCCCAGGCAAGCGATACAGACTTTAGTATTGACTACATCCCAACGATGACCTTCGGCGCAGCAATATAACTGTCCGATTGCACTACCTAAGCACCTCATCTCTCCATTCCACTTTCATATTGTAAGCATGGCTCGACAGGTGTTGATACGCGGTACTCTAACGTGGTTAGTAGCCTCAACTATAGACTTCGAACCTCCGCATTAGACACCGCCCATTCAAGGAACCGCCTTCGTATTGGACAAGGGCTCCGCAAGTCGGAGTGCCACACATCAAGGTACGTGGCTGGTCCTGCGTTTGACGTGTGCTTGAGGCAGCCATTGCAGTGCCGAGGCGGTGAAAACATGTCCTCAGCGCTCATTAGTCTCCACGTGCTAACGTGACTCCCAGAGTCTTTACCAGACACTCTCACTTCTCTTCCATACGAAGCCACTAACAGTGCAAGTCGGTACCGTACAGGCAGCAATCACGCAAACCTATTGGCAGCGCGTACTACGTTGATCACCGCACTCATCACAAATACGCAGACACATCTTCCTGTCGCGTCTTCTCGATAGCAGGTCTCGAGTCTCCAGCTGTACTTCCCTTTAATTCGCAGGCGCAAGCTACCGGATCACCGAAACCGTACAATGGCCGAATTCATTGCGAATGTCGGCAGCAAGCTTGCCAGTGGCATGAATGGTGTCACAACTCACCTCAAAGCCAATGTCGCTCCCTCCCCACCTTCTGGCAACAGCAGCGACACTCTGCATGACAACGGGAGCTTTGACGATGATCGCAAGTGCTCCAACATCAGCCCGCTCAGCACTGCCACACTCAACTTCGAGGACTTGAAGATTCACGATGACGGCTTGTCGTACACTCACAAAGACTCCGATGGATTCGCCGGCCCTTTCCAAGGCAACTTCCAGCGTCATCACATTCCTACTCCCGCCTATAGTCCTCCCGTTCAGCAATTTCGCCGCAACAATCATCATTTCGGCCCCGGTAACGGCTTCACACGTGGAGGCGGCAATTTCCGCAACACTCGCACATGGGTGTCGGAAGAAACACGTGCTGCCCAGGAGTTTCTTGTCGTCCGAAACTCAATGAAACGCTTGTTCAAGAACGCTGATGTCGCAAAGTGGAAGGTGGCGGATTACATCGCGCATCGCGAGGCTGTGATGGCGTCCAAGGCCAAGAAGCTTGCAGAGCAGGCTCAAGACAGAGAAGCCGAGATCATTTTGCGCGTTCCACCTATCTCCCCACAACAGCAAGACATGATGCGACGTTGCGGTCTCTCTGGCAACTTCGATCAGGTCGGCAACTACGGCCGAGCTCTTGGTGAGAAGACTATCTGGTGCGACGACTGGCAGAACGGCAAAGACGAGATCGCGCCATGGCCATGCTTGGCAGAGATGAAGTGGGAGGGCGATGATCGCGCAAAGACTGGCGTTGGACGCTACCCACCTCTACCTCGCGAGCAAGGTCCAGTTGGTCTACCGTGGAATCAGCTCCAGGCCGTCGAGCAGTACCCTCTCGACCAGATCGCTCGCGTCCCCACCATGGAAGACGTCTACCTTCCTGTCGACGAGATCAACGAAGAGGTCAAGTACGGTCTCCTCAACAAGGATCTCGAGGACGCCATGGATGCTTACCTCGAGTCCTGAGAGGGCTTCATTTGCGAAAACACTCGTCCTTATCCGTTTTCCTTTCACGACGTGCCTTGAAGGCTTTCAACGCATCACCCCTTCACAGGTAACTCGAGTTCGCAACGATTTGGCTCGCCGTTCAGCATCCAATGTGACCACCTACCAACCGTAGAAAATTACTGTCACCGACAAACACTCACCAGATCTGAGCGATCTACCTGTCCAAGTATCAAGGGAGGATTGAGCTGTATCCCTTGCTTTTTGTGAGCTTCCTCCACTCGGGTGTTCGGTTCTCTGTTACATTTCCCTTTTCTCATGTCTTCCACTACGCATTGACATTCGATATCCTTTCACGACGGACATTGCTGCGCAATGACAGAGCACGAGTCGACCGTATTGCCCGGATGCAGTACAACGTCTCGACTCGCACGACTTACTCGAACGGCTTCACAATGATTTTGCTCCCTTTTGGGCCTTTGATACCCATGCACAGCAAGTCGGCGTTTTGGTTTTGGACGTTTTTTTTGCCATCATGGTGGGAATGACAATCCCGCAAAGTCAAGCTCATGCGTTCTCTCTACTGGCTCAAGCACGCACTGAATTGTCTTGAGCTACCCCGTCCATTTGGAATGGCCGGTCTTTTGCTTCGACCTTGCACGGTGGCACCTGAAACTCTTTTGACGATATTGACCCCCTCACTCCCCCTACTCTTAGTTAAGTATGCGAAAGGAATAGAAAAGTGCTGCCAGTCTCTCAGTCCCCATGCAGTACTCTCATATAAGTGCACTGACCAATGCCTTTCGCGTCGTGTTGGACCCAAGGCACTGGGATCGATGAGGCACAGTGTCGGGTAATCGGCATCCCGTATCAGGCAACCAACTACAAATCGGACCTTGATATCACCGCTTGCTGGTTGGTTACGGAGCCACCGAAATCCAATGCACTGCTCGAAGGCCATCCGAAGGGTGTCCTGAACGCGCCATTGGCAGGAATAGAAGGAACTCAAGTCTACATTCAAGTGGCAGCAGGCATCCGACTTGGTAATTAAGTATTATGAGTAAGAGATCACGCCTTTGGTTGTCGTTGCTTTAACGCCTGTGTAACTTAACACCGCTGTCCCCAACACGTCATGTCAACCACCACCTCCATTGCTTCCACAAACACCGCGAGACTAATTAAGCGAGATCGTATTATACTCAACCGAAATACGGTAGGGCACAGGTCCAAGGACACGAACATAATGGCCCGACTTCTGCCGCTTATGCGTCGTTTGCGCCCATGGTAAGGGTACAAAAACGGTTGCCTGATGACCGTTGTGGTACTCAAAAGCAGCAAGGCTAAGCATCAGCACTAACTACCACTTCAGACCCAGTTTCTTTCTCCTGAACTTGATCGTAGTCTCTGAGTACCTCCATGCTGTAAGACGTTGCGCTGTCTTGCCCTCTTTCTTTCAGGTCTATCTCGTGTTCAGCGCGCTCGGAAATGGCTATCTTCACACTCACCAATTTCGCTATATCTCTTCTCAGCCTCTATGTCGCGCGGAGATTGTATTGGGAGATGACAACTGGTTCACGCATCCGCGCCTTCGCCAAACAACATGGCTGTCTTCCCGCGAAGGAGCGTCAGACGCCTTTCACCCTTGGCGCAGCATTCTGGTGGGGCCAGGTCAAGGCGATCAAGGAGCACCGCCTCTTGCCATATATGGCGGGTCAATTCAAAGAGGTGGATGGACATACGCGACACCACTATGTCCTGGGCACGGACTTCTTCACTACGGATGACCCTGAGAACATTAAGGCGGTGCTGGCGACGGATTTTAGTAAGTGGAGCTTGGGTCAGGAGAGGATTCAGGAGATGAGTTCTTATTTGGGGTATGGGATTTTTGTCAATGAGGGAAAGGCGTGGAAACATTCGAGAGAGATGCTTAGGCCGTGCTTTGAGCGGAGTCAGGTCGCGGACGTAAATATGTTGGAGAGACATACGCAGAGGCTTTTCGATCTGGTGCCAAAGGACGGGACGACGGTGGATTTGCAGCCGTTGCTGCATGATCTGAGTATGGATGTGGCGACGGAGCTGCTGTTTGGTAAGAGCACGAACGCATTGAGTCGAAATGAAGACGATCATGAAGTCAGAGACTTCTGTGATGCGTTCGACTACGCATCCAACCCTTTCGAGCGCGAAGCCTTTAAGAAATGGGGAGCAATCACACTCTTCCTACCCGACCGACTGAATGCTGCAAAAAAGAATCACGTCAGAGTCATGCAAGGTACCCTCTCCACCACGCCACATCCCCATCACCAGCATCAACTGACAGCAACCAGCCTTTGTAGATCACATCATCGACGCCCATCTCACACAATTGAAAAGTTCCCCAGATGAGAAGAGGTACAATTTCATATCAGCACTCTTCGAATCCACCGACAATCGTACCACCATCCGCAGCGAACTCCTCAACATCCTGCTCGCGGGCCGCGACACTGTGGCTTCCCTGTTGTCCAATATCATATGGGAACTCCCGCGGCACGCGCACATCCTCTCCAAACTCCGTTCCGAGATCGAGGAGACAGTTGGCGACGCAACACCGACGTATGAGCAGCTAAAGGATATGAAATTTCTCCGCGCAGTCGTGAATGAGAGCCAGAGATTGTATCCCATCGTGCCCGTCAACTCGCGGGAGGCATTGCAAGATACTGTATTGCCGCGCGGCAGCGGCGAGGACGAGAAGAGTCCAGTACTCGTGCCGAAGGGGAGTTATGTCGCGTGGAATATGTACAGTATGCAGCGAAGAGAGGATCTTTTTGGGCAGGATGCGGAGATGTTTAGGCCGGAGAGGTGGCTGGAGCCGGGGTTTAGGCCTGGATGGGCATATGTACCCTTCTCTGGCGGGCCGAGAGTGTGTATTGGACAGGTGAGTATATCGTATACGGATTTGAGTGTGGTTGCTGACGTTTGGATGTAGAACTTCGCGCTAACGGAGACTATGTATGTTGTTGTGAGACTGGTGCAGGGGTTTGAGATTGAGAGGAAGGACTTTGAAGAGTGGAGGGAGAAGTTTAGTATTACTTGTACGGGGCTGGGTGGGTGTAAGGTCGGTCTAACAGCTCGGGTTTCGTAACATGAACGACTAGGGACGGCTTTGTTGTGTATATATCTGACCTCTCCTCAACCCGTTGCTATCCACAAGCGTTTACCCATCCGCCTTCAATTGCGCAACCCGAGCTGCCCGACGCAAACCACTCCCGGGTTGTACGTGCCCTTTGAACATGCCTTCTCTGTCACTTTCGATACCCATCCTGGCTTTTTCGAATGCAACTTCCACTTTCTCGATCCCTTCGTTCGAGCCCCACATCCCCAGCGCCCGCTCAAACGCACCAGCGGCGAAAAGGTATTCACCGAGAGAGGTATGTACGACGCCTAACGCGTACCACGTCTGCGCCCTCTCGCCCTCGGTAAACCAGGTTTGTTTGTTTGGCGGAATCAGCTCAACCGGCAAACTCAGATACCAAGGATTTTCGGCTGGAGAAGGGGAGTCTGTCGCCAGACTCAGCGCCTTGGAAATACTCTTCTCCGCAAGCAACAAATCCCTCGCCGCTTCTTTCCTCTTCCGCGCTTCCAAATTAGTATCGCCGAGCCAGTCTTTATGGCTATCCAAAGCCCTATGCTGCAGCGTCAACGCAATACCCAACCCCAACTCGACGCGCCAGCGCAGCCGCTGGATGGCCTTGAAATTTTCCTCCGCGTGTGTGGGGCCGTGGATCGCCTCGGCGGAGGTCAGGAAGCCGTAGGTGAGTGCTATGATGACGGATTGTGCGTACTCGACACTCAAGGCGTAGTCCGCAACACCGTTCTCAGTCGTGATTCTTGCGACATCGCTCAGGTCTGCAAGCTCGGTGATAGTGTCGAGCCAGCGCTGTGTCTCGAACGCCTTGATCGTCATGCTCGCGCTGAGGCCGGTTGTGTAGTGCGGCAGCGTGTGGGAGGGCGAGATCGTTACGGCAGAGAGGGATTTGAGCACGCGGAACGGCTCGAGGAGATCGCCTTGCAGGCGGGAGGTGGGGAAGGAGTAACTGTTCAGCACGGAGAGGTGGAGGGATCGTGTGATGCCCCAGGTCTTCGTCGTTTCGCCGGCTGAGCGGAGGAAGTTGATAAGGCGGGGGAGGTATTGCGCTGGGAACATGACTACCGCTCGTTTCCTCTCGCTTCCTTTTTCCACGAGCGAGATGTCGAGTGCGTGGAGCGTGCTGATTTCGAGCGCCGAGGGGGAGGATGCAGCGAAGAGGAGTCCGGAGTCTACAAGCATTGTTTTCGCGTGGCGCGCATCGGAAGTGAGGATGCTGAGGCGCACGAAGAGGTTCGAGGGGTAGAAGAAGTGCAGGGCTTCGGCGCTGATGAGCTTGTTCACCCGGAACAAGCTCGTTTCTACGGGGAAGGGGGGTCGCGAGGCTTTGAATTTCAAAAGTCCGGTGGCACTGTCGAGAGTGTGGGTGTAGGACACATTGGGTAGACCGGTGTTGACGAGCTCGGTGTCAAGGGCATACTTGTAGATCGTGTTGCGGACTGAAGGTGGGAGGGATGTGAGGCCAATCTTCTTCTGGGGTTGCGAGGCGTCAAGACGAGGGCTGGAGGGCTTGGTAGAGAGTGGTGTTTCGGCACTGGCCTCCATTGAGTCTCTCTTTCGCAACGTGGAAGCCATGGTAGAGCTTGTTCACGACTGAGTAGGGTCAGCAATAGCTCCTAGCGGCTGGTTTGAAAGCAATCATACCTAGGATCTCGTTTTGTGGTGTTGTTCAAAGACACAGCTGCCCCTGGGCTGATTTCAAGATGTTATGGCGTACCAAGGGCGTGAATTGGGTCAATTGAAGAGCTGCAGGTCAGTCCGAAAGAGTAATGTCCCGTACACAAACACATGTAAGCTACCTTCGCGGGTTTTATAGCTCCCCATTGCGGGGGATGCGTGTATGCTGGGGATGCATGCATGGAGTGCGGGGAGAACAAGGATGATGTGGGGGGACGGCAACACCGGATCCGCAAAGCCGACTTTGGGTCTTGAAGCTGTAAGTACATGCGCTGTCTTGAACAAGTTGTGTTCGTGTACATTATTCGTGTCTACTGCATGCAGGGAAAGTCTTGATAGTCGTTAAGTTCTCCAATCGGTCATAGCGTCATGTCCGCGGGGCGGATTCACCCTTATTTCACCTTTTACTCCGCATGAGCCGTGAAAGCCTTCAGCTTCTTTGTTGCTGAGAACTTCAACTCAGTACCCTGGCCGATGAAAAAGATATAGCCTGCGCTCAGCTTGTGCTCCTTGCCATCTGCCTCCAGCGTACCTTCGCCCTCGCTCACGATCATAATGCTGGGCCCTCCGATCGCACGGATTATGTCGTTCTCGCCATCGTTCAAAGTAGTCATCAGCATGTTGAACTCGCTCATTGGTGGCGCGTAGATCTGCGTCTTGCCGTTCTTGCTGCCGTCGAACTTGCGCGGCTTCAGGATCGCCTCGCTCGTGTCGTGGGGGTTGAATGTCAGGCAACCAACGAAGGTATCGACGTTGTTGCGGTCCGCGCGCGGGCAGAAGCCGGTGTTGAGGACGTTGTCTGATCGCGCCATGCACTCGATGATGTCTCCGGACAAGTAAGCATGAATACCGTCGGCGGGAATGTAGATGCTGTCGCCCTCGTTGAGCTGCAGGTAGTTCATCGTGATCAGCGCGACAAGAGTGCCGTTATCCTCCACATCGTACTGCTCCGAAAGACGGGGGATGAGCTCAGGAATGTATGTCTCCCTGCCAAATCTCTCTTTGGGCAGCTTCAAAAGGGCTTCGTTTGTCTTGCGCACATCGTCTTCGGATGCCTTGAGCAAAGTCTTAACAACATGCTTGAGCGCCTGGTCGTCGAAGTCGGCCTTCTTGATCTCTGGGAGGAACTTCTGGAGAGGCTCAAGTTCCATCAGCTGCTGGATGTCCTTGAGTGGCTTGAAGCCAACGAACGCCTCGAAAGGCCCGAGGGCTAGAGCGATCTCAGGCTTGTGGTTTGCGTCAGTGAACTGTTCAGGATCTTTTGCATGGAGCTTTGCGGCGAGCTCTTTGTTCTGTGGGGTTCATTAGCCCTGTATCGATCTTATCATAAGTTACACGTACCGGGTGCAGCTGCAGGGGCAGTGCCTTCGCTATTGACAGAACCTTGGGGAGGTATGGCAGCTTTGAGTGGCCGAACTTCTTGATGACGTTCTGTCCAATGAGCTCGTCCGAGTGCTTGTCAAGCACATCCTGGAGGTCCTCGTCGGTCTCGAGGACATAGGAGGGTAGTGTTGGGTACGTGCCCATCCACCTGGTTTTGTTAGACTATGATTGACGATTCTTGCAAGGTTCAACCTACATCTCAGCGTAGGACTTGCTCTCGTCGAGTTTGAAGCCATTGCCCGGTGTCTTCTCGCATAGTGTGGCTGCGAGAGACTCGCGACCCTGCTTTCCCCACGGGTACTGATTGCAGTCGCACCTCAATTGGATAACCTTGTTGACCATGTTGACGCTTTTGGGTGTTCGAAGATTAGAAATTGGATATCAGGAACTAGATTTGGGTATCGTGTTTGTTGTAGAGACCCATGGGACGGCGGCGCTCATATATGCAATTCATCGAGAGCGCATGGTGACAATACGGCGACGTCATAGCGGACCCTCTGCTATTTCTAAGCTGCGAAGGAGCTACGTCGCGACCATCAGACGAAGTGTGACGTTGAAGTAAAGACTCTGAAAGATGGTTACCCGGCCACCCGGCGAGGACGTCCAGTGGTCCGTTTGGTGATCTCCGCCCGCCCTGGGTCTTCAGGGACTGACATGGTGCATCTCAAGTCTTGGCAACATCCAGGTAGACTTTACGAGGCTGACGTGCTGACAGCCGCCCTGTCAGCACCTAATCGCGTTCCACTCATGTCGTGCAGAGGTACAGTCGGCCTGGAAAAGACGATTGTATACGCTTTGATGTTGGCGGAGCTGTGACAGGGGGTCGCGGAGAGGCTCGAAGCATGGAGGATGAGCATCTCGAGTCTGGAAACGTCGCGCAACCAGCGACTCCCAAAATGAACAATTAAGAAGGACCCCGCAAGCGAAACAGTCGAGAGCGTGCGCACCCAAATATATATCGCCAGCTCGCGAGTACCGTATTGAACGGGCACTAGCAGCGCGTCGAAGCAAGGGTCTCGGTCTCCCGCGCCAAGTCTCCGCATCGCGTGTATAATTTGTCCCTAACCCACGACACATGTCATTTAGGCGGCTCTGAGACAATTGACTGTTGCTTTTCACGTTGGTCTGTCGGATCCCAGACATGGTTCCTTAGTTTCGCTCGAACTTCGATCCACCTCCAACTGCGACCCTCGTTTGATACCCCAACCGTTCACACCTGGCCTTCTGGCCCCACACCTTCACCATGCACTTCGCCATGCCTCCGCGCAAGACGTCACGGCCGCCGCCCTACGCCGCGCGGAACAGCCAGAATTCCTCCTTCGTACCACCCGTGCTCAGAAATATGCTGCGAAGCAAGCCCCGAGTAATCGTCGGCGCTGTACTGGGCCTCCTTACCTTGCTCTGGCTCCTGGGCATGATAGGCGGGAGCTCCAGCTCAGTGCCTCTGACCAACATACCCAAAGTCGCCGTTGGGAGCGGCGCACCTGTAGTAATCGTCACAGTCCTCGACCCCAGCGCGAATCCGGCGTGGGTACAGAAGATTAAGGCGAACAGGGAGGAGTATGCTAAGAAGCATGGTACGTCCTTCATTCATATGATAGCCATGGGATAGATGGCAGTACACTAACAGACATAGGATATCTAACACACTTCCCCACACCGAACCAATACCCCCTCAACAACGCGCCTCAATCCTGGTCCCGCGTGCCCGCCCTCCGCCACGCAATGACCCTCTACCCCGGGTCAACATTCTTCTGGTACCTCGACTCCAGCGCGCTCATCATGTCGCCCAATCTCGATCTACACGCACACCTCCTCTCCCCCGCAGTAATCGAAAAACACATGATCACCAATGCGCCCGTCGTCCCGCCAGACAGCGTGATCAAAACCTTCAGCAATCTGAAGGGCGAGCGGATCGACCTCGTGATCGCGCAGGACAAGGAGGGGTTGGCGCCGAGTAGCTTCGTGGTGCGGAATGGGGAGTGGGCCAAGTTCTTTCTGGATGCGTGGTTCGACCCTATCTACAGGAGCTATAACTTCCAGAAAGCAGAGAGCCATGCCCTGGAGCATATTGTCCAGTAAGTGCTCCTACAGACTAGACTGTCAACCTCAGCTGACAATTGAATAGGTGGCACGGCACGATCCTGGCCAAGCTAGCCATGGTCCCGCAATCGCTGCTCAACGCGTACGTCTCAGGCCCGAATGCGCAGAACGGACAGTATAAGGAGGGTGATCTGATTGCGAATTTTCCGGAGTGCGACAAAGAGGGGAGAAACTGCGCGGAGGAACAGCAGCCGTTTTTTGAGGTGCTGGAGAGGAAGAAACAGGGATAAGTAGATGGATGGGAAGAGTAGGGGAGATTGATCTGATTGGGCGAGCGTAACAGTGTACGTGTGGTATGATGAGAGCACAGGAAGAGGGAAAGAGGTGTTGGATATGATATAGGCGGGAGGGAGTGGTTCCTTGGGCGAGGATGCTGTAAGGCATGGCGTACGGCGTTGGCGAATACTTGCACTGCCCGTGTCTTAAGACTTTTGTAGAGGTCCGATGTATGAAGTGATAGATACGTGTACAATGTTCATCTATGTTACAATCTATGGTGGCGTCGCTATGTACGTAGTTTAACCCAAACGCCCTGCAGGGCATCATATACCTGTATCGTACAACAACCTTCCATCTACGACTTCTCCGTTGGTCGTCGCTGCCTTTTGACGCTGACCATACTCCTCCGCGGCCGGGCGACCCGTTCTCTGCTGCTTACGCTCTTGGGGCCCATAACCGTACTCGCGCACATCGGCCGCCTCGCACCGACAAACTTGCCCAAAGGACTGAAGACTTCGATCTCAGGATACCTCTCTTCCCACTCTGCCATCTCATCACCCTCCGTCTCCCCCTTCTTCTCCGCATCTTTGGCGAACTCGCGGCTTAACGCGTCGTCGACGTCGTCTCCGGCTGCTTCTGCTTTGGCGATAGTCGAGAACTTCCGATCCTTGTACTCCATCTCGTCTCTCAGCCTCTTCTCCCTTTCATGCCTTGCGTGATTAGGGTCCTTCTTCTTCATGCCCACGGGCTTCCATCCCTGCGGCCGTCTCGTCTGCGCACTAACTTCAACCCATCCCATGCCCTCTACCAGAATATCAGTGCTCCAGATCCTAAAGGGGAGGTTCTCAGGCTTCATCTTTGCGGCCACGCTGCTCGTCAGCGGACCCGCGAGTTTCTTCGTCACGTCCCAGCGTAGTTGAAATCTACCTGCGCTGTTCATTTTGGAGCCGACGTCGGAAGCCAGGATGGGCGGGACCTGCAGCTGTCGATCGGAGGTCTGCGTTTGGTATGCGCACGCCTTCTCGGTGCGTGTGATGTGTGCATGGATTGGTACAAAAGGGTACACGAGGAAAACAATATCCTCCGTGACGGGTGTGATTCTAATCAACCCGCCGCCAAGGATCAGACTCTGGCCCGGTTTGAGAGACAACCGCTCGGCGTTGAGGCGCGAGGTCATGATTAGGTCTTGGTGGTGGGAAGCCTGCACGAAGGTTTCTAGCCCGGGTGTGGTGCGCGCCAGACCGGGGAGATCGACCAGTTCGCCCCGGTTGGCGCCGAAGGGGATCCGGATTGGAGAGGCGGTTGTGCCCGGGAGGGAGGACGCGATGGGGAGGACAGGGTAGGGCGTGTAAGGTTGGGGAGGGGGGAGGAGGGCGTCGGGGTCTTCTTCCTCGTCTTCAACTTCCTCGGGGTCGCGCTCAACAGCGCGTGGAGGCTGGTGGACATGCTGATTCGGTCGGTTGTTGTGGCGTTCGATGTCGGCGTCTTCGTCTGCGAGTAGTTTCTGCACGCGCGTGAGGTCGTCAAGCGATTGCGCGGCGTTGAGCATGGCTTCCCGCTCGGCGACGCTGCGGATCTTGCGCACGTCTTGGTAGTCGGCGCCCCGGCCTTTGGGGAAAACGGCTTCGAAGAGGTTGGATTTGCCCACGTTGACTTTGCCGACCATCCAGCCTGCGCCGCCGCGCTCCCAGATGTCCTCTTTGACTTGCTTTGTCCACCAGCCGCGCTTCGCACTGACTAGCCTTACATTTCCCAGACGTGCTTTACTGTTGTCTCGGCCTAATGCGTCGCGGAGTACGTCGGTGATATATGGCATGAGTGTGTCCACCTGTTCCTTCTTTGGTGCCAGAAGATCCGCTCTTGTGATGATGAAGCTGACCTCTGCGATACGGTCATTTGCTACCCATCCTTTGTGTTTCGCTCGACGGTTCTGCGATCGCAGCTTGGGTATGCGCAGCGAGGATTGGAGGTTTGGGATGATAGATAGAGGGAAGTCGGCGGCATCAACGACGTGGTAGATGTGGTTTCGGCGGTGGGGCGACTCAGCGATGGTCTGCTGAATTGACTCGACAGTTGGGTGGTGTATTGGTGTACCTATACTGTGATGGATCAAGTTATGGCAGCGGTCGCATACCGGAGTGTCTGGTGACAGTGCCTCGGTGGTCGTGGCCGCGTCAAGCACTCCCAACTCTTTCAGCAGCCCAGGATCTGCATCCTTCAGCGCTTTCGAATAGACGTCATCCTCTTGTGTGGCTTCTTGAACCTTGCTTGGGTCCCAGGTTAGATACGCTCGCACTGCGCCCCTGTCAACGTTGTAGTACCCTGCCTCCTTCTTGTCGAACAGCTGTGTTGGCGCACCGCAGCCAGGGCATGCTCTTGGCAGCGACCTCTTCTCTAGCCGTGTGCTTCTCGAGCGCGCATTCAGGGGCTGGCTTTTGATAGTCTCGGTGGAAGGGACGGGGGCTGAGGCCTCCTGTTGCGCTCGTCCGAATGTTGAGAAGCGCTGAGCGGGCTTTGCATGGCGGCGAGGTGTGGGCGCAGGAGATCTCAGGAGTGCAGGGCAGAGGAAAGACGGTATCGAGGCCTGCAGAGCATCATGGTCCAGCAGCGTCCTGGCCTGTCGCAGAGCAGGGCGCATACTGATGAAGTGTTCAGCCAGTACAATACTACGAAGATGCTCTAGCGCTTTTCCGGCGCAAGACAGATATCCTAAGCTGGGTCATGCAATCCCCTACGATCTATGGTTCATCGGTCTGGTTGACGGCTGCCACGTTTCGAGTTTGGTTGTCATGCACAGCAACACGCGCAACGCGACCATTCACTCTCGCGCCCCAGAAAATTATCGCTGGCGTCGGATTTAAGGCAGGGATGTTGGAGCTCAGGCAAGTTTTAACCAATCGCCGACAATCGCTGTCGGCTACGGCGTACTCTCCGATGTAGCTCTCAATTCCGCAGAAGTCTACCCCAGACTCTCAGACCACCGCAACGGCTAGCAAACAGCTGCCCATCGAGCTCCGTCTCCATTGCTCCTTCCTCTTCATTGCTCCTTCCTCCCCATTGCTCCTTCCTCCCCATTGCTCCTTCCTCCCCATTGCTCCTTCCTCCCCATTGCTCCTTCCTCCCCATTGCTCCTTCCTCCCCATTGACTTGTCTCTCTCCATCACATACCCACACAGTCATCATGCTCTCTACATCACGAACTGCGCTGCGTCAAGCTGCGACCAAGCAGTTCACCGTTAAGGCCGGTGCGCGCGCTGCCTCCGCGTGGTCGAGCGTGCCGCAGGGACCTCCAGTGAGTCAACTGCGCTGAAATTGACGAAGCTTGGGCTTTGCTAACATGATCGCAGGATGTAAGAGCAAATTGAGGATCAACAGCAGATGAACAAAGCTCACCATTAACCGCCAGGCCATTCTTGGTATCACAGAAGCTTTCAAGGCCGACTCCAACCCCAAGAAGATCAATCTTGGTCAGTAATTGACGAATCGATCACTGACAAGCGCAACTGACATGTGCAGGTGTTGGCGCATACCGCGACGACAAGGGCAAGCCCTACGTCCTGCCCTCCGTGAGGCAAGCCGAGAAGAAGATCGTTGACTCAACCCTCGACAAGGAGTACGCTGGCATCACGGGTGTCCCCAAGTTTACCAAGGCTGCCCTCGAGCTCGCCTACGGCTCTGACTCGACTCCTCTCGCTGAGGACCGTGTCGCTGTCACCCAGACCATCTCCGGTACCGGTGCCCTGCGCATTGGTGGTGCCTTCCTCGAGCGCCACTACCCTCACGCGAAGGCCATCTACATCCCTACCCCATCATGGGCAAACCACGCGGCTGTCTTCAAGGACTCTGGCCTCAAGGTCGAGAAGTACAGGTACTACAACAAGGACACCATTGGCCTCGACTTCGATGGCATGGTCGCCGACATCAAGGCCATGCCCAAGAACAGCATCGTTCTCCTCCACGCCTGCGCCCACAACCCCACTGGTGTTGACCCTACTGAGGAGCAGTGGCTGAAGATTGCTGATGCTGTCAAGGAGGGCGACCACTACCCCTTCTTCGACATGGCCTACCAGGGCTTTGCCTCCGGTGACACCAACAAGGACGCCTTCGCGCTCCGTCACTTCATCAAGGAGGGCCTCCGCCCCTGCCTTGCCCAATCTTTCGCTAAGAACATGGTACGATGTCAATTAGCCAAGTGGGATTGAAACAGATGCTAACTATCGCAGGGTCTCTACGGCGAGCGTGTCGGTGCCTTCTCCATCGTTTGCGAGTCTGCCGAGGAGAAGAAGCGCATCGATTCTCAGATCAAGATCCTTGTCCGCCCATTGTACTCCAATCCTCCCGTTCACGGTGCCCGCATTGCCTCGGAGATCCTGAACGACTCTTCCCTCAACCAGCAGTGGCTCGGTGAGGTTAAGGGCATGGCCGACCGCATCATCACCATGCGTGCTCTCCTCAAGGAGAACCTCGAGAAGCTCGGCAGCAAGCACGACTGGAGCCACATCACATCCCAGATCGGCATGTTCGCCTACACTGGCCTGACTGCTGAGCAGATGGACAAGCTGGCCAAGGAGGTTAGTTGAATCAAGCTCTCTTCACATGAATCTTTACTGACAACGACAGCACTCCGTCTACGCTACCAAGGACGGCCGTATCTCGGTTGCCGGTATCACCAGCGAGAATGTCGGGCGTCTTGCCGAGGCCATCTACAAGGTCAAGGGTTAAGCACCTGGTTTGGCGCGCTTTCTTGCTTCAGCGTTCTCGGATATTCGGCATAGCATGGCGTGAATGGTACACTGTACTATACAGCAACAGGCACTAGGCTATATTGCGTAGTGCAGACCAAAATTTACGTTCAGCTTCACGACTTACGACAACCTCTCCAGCTGCCCATCATCTTCACCATTCTCTCGTTTCTCGAAGCTTCACTGATCTGCGTAGGTTGCTTACCCCCACATGATTCGGCCCCCGGCTTCAAAGCTTCCTACGGATCGGCAGTGCTCGCTTCCCTGCTCCATGCAGGACACCCCACATGTCGTTGGGCCTGATGCTCCCATCAGCACAGAGTAGATCTTGCCCCACAGCGGTATAGCTTCTGCCTCACCGCGTATCTCGAGTGTGTACAACCAGAATTACTACGCTGCTAGCACCTGATATCATTTTCCAGACATACATATGGGCTCACGTACAACAGCATTGTTCCACCATTGATACTAATCTTTCTGGACTTGCCCTGTGGATTTCACCTTCTAGCTTTCGTTCTCCAAATCTCTGAAGCTCTCTCAGGGTCCAATGTTAAAGTCTTGGCACGTCATGAGCCCATCATGTATTTGCATTGCATGCTCCACTACCCTGACCCTTGACAGCATGGAACAGCAGGCCGATGCGAATGCGAGGTTTCCATACTCTAAGCACCTCTCACGATCTGAGGACATTTCCCGCGCCCTGCACATGCTTGAAACTTGTATCTCGACGCGAGCAAGGGGTGGGCTATGGATCAGTGATTCACTTCTGATCCGCAAGCTGACTCTCCGCTGCAAGATGCTGGCCCGGAGAAGGCCGGATGAGCAGAGTCAACCAGCGCCAAAACTTCACTTTTCAGGTTTTGCGAGCCGAAAGAGGGGATTGTGGAGCACAATGCCTGCACAATGCCTGCACTTGGGCTGCTGAACGAGCCACGGCCTGATGTCTTGACCCTGCATTATGTTGAGCCATGGTGACAGCTGGATTAGTTTACCAAGCCTCATCTCTAAATAGCACTCAGCTGAAGCTTCCATCGATGAGGCATCGCTACCACAGTAAACAGCAGTTCATAAACCGCAGATGTGGGAGTGCTAAGCGGCTTCGGGAAGACGCAGGGTCACAGCCTCATGCAGAATGACGAACAGGAAAAAAGTGACGTCGTTTTGGAGGATCACAATCAACCCGCATGCTTCGCCCTTTAAATGCACCCGTTTGACAACCCTCCCTGACGCCTTTTACCAGCGGGAATCAGCATATTGAACACTTCTAGACCTCTTGGCGTCCAACATGTCCTCTCTGGGACAAAGCAGTACGGGATAGCTCGTCGTCAGCCGCACACCTGCCAGACCCAAGGTGGAACCCTCCACATGCGCGTTGCTGTGGCCGTAGAGCCGAGAAGGGATGTCTTGGATTGGGTTTGTGGTCGCCGTCGCCAAAAGGGTCGTGGAAAGGGTCAGCGAAGGTCTGCACCGATGATCAACGGCGAGCGCTGGCTCAGGGCCGCCGATTGACGTCGAGGTACCCACCCATCGCGAGCCTATTCCCATGCTCATCACAGTGTGCCCCTCTTCTACGGTGATGCAACAGTCGCTTTTTGCAATTTTCAGACCACGGCAGAGTTTCGATATATGAGCGTTGCTCCCGTGACACCCCCGCTGCCAGAATTGCTTCTTTCAATTATCTCGATTAACTCGCCGAACGCTACGTCGTCTCTCCTACCGTGAACAGAATAGCTGCCGCCGCACTTCTCGGCAACCTGACTCCGAGGAATCTGCAAGCTCAAAGCGAACCAGAGGGGGTTAACACAGTGCTTTTAGGCAAACAGACTACCGAGAAGACGCAGCATCCTGCCCTTCGATATTTTCCATCTCTCACCGCAGCACTCTTCGTGTGCTCGACGCCGCAAACCTCCCCCAAGTCCCTCCCACACTGACAACGGCGCTCAAAATTCGGCGGGCCGACCCTCACGACCTCGTCATAAACTAAGCCAAAATCGAGGATTCCCAGTGAATCGGTCGCGCACGCACACGCTCGGTACGCAGCAGCAGTCAGGATCCATACTGCCAGTTGCACGTTCCTGCGACACGTAAAAATTATCCGTCGCGTCCGGTCTCACCTCTGGACATCTGCATCGCAGCGCCTGCGACGTGGAAGAAGCGGTGTTGCAGTGTCTCACCCGTACCGGCTGATTTAGGTTATTCGCAGGCTGTCGCGAGTTTCTAAGCAAGATGGCGCCTAGCTCAGTAAAGGATGAAGACAGGGTTGGTGTGCCCCTCCATCACGTTGCTCCTTCCACTCAGTGCCCTCCACGCCACGCACGCGCAGCGCATTTCTATAGTCTCCTCGTCTGCATTTACGTTACTCTCAGTCCATCCCCACTCATCCACCCCGTATTGCGCACATCCCTACGAACCTCACTCTAATTTGAACAGAGCGTGAACGGCGGCGAGGGCATCATGTCAATTCCCGGCGCAGAAGACAGCATCGACCCGTCGACCTTCGAGCAGATCCTCGAGATGGACGAGGACGAGGTCGAGCGCGAGTTCTCCAAGAGCATCGTCTACGACTTCTTCACCCAGGCCGAGGGCACCTTCACCAAGATGGACACCAACCTGTGCGTGCTCCAGCCTCCTCTATCAGTGCACTGCTGACTGTCTCCCAGCGACAAGAAGGACCTCAAGACGCTTAGCGAGCTCGGCCACTTCCTCAAGGGCTCGTCTGCGACGCTCGGCCTGACCAAGGTCAAGGACTCGTGCGAGAAGATCCAGCACTACGGCCAGTTGAAGGACGAGACAGGTACAAAAGACATCAAGGAGGAGGAGGCCCTGAAGAAGCTGGAGACGATCATTAAGCAGACCAAGGACGAGTTCCACGAGGTCGAGAAGGTGCTCAAGGAGTTCTACAACGACGACGAATGAGCGCCACCCCTGCTCTCGACGTGCCCCTCTCGACGTGAGGCACGCCAGGCGCACGGCTGGATATGAACAGCAAGGCAGCAATGGCATCCCGTCGCTGCTCGCCCGCACCCGCCATGACATGCAGTACCTGCATCGAGACCGCTCGGGATCGGTCGTTTCGTGCCCGTGTCGTCATCAGGGTCTGCTCGTCTCCATAGCCAACCTCTGAATTCTGCTTTACGACTCGGTACTTTGGATACCATAGACTTATAGCGTTTTGAAAAGCATTCAACTATCTTCTATCTCGCTTCTCTGTCCCAATACCATGGCATGCACCCCAGCCTTGTGTCGATACCGCAGTGAGATGAGATGCGCCGAAAGAAGGTCCGAGGCTCGATTGCAACGTGCTCGGTGGGGTGACAGGTATTTACGTCATCGCGCAAATGTTGTGATTGGTTACCGCGTCCTCAACACCACGCCATAGCATCGTGAATAGTAAGCACATCAAGCGCTGCGCCTGCGATTGTGTGCCGCGCTTCCGCCCTTGACGTCGGTGTTCCGTGTTCACTCTTCCACTCTAGACGCTCCTTACGTCGTCACTTCATGCTACACACACCAATCCTTCACCAAGCAGCTCGACAGCACCGTTTCGTCAGACCATCATTCATCATGGGCAAGAAAAAGACAAAAGGCTCATACAACGACTTCCTCGAAGACACGCGCCATTCCAACTCCAACAACGAAATCCGCACCACGCTGCAAACCTCATCAAGTTTGACCCGCACCATCTCACCGCCAGCGACTTTAGAACCACAGTCTCATCAACCTAACAACACCCACAATGAAGCCAAACCGAGAAAACCGCCTTTGACGCACTTCCTTTGCCTCCCTCTCGTCTCTGGGTCAAACCGTTCGCGAATTTCCACGGCCCTCGACAAAGTCCGAAAAGATGTCGAAGCTCTCACTCCCGTACCTCCAAAAGCCGTCAGGCCGGTGGGAACGCTGCATCTGACGCTGGGTGTGATGTCCCTCTCACCCTCACAACTAGATGATGCGACCAGGCACCTGCAAGAGCTAGACGTGGCGCAACTCCTTCGTGGTATAACAACCCAGAAAATTGCGGAGAGCGCAAACGACACGCCGACTGTACGCGAAGGCTTCGGCGCCGTCGCGAATCCGACTTCAGGCCTAGAGAATGCTGCGCTGGATGTGGATCCGAATAGCCTGGAGATTGAGTTGAGGGGGCTGGTGCCGATGCACAAACCGCGGCAGACGAGCATACTGTACGCTGAACCTCGAGACGCGAGTGGGAGATTGTTAAGGTTTGCGGAGAGCGTGAGGAGCGGTTTTGAGGAGAGGGGGTGGGTGGTCAAGGATGAGAGGGGGCTGAGGTTGCATGCTACGGTGTTGAATACTACTTATGCGAAGCCTAAGGGACGAGGGAGAGAGAAGGCGCCGATTTCGGTGAGGAGGGAAGATAAAGGGAGGAAGGATGGGGTTGATGGGGATGCTGGGAAGGAGGATAGCCTTGAGCAGCAGGGCATAGACGGTGAAGCTGAGAACGAAGAGAAAGGGAAAGCGGTAGAAGAGAGGAGTAAGGCACATGGCCCAGACCCGAAGAGCTGGATGCGCTTCGATGCCACTTCCTTAATCTCAACGTATGCAGACTTCATCTGGGCAGAGGATGTGCGGATCGACCGGGTGCAGATCTGCAAAATGGGCGCACAGAAGATCTTGCACGAGGAAACTGGCGAGGTGGTTGATGAGGAGTATGAGGTCGTTGCTGAGAAGACAATATGATCTCCCACCACCCCAATCCTCATCTTCGTAGTATTATGATAGATTGGAACGCTTCAACACACCACCCCCAACCTATCACCTCCCGCGCTCCAAACTCTCAATCTCCCTCTCAATCCTCCCCATTTCATTCTCAAGATACCCCTTCCGTTTCGCGAGCTCTCTGATCCCCTTCTCTCCCGCCTGCTCATACAGCCTCAAACTCTGCCTCGCTAGCGCCTCTCGATCCCTCAAACTCCTCTCTCCCGTACTCTGACTCTTTCTAAACTCCTTAAGCGCGAGTACGAACTCGGCGGGCGGTGGGTGCCCGAAAGTGTGGCATTTGGCCTCCAATCCGAGAAGCGTGGCGCGTGAGTGTAACAGCTCGGCGCGCGCTTTGGTGTGTCGTGCTAGGGAGCCGTGTTGAGTTTGCTCGAGGATCCGGATCGAGGTTTCGAGAGTTTGTTTGTGCAGTGCTAGCAAACTCGTGAGACTATTCGAAAGCTCCGTGCGCGCGGTTGCCAGCTCCCGGGGTAGTTCGACCGTCGCAGCATTCACCAGATTCTCCGCTGTTGTCGACAGCAATGTAGGTGCTGGCGGAGACAACGGAGCCGCGATGGTGCAGAGGTGCGTGGTGACGGTTTCCAGCTGTGATGAGATGGTCGAGGCGATGATGTCGATGTTGTCGAGGAAGATGGTTATGTCTCCGGAGAGGATCTCGCGGTCTGAGGGATCGGCGATTTGGCCGGAGAGCAGAGCGGAGACGAGGGCTATGCAGGCGTGGAGTTCGTCTGGGAGAGTTGGCGCGCGGGAGGGCAGGGTGATTAGGGTGCTGATTAGAATTTGGGTTGATAGGAGGGTGGAGCGGGTGGTTGTTAAACTCTGGATGTTTGTTAGAGCTTGAGTGATACGTTGATGATATGCTGGGCATTGAAAGGACTTGTGGGAATAGAAGGAGGGTGAGAGCCAACTGAGAAAAATAAGGTAAACAGTCGCGGATTAAACATAGGGATCAACGACATCAGTGCATACTGAGACTGATAATTGAGAGGAATGCGCCGAGTGTAAAAGAGATTGCTAAAAGCCTTACCCGCCGTATCTCATCGTGCATGCGCTGCTTCTTTGTATCCCGTGTCGATCCATCGGGATTCGATTTCCGTGTGCAGAGATCCTTGTACAGTATCTCGAAATTCGGGTTCCGCTGCAATGTTGCCGGATCTACAGGCGGCAGCATATTTGCGTAAAGAATTGTAGAGGTGGTGTGACGAGGACCCTTAGCATCTAGTGCTCTGTTTGGTGTTTACGGTGAAGCGGAAGCAACGACTAGGCCGAAAGAAGCTAGATGTGGGTCCGTGTCGAGCCCTTGAGATGTCATCTTTCACGGCTCTCCTCATGATCATTGACTTTCTAACACGTCTTTCAGCATTGTTCTGTACGACATAGCCTCACTCTGTTGTTTTCAGTGTCAGTTACCGCAACGCAAGCAGACCGTCATAGGCAAAGACAAGGGCGCAACAGGCACGAAGCGCAAGAGAGAGGAGAATGATGGTGGACATCCGAAATCAGATACGACTTTCTGTCTTTACACATTCAAGCGCTTCCCTTGTGCTTCTCGCATTCGCATTGCATTGGCACTCAAGGATATCTTCAATGTGACTTTCCGTGAGGTTAACATGAACAAACTTGGAGAAGATCAAAAACATACAGACTTTGAAGAGCTCAATCCGAGTCAGCAAGTGCCGGTCCTCATTGTATAAGGGTATCCACCACCGAGCAAACTTGTGTTGACGCAATCGACTGCGATCCTGGCGTATCTTGAGAAAGCTTTCCCCGACAGAACTCCGCTCCTGCCGCCCGCAAATCAGCCGCTCGAGAGAGCACGTGTCAAAGAGTTAATGGCGACCTTCACACAAGACATACAGCCACTTGTAAATGAGAAGGTCGCAGGAATGTTTCAATTCCTTGGCACCAAGAAGGAGAAGCTGGCAGTACCTTTGTCATTATGCATAGATGATGGGTTCAAAATCTACGAGCAGGTCTTACAGAATTGTGCTGGAACCTACAGTGTCGGCGATGACATAACATTGGCAGACGTGTGTCTATTTCCACAGTAGATGTGGGCAAATGAAAGGTAGGCGGCGTGATTAACTTCGACAAGAAAGAAGACAAACGACCGTTGTAGAAGGCTACCGTGGAGAGATTGGAAAACGTAAACGGCTTCAAGCAAGAAATTGAACGTGTGAGCATGAAGAAGCCCTAAGCTCAGTCGTACGTGCAATCTCAACCGGATAGTCGATTATGAGATGCGCGGTCCCAATCATCTTCAGCTTTGAGTATCTCCAGAGGTACATATCACGTTCCTAATCTATAAGTCGACTCTCGTATGGAACGAGCAAACTTGCGCACCCAGCCACCAACACCTCAATGATAGATCACGATGGCGCATGAGATATATACACTCTACACTTCCGTTCGATCGGTCGACGCATGGTGTATTCGAAGTGCGCTGATGCTGAAAGAAGTCGAATTCATTTTCGCAACATCGATATGGACGCGCTGGAACACGAATCAGATTGGTACCGCGCTATGAACCCCAGCGGTAACGTTTCTACCTTCGTAATTGAGACACATGACTCTTAGACAAAATTCGTCATTACTCAGACAGCCGCCATCATGGGTTTTCTAGAGGACCATTTCCGGGACGTTCCACTGCTCCCACCAATTACGGACATCAAGGGCGAGTCCGGACGGCCAAATTAGCGGGCGTCATAATGCGTGATATCGCCCCGGTTGACAACCATGAGCATTTCCAGGTGTCCTGAAGTCATTGGCGTGGTCAGGCGTAGGAGGTCAGCTGTCGTCAAGATGATATTAGAAGAAAGCTTCGATACGTACGAGAAGATGCTGAGACATTGTAGTGAAGCTTACAGTGTCGGTGATTGCATTACAATAACAGATGTGTGTATGTGGCCTCAAGTGCAGATGACAGAAATATATATGGTTCGAGTGAAAGAGGAGTTGAATAGATAGCCGTTGCCGAACGCTGTCTTGAGAAATCTAGGTGAAAATGAGGCGTTTAGACGTGGGTGGCGACTCTGCAGGAGCTTGGAGCGAGTTTTCTGGTGTAGGTGTTGACTCAAAACGTGACTCGATCTATATAAGAGCCGTGTCTTTCGAAATGGTGGGTGGTTGGATAACGGATATGAAAATACAGATATGCTGAAGGCTTTTGATGAGAATCTGAACTGATTACCCCCATATGCTAGTACAATAGGTCTCACACACACAATTATGATATTTTACTTAGACCGAAGTTAAGATAGAGACGGCGACTCTTGGCCTCCACCAACATAGTATATAATGGTGCAGTGTCAATCGGTCCGTACAAGGCCTGACTATACCCGTAGCAGACTACCCTAGTCTAGTGTGTTACAGGTCAGGTAGACAGTCGTCTTCGCCTAGCTAGATAGTGTTGCGGTATCGGTTGGTCCGTACAGTGTCTGACTATACCCCTGACCACTACCCTGGACTAGTGTGTTACAGGTCAGGTATATAGTCGTCTCCTCCTAGCTAGATAGCAATCCAGCGCAGTATTCCATCGACCCGATAGTCCTACGTTATCGTTTACCGTAGCTATCAGTATTCTACAGCGGTCCACGCCGCTACAGATAGCAACTCAGCGCAGTATTCCATCAACTTGACAATCCTTCATTGTCGTTCACCGCAGCTATCAGTGTACTACAGAGGCCTACACCGTCACATATAATAATTCCTAACTCTTTCAAAATGCTCCTATGACCGTATAGCTCCGTCAATCACCTTATCACCGCTCTCGGTGGGTTCCACATCCTCGATCTGCTTTGCACTCATGGTGTCGGCAGACAAGATAAGTCATGCCGAGGAAGTTGTAGAAGGCCTTGATGAGACTGCGATGGTGGTGAGGGCAGGCTCCAATGAGGGGCATTACAGCGCCCATTTTGGGATCTTTGAAGGGTGCGGATATGAGGGGCAGGAAATCTGGCGATGTGAGCCATGTAGTCTTGTTGTCAACATCACCCGGCTCTCGCTCATGACTCTAGGCCTGCAAAGTCTTGATATTCGTCCTGCAAGTTTCAACACTTTCTTACCGCTTCCTTCCACGCAAGTACAGCCATGCAGATGCTGTCAAACTTGATCAGTGTCCGCACCGCGCCTGGAAGTGATGCGAAGAGGCCCAGTAGCCACGGTACAGGTGACATGACGCCGGAAAGCCATACTAAAGCTATGCATGACCTGAATGCCGGGGTGGTCCTTGCCTGTCGCTAGGTTGCCAAAGTCTTGACTGAAGGTCACTTCACCCATAAGGTCGAAGCTGAAGAATATCGACCACGCTGTGGAGTCTACTGGACGGCCATATCGAGCTTTTAGCTGCTTGATTAGCACGTCTGCTTTCGCCTTAATACGAGGCTTGTAGGTAGGAAGCACTTGAGAGATCAGCCTCAGAATTGGGCGCAGCAAGTAGTCATACTTCTCATAGGCAACCCACGATCCCAGACACGCCTCCTCTGCCTGTATTTCGTACGATCCCGGAGTGCTCTGATGTTGACGTGGTCCGAATCAAATCCTGATTGATTGTACCATGTAGACTTTCTGCATTCAGTCTTGATCCATAGATGATAGATATCGCTTTCTTGTTGAGTATGCTGATCTCGCGGGGCCCTGCAGTGGTTAGAGCGGGATGTGCTGAACATGGTATTTACGCATCATTTCTGACATAGTCCCCATATTTTTGTGCAAGTCCTCGAGCACTTGATAGTACTGGTATCCCTTCAAATTTGCGTTCATGTATGCTAGGTAGAATCGCGAGAGACCCGCAAGTGGTGGACCTGGGAACCTTCGGCAACGATGCAACAACAGTCGGTAGATAGCAAGACTAACGAGAACACCCACGCTGAAATCAACACAAGCAAGGATTGCTCGTGCCAAGGCGGTCAGTAACCCGCGGTGATAGTGCTGGAACCACAAAGTGAGACCGCCGCAATACGCAAAAGTCGCGGCTCCAAGTGAGCGTATGATATATCACTCGAATTCGATGTTAGTGACGCCGACTGCAAGATGTAGACTCAGGCCCGCGACAAAACTGGTCCAGAGTATTCGCCAACACTCCGCTCGTGAGCTTTGCTGACGTAGTCAAACAAGGCCATTCTGAAAGCCCGGAAGAGTGATGCAAGTAAGAGGTATCCGTGAAAACTGGAGACAATGACTTCGGAGGCAGTGTGATTGAAGTCAGCATATACAAGACATCTAGCGCTCATAAGCACGGCAAAGACCGTGTAGCGTAGCCAATGGCGTAGGTACTGCAGCTGCGGCTGTGGCTGCATCCCATACCCACTGTACCTGGAAGATGAACAACCTGTGAAGGCTAATGGTGTACCTGAAATGTGAGGAAAGATTGCGGAGGGAAGACAGATCAAGTCGCAGATGTAGGTGTGATGTAGGTGTGCTGTGTTCAAGGATCGAGAGGCGCCGAAAGCGAGCGCGAACCGAACGCGTCGGTGACATCATACCGGCTCGCCTACAATAAATCCACGGGTCCTTTGCAACGCTTAACCACATCTCACCAACATTCTCATTGCATGAACTCAGGAGGTTATCTTGCCGGTAACGTTCTGTGCGCTGTTTCGAAACTTGAAAACTTTGACAGACTGTTGCGTTGTTTCATCCATATTGCGACTCGTATCCCGCCTGTCCAGCCACTGCTCTGCACCAAGCAGCTTCACCTCATTACATGCATTCCTGCCAGTCATTTGAGCATCAAACGACAAAGGGAGAATTGTCTTACTGAAGCTACAGATTCGACGAACCTGCTTCAATGGCATTTGTTGTCATGTTTTCGAAGTTCACAGTTCTTTAACCCGGCCCCACATGATCACCGCCCTCATTCATCTAGGCATTTCGTCAATGCAACCTTTTAGCCATTGTACCTTTCACTCTCAGGTGTTGTACCATCAATTTGGCAGATTCAGTTGTCTTCAGCATATGAACCACGCGTAGAGATGCATCACTTGCATCTCAATCAATTTGCCCACTTTCTTGAGCCACCGGGAATCATATGCACCCCAGAGCGCCACACTTTGTATCCACATGAAACGAGCATGGGTTACGGCAATTACCCCTGGCTGATTGCCATCACAGGGCTAAAAATTAATTACGGAGACGGGTGAAAGGACGAGCGATCTTTTCACGAAGCACAGCAGTCTGCTGTACCCCACAGAAGGATTAAGGGTATGTTTGAGCCTCACTGATTCTGCCTAAAGAACGGTTCGTCGTCTCAATTCAAAATCTACAAATTCGCAAACAGTCGCTGCCCAGACACGACCAGCAAGCATCTACTCAAGCATATTCCAAGATAACGCTCGAAACATCGCATCAGTCAACATGAAGTTCACCGCTGCCGCCGCCCTCTCCGTCCTCGGCCTTACCGCTGCCAATCCAGTTGAGCTCACTGAGAGGCAGAGCTGCCCCAAGGTCTACATTTTCGGAGCCCGTGAGACTACTGTTGCTCAGAGCAATGGTTTTGGAACAGCAGGTGGTCTCGTGAACCAGGTCCAGGCCGCCTACCCGGGGTCTGGCGCCGAAGCCATCGTCTACCCAGCCTGCGGTGGACAGGCATCTTGCGGTGGTGTTAGCTACGACAGCTCTCAGAGCCAGGGAACCGCTGCTGTTGTTAAGGCTGTCACAGCCTACAATCAGAAGTGCCCCAGCACACAGATCGTCCTTATTGGATACTCTCAGGTATGTTGGTTGTTGAAACCTGTTGAAAGCACATGCTAACCATTGTCAGGGCGGTCAAATCATGGACAACGCCCTTTGCGGTGGTGCTGGAGCCACACTCACTGGCAACGCCCTAACGGCCGTCAAGGTCGCCATCTTCATGGGCGATCCACATAACCGCGCTGGTCTTCCCTATAACGTTGGTACATGCACAGCTCAAGGCGTAAGTAACCTGTGTAACATCAGCCAGAAGGTGAACTGACAGTTTCTAGTTCGCCGCCCGCCCTGCTGGATTCCAGTGCTCTCCCGCCAGCACAAGCATCATCAAGTCGTACTGTGACGCTGCTGACCCATACTGCTGTAACGGCAACGACGCCAACTCTCACCAGCAGTATGTCAACAAGTACGGTTCTCAGGCTTTGGCTTTCATCAAGAGCAAGCTTACCGCATAAGCGGCAGTTTGTGGCCCCACTCAAAGTGGAGACACTATCACCTTCGTTGTATATATCGAAAATCATTACAAATATACCAAGCCACCATGCGTGTTTTACGTAGCCCTGTTCATGCAGTAAATAGCGGGTGCAGTGCTTTATTACCGTAGATATTTATTTTATAATCATTTGATGAGTCATCAATCAACCACAAGGTGGTATGGGTACGTTCAACTCACCAACTGCTTCACAGGCATTGTCTAACAATCTTCAAGTCTAGTGGTATGACGTCGCGTTGTGGCTGGCGAGCACATTGTGTTCCGATCCAGATCCGCGCCAGCCCGTGTTCGATTCACGGTACCGCCAAAATCGCGTCTTTTTTTGCACTTGCATTCGACTGTAAAGATGTGGGGTGCTCAATTTTTGCTCTCGCGTGGAAGCACACTAGTGTGTCATTAGCGCAATTCCTCTCCTACATCTTCTTCACATTACTGTTGAACACAATTGACTGTCAGAATTATTGATCATGTTATCTAATGCCATGCTGCTCGTATGTCTAAACCAAAGACCGACTCATAATCCCGAACGCCGCGCATCAATGTTAAAATGCACACGCCTAGAGCTCTCGCCAAACTCGCTTCTTACAACTTCGCCTTCGGCCATTGGTCCAAGAGATCGGTCATCTCGAACCTTGGCCAGTCAGGGTTCAGAGATGGAGAAGGCCTCTCGCGATCCCAGGCCCACTTCTCCTTCAAGTCTGGTCTCAGACCGTCCTCCAACATCTGCACAACATACTTGCCCAGCACGGGGAAGAACTTGTAGCCGTGGAACGAGCCGCATGTAGCAACGTACAGACCCTTTGCTGCCGCATGCGGTGAGATGATAAAGTCGGAGCTTGTTGTGAATGCGTCCCTGGTCATTGTCAGCATGTACAATGGAGCTGATGAGAGGAGTAACTTACCAGCAGATTCGGTGCTTGTCCATCTTCCAGTTCGCGCCGTTCTTGCCATAGAAAACATCATTTGCGTGGTCAATATCCAGCTTAAGCGGCCCGGGCACGTTCCATTGATTGTAGTCCTTTCCAGATGGTGGCGCAGAGATGAAGCTGCCGGGCAGGACTTCATGTGTGTTCTTGAAGATTTTCTCTCCCCACCACTTGAGCTCGCGGTCCTTGGTGGGAGGCAAGCTGCCGATGAAAGGTCCAATCTGAGCATTGTAACCCTGAACACCGACGGGCATGTGCTTGAAGCGCTCGTATGACTTCTCGTCGAGAGTAGTCATACCTGTGGTGATGCCACCAGCGACAATTCTGTGCCCGGCACGCAGCTGGTTGTTCCCGCTCTTCTTTGCAGCCTGCTCCAGCAACTTGCCGGTGTAGGCTCCGGTCGACAGAATGACGTTGGTTGCGGATAGCGTCTTCCCACTCTCAGTCTTGACGCCAGTACAAGTGCCGTTGTTGCCGATTTCCAGACTCTCAGCCTTGCCGACAACGTACTTGACGCCCTTCTCGAGCGACCACTTAGTCACTGCTCTCAGCGCATTGCCAGCTTCTGACCACCCACTCGTCTTATTGACAAGCACTTCCTTCGCGCCGTCGTAGTTTGCATCCTCGAAAAGTCCTCCGAACAGCTTCTTTGCCTCTCCGACGGATACTGCTTTCAAGTCTGCCGCGCGACCAAGCTTCTTGTAGTTGTTGATGACATCCTGAGCGTAGTTCGAGCGGCACACCCAGAAGATGCCGGTCTGGTGGAAGTATGGTTTCCACAGGGGATCCGAGTTGAACACGTCCTGTGCTTCGAGGGCAAGCTCGGTGTAGACGATGTCGTCGTAGTCAGCGCGCACGACCTTGTTCCAGTCCCAAGAGGCGGCTACACGGTTATCTGCATCGTACGCATCCTGATCGAGGATTGTAACCTGGCGATCAGGATACTTCTTGATAAGGTGGTACGCGGTGGAAACTCCGAAGACACCGGCTCCAACGATGAGGTATGATGGCTTTGATGCTGCCATTGCGTCGAGATCTCAATCTAATAGGTCAAAGGATAAGAGCGTGATGGCAGTACTCTTCAAACAATATCTCAGCCTCCATCTTTATACTCTGTCAGCTCTATCGACTATCGCGACATACTAGCCTGTCCTCGGATACGAGTTGTGGTCGTGGTGGCGCTAGCAGCGCGGGGCTCATTCATCGTGTGGGAGAGGTATCCCGATCAGGCAAAGGAGAACGAATTACGCTTTCCCGACGCCGTCATCTGGCGCTTGCCCGCCGGTTTGCATAGCTTCAAGCGGAAAATGCTTGTGAAATCTAGGGCGCATCTGCTGATGTTGCGGCGACTCTTATGTCAATTCCGTCGCAGAGAGCTCCCCGCAAGTGGAAAGCACTTGGGAGGGCTACCGAAAATAAGCGAGGAATCGGGTGTTACGCGATTGGGCAATGAGATCCAGGCATACACGACGCTGATGCAAACTTCACGTTCGACTATTAAGACACTCTTCGTCATGCGACCATTGTTATTGATAGAGATATGTTGGTCGGAGGATCTGACATACTTGTATTTACAGCAAGCCGAGCTTATGAGTGCTGGACCGCACAAAGCAAAGTAGAATCGAGGAGACTACAGCATGAAGATCTCCGGAGCTTACTTCTGTTCACCATGCACGTGATGGTCAGTCACGCTGGACTCTGAAGAATGAAGGCTACGGCAGGAACAGAACTCCATGAAGAGTACAGATCGCTCTCCCTTTCATATAAGCATGAATAAAGTAGCCTCCACATGTCGTTGACGTATATGCAGGGTGCTCTAGGGCTTGGATGGTCGAGCAGGGTTGTCGAGCATTGGGTCGTAATGCGAGCTTCTACACACTAATGCACTGCGCACCATAGGCCTGAACTGGCATGAAAGCTTGTTAGGACCTCCTTCGATCTGAAGGATCTGGCAGATCGGGTCATCTGGCTGGCATTGCGTCCTGATTGGACACTGATTGTCAGCCCTGGTTGAGCTTGTTCCAATATTCATGCCTGTACTGCGGGTAGAGCGAGTACCTTCAATGATCATGGAGTTGAGCATATTCATTTTACTTGTACTGCTTATAAATATTCATAAAAACTCATTTTCACTGTGGTTTGATGTTAATTCGTAGTTTCCAGGACCGAAATGTATGGAAAGACAATTGCTAGAAATTGTGATGAAGGCGGCCGTCCTGATCTTACTTTGGGGGGCCAAGTATACGGCTGTCAAGAACAACTCGTTATGTTGCAGGGTGATTGTCGCGTTTAGCACTGTTTGTCGTCAGTTCAATGCTCTGAGACACTTTCACTTACAACGCGCATGGTAATGCTGCTTCACTAGGCAGCACCCGCCCACCGCTGACAGAACTCAAAAATCTTAGCAGTCTTACCAACGTCTTTTGGGACTACTCACCCTCACCTTCACCAACCTACTTACATCAGCTCAACCGTCCCGTTCTAATCACACCTACAATATGACGCCTGACCGCATAACAAGCATAGTCGCCGTGCGTGAAGCTTTGAACAAGGCAAAATCCGAAAACACGCCGCTCTTCATCTCACTGACAGACAACGGCAAGAACCGCGCATACGGATGCAAACCTGCCAGTCGTCTTGTCTTTGGGCCAAACGAGAGCGACTTCCCTGGTCTTGGCAAAAAGCTATCGCCCTTTGAAGCCAATAAGTTCCCTTCACTGGAGGACTTACAAAGACTTCTGATCGACGACCTACATACAGCGCGTAAGCAGAATGTCAGCAACAGCGACCACGTTTTGCAACTCGCTGAGGGCGCTGCGCAAACGGACGACGACGATGAAGAGCTAAAGCTACTCAACGGCCTAACGGACGCTGATCGCGAGGCCAGCTCCGCAGTCCTAAGCTTTCCCAGCCCATCGTTAGATAACATTTGCGGTGATGCAAAAGTAGAATACGACAACGTCCTGCGAGAGTCCATGACCATGGCCGCAGTTCTGCCGCGCAGCACACTCCTCTCGCTTCAGCACAGCAACGAGGGCACGACCTTCACGACCCTGCTATCAGGCGCTATAGCTTGGATCATCTGGCCGCCAACAGAACACAACATCAACATTCTCCAGAGCTCTTACGAAGCTTTCGCAGAAGGCTTCGACAGCACAAAGATGTGCGTAGCTGGTGAGCTCAAAGGCGGCGTATGTCTCGTCCAGACCGTTGGCGAAGCTATTCGCATTCCACCATTCTGTCCAATGATGTGCTTGTCACTGGAAGCATCAGTTCTGGCCACGTACACTGTCGTGACAGCAAGCCAGCTTGCTGACATGCTGCGTAAGCTCCCATTGCTGCTAGCATGGTTCAAGACTGAGACCGATGGTGAGCGCAAGAAGACGCATTTCATCGCTGCACTGCTGCCGCACCTCTCATCTATCCTGCAAGGCAGCTTCGAGTCGACTGATCTAAAGAAGCACAAGTACCCATACCTTCAAGAAGGCCCGCTGCACTCTTTGTTGGTCGGCTGGGATAAGATCAAGCACGCAGTGGTTAGCATCTTAGAGCCTGCGGAGGCGGAGCGCGTGACAGTAATGTGGGAGGAGTTCTTGCGCAAAGCTCGAGGGCGAGATTGCTGGATTTGTGGAAAGAGCATCAGCAACAAGCTAAGAGATATGCGCAAGCATTTCGAAGCCAAGCACTGGCCCACCGAGAAAGTTACGGGGATTATGAAGCAGCAAGGTGCGCCTCAGGATAGACTTGACAACGTCATCGCTCCACCACTTCTTTCGCAAGGAACCAAAGAAGAAGCATTTCACGACGCGATGGAGCTTTTTGGTCCGCAAGACGGTGTACCTCAGGAGCGGTTCAAAGAAGTCGTTCCTACCCCGGTGGCGCTAGAGAAGACGGGAGAAGCACACCTCGAGGAAGCGATTGAGCTCGACAAGACGCTAGAGACTCCAGTGCATTTCTGCTGATCTTGATCTGGATTTCAAAGATGGATTTGGATGAAAGAGACGTGAGTTGAGGCTTGAGAGATGCAGTTGCGCCCAGGCTCGATCGGGCAAGGCACGCCCCACTCTTGTTTGCGGTCCTTCAACACGACTATCTTGAATTTGTGTTTGTCTCTTGGAGTTTTGTATGTCTGTCTGTATAATAAACATTTTTTGACGCGCTTACCAACGTTGACGAGTTGAGTGACCTGTGCGACCGTATGACGCAGGTGATGTCATCAGCGTCTCATCTGAGACTCCGAATAGCTTCACCCAGCTAAGTTGGTGTTCCGACTGAATATCTGAACATCTGTGTTCTTCCAATATCTTTTCACCTTTTCACAATAGAGGCTCATCGCACATATCATAGAGACAGTCTTCAAGATGCCAACAGCAGTAGTGACAGGCGCCAACTCCGGCATTGGCAATGTGCTCGCGAGGATCCTAGTGAAGGAGGTACATGGCTTCCAGATGTTTAAATTTCATACCAATATTTTGACTACGTAAAGGGCTACAAAGTCATAGCCGCAGACATCGACATTGGCACGCCCATCACCGAACTCGGCTGTGGGACCTCAAAATTAGACATCTCATCACGAGAAGATATCGATGCCTTCAAAGGAAAAGTCAGCGATCGACCAATCGATTTACTCTTGAACATCGTCGGTATACATCTCTGAACTATGAGTCCAAGACAAACAACTGAGGTTTTCAAGGCATCATGTACCCGCACGACTCCGACACCCACACCAAAGTAACCCTAACCAACTTTCAAAAACCTTCGCAGTCAACACTTTCGGCCCGCTGCTTTTAATGTAAGCCCTCCTCTCCAACATCCAGCGCGCCCAAAACCCGCGCATCACAGTGATGTCCTCTTGTGTCGGTTCCATAGCCGACAACAGCACGGGCGGGATGTACTCCACCGCAGCTCCAAACCAGCCGTGAACATGCTCTTTGCGAACCTCGCTATTGACTTGAAAGACAAGAACGTCGCCGTGATTTTGTTGCATCCGGGGATTGTGGAGAGCAATCTAGATCAGAAGTGGAAGGATGGTGGCAACGAGGATGTTAAGGGCGCGGTTGAGCCGGATGTTGCGGCGAGTGATCTTTGGAGGGTACTGATGGTCAAGAGGATTGAGAGTACGGGGAAGTTCTTTCATAGGAGTGGGGAGGAGTTGCCTTGGTGATTCGGATGTGGAGAGGATGGAGTTGGAGTGTAACATTGCTAGTTCAGGTGTGTAGGTTAAAGGACTGTTCTCAAAAAGAGGAGTCGAAGGGGTTTTGCTACTTGTGTGCTCTTCGTGATTATATGAAGAGCCACGTCTAAGATCTGCTAAGCTAGACAGCTTAATGCGCAAACCTGGAGTCTAGGCGCTTGTTGCTCGTCTTTCGTGGTATCCAAATACGTATTTTTATCCTCCCTCGACATAGAACTCCACACCGCCTCTCTTCTCTTGTTGATCGTCACATAGAAGACCTTTGCACCAATTAACAGCGCAAAGTTGTACGCGCAAACCGCAATCAGCACCTTATTACCCCAGCGATACAGCGGCTTATCATCTTCGCGATAGATATTCTGCGAGAAGATACTTGACGCCTGCACTGTCATGTAGTACAGGGCAGAAGCAACGGTGCGTGCCCGGACTGTGCTTGAATTGCGCGAAGTGATGGCTTGCACGTAAGGATGGCAAACGAGCATGATAGCCAGGATCCAGCGAGACCATGGGGAAGTGTTGGGAGATATGCGTTCCAGGGCAATGAGAAGAGGGAGGGCGCAGATTTGGGAGACGAGGCTGACGAGGAAGCGGTCATTGACCCTCTCAGATACCCAGGTCCAGAACAAGAGTTGGATGATGAATAGAACGTAGGCTGAGATCTGCTCGCTGTCAGTATGTGAGTAAATCATCAAAAATTGCAGTACGTACCATGAGCAAATTGGTGTCGATGGTTCCGAATCCCAGTGATCGCAGTTGAAGGGTAAGATACGATGAGACCGGGTTGAACGGAATATTTCAGGAGAGACCAATCAGGTGGATCGGCCACATATGATAGTCCTTGAGACACATCCAGAGCATAGAGAAGGAAAGACCTTGGCAGTTGTGCATATCTCTCTTCGAAGTGTCGACTCGTAGAATGCGGTTGACCATGATCTTCTCTTCCCGCTCATCAAACTAGCCTTTTTCACCCCTAAACAGTTTTATCTTACTGTTAGTCGCTGACTGTGGTGGAGATGGTGGAAAGTAGAGCCACGCAGCAATCCCAATAAGCCCAGTTAGCATGCTTTCAAGAGCGAAGAGCTGGAGCTGGTCAGTCAACTGTCATCAGGTGCTTGACACAAGTGGATTCACCATCTTTATCCTTCCGCGAGGAAAGCAAAGATGATCTGTGTCGAGTGATAGGAAACCCAGAACCAACTAAGTCGAGCTGGCAGTTCGAAACCAGTGTAGGACTAACTAAGGTAAAGAATGTTGTCTGGGATGAAGCCGCCTTCAATGAGTCCGAGGGGAGCACGGTATTTGTAGAAGGAGCTCTTACCACTGAGGAAAGCCTGCATACTGGCGACAAGGCTCCTTGAAACCATCTGGATTGGGATCCACTTGTCAGGTCCAATCTTCTTGCTGATGAGTTGCGAAGGAAGCTCAGCGTATAGGAAGCAAATGAAGAAGATAACCTGGTCGTAGTTGTACTCATTAGTGTTCATTCCAAGGCCGTCTAGGATATTGTCCGAGAGTGCCTGGCTGATGTTGCCTCTGTCTAGCTGGAACGCGAAGAATATGAGGCACACGAATGTGCACATCCGCTTGTCAGTCTTAGTAATATTGCTCCTAGATACATCGTAGTGAAATCCATATCTTCCTGATTACCTTCCTCTCCTCCTCAGGTTTCCCTTCGAAGTCGGGATCATATTTCTCAAGTCCTTCAAACGTGTCGACGGGACGGTAATGATCCGACTTCAGTCCAGGGGTAGCCCAGGTAGTCCCTCGCTTGCCAGCACCGGCCTGCTCACGACTGGTCTGACTGGAGCTCACACTCGTAGGAGCACCAATCTCCAGCTTTCAAACGACCGGAAGCCCTGTGGCGTTGTTGAGCGCCGTAGTCACGTTACTGACCTTGGTGTGCCGATCCTCAAGGTTTCTTGGAACATCTTGGGAAGTTCTGGGCGAGGAATTGACTAAGGTATAAATGGTGTTGCGGTATCAGCTGGTCTGTACGAGACCCGATTACCCTTGCTTAGACTGCTCTGGGCTAGCACGTTCCAGGGCCAGTATATATCGTCTTCTCCTAACTAGATAGCAACTCAGCGCAGTATTCCATCGACCCGACAGTCCTACGTTATCGTTTACCGTAGCTATCAGTGTACTACAGCAGCTGCGCCGCCACAAATGGGATCCGAACGCCCCATTGCGACGACAGCGATAAAGATTTTTCTTCATCCTGGCAGAGGTACATAGTCGAAATGGCAATCGAACATCAACACGTTACATCTCTAGTGCTGTGACCCTGATGTGGACGATCCGTAGGCGGGCGCGATCCCACGGCTCGTGCTGGTAACAGCGCTCCTCGGGGATCAATGGGACGACTCTGTCCCGATAGCCGACGTTTTGCACATCAATTCCTGGTGCCAGCCTTGATTTTCGAGTGATGTCGGCTGATTATGGCCAGAAAGAGTTGCAGGATTGCGGTCTTCGATGCGAGCCACCCGCCTCGCCACAGCTTCAAGCCGTATGATTTGCGCTCGATAAGGGCCCTATGTCGTTAAGGATGAAGCGACGTAATTTTAATGAAACCACGCAACGCTTGAGTATGATGTCACGTTGGATAGCCAAGAACGCGTCTTGGATGATTCGTCGCGTTGTTGTTTGATGGGCATTGCGTGATTGGCCGGGTAGGTAGCGACATCAACCACGAACTTTGAGTTTACGATGGCACCATTCCTTCGGCGCGGGAGTTATTCTGAAGCAAATGTGCTCGTACATTGATCATTGCGGAAGAGAGCGCGTAGATGTCGCGTAAAGCCAAGTGGACCATCCGGTTTCGGGCGCGTGAGCTGGGATAAGAATGCATGGAGTGATTTCGTGCAGATTGATGCCATCAACATTCAATCTGATTAGGTCGGCAATACTACGGGGACCGGTGTCTTGCGGTGTTCATGGAGGGGTTGTTCTTTCACTACTGTCTCACGTTGGCTGAGCGTATTGCCACCAAGAAAGCGAAGCGGGGTCGCGCAATATGATGGTATTCCCGTTGCTGTACCCGCGCCATGCGATTGACGTCCGAAAGTCGGGCTAAAGGGGCGCGCCTTTTAATGTATAAGAGCCGCCTTAACCCAACTAAAAGATGTCTACTAATCTTTAAATCGAACTTCGATATTCCCATCCATTATCCAAGTTCATCACAATGGCTCCCGCACTCGTCGATACAGTTGTCCACGAGCAGTCGCCCGTCAACTTCAAGTCACAAGCCGGCCAATACAAGGAAGCTGCATTTAGCGGACCCAAAGTGTACAGGAAAGATCTTGAACTGAGGGGGACCGGCGAACATGCACCCGCAAGGTATCCCAACTACCTCCCCGTGTGGGACTTCGAGAAGAAGTACCCTCCTCTTGAGCCTTTTGAGCACTACGAGCATGGCAAAGATGCCGATGCATCGTTTCCCAACCTCTTGAAGGACGCCAAAGTTGCAGATCTGACTGCTAACATTGGTGCTGAGGTGACTGGCGTGCAGCTCAGCAAGCTGACTGATGCTGGCAAGGACGAGTTGGCGCTGTTTGTCGCCCAGAAGAAGGTCGTAGCTTTCCGCGACCAAGACTTTGCGGATGTGCCTATCAAGGACGCACTGAACGTTGGCGGTTACTTCGGTCGACACCACATCCACCCCACATCTGGAGCGCCAGAAGGCTACCCTGAGGTCCATCTCGTTCACCGAGGAGCTGATGATACAACTGCCCGCGACTTCTTCGAGGAGCGAACGAACTCGGTCACGTGGCACTCGGATATCACCTACGAGAAGCAGCCACCTGGCACCACATTTCTGTATTTGTTGGACGGTCCGGCTGCGGGAGGTGACACTCTCTTCGCGAACCAGGCAGCAGCGTATAACAGACTTTCGGATGAGTTCAAGAAGCGTCTACATGGACTCAAGGTCGTCCACTCAGGTAAGCCATGATGTTGATTGATATTGTTTGGATATTTGCTGATCGTGCTGCAGCTGTCGAGCAAGCCGACAACAGCAGGAACCGAGGGGGCGTCGTTCGTCGTGAGCCTGTTACATCCATCCACCCTCTTGTCCGCACACATCCCGCCACCGGTGAGAAGGCGCTTTTCGTGAACCCTCAGTTCAGTCGTCGCATTGTCGGCTTCAAGAAGGAGGAGAGCGACTTCCTGTTGAACTTCCTTTACGACCACATCGCCAAGGGTCAAGACTTCCAGGCTCGCGTCAAGTGGGCGCCTGGTACCGTCGTGGTATGGGACAACCGAGTCACAGCGCACTCAGCGTTAGTGGATTGGGACGATGGTGCGCGCAGGCATTTGGCGAGAATCACGCCGCAGGCCGAGGCACCGTATGAGACGCCATTCGAGGAGCGCAACAGCGGTGCTGTTGGCTTCGAGTACTAAGCATTGATGCTAGTAATGAAATAAATGTCAATGCACCAAACTTAATGCAAGAGTGCTTGTGTTGTTGCTGTGATGATGGCGCTGGTAATGCTGGGGACATCGAACTCTTGATTGTAAGCAGAATAAGAAGGTAGCACTGGTGGAAGGTGTAGGAAATACAGTTGCGCTCTCTCAGATCTGCGCAAGTGGTAGGCTGCACTGGTAGTATCTTAAGTGCGTAGAAGCTGACTTCTTATAACCATGCAATCGAATCTCGGACTGAGTGCTGCTTGTTAATTTGATTAAAATACCGTTGATCCTTGACTCCACCGAACGCCAGCGTCGAATGAATTAAGATCCTATTCCTTCTCATATGTTGCGGTGTATATAACCTTTAGGACCTGAGAGTCAGAAAGGTCGGCCTTTTTGTATCGCTGCGGGGCCGCGACATCATAGAATCCCCAAGTTGAGCAGAATTGCTATGGACCCTTGACGAAACCCAGAGCCCACGAAGCTTCATACTCATTACCATGCTTTCAGAATTGAGTCCACGTATATCTTGCAATGAGCGACTATGTCGTCGTCAACCTTCAGCCTGAACCTTTCGCATGAGTAAGCCATTTTCCATCAGAAGCCCGACGTCCGCTCGAGGCCTGCCCTTTATTTTTGTTCCTAGGGTTTCATCAGCCTCACTGATTTTCGGCTGACTTTCAAGCACAGCCGCCATATGATCAAAGTTGCCTCCATAGTCGATTCGCAATGCCTTCTCACAGGCAGTACAGAGCCTCAGGTGGCAGCCTGCAATCTCCTTCTCTTCATCTCCGCACAGATCTGGCTGTACAGTACTGCAACCAAATGTAGCGGGCGAGAAGCACATCGAGCACCATCTTGACAACTGATACTGCATATCAGCTCCTCCAGTCTCGGCTTCGGCCAGCTCTTCGGTCAGAGCATTGTAGTCGGAAGTGGCGTCGGGAATGCGTTCGAATTCGTGTCCGGGACATATCAAGATCTGCAGCCTCTGGTTTGTGCATTCAGTGCACATTGTCGTCTCGCCGGTGTTCTGGCAATGACCGCCGCCGACCTCTGCGTATCCGAGACCGGAGTGCCAGCGAATGACGTGAACTTCCCTCTCGAAGTGACCTACCATACCAAAGATGGGGAGCTCGCAGAAGTTGCAGTCCGATAGAGTTGATCTCTCAACACCAAATCTGATGGGGTGCGCAAAGGAGGTGGTGATCTTGGTGAGCATGCCTTTGTTGCCTTCAGCATCTTCCATCTCCAGTTCAGGCGTTGGCTCACGCTCCAGGACTTCGTTGTTTCGTCGATCCATGCCTGCGAGATCCTCTGCGGTGAAGGATTCGGAGTTGAACTTCGCGACTTCCGGCGCAATCTTCTCAATCAGAGTTTTCTTCTCTGCTGTTTGCTTCTCGCTGTCTTGTTTGGGCAGGTGATAGAACGTGCAGCCGAGGTTGTTCTTCTTGCAGTTCTTGCAGGGCGGCTGATCTTCTTTGTCTTTGAGACTGCATCGCTTTTTGAAAATGCGGCATGCTGTGCATGCGGCGTAGGGTCGATCTGGACCGTAAGCGATCTCCTCCAGATCGACACGTGGGGCCTTATAGCCATCGGGAGGCAGGGCTTCGCAGATGTGGTCGTTGTCAGCGCAATGGTCACAGATTGGCTGCGTAGGGTCATCTTCGAAGGAGCAGACCTCTTCCTGGGCCTGATCACATTGCTTGCAGCGGCCCTTGGCTATGGGCTCCCGGATAGGCTGGCATTCGCCGCCATCTTCAACACACTCCTCGCAGGGGTACTTGCCGCCTTTGACGATCGAGCAAGCTTGCTCAAGTTTGCGGCACTGCTTGCAGCCTCGTGCTGCGGGATGTCCGGTGAGATCATCTACTTCGCCAGCAGGGTCCTCCAGAGGTAGCTGCAGCCCCCGGTCAGGCGTGTTGTGGCGGTAGGCTTCCCGATGCTCTTCGAGCTCGCGCTCTTGCTCAGAGTCGATATCTGACCAATCCTCTGGCCAGTTCTGCTGGTCGTTGGTTATGTTGCGTACGTTACCGAACGCATCAAAGGGGAGCTTGACGATGCACTTCATAGTGTAATCTCTGAATGTGTCGCTCTTGTCCTTCTTCTTCTTCTTCTTCTTCTTCTTCTCCCTCTTGGTTGCTTTGGCGCGGACCAGCTTGGCCGCCTTCTCCTTCGCTTCCTGCTCGGGGTCCCAGTTGCCGGACTTGTCGGTGTCAACGTGTGTGAGGGCTTTCTTGTGGTTGATGTTCTGGCGTAACTCGTAGTGTGCCTGCGGCAGGATGTCAGACCCTGCTATGTATACGCAGGTAGGGTCGAGTCGGCTTACCACAGTATTTGGAGGTTTGACAAACTCATCGTCAGAAGGAACGGACGAGTCGTGGACGCTCCCTATGTCGGAACAAGCAAAACCGAAGCCTGTGTTTATTGGCCTTTCCATATCCTCATCACCGTTCTGCTGCTGGTCCAGGTTCAAGCTCGACATGCGATTGCCGATACCGCGTCCTGGGGTCGCAGGCGCAAAGAGGTTGTCGACTTGCTCTTCGTTCTCCATGTCTTCTTCAGGGCCACCAAACAAGAACGGACGTGGCTTCTTCGCTCGTGTGCCTGAGTCGGAATCGTCTCCTTCAGCATCCGAGCGTCTGGGTGACTTCTTGCCCCTCGCTGCTTTCGCTGCCTGCTTCTTCGCTTGGTGGCTGGGCCAGGAGCGCTCAAATCCTCTTTCACTGCCTTCGTAGTCAGAGAAATCAAGAGAGAACTGGCGGTAGTTCAAATCTTGCTCAGTATCCTCGTGGCCGCTCATCCCAGGGTCAGAAGTAAAGAAGAGGTCTTGTATCGGAGCGTCGTCGCCATCGTCGGGATCCTGTGTTATGGTTGGTTGTTTTGTAAGATCCTTTGAAGGAAGGGTATTTTCCTCAACATCGATGCCGTGGGGAAGATTGAAGTCGAATGTGACTTCCGGCTTGTCTGGCAAGTTCTCATCATGCGCCATAGCTGTAACGAAGTCGCGTAGTTGTGGTTACGGGGTATTTAGCTGCAATAGCCGAAGAATGACTGAAGTCGTAATTGGTGAAAGTCAGGTCGGCAACTCTAGAAGCGAAGTTGAGAGATGGTAATGTAGGATACAATCATAGGCTATGTGTTTTAATTAGCGCCAAAGCAAGAATCATCCAGCAACTGAAGGCTTGTTGCCATGGGGTGTCTGGTAGACAAGTGAGTGTGGCCAAGGTGGAGGACATAAGGATGTTCGGCGGTCAGGTGAGAGATCCTGGAATGTGCGCAGGGTTGGGGCCTTGCGAAAAAGCTTTTGAATTTTCGCCAGACAGAGCGAGACTGTGACAGAATCCGAGAGCAGCAAGGACCGATGGGAGCAACTGCCTGTAAAATTTGTGTGAGTTAGCTATTCACTAAATCCAGCCCTGAGTTATCGATGGGAAGGAAAAAAAGGGTGGACAAGGTACAAGTGGACCACAAGTTGTAAAGTGGTATGGCGGTAAAACAACAGAGAGAGAGAAGAGAATGGAGCAGCAGATTATAGGAGGAAAGATGGCGGTAAAGAATCGCAATATGAGGGTTGAACCGATGTCATCTTGGGAAGATCGACATTTCTACTAGAAGCAAAACAGCGACATTGGATTCTGATCGAGCGACTGAAGCTAGAATTTCAAATTGGTCTTGAAAAGGTAATCTCAAAAGTTTGTTTCTGACAACGGTGTCAACTATGAACTAGGGTTTTTAGTAAGGCGTGGGCAGATTGAGTGGTTCGCCATAGTGACTTCTGTTGTCGCGCTTCATATGCCGAGTCACGGCGTGAGTATGCGTAACCCCGAATCAAAGTACAAGTCTGCTATAAAACGTGAATAGCTCACATCGCTTTCCATTGCACATGATTTGAAAAGGACAGCTTTTGTGACGAGGTCGACAAAGAAGAAGCTGGAGACTGCTCGAGGTGTGGTGACCGCCCACGGACTGTGAAGGGCCATGATTGGAGGGCGTTGTAGTCCCTGGAGTAATTGGGCAATTCCAGGGCCCTATGTGAAAGGTACTTGTAGTCATCGAAAGAGTTGCTGGAGGGAGGAACATCGTCCGCAAGCCCGTTGGAGTTGTCAACCTTAGTCATCACCCACGCTAGCACAGGCCAGCCTATAAAATGTACGAATCATCTGCTTTTTTGTACCTCTCCCGTAGCACCACCGCGCCGTCATGAAGCTCGTTGTTGCTTCCACACGCCCGCTGCGGGTGTCATGGCGCGATCGATGAGGTTGTTTCTGATTCGGCATGGAGAGACGGTTGACAATGTCGCCCGACTCTAGTACGTCGTTTGTCACTCAAGCCCATCAGAATGAGTACTAACCAGTGAGCAGTGCCGGCAGCAGAGACTCAGCACTCACAAACCATGGCTACCAGCAGGCGATGCGTCTTGGCCAGCATCTCAAGGCTCTCGGCCTGAAGTTCACACACCTGTTCTCGTCCCATCTTCAACGCGCAGCGAAGACCGCTGGTCTGATCAGGAAGGGTCAAATGCCCCCAAAAGACGACACCGAGGCTGCGCGAGATGTACCTGAGGTCATACAGCTGCGTATCCTCATGGAGCAAGATTTTGGCGACCTCGAGGGCAAGAAGTGGACAGACATACAAGCAGAGTTGCAGAATAAGCCAGGCTTCGTGGCTGTCGAGACGAAAGAGGCTATGGGGCGACGCGCCGATACCTTCTTCGACGAGCATCTATTGCCGTTACTCAATAACTCGATGGATGGCTGCGATCCTGTGGTCGCTATCGTCTCGCACGGCATTTTCCTCTCTACACTCTGGAAGCGCTTTCTTCGGCGACTTCCAGCAAGAGGCGTCTCCTTGTCCTCAGAACTGCAGTCAACTGCCCGCCCATCGTTGGAACACTTGGGAGGCTGGTCGAACACAGGATACCTGGAGCTGCATATGACGCGAACTGAGGCAGAGAAATCTTTTCCTGTCGCAGATGCAGCGCCATCTGCAACGTCAAAGCCAGACGTCTCGCAACCCGTCAAGGCTACACCGGACGACACTATTGGCGCAGTCGAAATCCCTCAGGCTGCTACACAGGAAGCGACTGGCAAGGTCGAAGCCTCGATAGCTCCCACCAATGATGGTGCCAAAGTTGACAACGCAACGCCGGCTGCAGCCGCACCTCTGACACCTACGATATCGTGTTCCTCAGGGCCTTGTATCGCCCGTTGCTGGAATACCACGATCTTGACGATCAACGGCAAAGACCATCTGAAGGGTCTCAAGCGTACTGGCGGTGGTGTGGGTAGCTCCCGCCACGACGCGTCACAGAAGGGCATCGAAAGCTTCTTCAAGCGCCTCAAGGTCGATTGAAGCCTGCGAACGTTCGAGGTCGTGACACTCTTCACACGCTCGCAATGTATCGGTAAGTCAGCATTGTTTCGTTCATCCTTCCAACCCCATGCAATGATGAAAAATCAATATTCACAGATCTGTTCTGAACCCAAATGTGGACTCAACATTGATCCAACTGCTGTCTGAAATTGCATCCATACCCACACTTCTGTCTACATCTTGGCTTGAGACTGTTCCTGACAAGTGTTGTAGATCTTTGATGGCTACACAAGCGAAGCGCTTCAGGCGTGATTACTCTGGGAGCGGCTCAGAAGCTCTGCGCGCCAGCAAGCCGCAAACCTAGTTACCATTAAGCAATTTCAAATGAAAGACCGCCATGAACATCGTATCAACCGTGGCATCGCCCCGCCCCACACCCCGTTGAAGCAGCTATTCTGATCTTTGTCCGCTATTGGTAGTGTGAGCTGCTGATGCAATATCTCCAATAGCTGCTGCATCGAACCTGATGCAGCGACTGTTACAATCAGAGGCTAGTACGTAGCCATTATGCAGGTACAAGATGTTGGTTATGGCTGTGACACGATGAGCCTTGTTCTTTCTCAAAAGGCAGGAAGGCCCGTGCATTCCACCTCCATGTCTCGCATCACCACATGTCAACCACGTCGAAACATGTCTACCACGCATCGAAAGCCCTTCACAATTTGTGCCGTTCAATCCGTGCGACGTCAGTATGCATCAACCATGCGGTGAGCCCTACACGCTGTCGCTTCCGTGCGACAAACATGATTTGGTGCGCCTGAGGTGGCTGGGATCTACCAACCTCAATCAGCCCCATATTTTCAGTGACTTGCCAACGCATTTTGTTTGCTATATCTGAACTTGTTCGATGACTGAAGTGTACCTTTTTTCTCGTGTTCATTCCAAAGTACTGTACCTCTAATCTCTAATCTTTTCGGTCGGTTCGAAGGTCAAGATACATCGACCTGCCACTGGCCAATCAGAGCGCAGCATCTTGAATACATTGTCAGAGGCACGATGGCACGCACAACCTCCATCTGGGCGTTGACAGCTTTATCAACGGGCGTGGTGGCTCATGTCCCTTCAAAGGCCAACTACACCAACAGTAAGGATAATCATGATGTGCGATGAAGCATCAGCGACTGACCTTCAGCAGCTGTACCAGAAGTCCCACACCCATACCGGTGGCAAGGGTCATACTCTTCGTCACTTGTCGAGACTCCATACACCGTGCCGACTGCCATCCCGGTGCCGACATTACTACCATCCGAGGAGGAGCCTTGCGAGACCACATCAAGCACACCACCTCCGCCTCCACCTTCCTCTGAGCCATGTGAAACGGGGACTGCGACTCTCTACCCGCCGGTACCAGATTCTAGCGGCTACGAACCTGCAAGCTTCCTGGCACCACCTTTGTCAGCGGTCCATAAGCCATCACGGTCATCTGTCTATGCGACGGTGCCGGCTTATCCTACTTCCGTAGGCATCGACTCAATCGCTTCTACCTGGCTGCCGCCTTCGTATACCGTGGCCATACCTTACGTCCCCACTAGCCCTGTACCTTCCACATGGCTGGGCCCGTCGTACAACGTAGTCGTTCCTCTACCTCCCAACTCTGTTCCTCAAGGCACTACTTCGCCAGCCCCAAACGCTACTAGCTCCGTACCGTCATCCTCCCAGGCTACAATTCTATCATCACCAGTAGTTCCAAGCTCCTCGGCCTACCCAACTAATATCCTGTCTGCTCCTGGAGCCAGTAGCCCTGCCAGCTCCATCCCACTGTCTTCGACAACTGCCATCATTCCTGTGCCTCCACCTCAATACTCCAGCTCCGTTCCGGTCATTTCGCCTTTGAGCCCTGCAGTCCCTACACCCTCCATTACCGGACCGAGCATTGCCTCAAGTCCGGTTGCTTCGTCTTCAGTAACGGCTATCATCCCGGTTCCTCCATCTCAGACCTCGAGCCTTGTTCCTGTCGTCTCCTCAGCGAGTTCGCAGTCTGGTAACACTTCTAGCTCGGCACCAGTCGTCTCGTCCACCATCGTACCTAGTTCAGCATCGGCAAGCGCAACCTCGGGCATCAGCACAGTGCCCATTCCATCATCATCCCAGGCCAGAACCGTCACCTCCCCTGCCTCATCTCGACCTTTGCCAACGTTCTCTTTAGAGAGCTCACTCCTGTCCTCCGTTTCTTCGTCGGTATCTCCAACGGGCATTGTAGTCATACCGTCTTCGAGCACCATTGTTGAGCAGTCATCTTCGCTGGCGAGTACATCGCTGCCAACGTCTAGCGCTGTCTCATTAACGACATCCGGCGAGAACTCGTCTAGTGCCGTATCGACCTTGGTGGGAACGAGCCTCCAGGGAGTAACCCCAACTCCGTCTTCCAGCACCGTAGACTCTTCATTCGCCGGCTCATCAACGGTCAGCCCTGCATCTTCCTCACCAGAAACTACCTCGCAGACTACACGGCCTTCAGCCGCAGGGTCCTCTGTCCGCTACACACTGTCCACGAGCGCAACCCCAAGCTCATCTGTGCCTGCAGAAACAACAACCGGTCCTCCACCCGCACCGCCTGTTCAGACAGGAACTGCAAGTGCAATGGGCGCGAGTGGCAAGGAGAGAGTGTGGTGGGTTTCGTTTTTGCTTCCTGCGATCTTCTTCTTTTGAGAGATGTTGAGAGGCTGCCATGAGCTATGTTCACGATTCTTGTATGTTTATGATCTTACGATGCTACTTTAATGTTTCAACGATATAGTGTGGTGGCGATATTTTGTCAGGGGTCGGATATCTAGGATGGGGAGAGCCTTGGGCTAGAGACCTGGTGTAGACTACTGCAGGCACATAGATGATATCTGAAACAATACATACATAAGTCCGCAGAATCATCGTTGTTGATGAACATTCATATCTTCGACTGGTCTACCTCACATACGAACAAGACTAAGATTCAAGCAAAGATTTGGTAATCCACATGAAGGTTCAACCGTTGTTTGATGGCACGATCAGTCCACATGAAAGCAACAACCCACACCACCGACCGAATAACGCACCAAAGTTACCTCATGCGGATCGACTTCTACGGAGCGGTCGCCTTACTTCACTGAGCCTACGGACCAGGCTACTCCGGACTCAATCCCTAGTTCCCGCAGGGCTTTGATCTCCTCATACGTATTCAGATCTAGCGGCCACTCAGCTGCAAATTTTCCCCGTCAAGAACATGCGGAGAGACGTTGGCGAGGCTTGAGGGCGGGCGGGAGGTCTTGTACCGGCTAGCGCGCCCTAGCGCAGCCACCATTTCTTCCGTCAATCAGACCTCACTCTTCATCGACAACCATCCAACTACCTTTCGCGGCATTGTCGTGTCGATCTCGCATCCCCACACAGGCTTCATTCGGATGACAATCTTACTTTGAAAACCATGATGTTTCGGTGTAACAACCTCGCCGCGGCGATGCAGGCCGCTTCCTGCTCGTACCAGGACATACTTCCCTACCCTGCTGACCACAATCCCGGTACCATCAAGGCAAAATGAGTTGCATACGCTGCGGGGAAATAACCGCCACTCTATCTTGGACCACAGTCCGGTTAATTGAGATCATCTCTTCGTGCGATGTTATAGTATAAAAGCTATAAGAGTACTGTCGATGTACCTTCGCGGACTTACCAGGACGTACCAGCCGACTTCTTCAAGATGAAGTACTTCTCCCATGAGGCGGCCTTGCTCATTGGGTCATTACTATCCGCTTCCGCCAATGCCCTTGACCTGGTTCGCAGACAGGCTGCAACGAATGCCACATACAAGGACCCCTCTGCGTCAATTGATGACCGAGTTGCAGATCTGCTCTCGCGCATGACCATCGAAGAGAAGACTTCCCAGCTTATTCAAGGTGATATTTCGAACTGGATCAACACCACTACCAACGCATTCAACGCTACCGGTATTGCCTGGAACTTCGAGAAGCGTGGAGGCCAGTTTTATGTTGGGTACCCGGTTGAGCAGCAATGGATCGCTGGCGGAGTCAAGAGGGCGCAGGATTACATTCTGCACAACACGACGCTTGGTATCCCGGCTTTGGTTCAGACTGAGGGTATCCACGGATTGCTCGTAGGCAATGCGACTGTCTTCAACAGCCCGATCGCTCACGCGTGCTCATGGGATCCTGAGGCTATTCATGATATGGCTGTGATCATCGGTAAAGAGTAGGTGCATGCTACTCAACTGCCTGTCACCACATATATTGACTCTAAATGCAGATCCCAGGCCCTTGGTATCAACCAAATCTTTGCACCAGTTGTTGATCTGGCGCGTGAGCTCCGCTATGGCAGAGTCGAAGAGACATATGGAGAGGACCACTACCTTGCTGGAGAGTTCGGCTACAATTACGTCAAGGGTGTTCAAAGCCAGAAGGTTGCTGCCACCGTCAAGCACTTCGCTGGATTCTCGGCGCCCGAACAGGGTATAAACACCGGACCCGTGCATGGTGGCGAGCGTGAGCTCCGAACCACGTGGTTGCCCTCTTTCAAGCGCTCCATCATTGATGGTGGTGCGTTTAGTATTATGGGAGCTTACCACTCATATGATGGCATCCCCTCCATTGCCGACTACCTCCTCCAAGAGACCATTCTGCGCGAGGAGTGGGGCTACGAGTATTTTATCACCTCGGATGCCGGCGCCACAGATCGTCTCTGCTGCACGTTCAAGCTTTGCCAGTGCAAGACCGCAGACAAGCCAATCGACAAAGAGGCTGTAACCTTGTACACTCTCCCCAACGGCAACGACGTCGAGATGGGTGGCGGCTCGTACAACTTCGAGATCATTCCTCAACTCGTCGAAGCTGGCAAGCTCGACATTGATACCGTGGACCGAGCAGTTGCGCGCCAGCTTAGGGCAAAATTCGCCATGGGTCTGTTTGAGCATCCATATAATGCCCTGCCAGCGAACGAGACAAAGGCAGTCATCCACACTAAGGAAAGTGTCGCATTTGCACGCAAGCTGGACGCCGAGTCAATTGTGCTTCTCGAAAACAAGAATCAAACCCTTCCCTTGTCCAAGTCTGCCAACATCGCTGTCATTGGGCCCATGGCCAATTTCACCAACTTCGGTGACTACGTCGTGAAGGAGGCTGCATTGAACCCTGCAAACGTCAATCCTCTACAAGGTATTCAAGAAGCGACTAACGGTACCGTTACCTTTGCACAAGGCTGTGAACGCTGGTCCTCCGACGAATCCGGTTTCCCCGAAGCTGTCGCCGCAGCCGAAGCCGCAGACGTCGCCGTAGTCCTAGTCGGCACCTGGTCTCGCGATCAATTCGAGCTCTGGCAAGGCGTCAACGCCACAACCGGCGAGCACGTCGACGTCGCCTCGCTCAACCTCGTCGGCGCCATGGGACCCCTTGTGCAAGCCATCATCTCCACCGGCAAGCCCACCATCGTTGTCTACTCCTCCGGCAAGCCCATCACCGAGCCCTGGATCAGCGAAAACGCCGCTGCCCTCGTCCAGCAATTCTACCCCGGCGAACAAGGCGGCCACGGTCTCGCTGACGTACTATTCGGCGACGTGAACCCCTCCGGCAAGCTCTCCGTCTCCTTCCCCTACGACGTCGGCACCCTGCCCATCTACTACGACTACCTCAACTCCGGGCGCTACACCGAAGCCGGCAAGGTCTGGCCGAACGGCACGCTTCAATTCGGCCACCAATACGTCCTCAACAACCCGCAACCGCTCTACGAATTCGGCTACGGACTGTCCTACTCCAACTTCACGTACTCCAATGTCTCGCTCTCCAAGACTGAGGTTTCTGCGACTGACAAGATTACTGCGACAGTTAGTGTCACGAATGAGGGCGAGTGGGATGGTAAGGAGGTCGTGCAGGTTTATGTGCAGGATGTTATTGCGAGTATTGTTGTGCCGAATATTGAGCTCAAGGGATTCAAGAAGGTGCTTGTGCCCGCAGGCGAGACGGTCGATGTCAGTATTGATCTTGATGTCTCGAAGTGGGGCCTGTGGAATAGGACGATGAAGTATGTCGTGGAGAAGGGAGATTTTGTGGTGCATGTTGGTGCTAGTTCGAAGGATTTGAGGGCTAACGGTACTGTCACGGTGGTTTGATGGACCTTTTGTCCGACCTCGATGCAGCCCATGTCAAAACCTCATTCGTAGACCCAACCGATGGAACAAAGAGTTCCGCAAAACGATGGTTCGTGCGCTCACAGTCTCGCGCTAAACATGCAAGAACCGCGCCGCTGCGGGGACGCATCAGCCCGAGATTCACAACTGCAGAGCGTCAAGTCAAGTTCTGCATCATTTACTACGAAACCTTTCGTGTCCTCGGCCTAGCAGGTGTATAGGATGCAACCAATTCTTCAAGCTGTACAACGCGACGGTCTTGAGGTCCCTTTGACGCGACAGGTCGACGCGACATGTCATCCCCCACCCCTGGTTCACTGCCTGTTTCCATCCTTCCGCACATCACTTGGCCTAATCGACATCGTCCCTTTGATGCACATTGCACACAGTAACATCGAGTTTCTGATGCGAGGTCTACCTGCACGTAGCTTGTTTGCTTGTTCGTCTTGGCTACAACGCAAACGCTGTGCCTCAGCCTTGTCAGCATCTTTATTCTCGCCCTCTGGTTCTGACTAGAGAAACAGTCATGATGCGCTACGCAGGAGGGCGTACCGTGGATATCGGCGACCTTAGTGAATCGGACGCGGACGATTACGTTCCCAGCATCTTCGAATATGATTATCTCGCCATTATCGACAAAGCTGCTACCAAATACATGAACTATACCAACGATCATGTGCTGCAGTGGAGAGGCTCTGAGGCATTTTGAGAGACTTATCAAAACTGGTACGACAATCTAGTTTCGCTTCGAATTCCTTTTAGGTAGACAATCAATGCGATGCAGGAGAGATGGCATTACGAGGTCTCACAAGTTGATACTGTCTGAATTCACCACCGATTACACCGAGCAGGAGCGACCCATCCTCATTCCGGCGTTTGAGCCCGGCACCAGAGAGCTGCTTGGCTTTATTCGCTTCGCTTACGATCGAGAAGGCCTCAGTATCGGAGGAGGGCTGAAGATGGCAAACTTCAATGCTAGTCTGCAGGAACATACCCTTCGCACTGGTGGTACAACAAAAGCCAGGGATGCTGGACAAACGGGACATTTCGGTGAGGGCATGAAGCTGTCTGCTCTCGTCTTTCGCCACTCTGGGTACAAGATCTTCACAGAGAGCACGGGGGTTCAATGGGACTATTCCTACCAGCAGCGAGAAGCTCTCGGGTACCCCGGATGCGAAGTTGAACAAGATGATGAATGATACTCGTGGCCGACGCAGGACTGCAGAGGCCTGTCTATGGGAGGATGTCTGTGTCGTCATTGGCGCTCCTGAGAAGACACGCAACGTTTTAGGTAAACAGACGAAAGGGGAACGAACCCATGTCGACGAGTTCGGCTCAAGGTTACTCTGGATGTCAATCCCCCAAGGAAGATGGTATAAACGCCGAAGGGATATCTCATCCGGGATCCCATTTACCAAAGACAATTGTAACTACAGGGCTTGTTTTTTTCAAGAGGTGGTCCAGTACACGGTTCTACCAGTATGGTTATAATTCCTTCACTGGAAGCGCAACACGAGACCGCACTTCGCTCTCTGGAGCAAACGAAGAGAGCAGGCGAGACGCTGACATCCGGGCTGCTGCAATACGAGAAGACACCTCAGACAATTCAGACATACTGACCGAGTATACTCAACTCATACTCAAGTCTCTGAGCCAAGTCGGAGATGCTCTGCTCAGCAGAGAACGCAATACCTTGAAGGAGGACATCGCCGAGAAGGCGTGGGCGCATCTGTTACTTATCAACCAAACCCAGAACCGAAATGCTTTCTACTACGGCGCGAAGGGCAAAGACGTAGGTTTGCACACCACCTCCAACGTCTACACACTAACTCTCTGGTACAGGATGAACAAATCATTAAGCAGAGCCTCAATATGAACCCAGTGTCAATCTTGCAGGAGCTATGGGGCATGCTCTGCAACTTCGGTCTTTGTCAAACACCTCAACACGAACTCTTGAAACGATTAAGTTCGCGCACATCGTGGAAGTTTCAGCAAGGAAGTTTGCAACACACATGAACTGGATACTGAAGAATATCCTGCAAGCGTCGCCTGTGACTAAAGATGTGAAATTGTCTTTCGTTGATGGCAAGTCCTTGGACGTCAATGTTGGACTCTTCGCGGATGAATGGAGAGTTCACGACAAATTACTCAACTGGGAAGGCGCTTACGAACATTCATTCTACGACACAGATGGCACCGGCGATCCAGAGATATTCACTTACAACCACGCGTCCCCAAGTTGTGGGACAATATGATGACGCAATTCATGGCTTCTGAAGTACATCGTGAACCGCGGCTCAAGAAGGCGACTTGAGAGATATGGCTAAAGTTCGCTTGTCGCATACATCCGGGTTGATCAAGTGCACTCACTCAGACTGACAGGGAAGGTCAATTGCTTGGCACCTGAAGTCTGCTGATTCACACCAGAACAAAGAAAAGCAGGTCAGAATCGTCCTGCACCATGCTACATGCAGCTAAAGGCAATTGACTGATGGTTTATCGACCAACCCCACGCTTGCGCTTTGCTGACTTTGTTTGACCATACGTGCACCTGCCCCAATCTCAAGTCGCAAGCTGTCAGCGAAGGGGTTGTCTTCAAGGATCTGAATCTGACTGATCAATACATCCCCAGTGTTTCGTGGGACGTACAAGGGGCTCTTGTTGCTCTTCCCTCGGGGCGAAGGTACCCCGGAAGCACGCTGCCTCGATGCTCTACAAGAATCAGCGAGAGCACCACCAGCGTCTAAGATAGGTAACAACCCACACTGGCTATGGCAAGATCGTCACTAACCATGCCTAGTCAACAACCGCAACGACGAGGACGAGGTCGAGAACATGGCTGATGCCGGCCCAGTACTCGGTGGCTCGAGCCGTAGCGTTTCGCCACCTGCCACAAATCAACGCGACAACGACTTAGACTACATGCCAATGCCTACTTCTGCGTCGATGGCGAATATTGAGAGCGGAAATACCACTGTTCGACAGGACTCGAGTATGGGATCGAGCCGCACTCTAGAGACTAGCGCGCAGCCGCCACCCAAAGTCGTGCCTTGCACTGATTTACACAGTATGATACCAGAATTCACCACGCCGATTTAGCTGACCATATACCAGCTTTGGGAGATTGGATTGATCAGAAATTCTTAACGGAGAGTAGAGTGTTTCCTAGGAACTACGATTTCGATCGTGTGCACGACATAAAAGACGACGATGTATACGTCGTCAAATATCAGCGTCAGGCTACTCAAGGGCAGAGCAAACGACCATAAGACAGTGATCTAACACTATGTACATCAAAGACTCCACGGCTGGAGTCAAGTCGTGATGGAGCAGAGAGCAACGGGCCTGAGCAGAACGAACCGTCGGTTCGACACCACGACTTCAATCGCACAATAGCTCTGCCTCACATGCTGTTCGTAGTACATCGATCACAGATAGCCTTTACGGCGAAGGCTCCGCACCCATTCCTGCTGCAGCGTCCGCGAGAAGGACGTGTCCAACATGCATAAGCTTTTGTAAAGGGAAATTGAGGCTCGGCCCCTACTAACGAGGACATATCGTGCCTGGCAACGACAATTGAATCATCTGCAGTGTCAGAAGATCTCGGTGAGAAGTAGAAAAGCAAGCTGAAGCGCCTTCTACTCCGAGAACCGGAAGGACGAACTATAAGAGGCCATCTGTTCGGACAGTTTCGCCTTCCCTTTCTGAAAACGGACCTGTCACTTATCGGCATTGAGCCTCGGTGAGTGCAGTAAGAGAGATGATGAGCCTTGGATTTGGAGACGTGGAATATTGCTCGAAGATACGTTGCATTCGATCATGGTTGACGACTTTGCAGTATAATAAACTCTCATTGACTTTGGCGAAGTGCAACAAACCCATTGATTACCCTTCTCTTGCACCTCTGAATACGCCTCTCCAGGTCGTCTTCTCTTGGAGAGGTTGAACGATCTTAAGAGGATCAATGTAGTCCCATACATCTCCTACCTCAGCTATTCTCTTGGTGACAAAGATCCAGGTTCCCAGTTGTTGCGTCCCTGGAGGATGATGTCGGAGCTGACAGCGTGGGTCGACATGATATTGGTGATAGTCGTTTTTGATTATCCACACTTTTTCTGGTGGTTTGTACCATGAACCTGTACATCTCAACACCCGAGTGTCTACCGTGTCTGTCTCGCCCTTGTGGACAGTCCTTACGTGTCCCTTCAGGTCTGTGCCTAGGCTGAAAGCTGCAGTACACTTTCCGCAAGCCTATCGACGGTTGTTTTTAGCGGTTATAATGTGTTTCGGAGCCCGGGGGTGCGAAATGTGATGTTGCAAACCTGACATCTATGTTCAGTCACTGTGCTTGTCTGCTTATTTGAACATCTGGAAGTTGTCGATGGCCAAGCATTAATCGATAAGTCTCCAGCCCTTTATGGCATACGGTCCGTAGTTTCTGTTCCAGTGTCGGGAGATCGAGCGACAGAGTGCGTCGCAATTCGCTTGTCATCGTTTCCATTAGCACAAACAAAGCCGGAAAGGACTTCCGCTGCTTCAAACAGGGCTTGTCGATTGGTGCAAGGTCTACTTGCAGTTTGCTGAAGCTTTGAGCACCAATCTTTGAGTCGACCTCGAAGTGCGGAAAGATGACAGGATTTGGTCGAAATTCAACTTCCCAAGGCTCTACACATCAAGCTGAGGGGCCGAATATGGCGATTACGTCGTCAAATATCTCAAGTGGGTCGAACTGGTCAGAAGATAGGTCCGGAACACCCTCGTCGCGGAATTCGAGGGGTTTTCCAACCGGTTCAGAGCCCGAACTATTCCGAGTCCGAATAGGATTCGAATCTCGCCAGTGGCATTGCTCCATCACTAGGTGCACTTTCTCCCTCCGTTGGTAGTAGATCAGAGATACCACCTTGACGAAAAGCTTCCGACGGTTTCGCCTCTTCATCTATTTCTTTTTCTTCCTCTTGCTCTGTTTCGTCAAGCGCTACAGCTTCATGGAGAGCTTCTGCCAACGCATCTGCATCCATGGAGCTAATTCTGGATCTCCGAGGATTCCACACAGTCTTTAGACCTGGCAACTGCGCGTGTTCCTTGGCCACAGCGGCTGCACATGCTCTTTCACCAACGAGTGAACACGTTCTTCAGTGGACGCATGTCTCTCGACCAATGTGTGGATCTGCTCCTCTGCCGGTGTCTGAGCGACTTTTCTCATTTCTTTCAATTCCGATGCCGAATGAAGCCATGTATTGTACAGCGGTGCTAGCGATGATGGCATTACAATGCCAAGGTGAGTTTGAAGATCTCGTAAAGAACCATCGTGAGTTTTGGATTTCGACTGAAATGCTGTTCCAATGCCGATGAATGAGCAAGCATATTCGGGGTTGGCAACCAGCTTATCAGGCTGACTTTGAAAGTTGAGGCACACTGACCGTCGATCTCTCGTCTCACTGGGAGTGATGATAGTCGCACAGCAGATGAACCTCGTCGTCAGCGTCAGCAAGAAATATCCTTACAATGAAGTCTGGTAAATGTGTATTCATGGATTGTATGTCCAACCTTCAAACGCCAGGCAATGAAGCACTTTCCTTGCCATCCCAATCAATGCAACCCACTCTCCCCCGTCTCCACCATATCCTTCTGACAATCCACCATCATCTTAACCATACTCGCAACCTCCTCCAGCCTACTCAACACAATCTTGTTCCCCTCCACAAACCCGTAACAATGATACCTAACCCCCGTCTTCTTGCTAAACTCTCTTACCAGCTCCTGCCCCCTCCGCAAATTATGCCTCGGCATCCGCGGAAACAAATGGTGCACAGCCTGGAACTGCAAACCGCCGTGCACCCAATCCAACCACGCAGGGCACTCGACGTCCATCGTTGTGCGCATTTGGCGCTGGGGGAAGGACTCAGTAGGACCAAGGTCGGAGGTGGGCATACCCCAATGGCTCAGCGTGATCTGCACATGCAGGATCATAGTGACGAGGTGGCTAATCAGCACGAAGCCGATGCGGATCGACCAGCTAGGCAGCGTGCACCAGACGAGCAGATATCCGAAAATAAACCAGTAGCACGCCATGAAAACGAGTTCAACGGGGCGTGTCCACCATGCTGCGCCGAGTTGGGCGGCGCGAGGGGAGAACAGGTGGCACCAGCTGAGGAGGTAGAGGTTGAACCGCGCCAGGGCCATGATGGGGTAGTATGTGTACTTCTGGTAGGGCAGCAAAACCTCACATGCAGCATCCCATTTGAATTCGAAGTCCTTGTAGAAAGTTGAGATGACGCCTTTGATATAGGTTGGGGAGGTGGAGAAGAGGGGTGTGTTTTGGATGTCGGGATCGTGCTCGGGCATGTTGGTGATTAGGTGGTGCACGTTATGGGAAGATTTCCACCAGCCGATTGAGAGGCCGCAGCAGAAGTCGGCGATGAAGACGCCGATTAAAGTGTCAACGACGAAGTTGCCGGATATGCCGCGGTGGCCGGCGTCGTGCGCTGTGAACATGATTTGTTGCTGGGAAATGTCAGTGGACATATTGGAAGAACTTTGAGGTGGCTTACCCAGAACAAACCCAGAAAGAGGGCAGATGTGAGGTACCACTTGCTGTAGAGAAGGTATGTGAAGGCAGCAAACAGAGCGGCATAGCGAATGGATTCCCATCCGTATGCTGAGTAGTTGCACTGGTACAAGCCCTCCGCCTTGATCTGTTCGTGCAGCTCGCGATAGTCCAGCAGGATCTGTTGTTGTGTCTCAGCATCAAGGGATGGGTTCTCCCTCAAGCCGTCCATTATCTCCTTCTCTTCCAGCTCGGCAGCAAACTGAAGTCGGTGTGCCGTCTTATCGAATGCGGGAAGTAGAGAGGCTTCGGAACGTAACAGAGGCTGCTTCTCTGGGTCTGGTGTGCGGGATCTGCATGTGTTTGTGCATCCATCGATAGGATTAAGTTTCTTGCCGATCGTGGCAGCGACCTTGGATCTGGCGTTAGCATATGCCAGGGATGCACACTCGAATCAATTTCGCACAGAGCATGTGTTGGATAGAAGACTAACGGAGCTCAGGTCGACACTCCGTCTTGAACATCTATCAGCAGCTTTGGTAGCTTTCTTCTCGTCGAGATCTGCGTCGGAGTGAGGTTTTGCGGCGCGAATAGGAGGTTCGCGATTCGTCCATGGTTCTTGTATGCGGCCAATGCGGTACTTCTTCATCATTAGAAGGGCCTTGTTGGAGTGATAGCTGCAGCATATGGGGTCAGTTTCACGTTTTGAGATCAGACGAAGAGCTTCTCGAGCTCTCGATATGAGAAAGTGCATACATGTTGATCTCGTCTGTTGCATCTCTGCCAACCATGTGCAAGATGGCCAGGCGGCCACCAGGGTGGTTATCGATCCATGTCGAGATGTTCAGGGCATACCCCTCGTGAATTACGATTGGTTCACCTTGCGCAACCAACTGCTCAATCTCTTGCGCGGAAACAATGTTTTGCCGTAACATGGCAGCGATTTGGGTGGTTGATGGTCGCAGGAAGGCTTCAGGAACAAGCCCACGGCACGCAGGCATATATGTACTGCCACAGCGTATTTCACTTGACCCCCTAGGTGCTCTCAGTCCAGAGATTGCGCGTATGCACGGTTCGGGGCCCCGAAACCTGAAAGATGGAACTGCTTGCGAGCTGCACGGGGCTGAGTTCTTTGTCCTAGCCTTACATAAAGCTGGGTGGTCACTGCTCCAATCAAAGCCGTTCAGGGTCCAAGACCCATATCCGAATACGGCTAGCAGCTCCGCTTTTCGAGATCTCCACGCACGCGTATCTGGGTACGTCGCCTCCTTGACTTGCTCTTACGTTGCGGGTTCCACCCACAAAATCAACTCGGCTCTTCCTTTTACGACCCTGTGCGAGAGTCGTACCATACTCCGCCTGTCTCTAGCTCATCTGTCAAACACCATAGGCGCCAGTTCTAGGGGTTTCGGCCGTCTCCCAAGGGCTTGGCAGGTCAGGGATAACCGGAGCACGGCCTGGAACAAATAGATCAAGACACCTTCTGGAAGCGTACCGCGTGGCTTGCTGGAAAGCAGCACATGGAAGGCGGATGGCGTGTCTTCGGCCCTTGTTGTTCCTTTGAAACGCGGGAAAGACCGCGCCTGAATTGAAAATCGTGCCTGTAACGTCGTGCAGGATCATGTGCTGTTGCGTTGTTTTGCAATACCGCAGAGTCGTAGCCCAAGAAGCAAATCAAAATCCACCTCGGTCCCCCGCACTGCTTCGACACTTCCCAATGCCTTTTGTCGTGGGTCTACGATGTCACGACAAACAGTCGCCGCTCTTAGTGCCGAAATCTGAGTCGTCTTGGGATGATCGTTGGGTGCAACCGTGCCGTGTTTCGACGCCTCTCGCTCCGTGGTCCAGCCGCTTTCGAGCTTGGACCCCCATAGCGTTCTCTTGAAGTCCACAAAGACCAGGCTGGGCGTGATAGTGATGTGCGTTCACAGGATCTCTGCCCGGGCACGCTGCATCGAAGGTAGTCGCTGTCGCCCTGATAGTTGTACTGCTCGATATTCGCGCAAAGGTTATGAAGGCGTGAGATCTTGGGTTTGGGGACTCCATCGGTGCCCGGGAAGTGCCAAATCTCTTTGCTTGTTTGAGTGGGTCTTTGCGAGATGTGCAGCCTAAAGCGGCACAATCATCTCCTTTCCGGTAGTTGGTCTTCACGTCTCTCATCGCCCTCGCCGTGATTGCACGACGAACATGCGGAAAGACTCCCGTAGCCTACGATGGCAAGGTGTAGTCGAGTACATTCCTGAATTCGTCATTGTTCGTCAAAATAGTTCGCGTTGTGTTGCCTGGCTGCATCGCTCCTGGCTCGGTCTCAGCTGGTCAAGGTTGAGAGATGTTCTGGCTCGGTAGCCGAAGAATGCTGTGAGGTTGGTGATATGTCGCATCGAAACTGCCCTCTTTCTGAAGAGCCTTCCTGCCAACTTTGAAAATCCAAAAGTCGATTGCTTGGGTCCTCCGAATGTGTGCAGCAGATGGTCCAGGCCATGGCGTTGTTCAACTGTTCTCAGCATCTTCTTACCTTAAGCTTTCCAGCTTGTCTTGATCATTTCCTATCTTCTATAGTTAGGTGATGTCGCAGCCCGTGTTGGATCCTACCGATGGCGTGGTATTGCGCTCAAGCGCGAAGACTCTGTCGCAGACTCGGACCAAACGACGATTCGCACGACTTTTGTAATTGTACGAGTATCGCACAGGTCCTCAGTAAGTTATCGTGGTCTCACCCGCATATTTCCATGCTGTTAATGTTCGAGGTTAGCGTGCAGAGTGCTCGTGCGGTGCAGCTTGAGCAGGAACTCAGCCTCAAAATGGGGAGAGCAAGTTGTCGCTAGGTCACATCTCTGCTGTACGACGTACGGTCGTATATATGCGAGAGAGAAGGAGTAAAGAGGGTTTGAAGGGTCTTGCTGACGTTGACGTGTATTATTCATCATTCCGGAGCATCCGAAATGAGGCGCCTAAACTTGATCGGGCCGTCAGCAACTGCTTACTTCACGGATCGCGGAAAGCGCGAGTCCGAAAGATCTGGAGCAATAGCATCTCAGCAGTCGATAAGATACTTTGTGATCGTCAACGTCAACTAGCTGATGAAGGGGAAGCTGCCGTTCTTGCAGGCTCCGAGCGACACTCTCATCGATCTGGTAGACTCAGACTGCATCACTACGAGACAAAGCGCAGAATATCAGAACAAAGTAGCTCAGTATACTACCTACTATGACTATGATATACCTTGCCAAAACTAGCTACACACGTGTGACTTGCATCAGAAGACACAGGCCTGCACTCCCGGTCTCCCTCCGCAGCATCATCATGCTAGCTGGAAACGCTCAACGCCCACCAATTCCTCGCCATTTTATGCTCATACAATAGCGCGCCTGCAATGCATACCGAAGGTCATGAATATGTAAAGAAGCGCGGAACATGGTCGATACAATCTGAAGAAACGATGTACTGATTATGCGAAGCCAAAGTACTCACCACCAGCGGTCATGGCTGTGTAGAGAGCCTTGCGGAGATCTTCGTAGGACTCGTATTCTGGAAGGTCAAGCTCTGCAGCGACGTTAGTGGTGACTCGTAAAAAGTCTGTAGTGACGGGAACTTACGGTTGAAGCAAGTATGGCTGGACGGCAAGCGGTCCTTGCTGCCATAGTCGCGATGGATGTTGAACTTCGAGAAGCCGTTCATGCCCTCGAGTTCCTTGAAGCCGTTCAATGGCACCTTACTGGTACCAGTGACGAACTGGAGCAGCTTAGCCTGCTCTTCCTTCTCGAATGTACGGACAGCACGCCAGAACCACTGGATCTGTGGCGAAGCAGCGGTATAGTTGTGGTATTCAGTGTTGTTCTTCCAGTCATCAACGTTGATATCAGGAAGACCAGAAATCAGCAGCTCAAGCTCCTGTTCGCTGAAGATGGATACCAACTCGGCTGGCACAATGTCGTGGAAGCCCCGAAGGAATTCCTTGAGTTGCTCTTCGACGGCGCCTGTGAGGCGGTACTCCGTGATGAGGCGGATGTATTCGTGCTTGTTATCCTCGGTGACCGGGATGTTGTGACCATTCTCAATAAGATCGACAGTCTGCATCTCACCAAACGCCTCGACTTCAGTCGAGAAGGTTTCAGTGATGATATCTGTGATGTCGTTATGCAACATCCACTCCAGCGACTTGTAGTACTCAAGATCCAGAGTTTCCATATCCTTGAGGTTGACCTGCTTGCTCATGATCTGCTTGTAGACTGCACGACTGAAATGGCAATCAAGAACACGACCCTCGTAGAGCGCTTTACCGATGATGCGTCCAATAAATTTGAAGAACATCAAGTGCTCCGGGTTGATAGAGCTGAGCCTGTTTGGATGGAAGGTCGTTCGGTCGGACGCGACAGGTACGAAGAGCGCGTAATCGGCGTTGAACATCTGGCGCGCGATGACTTGGAACCACTCGCGGGTCACACCACCAGCATCAACACCCTCTTCGCCGTGGAAGCGGATGCTGAGCTTGCCATACTTCATCTCTTCTGCACTCTTGAAGTACAAAGACTTAAAAGAGTCCAGGAAAACTTGGTCTCGGCGCACCGAGAGCTGGAGCGGCGGATGTGGTTGACGGTCGCCTCCACGAGAGTGAAGCTTTCGGTTGAAGTAGTTGCGCTTGTTGTCAAACTCCAATACCTTTGAATTCTTGACCAATAGGGAGAATGTACCGCTCATCAATTTCGGATTCTGGCGAACAAGGTCGTTCAGGATCTTTCGGTGATCCTCTGTGAAATTGAAGAAGAGGTTCTCCATCTTACTCTCCGGTGGCGGGCTGGTAAGCGCGAACTCCTTTGGCAACATCTTGGCCAATGGAAGCTCCTTCAGAGTAGTGTTCTTGCAAACGACCATAAGAGACTCAATGAGAGGCAGAAGCGTGGTCGCAATGTTGAGCATATTGCCTCGTTCGCGAATGACGGTCAGGCAATCGCTGAGTTTGGTCCAGAGCGGCGCGAAAGCTGCATCTTCATAGAGCGTCAACAAGATGTCCTCCTTCTGCTTGGGTTCAAGTGCCTCCGCACTGGCTTCAGGCTTGTCCTTGCTGTCGCGTGAAGGGTCAAACAAGTAGTCGAGCGCAGTCAAAGCCCTCAACAGCTTCGTCTGATCTGAAGTCGCAGGCGAGAATTTAGCTAGGGCAATACCCTGGACATCCGTGTGCGACTCTGCCTTGGACACCTGAGCTTTCAAGCTGGCAAGATCATCGAGAATTGATTTAGCCAGTTCCTTCGCAATGCCAAGCAGTTCCTGGCCGAAGATCTCCTTTGCGCCTGGAATGGGCGAGAGATTGCTAATGACGGATAGGGTTTCTTGGAACACCTTACTATTGCATTCGCGGGCAGCAAGAATCTTAGCGACCAGACGCAGGTTGTTCTCAGGAATGTCTGGCGGCGTAATCGTCCTGTGCTTCTTGCCCTTCTCTTCCTCGGTCTTTGCTTTTGCCTCTTCCGGCTTGGTCGAGCTGCCTTCGCCTTCTGTGGTTGCAGTTGTAGGCGCAGTTGCATCGGCGGTAGCTGTCATATCGGTGTCTTGGCCTGCTTGCTGATCCGCCAGCTTCTGTTCAGGTCCAGCCACCGGAGCTTCAGAATTTGGGCCTGCAACAGCAGCTTCAGCTGCCTTCTTGGCCTCTTCCGCAGCCTTCTCCTTGTCTTTCTTGATCTGCTGTAGAGGGTAGGTGATGATTCGAAGTAGACCCGTCAGCTGCTCCATGATTGAGGAGCTCTCTACGATGAGCTTTCGATCCAGAAGAGTCAAAAGTGCGTTGACAGGGTATCGGGTTGACTTAGCGTCCTTGCCCTTGCCCTTGCGATTGCCACGATTCTTGAAGCCCACGCCTGTCTCGTGCTCGGTCAAGAAAAATTGCCAGACAGCTGGGTTCTTCTCTGTTAGCTGTGCGAGCGTGTTCAAGCACTGTTGCACCACCATCAGTGGCGACACGTCTGAGTTGATAGACAATGCGCCGTTCTTTCGAGACAGCTTTGGGGTCTTGTCTGCAGGCTGCTGCGGCTGCTTCGCGCGGAGTGAGAGTTGAGCGAAGCTGCGCTCGACAGCATTCACGTCGGCGCTGCCATCTTGGAGAATGGAGAGAAGGATGCTAATGACTTCGGCTCGGTTTTGTCGGTTCTCGCAGACGTACCGCAAGATCGAGCTGAGACTGGATTTGGCACTACCCTGCTGAGGGATGAACATAAGCCTCAGCAAAGTTGCAACACCTGCCTTGTCGAGCATCTGAACGCATGGACGAGCCTTCTTCTTCTGTGTGGGGTCATCCGGCTGGCCTCGACGTCCGCCGCGTTGGTAGCCAAACTCGAACTGATTCAAGCGTCGATCACCACCATATGCTCGGGCTTCTGCCGAGATCTCAGGTGGCAGTTGTCGCAGGGTGTCCTCGTCTGTGTCCATGAGGACGGCGGCACGCAGAGCAGGGTCCAAGGTCGCGAAGAAGCTAGCAGCATCGATCTCTTCCGCTTGAGCTGCAGGGACACCGGCGTTGGCAGCTTGACGGCGGCGATTCTCCTCCCGTTCACGTCTTCGTCGATCAGCCGCTTCTTGTTGGAGGAGCTCGGCACGCATCTCCGGCGGAAGGGCAGCCAGAAATTCTTCGTCGAGCTCGGTAGGCTCCTCAACCTGGGCGGCACTGCCGGCCTGTCCAGGTTGACCGGATGACTGTTGTTGCCGGGCCTGCTGCTGTTGACGCGCTTGCTGTGCTTGCTGCTGGCGTTGCTCTTGACGTCGCTCAGCGACTTGTTGCAGCAGCACTTCTTCGCGCAGTTCCTCGGGTAGTGCATCAAGGTATTCGAGGTCAATGCCCAGCTCAGTGATATCGTATTCGCGCCCCCTCAGCATGGTAGTGATGCGCTGTACTGGTTCGGCAGGAGCCTCAGGCTCTGCTTGACCGGCTTCGACGCCTTCCATAGAGGTGCCTTCGATTGATGTGGCGGGCTGCTCTTTAGCTTCGTCCGATGTAGCAGTCTCAGCTGCGCGACTGGCCGCCTCTGCGGCTTCAGCAGCTTCACGTTCCTGTCGCTCCTCCTCCTCCTTCTCTCGAGCTTCGCGCTCCTCGCGCTCCTTCTGCTCTTTACGCTCCTGCTCTTCCTTGGCCTTGCGGGCAGCCTCGGCCTTTCGCTCTTCGTCTCGTTTCTTGGCTGCTTCCATGGCGGGAGGTACCATGAGCTTCAGAATCGAGTTGATCACGCGTTGACTCTTCTCGATTGCAACCGGGCCGTAGAGGATCCTAGCTTCTTCTTGCCAGCGTTGACTAGTGTAAGCCTTCGAGAATGCAACCGCTGAGTGTGGGTCCTCGCGGGCGGAGCGTGACATGTTACCGGGTCTGGGAGGAACCATGTTACGATGGAAGCCGACATCGAATGGTGGAGGGATACCAATTGGGAGATTGTTGAAGGACAGATGGATAGCACCACCATGCTGTTGCAGCTGCGGTGCGTTACCTTGGCTCATGGCGTTAAGTAGGTTGCTAATGAAAGAAACAGGGCTGTCAGCATTGGCTGCGCGAGGGCCACGTCCCTCTATGGCGTGGACCCAATCGCTCTCACCCCGACCAGTAGGTCCATCGCGACCGTGCAATCGGCTGCCACGCTGCAGAAGAGGATTGATGCCATCGTCCGTTGCGCGAGGGCCGGCGCCTGGACGATGGGAACGATATGCTGGGACGAGGATACGGTCGCCAGGTCCGGCAGGGAACATCCAAGGACTCAGTCGGTGGGTATGGCGGGAGGTCGGAGCGACCGGCTCACCGATATCCCAATTTACGCCACCACCGCCCCAACCCAGCTCAGGCATGCCTTCTTCGTCGTCTTCCATCCCAGGATCGTAGTGGATGTCATCTTCGTCATACTCCTCTTCCTCCTCTTCTTCACCTAGTGTGGTCAGAATGAAATGCATGAAAGTGCGAACGTACTACATACCATCTTCGCCCATCTCGTCACCCAAGAAGTCCTCAATGTCACCACCCTGACGCATCTGTTCGAGAAGCTGAGGTGGGTCAAGAATGAAGCCGCTAAGAGGGTTTGTAGGCATGTTATCCCCATTCATACCGGGTGGAAAGTCGTCGCCCTCGTCACTCCATTCTTCTTGGTCGTCAGCGAGACTACCGCCTTCGTCGTCACCGGTAACCTCTTCGAGTTCCTCGACCAGCTCGTCCATGGCATCCATGACGGCTTCATCGTCGATAGGCTCCTCCTCATCGTCGTCATCATCCATATCTTCATCGTCTTCATCATCCTCATCATCCTCTTCCGAGTCATCGTCGGTGCCTGACTCCATGCCCTCTTGGCCATCGTCAAGTTCGATCTCGACGTCGACATCGCCAGGCAGCCCTTCGATAGGACCCATGTCGTCGATATCCATCTCCAGCATTTCCTCGTCTTCTTCGGAAACCACATCGTCATCACCGAGCTCTCCGCCTTCGTCGTATTCCATATCGTCGGCGTATGGATCGTCGTACATCATCTCTTCATCATCTTCGTCCTCTTCATCTTCAGATTCGTAATCGTCATGAGGCTCGAACAGTCCGAGAGTGGAGTTGCGGAAGAGGTCAGGCGTTTCCTCGCGTGCGTTGTCGACGAGATCATCGTCCGATGCTGTCGAGATCTCGGACTCGTCAGCAGAGTCAGGCGCTGAAGAGTCGTCATAGTGTGTGCTCAGATCCATTGCGACATAGCACAGCCACTTGAGCGGCTTCAGGATGTACTTGACGACTCGCTTCGCGTTCGGGAAGTTGAGGTCGATATCTGAGATGGCTGTCGTCAGGATAGTGATGAAGTTCTTCTCATACATGATCTTCGCCATTTGCTTGAGGTTTGGCGTAAGATCGGCATTTGAAGTGAGCATCTCACCGTTGGCTCGCTGCGACACCAGCCTCGAGAAGATGTCAGCAATGCCTAACAGACGTGAGTACTTCATGTCGAGAGCCTCGTCAGAAGCGCTGGCGTCCTTGAATGCCTTCAGAGCATGTTCAAGAACAAACTTGCGCACAAAGAGGAGGTCCTGTTCAGTCTCAGCGTAAGGGGACATTTGGCTCGCCTCTGCCTTGGGCAGGGCATTCTCTCCCGTTTTGTTACAAAGGGAGACAATGAGATCGATAGCACAATTCGACGTTGCAAGCTTCTTCTTGAAGGCGAGATCGCCCTCGTGGTTGAGGGTACCGATAGGAACCAAGACGTTAAGAAGATAATTCAGCACGCCAGAACGAGGCTTCGAGGGTGTCATCGTGTACGGATCGGCCTTGCGCGAGAAGTTAATGAACTCAATCTTGGTACGGTTGTAGCTTTGCAGGAGTTCCGCGAGGCACTTGAGGATGAAACAACGGTAGATGTAGATTGGATGCGCATCAGCCTTGAATGTGGGCTTCTCAGACTTGCTTGGGTCTGAAGCCGTAGTCGAAGGTGTCGAGGCTCCTTCTAAAGGGGGCTGGGGTTCGCCAGTGGCGTTCGGAGTCTCTGGGCTCTCTGGTGCGGACTCCATGGGCTTCCGGGGCTCTGCTTTGTCCTCGATCTCCTTGTATGCGAGCAGCTCGCAAAGCAAATAGTGAATGACACCATCAGGGTTTTCGACAACCGGGAGCTTCAGATCTGTAGTCTTTGTGCGCTCCAAAACCGGTTTCTGAGGTGGGACCTCACTTGACTCCTTAGGCTTGTCTGCCTCAGCTGTGGTGTCTGAAGGCCCGGCGCTTGCGTTAAGCTCTGTGGCAGGAAAATCCTCTCGCTTGAGCGTCAGAGTCTGAGGTCGCTGGTTGGGATCAAAACGCGCCAATTGTAACTTCTCGTTGGTGATTTCGACAAAGATCTCGGGAGCTCGGATGGCAAGAGCATACATCTGGCGGGTGTAGCCGGTCGTGTCAGTCTGCCTTCGATCGCGCGACTCGAACATCTGCTGAATCTCTGTACGCATAAGCTGCCTGATCATGGCGTCGTCCTCGATCATGTGGCGAAGGACGATCATGAAAGCACTCCGTAGACCTTCATTGGTCACGCCAGCAAGTTGCTTAATCATAAGGAAAATGCGCTGGATGTTGCGCTTCTCTGCCAGACGTGATGCAATCTTACGTGTGCGAGTGAGCATGACCAGGACGCGGGTGACTGACAAAGCCAAAGACTCGTCTTTGCCAATGCGTGGAAGAATGTCCATGATCGCTTGGAATAGGAGGCTCTTTTCGTCGGTGCTTACGATAGGCTCAGGTAAGTCATCGACGGAAGTTTCTTGCTGTGAATCGCTAGTTGGAGGCGTCCACTGGATCTGGTGGGGAAGCTGATCTTCAGCCAGGAGTCGCTCAATGATGAGAAGCACCTGTCCGATCCAGGGCGAGGACTCCTCGGGCGTCTGATCCGGGAAAATCTTGATGAAGCCAAGCAACGTAGCAAAGTTGTCTTTCAACTCTTCCACAATGACTTCGTAGAAGTCCTTCTCTTGCAGGACCAGGGCAAGCAAATGTGCAGAAGCTGCGATCTTCTTGCCTTGCGAACGGAAGTCATCCTCGCTCTGGTATGAGATCAGAGACTGAACCAATGTCACGCCGATTTCGGAGCGCATGGCCGCTGGGTCAGATGCCTTTGCAACGGCTGCAGTGATGAGATCTGCCAATTCGAAGGTGACACCATCATGTGAGTTGAGTATATCGAGCGAACGATCGACTAAGTTCTGACGGAGTGTAGCGCGCTCCTTGTCGAGATCGTCCAAGGCAACAGCTTCAGCTTTGTTACCAACAGCCATTCGCTTCTGGTATGCTAGGGCATCGCGAGGTGCAACGAAAGGCTGCGCTGGCTGGCTATCGGGCACCGGTGTGCTGGCAGAGGCATCCGGCATTTCCTGAGAGGCATCTGTGGCAACATCCTCCATTTGAACAGATCGAGCGTCTGGTGCTTCTAAGGCGCTCTCATCATTAGTGTCGTCGCCTGTAGAAATACTGGTGTTGTCGGCATGCTCAGGTACTACAACCTCAGCTCGGCTGGGTGATGTAGACGGTGGGCCACGAGCCTCGATCTCGTACTGTGGAATCGGATTTCTTGACGACGGCTGATGAGTCTGATTTTGGCAGTAATCATGTGCCAGGTTATAGTTGTCGCAGCAGCGATAGAGTGCCTCTTCAGCCAAGCTCTCCTCGAAGTCTGCCTCTTTCAAGCGGATCATATGCTCGCCATTACGGGGCGCCCATGGCTTGATGATAGGTTTGCTTCGCTTGGGGATCTTATCCACGCTCTTGGACGCTCCGTGCTCACCTTCGCACTCAAGAACAGACCTCAAAATGTTAATGGATGTCTTCACTATCGAGGTGGTGGCTTTGTCGATAAGATCAGAGTTCCAGATCTTCTCAACAGGCTTGATGGCGGCGTAACGTAACTCAACCAAGAATTGTGGCGTGGAGAAATAGTCTGCTCGATCGCGATCACGATCTGGTCGAGTCTGCATTGACGATGTCTGTGGCGACTCGCTTATGATCTTGTTGTTAGTGATCTGGGCGTAGAAAGCCAGCATGATCTTGATACCGCCCAGTGACAGGTGCAGAAGTCGCTTGCTCTCCTCGCTCGCATCGTCACCCTCCTTGTGGGAAGCCTCCGAAGCTGACTCGTAGAACTTGTTGAGTATATCCGCAAGCACTTCAAAGCCGCCAAGATTTCCGAACGATACGAGCAATAGAGTCAATGCTTGGGTCCTATCCATATGTGGGTCGATCATGAGTTGCGACAGAGATGTCAAGGTGACAATCCAGTATGCATATCGATCTTCCACAGAGCCTGACTCTTTAGGTGCCTCAAATTGGAGCTGATCAATGACCGCTTGCGCAAGCTGATCTGAGACAATCGTAGCGCATTGCCTCTGGTAGGTTTCTAAGCTTCGTCTAGAGAGCAGAAGCCTACCAAGGGATTGGAAGAATGGAGCGATTTCCAGTGGTATCCGACTGAGGAGCGAGCGCAGGGTTTGTGTGTTCTTGAACTGCGCGCTATCCTGGCTCGGAACAGGGATTGCGGATGCTGCGTCTTGAGAGGGTGTCGCATCATCGCTCGTGGCTCCTTCGGTCGGGTCTGACGGCCGATGGCTGCTTCCCATGCCGAAGATGTGATCAGCTTCAGCGACTCCGAACCCGGGGCTGATGATGCGGGTCTCCTTCTCCCAGGCTGTTGGCATGTTTCTCTGGAGGAGGATCTCTTCCCATACACAGCTACGGTGCAGCTTGCCGAGACTGTCAACGAGGCGCGCGTACATGTCAGCCAAGTTGACTTGAGCTGAGACGTTGTGCTGAGAACGAGGACTGAACATTTGACTTTGAAACGTCAAGGTCATGGCTGATACGAGTGTGTGCGCAGAGACCAGAGCCTTCACGTAGTTCGTTCCGTTCTTCACCACCTCATTGTCTTGAAAGGCATTGTTGGTGAAGGGCGCAAAGAATGCCGTCCCTCCTGAGTGGTTCAAGAGAGGCTCGAGTTGTTCCAATGCACGTTGAGTCCGCTTGATCAGCGAGGGCACAGTGATGTGCGGCTTCTGCTCAACAAGAACTTGAACAACACGGCCAAATTCCTCACTCATACTGCGTGATTCCTTGGCTTTCGGGTCAAGGCAGGCAAGACTGGAAATGTCTAGAATGGACTCTACGCCATCCGCTTCGATGAAGGCAGCGCACATAGCGTGATTGGAGAAGAAACCGCTCAAAAATCGACACAGCACGCGAATGTACTGGCTGGTCGTTGGACCTTGCGCGCTGTCTTCCGTATCGACAATCTGATCGATCGATGCAGCTTCTACAGAAGACTGAGCCGTTAGTTGCTTGTAAGCATCTTGCATCTCAACATCTGCGGTACCAGAGGTAGATTGTCCAGCGCGACCACTCACAGATTGTGAACCTACAAGTGCTCGACGACCGCCAGCAACGAACAGCTTGCCATCAGAATCTTCGGTCCACAGCTTCGCACCGCCGCCTTCCTTCTCTGCTTTGTCGGCGCAGAGTTGTACGACGCGAGCGATCAGCTCACTCAGACACGAGAGGACGCGTGATTTCAGCGGTGGATGATGGCGAACCAATTCATCGAAAGTGTTACCAATCATGGTAGGCATCTCTGTGTCGGCATCAAGAGCCTTGACGTGAGCTGGACTCTCAAAGATCTCGAAGAATCGAGGGAGAGCATTTGACGATTGGAACAGCTTCATACCAGCCTCCGCCAAACATATCGCTCCAAAGGCAGGGGGCAGAGTTGAAATAGCCTCAGCTACCGGAAGAATACCAGTAGCCAAGGGCTGACCAGGCTCTCGTGCTGTGTATACGCGCTGTGGTTGAGGATTGGTGGCGTTTGTAAGGCTGGCAATAGCTGCGGCCGTTGCTTCTGAAGCTGGCGCACCGGCCACGGTTTCTAGGAAGGCGTCACTCAGACCAGCTTCAGCGATGACCTGGTAGCTGGTTGGCTCGTTGTGAATGAAGCTCGTAAGAACGCTGACGGCCATGCTCCATACGGTCGAACCGAAGATGCTTGCATTTGAAAGCACAGTGCGGAGAGCAGTCAGAAGTTGCGAGGAGTCAATGAGTTGCCGCATGAGACGATCGAAGTTGCCACCTGTATGAGACATCATGTGATTCAAGAACTTGAAGAGCCACCTGAGTGTCTGCTGGTGGTAAAAAGGGATCTGGTAGTCGGTGAGCTGAGTCTTGTACTCCTTGGGCATGCCCTTGTTCTCTTCGGCGAGTTTCTTCGATGTATTGACTTCGTACTGCATGAGATCGGCGATGATCTCCAAACCTCTAGCACTGACGAGAGCTGCAAATGCATGCTGCAAGTTGTACACAAATGTATCAAGGAAGTTGAGGATCTTGGGGTGATTGCGTTCTGCCTTGTCCGTTCGAAGCTTGAGGACTTCGACTAAGATCTCAAGTAGCCCAGCAGAGACCATACCTTCTCCCGTGCGGGACTGAGATTGTGGGATAGTGTTGAGTAGGGAGAATACTGCGTCGCGCCACTCATCTTCCTCAAGGTCGATCTGTGCGCCTTCTTCGATGCCAAGACCGGCAACGAGCTTGCGAACGATGTAGAACAGCACACCGTGGTTGACGTTGACGCTGAGCGCAGTGCAGACATCAGCCGACTTGGTCTTGTGTTTCGCTAATGCTTCCAGCGCGTTGAAAGTGAATGTCTGAAGCTCGGTCGATATACCAGTCATTCCGTCGCCGGGTGGTTGCACCAGTTCAGAAAGCTGGAACACTAATTGCAGCCGCCTTGGCTCGTCCGCATCTTGTTGGCCCAGCCGAGCATGGAACTCCTTCTCGCCGTGCACAAAGCCCATGTTGGCAATTGCAAGCAGACGGACAGCGACCGCGTCATCCCGTCCGGCAGTTCCGCTGCTGAGCATCTTTGCCGTGCGGAGCTTGTGCAGCAACTCATAATGCGCGCTAGCGGGCAGCTCTGCAAGCCCCTGCCTGAGCAAATCGTGAATGTGGGTCTTCGCAACCTTGTCTGCAGAGAGCTCAAATGTCTTTGGTCCGTTCGGTCGGCCGCCCGGCTCTCCCGGAGTGAAGGCTGGCGTGCTCGGCGACTCTGCGGTCGGCGCGGTCTGGGGCGTTCGTGGAGTTTGGTTTCGCATATTTGACGTTCGACGCACTGGTGTTGGTGTGCTGGGTGTATCTGTGTTAGGCGCTGCAGGCTTGCTGCCGCTCTCTTCAGGTGTTGCAGTTGGCTCATAGTAAGAGATGTGGATTCCTCCAAACTCTTGCTTCAGCGCGGACTCTGGTAGCTTGTACAAGCCAGTCAAATCAGCCGGGTTGAACCTATCTGTGTCACTGCGTCGGTCGCCAGGGCCTTTGTCCTTTCCTTTGCCAGCAGGTGTGCCAAAGAGAGGTGCGGCTGCTGTGGGGCCCTTTGAGAATGGTGCAGACAGCTTCTGGATCTTGTCAAGACCGATGTTGTAGTGGCTCGAGAGCAGCGAAGGGTGCAGTGTGGCGGGTGCCAGACGTAAGCGTGCAGCCTGGTAGCGCTGCGATAGCCTGTGCCCAAGTCGTAGGGTTGCCTTTAGCAAGGACGTGGAGGTGGTGTTCAGAAGCTTGTCCAAACGCTCGCTGCTTGAGTATAAGCTACGGTTACCGCAATTCTCCAACAGCATGCGTGTAAAGCCCAGAAGTTGCTCGATCAGCTCACGATCACCATCCTGAGATACGTGCAGGGTATCTAGAACGGCGTCAGTGGTGCTCGATTTGGCGTTGGTATTCTCCTCCTCTGCATCGCCCTTGAGCAGTAATCGCCGCTGGAAGGGCTGTGTCTGCGGCGCGTCCACCAACCCATATTCCTGGTTGAACAATTCCAGTATGCGATCGAAGCGGTTCAGCACAGGTATCCAGTGATAGGCATCTCCGCGAGGAAATGGCCACTGCTTGGGGAACGAAGCTAGGTGGGCGGGCAGCTGGTAGAGCGGTATTGACTCGGTTGCTCGTACAAATTCTGCTATCATCGGCGACTATACGTGTTAGTATGTCATTGAACATCCTTGAAGTATGTTGCCTACCAGAGTGGACTCATGCCGCGATGTAGCCTGCTTCTTGATCTTCATGTTTGCGCCGGGCGCTCGGAAAGCGAACTAGCCAAACATACAATCTCTCCAATGTCGCCTCTGGCGCAATTTCTGGCGAATAGTGGGGGGCGAAAGTCCTAGGTTGTCGCAGGACAAGGCTCTTTCGCAATGCAGGCTGCTACCTGTTTCCCCGGGAACAGAGCTTGCTGATATTGTGAGAGGGTGCGAAGGCTGTCGTGGTGACGTTGACAGATGACAGATGACGGTCGAACAGGTTGGTAGGTAAACACGTTGTCGTGGGCGGGGAAGGTGATGCGCAGGGTAGGTGCGGAACAGAGGCGTAAATGAGGAAAGCGCAGCCAGAGATCACGGTGCAGGCGTGAGAGTGTCTGGGCTGGTGCAGAGTCTTTGGTCGATGACTAATACCAGAAGCAGTGAGGCTGGTCCTCTATCATGCGTGTTGTGGGGTCGGCGGTGTTGTCACTCTCATTGTCGATAGCGGAAGCTTCAAGATGATGCACGCGCCGGGACAGACGCTCGGACGCTCGGACGCTCGGACGCTTAAGTAAGAAATGGCCATCACGACCAGTACGCGTGCACCAAGACTTCGCCAGCACCGCAGAAATGTCAATCTGGAAGTTTCCATTTGCTGGTGACGTCATTTGATCTTGTTTCACCTTCAGATGATCTACAGTGCTGCGAAAGAGCTGTGGCTATTCTGACTGACTGACTGAACTGCGGCAGCAGGTGCGCAATCCACCTGCTGTCGAAAACGATAAGGCGCGCTGCTCATAACTTCGAATCCAAGGTTATGTTAAAGTGACGAGACAACAAGCACTACGCGTTATCATCTCGCTGCTCTCCTCTCCCCTCCACCCGCCCTCTCCTCATGCACCAGCCTAACAGTCTCCTCCAAGACCAGCAGATCCCTCTCCAGCATCTCAGCCCAGTTCTGCACGTCGCCGATCTCATTCAGCTTCTTCGTGCTCGTATCACCGAGCTTCTGCCAATTGTCGCCCTCCTTCCTCAGCGCAGCAGTCTGCTTTGCAAGCTCCTTCTCCTGCTTGGCGATGGCTGCTGAGTTGGCGTGCAGGTCTGCGGTACGCGTCCGGAGGTCGGCATCGATTGATGTGCCGATCGAGGAGAGGGAGGCAAGTACTGCTGCCCGAGCTTCGCTCTGCTGCTGGGCTGTTGTTGAGGGCGTTGGTGAGGACATGGTAGGCTGCAAAGGTGTAGAATGTGGCTTGTGGTAGGTCAGAAGTGAATGCTGGCGATGTTGGCCAGGCAGGGTGCTCAGAAATGGGTTGTTCGTACTGCACTGCCGTTGTCTGTGTGTCTCAACACAAGCTTTCCATGCACTGCGTCGAACCCAAATGGGGGTGCATGCAGAAGGGTGTGACGAAGACCTGTGTGACTGGCTGGAAGCAGCGGGTACTGCAAGCCGGCTGATCCTCCCTCCAACGCATCGTCACGGACATATTACTACTGAGTAATCTAACAAGAGGACTAAAAGTCATGCTCTCACTCATTCGCGTCCGTCGTAGCTAGAGTGAAGTCCTGCTGTGAGATCCAAGTGAGGACACATGGTGGGGCATGATACAGATCGAAATGGCAACTTTACCCGGTCTTCTCGGCTGGCAGACAGCTCCTTCCTCTCCAAGGCTCGGAACGGTCACTCAACAGCAGAACACAGTCCTTGAATCCTTAACATGGTACTTTTCGACTTCAGCTCAAACTTATCACCAGGGACAACCTTCAGAACCCTTCGCCCCCCTCAAGCCCCTACTATAGAACAACCTCTCCTCAAAGATCTTGATATCCTCCGCATTGACTCTCCCTTCCTTCTTCGCCTGATTCGCCAACCTCCGTACATGCATAGCATCGTACTCCGTGTTCCTAGTGAGCCACCAAGTCCACAAGTCCCACACCACACCACTGAACAGAATCGTCGCAATTCCTCCAAGAATATAGACCTAACGCCACGCACTCAACCCGGAGAGGCCATCTATGTACGGGATGCTATATGCGAGGAGCGCGAAACATATACCAGACACGGCGCCCCAGGAGAAGAAATACGCGATCACACGTCCCATTTCATCAGGGCGATACCAGGTCTGGCACTGCTCCAGCAGACCAGGGAACATTCTGACTTCGAACATGCCCAGCAAGAACCTCATGGCGTAAAGATCATGCCGGTTCCGTGCCGCGGCGTGACATGTCGTGATGATGCCCCAGGTCAGGAAGATGCGGGCTTGCCAGTTGTGCGGAGCCATGTCCGATCCTAATCCTTCTCGATAGTTGGCACCAAGCATGAAGGCAAATGGATTGTCGATGCACCCTTTATCGTCGACCCTTCACCTCAACGTACGCCAGTGCGCTTCCAAGCTGGGACTTCGGCTGCAGGCATGAAATTTGGATCGCCACACGCGGAAGCTACCTTCGTGGTCGGACTGTCGCCGCACGTCGTAGCGCCCCGTGTCAGGGCTATCCGAAAACAAGCTGCCGCAGCCGGACGAGACCCTCAGACAATCAAGATCTTCGCCATGATCACGCCGATCATTGGCAAAGACGAGGAGAACGCTGAGAGAAAGCACCGCGAAGCTCTTCAGTATGCATTTGAAGAAGGTGGTCTGGCGCAGTGGTGTGTGTCAAGCGGTGTTGACGTGCCCAAATTCAAATCGGATCACCTGCTCACCGAGGAAGACCTGCCGCGCAACCAGTGGCAGCGACTGGCACGAGTATTGTGCATAATCTGCAGTACGCTGGGTCTGAAATTCCGCCGCTGACCGTTCGCAACCTTGGAAAGCTTGTCGCGATAGATGGCTCTGGAGCGATGCCGAAAGGATCGCCATCACAGGTTCCTGATATCTTCGAGCAGTGGGTCGATATTGCTGATGTCGATGGGTTTAACATCGCATACGTTGTTTCACCTGGCAATTTTGAAGAGCCTCGGAACTGCTTGTCTCGGAACTTAGGAGAAGAGGGCTGCTGGACGACCGTGTTCGGCCGGATGCGCCGGTGCTGAGAGAATCTATGGAAAGGGACAGAAGTCACTGCGAAGCGACCATGTGGAGTTCAAGTACAAGTACGATACGTATGAGCAGACGGTTGCGGAGGAGAATGTAACAAGATCGACGGGACCACCGTGACGAGCCGTACAGGATTGTCTCAATTCATGTTGGGCTATAGATAAGTCGACCCGAATCTAGCCTCTTCTTCAGCCCACTCTTCATCCAACAGACGACTGATAAGGCCAACTCGAGCCTCATCAATGTCATAGAAATACATAATTACCACCGCAGACTCTCTCAGGTGATAAGCAAAAAAGTAGTTTTCCTCCCGACGCTTCGCGTCATCGTGATGTGCAAACTGGAGTTGGCCAGGGACCCAGCTATCGCCATAATGATAGCTGTCGAATCTGTAGCCGTTAAGGTTAAAATGACAAACATTAGAGTGAGCGCACTTGAGTGTCGTTTTGAGTGTTGTCTAGAGAGAAGCCACATCGTCGGCCATCAAGTCTTCAGCATAAGCGTGGACGACTTGTAGATGGATACACGTTAAGGAACAGCCAAAATTAAGAAGAATAGTGGTAGATAGGGACGAGATTAGACAGAACAGTGACGTTGATCTGACCTCTGCTATGTCCGTGGCTTCCGAGTGGTGGTGAAGGTCTGGTTCAGGGTCTAGCACGTGGAGAAGCCCACATATATATCATCCGATCAAGCCCCTGACCCCTCCCTATTTCAACTTCTTGGTACGCTCTTCTTGAGCTACCAAACAAAGGGGGTCCCTAGACTTTTGCAAAGCATAATATGTGAGCTCGGCGGCAATGGGGGTCTGCGAATCGCAAAACCCAGGCTTGAATACGGTAGGCGGTATCGACTTGCTGGCCATGAGGTACATACCAAGAGAAGAGTGCTGGAGAAGCGGTTGTTGGAGAAATGTCACATTACGGTCAGTAAAGCGCTTGGTGTATTCGTTGAGCAGTACATTTGTGAAGTAGGTCACCCATACCAAGTCAACCTTTACCTATTCCTGCGATTATAGTCATCAAACCAACTATTCGAGCAATTGCACATTCACGGACGCTGAGTCTTGCACGGTTGAGTTGGTTACGGAACGCACTCTGGGCCTAGAACCTCTGAGATGCATGAAGTCACCGCATCATTCCACACATCACAGTGAAAGAAGGACCGTTTCTGACAACTTCACAACATAAGTATAAACTATACACTCACGCTGTTCCGGTATCTGTACTGCGAATTGCTCCGAAAAGTGCTACAATCAAGTCTCACAGATTGTTGGCCCAGTGCATATCTGTTGGAGTTGGTGAACTGGTGAACTGTACGCAAAGGGAAAAAGTTGAGGATTGTACTGCAGTTGTATTGTATGAAGCTACGAATAGTATATGTAGGTGAGTGGCTGTAAATAACGTTAGTGGGAAAAGGCAGCAACCTCCCACCATGAGGTGAGGTGCGACAGGGCGTTAGTGCAGGAGACCCCAAACCGTGACAGTATCATACAACATCACCCACCGGTCCACGAAACTCAAAGCTGGCGTTTGCAGGCCTCTTCGGGTCGTCTAAATGCGCTAGAGAAACTGAGAGATACTATACTGGATTGTGTGTTTGTTCAAAGAAACCGACCTCGACCGTTCGACATCCCAGGGGGGCTAGTGTGCTTTCACCATCGCTCTTTGATATCGGATCCTTTCCTTCGCTTTTGTCATATACTTGATGGCTATGGACTCCACATGGGCATCATCCAATACGGCACGGCGTTCTACATCTGCCATTGGTCCGACTTCGCGCGAGCTCAAGACGTTGAGTGAAGTTGTGAACATGAGGCTGAACATCGACAGCGCAACGCTGACAACCGAAGCTACGATGTACTAGTACAACACAGGAAATGGTCACTGATCGACCAACTTTCCACGGACCCCGAGCCTACTTCAGCCATTTGCATCATCAACAGTGTCCACACAGGATCTCTCATTTGACCTTCGACACAGGAGACTCTGAACTCCGACACGCCGTCAGGCCAGCACAATGCTTCCGCCTTCAGTTTGTGCGTGTCGTTATTGCGATACATACGAGCATAACGACCAGGAGGAGAGACTAACTACTTACTCGTAGAAGGCTATAAGTATTGGACATTGGGAACCTGACGGTTGCACTAGGCTCTAGAACACTAAATCTCCGCACTTTCGCGGACAGTTCAATACTTATATTGTACAATTCTTGCACACATCAGCATCGAGCAACAACGTAACAAACAACCTAGCCGTGATGAACCCGGCAAATACATTGGTCCTCGTCACCGGAGGCTCCGGCTGCGTAGGCGCTCACTGCGTACTCGCCGTTCTCAATGCTGGATACCAAGTCCGCACCACAGTCCGATCACTCGAACGCGCAGAAAGCGTGCACGAAATGCTTCGGAACGGTGGTGCGGAAGAGTTTGCCATCGATGCATTGCAGTTTGCCGCCGCTGATCTTGAGCAAGATGCCGGCTGGGATGAAGCTTGCACCGGGTGCATTTACATCCTGCACGTTGCCAGTCCCTTTTCAGCAGATGCTTCAAAGCATGAGGACGAGTTGATCATCCCAACTCGTGAAGGTACACTCTGAGTCCTGAAAGCAGCCAAGAAAGCCAGGATAGTAAAACGTATCGTCCTCACAGCATCGTCTGCCAATATCGGTGACTCTCGCAAGTTGCTGACCCCCCTTGATAATCGGAACAATGATGAGATATAGCTCTTTGGCCCGAAGAACAGGTTCGTGGGTAGATGACATCATGGGTTCCAGACACAGAGGGGTCAGCAACTTGTGAAAGTCACTATACATCTGGCGACTTTGCCGAAACAAGCGCCAGTTGGTTGCAGACACAGCTATAAACATGTGGACGGAAGATCAGGAAATGTGGCAGGGCTGGTCAGGATAACCATCCTTCTGATATTTAGACAGCGACACATCTCGAGCTATTGAGCGAAGACAGTCATACGAGAGAGGATTTCCGGACCTTTCGCCAACACGGAGTTTGAGATCAAGTCTGATAATCCTACGACAGACCAGCAGAATGACCCTCCTCAGAGTCAGACGACAACTCCACTCGTCCAGCCACAAGTACTAACGTAACATATTGATCGGTGTCTCGGTGCAGATCAAGCTGAAAGTGGGAGACTGTCCGGGCTTGAGGTAGCCGTGAAAGAGCTAAAAAGCCAGCTGCAGCACTTTCGTATCGACCAAGTATTCACTGATACTTGTTTCGCAGAGCTACAACGACCAGTATCCTCTCTACAGAACTACACTAGCTTTAAAGAAAAAAGTAACCAAGTCACCATAGTTATAGCCCTAAACAAGTGTTTTAATGCCATCGACGGCTGCACCGCCGCTAAGGTCACAAGAGTTGTAAATAGCCGAAATTCGCTAAAAGAAGACTGTTACCGCCAGATACGCAGCTCTTACTCATTGACGGCCTGCAGCAGCTCAAAGACAATCAGCAGCATCCAACTATAGTGGTGCATGGTCTAGTACAGCGGCAAGGAAACACATGGAATGCAGAGAACCGACAGTATAGTGGCACTTCGACCTCAGCCCAGGAGACAATAGCATCTCAGGACATACTGTAGCTCCTCTCCTTACCCTCCTCATTCTCATCCATCAACGTCGGCTCGAACTTGCTCTTTCGCGCCTGTGTAGCTCCTGATGCCTTCCAAGCCGACAAGATCAAATCAACGATAGCATCAACACCCTGGTCCTTCTTCACCACGGCAAAGATTGTTGGTCCACCCTCTCGCATTCTCCTGCTGTCGCGCTCCATGACATTCAAATCAGCGCCTACCGCCTCGGCAAGATCGATCTTGTTGACAACCAGCAGATCCGACTGCGTGATTCCAGGTCCGCCCTTGCGAGGGATCTTGTCACCACCGGATACATCGATGATGTAGATGATGAAGTCGGCGAGTTCGCGAGAGTAGTTGGCTGCGAGGTTGTCGCCACCGGATTCAATAAGGAGGAGGTCGGTGTTGAACTTGTGGTGGAGGTTTGTGAGGGTCAGGAGATTGACTGAGATGTCTTCGCGGACGGCAGCATGGGGGCAGCCTCCTGTCTCGACGGCGACGATGCGTTCACTGATGATGTGTGGTCAGCTCATATCTCGTTTCTTTGACTGTCAGATATTCTTACGCTGGAAGTGCCTTGTGTCTGGTCAAAAACTCGCCATCTTCTCTTGTGAAAATATCGTTGGTCACTGCTGCAATGCCAAAGCGTTGTCGAAGTGCTTTGCAGAGAGCTAACATAAGGGCGGTCTTTCCTGAGCCTACAGGCCTAGATATTGTCAATATACTTACCATCAACATGTATGAATATCATCTTACCCTCCAATGCCTACTGTGAATGCTCGATCTTCCCAATCTCTGCCCTCGATGATAGGCATCTCGCGCCTGATAAAGCTACCAGGTCCATCCAGGATCTCGTGGGTGTGTCCATGATCTGCCGCAGCGTGCGAGTGCGATGGGCCATCGTGTGAGTGACTGTGCGACATGGTGGATGTTCTACAGTCAAGGTTGTTGAAGGTTTTGTTGTTACCAGACCCTAATGTTTACGGAGAATTGAAGCTTGACAATCGCGGGGCAGGAACGATGGTGGGGTTCACCCATGCCAGAGCAGTCGCGTCCGTTCATCAACTCCACCTCCACAAACACGACTCCTTAACACACGCATATTGACAGAACCACCATCGTCCAGATCATCTCCAAAACCCGAGATGATTATTCGAGGTCACGATCGCGAAAATGATATGATCGCGACCAGGCGAGGCAAAACGACGGGCGCTATGACCGCATCCCGGACAGGATCATGGCTGATCACGGTCTGTTCACTGCGCCTCATCCCTGCATCTCATCACGACTCGCGGTCCTTCTCATATGATGCGCAATTATACCTCGCGTACCTGAGTCTTCCAACCAGCATCTTCCCGATCAAGTCTTTCGACATTTCCGCATTTGTGAGCTTCCCGGCCGCTTTGGGAAAGATCATCGTGGCTCCTGCGCAACATCTTCGCTGCTCCACCAATATTAGCACGCGCGCCACGAATACGATGACATTCCCGCTCATTTCCACTGACAGCTGTCAATTTTGCCGCGGTTCATGCATCGTATGACGCGGTGCAAAAGGATGTAAAAGCTTCGAGAGTCTCCGCGCGTGGCTCTGAAGGAGAGAGGTTTTTCTGCTTTCATTGAAATTTCGATCCGCATGCAGTGAGATCCGCCAGCAATACATGTCTTTTTGAAGCCTGCTTCGTCCACACTCGTTTATACACTCCTCCAATCCGTTCTACCCTCCTTTTGATGCTTATACGAATTAATTGTTTAATCACGAAAGATGACTGTCACCTGGAACAAATCGCAGCACACGTCCTTTCTGCTCTGGGACATCGACCGCGAATTCCAGAACGCGTACGAACTCTATGAACAGCTGGAAGCAAAGTCCGGCCACAAACGCTCGGCATGGTCGCGCCTTGCCGTCAAGAGCCAAGATGATGTCCTTGCAAAGGCTCTGAACTTAGGACGTGAAGTCAGATACTTTATGGAGACTGGGAAGAAGCGATTTGGTGCAAGGTTCGAGGAAGGTGACTGTATGTAACAACAGCTTGAAGTCATTGAAGCGGACTGACCTTCAACAGCTACGTGTCATACAACACTTGATGCCCAACTCATTCGCATACAATACGAGGTCCGCGAACTTCTCTGCGACAGCGCCGTATCCGAGACAGTATCCATACCATATGACGACATTGTCACGACCGCAAAGAGTATCCGCCGCATATGCCTCGAGGCCTTGCACGCGCAATTCGAACGCTTTTCAACACCAACATCCATGTTATACCTACCACCCCCACGCTTCAAGATCCAATACTGCACCTTCGCCGAACAGCTACGCAAAGACCTCGATTCATCAGAACGGAGCAATCTCCAAACGAAGAAGCTACGACCGCGCGACCGCCACGACGACCGAGAGATTTGTCCTGACTGCGGTACATGCATCTCCGTTGCGACACACTCCGGACTTCCTGATGCGAGGTGCATTCTGTTCACATCACACGTCAAGCTAGAGCCAGAAAGTAGAGCCGAGAACGCCGGCTACGCATGCTCGAGCTGCTACAAAACCTTCGATGACTCGTACGCATTCCTGGACCACATCTTCCAGAAGCAAATCGGCAGCGACCGGAGTTGTTTGCGACTCTCGAGTCCAGATCTGGATATCCATGAGTTCGATACTTCGCTCATCGAGCAGTCCTACAAGAACTGCTTGGCCAGAGAGCTATCACGGACTACGAGCGAGAAGGCCTCCAAAGGCCAAGTGGTCGTGCAGGAGAAGGAGATCCGGCTGAAGCTTAATAGCTTGACGAGTGCGACGTCCTGGTAGACTGATCAGCATCATTTTCCTTCGCTCTCACTCGGCTATCAGCCACGTCCAATTCTTCTCTTGTAACGATTTATTTTCCCATTGTCGACATATCGCCATATACCCACGCCACTTAGACGTAATATTTCCACTAGACAGCCACGAATGTATAATATCACACAAGACCACTCGTCATAGCATCGTTTACAGCTCCATCTCCTGGAACGTTACCATTAAGATGTCCTGATTCCATTCAAGGCAGAACGCTCACTTAACCACATGCAGCCTCAGCTCACCTTACCTCCTCCATTCGCGCTACAAAGCCGTACATCCGTCTTGTCTTCGGTGTCAAAGTCGACGTTGGCAAGTCCCTTAGCTGTGGCTAGTGCTTCCGCTCACATACCTCCCAAACAGCCAAGATCGACAGATCCAAGTCTTCCGGGCCACATGCTCGCCGGAAATTGCACGGTTCGAACTGAGCCTTCACCGTGTTGGGAAATTTTTGGCGGCGAAGCACGTAACGGTACCTTGATGATCTCCCAAGACCTGTGTGCGAGATCACGATGGAAGCGCCGAGGGTGCCGAACTTCCTCAGTCCAGCACACATACCATGCACCTGAACTCTACAGCAATAACAAAGGCATTCATTTTCAGGCGAAAGAGTGGATTGATCCTTGAATCTTCGCGTCTCTTTCCCTCAATGTCATACACAGCCACAAGGACCTTCCTCCGCCGCGTCCTAGCCCTTCCTCACCGACCAGCGTAACCGGCCCGAAGGGAAGCCACCGCTTCGTCCTGAGAAAGGGGCGGAAACTCTATATCCCTTGGCCCTCAAACCACCTCAACCTCCTCGGCCGAGCAACTCGCAGAGTCACCGTTGGGAAGTCCGACTAGCCAATGATACCACTCGATGGAGAGAGAGCGAAGATAACATGCGCGCAAAGCCAACGGCCTGATCCGAAGCTTTGGGGCTGTGAATGTTGCGTTCTTTGTCAGTTTTGCTAGGGGCGCGTGGCGGCTTGGAAGGGCTTGGTAAGAAGGACTTTGAGTGCTTGGAGTCTTACTAACACAGTTGCCTGCATGAGAGCTAAGAGAGCAGAGATAATATATGTCAAATGAGACTTTGGGAGTCGAAGGGTCGAAGTGTTCATTTTGAATGAGGTTGTTGATATTGGTGATATTGATGTAGAATGGGGTATAATCATACGGAGAGTAAAGTCTCGAATCCGTCCCAGGAGCCTTGTACAGGTACCCAAAACGCCGTGCTGTCATGCCAGAGCAGCTCCTCATCATTTGGAACCCGTTCCAACCCATGTACGCCATGCCATGCCGCTGAATGCTGCTCCTCCAACTGGAAGAGCGCTAAAATGGTGAAATTGTGATGCGCGAATCGAATCTTCTCTTAGAAAGCTTCTTCTTTAAATCTCGAGGTTAAATCATTTCAGTCCTCGCGAGAGCCACCTCTCCCAGTAATTCCTGACGCCCAAAATGCAGTCCTTTCCGTCATTATGACGGCCGCCGTCGTGACCCCCAGGGTCGCCCAAAATGGACGAGAAAAACCAGAACCCTGCAGCTGTCCACGAAGCGATCGCAACACCGAACGCGATGATAGGCGAGAAGAGGTGGATGATAACCAGCATTGGTACGCTGTAACTTTCTGACGCATCGAACGAGTAGACAAGGTGGAGTTGCAGGTTGAGAGCGGGTGCAAGGAACGTCGTAAGCTGAGTGGAGAGCGGCGGGCGGTTGCTGCAGAAGCGCAATGGGTAGAGCGCAAGCGAGATTAGAATTGCGATGATGGTCCAGAAGGTGATTGCGATAGAGAGAAGTGCGGCCGGTGCAGAGAGATAGAACTGTAGGAATTAGTCTTTGCCGAGGTCATACTCGTGCAAGGGATACATACTAGTAGTTGCCAGGTCTTATCCTCAGGACCTTTCTCGTGATATTCACTCTTGTCGTACACAACTGCATTTGGAACTGAGGCGCGGTTCTGCGAGCGGTGCTCGTACGGCAAATCATAGGAGTTGGCCTTCTCTGGATCTTCCAAATGCGCGCGTGGAGGATATGATACCCTGTGACTCTGCCGGCTCTCGCGGTCGTGTGTCTCCTGGATCTCAGAAACGGAATGGTGCTTCCGTCCTACATTGCTGGAGATGCTGCTGCTGAGGCTTGGCGGCGCGGAGGTCTTTGGCGAGAATGGCGAGATGACGGAATCATGAACGTGGCCATATGTAGACTTGCTGGCACAGTCTGTCCGTGTGCTGTCCTTGCGCGGGTATGTGTCTTTCTCGTTGTAATCACACTCATAGTCGGTCTCGGCGGGCGACGAGTGGCTGCTGCTGTGGCTTTGAGCGTGTGTGGCCGAGCAGGGCGCCGGCGGGTGTCGGGATTCCATAACCGGCAGGCGGCGATGTTCGCGCTACGTCTCGATGGGCATCCGTGGCTGGTAACGACGAATTTGGAGCGGATTTGGAGCGGACGGGATGAGCATGATATAGCAAAGCCCCCAGGAGAGGACAAGAACCCAAGTTACATGCGATTTGCCTGGGTGAATCTTGGCCTTGGTGTTGCTTGGCCGAAGATCTTGGCTTGGTCTGGGCACCCTGCTGTGATTGGCGAGACACGCTTGAAGTTTGGCTCTTCCCCAGGCGACGCTGAGGCCGACAAGACGGAAGAACGGCCTCAATTCATATCATTCTGCGGCGGTGGAGACACGCCCTTCATACGAATTTTACTGTGCTTTGACAACACTGCCTCTTGAGCAGCTGGGCAACGCTCGTGATTCCGCCTTGATTCTTCGTCGCACAAAGCTTTTGTGTCGCCCGCCGCGCGCTGCGAATTCCCGCCAAGCAGAGGCAGAGCGTCCGCTGGCTGGGGATCTTCGTTGTGCGGAGTCCCAAAAGTATTGAACCAGCCGATCGCGGCAACGCCCGTCGTACAATCAGTCCAATTCCATGGATGCCCCGCGAATCATCATTACAATCGCTCTGTCTAGACACATGCACAAAAGTCGTAGCCAGCTCTGTCGTGACGCTGTATTCTGTACCCGTCTTGACTCCGCATGCATCAGGATCCAGGCGGAGCGGAGCCGTGGTGATACCTTAGTCTCGCGGAAATAATCCAACAGGCGACGCGCAACCTCTGAGTGCCAGTACCAAGCGTGGCTGAAACTCATCTGATGTTGCTGATCTCAGTCTTGGCCTGAGCATCCAACGAAGCCGTGTGAATGATAAATACGACCGGTCGCCCTGGCAGACGTATCCGTTTGCATTGACGTCGATTGTTGACCTTCTGTGTCTTCAGCTCGTGATGCCCCTGGGTGCCGGCGAGATACATCATGATTACCTCGCCGGCCCGAAAGGAACGGCAGGCACCTCAAACCACCATCGATGACTCGCGGGCAGCGGTCGCAGAACCGCGGTCGTCGCGCTGTCGACAAGTGCGCCTCAAAAGACGTACAGTTGCGGAGGCTTCGGGCGCCATGCAACTTGAGATCGTGGTTGAGGATCCCGCTCCCGTATCGTCGATCGACGGAGCCTGCTCCGCCAATGGCTCTGCCACTCCCAACATGATACGGTGACGATGTGCTGAACCGCAAACTTGGCACACATCAATATGAACGTTGAAGCAGCCGTGGAGTGGCAGTGTTGTTGACCATTCGCAGTTCATGGTTTGGTGGCAGATGCATAGCAGGTGAGGTGAGGTCAAGTAGTGACGTGGTGAGAGCAGGAAGTCACGCGGTTGTAGGCAGGCAGCTTCACAACGGGCAGTCGCGACCTTCCTCGCCTGCAAACAACAAGAAACGCCACAGCGCTCAGTACGCCGAAAAAATCCCCTGAAGACATGGCGACCGGTTATGTTGCAGAGACATTCAATTTGCAAAGCTGAGATGACGTCCAGATGGCAGTCGCAGGTTGCAGTGGGAGTGGGTGTTGTTGCGCTCACGGATATAGTAAAACCAAGCCTTGAAGAACCTTAGAATGATAGTACAGTCCAAGCAGATCCTTCTGTACAGATTAGCCTTGAGTAATCACGTGCGCAAGAACATGTGTGGAGACACGAAAACTCAAGACTGACAACCTCCGAGATAGAAACGCTACACAGCCCTCATCGCACATTGAAAACGTTCGGGTTCGTGTCAAGCGCCGTTTCAACCTCCTGAACCATCTTGAACTTCCGTTCCAGCAAGCTCTCTCTGCTCAGGAAGTCACTGGGTTCATCCCTCCGTTGCGACTGCTTGTTCATTTTCTCTGTCACGGTGGTTAGCAGGTTTCATCAAACAAACTCCATTGGCTGCACTGCGAGACCGTCGACGTCTGCACATGGGTTGGCATATGCATAGTCGAGCCGGTACTCACCACCGTTGTCCTTGATGTGCAACAGTGTCGGAATCCCAACTGGCCAGGCTACGTCGTTCAGGATTCTTGCTGGGATAGCCGCCAACTGGCTCCCAATGTGACATTGACCGTGTCGTGGTGACTCGACGGGCGCTGATCCCCGTCTGCTGATTAAGAGGGTCGCTGCGATGGGTATCAGAGCCTTTGCATCGGCTAGCATTGTCGAGAGGTCATATGGCGACCACTGAAAAGTCTCGACTGTTTTGAGCATGGGGAACAGCCCGAGGGCCCGTAAGTAGTCGGTGAGTTCGAGCAAGTTGACGGCTGCGCAGCGTCTTCGGACATTGGGTTCGTCCTCACGGCCGATTTTGCAGTTGGAGCCCTGAGACAGTGATGCCCAGAGATCGTATGTGACCTTCAGCATGGTGCAAAGTATTTGTTTTCGACCTTCCTTTATATGCTCTGCCACTGTTAGCTCAATGTGTCCTATTTTGGATGCACGTGTATCTCGAGGTCACTCTCGGACAAAGAATGCGTCTCATCAGCCCAGTCAGGCTACTAGTTGTAAACGTACCGAGTGTGTCAATTGGAAATTTTCCTTCAAGAACAAAAGGGGTCTCAGGCGCCAGGAGCTGCTTGCCAGTTGGGTCAACGCGGCAATGGATCGCGAGATGCTTCGAAAGCTCCAAGTACTCCGTCTCATATCCAAACTGGTGGGCGATGAACAGCCACTCTTCGTAGCCAGGGTGAAGAAGTCGTTCGCGATAAGGCGCAAGCCAAGTATCTATATAGTTGACGAGTAGCGAATGGGCATCGTATCGTGCAACTGCTTCGGCCAGGTGGACGATCTCAGGGAAGTCAAGCGTTGTGGGAACCTTGGTGAATTGCAGGGTTGCGATATGCAGGATTACGCGTATGGCGTTGGGATGTTCTCCCTGCAAGTTGATGATCTTCGGAGATTTGCTGAACAGTCTCTTAGACTTTGTTATCGATCGATTCGAAAGAAGGCCTTTCCAGCGAGGACCGAGGGTGCAAAGGCTTGACTCCGAAATAAGGAACTGGTGAGAGCCACCTCCACGACCGACCAGTAACAGCACCGCGGGTCCGTTGGTTTCCCCAAATCGTTCGATTGGGCCACGCGCTGGCGGCGAGCCCTTGGGCTCCGTCTTACTTTTGCTGGGACGCATAGGAGCGGTGAATAGCGATAGTACGAATGTTTGGTAAGGCTAGCGAATGTATGTAGCGCAAAGGTCAGTCGCACGATGGCAGACTCGATATGTATGTGGTAAGTGAATGATAATGCGAGAGGGTTAGGATGGGAATATCTGGTTGTTGTCGGGCTAAATATGTGGCAGTAACCACTAGACCCTCGTACCGGGCAAGAGCACCCAATCCGCGTAGCAACCACGATCAAGCCTGCCTCATTTGACCCTGTCATGACAAACGTAAAAAACGTCTCTAGTTTTTTTATGAGTGCCGCTCGCTCTTACATGGTATACACACGGCTGTTGAACTTCCGTACAGATATGATACACTACTTACAAATCCGCCCTCTTCCAGTTACCTCATGGGCACCGGTCGCAAATGCCCATCCTTATCGTAATTTGCCTTGAAGAACGTATAGCTGAGCGTCACAGTCTCAATACCCTTCATGTTGAGATCCGTAACAAACTCAGGATCAATGTAGAAGAACACTGGCATATCAACCGTCTCACCAGCATTCAGCCGCTGCTCCTCGAAGCAGAAGCACTGGATCTTACTGAAGTAGGGCGCCACCTGACCTGGCGTCACTGAATATGTTGCGACTCCGATGATGTCCTCGTCTGACTTGTTGGTTGCTGTGTAGAATGCAAGTGCAGTTTCGCCGGGGAGTACGCGCACTTCGCGCTGCTGGGGTACGAACTTCCAGGGAAGAACGTCTGACACGGAGCCGTTGAATGTGATTCGGATTCGAGGATGATTCTCGACGGGCTTGAGTCGTTCGGAGGGATCGACGTTAGGGTCGCCGCCGTGCGTTGTGGACTTGATGGGTTGACCTCCCCACCCAGTCTCTTGACATATCTAGATTACATTAGTAAGTTGTGGCCTACTCAGATTTCCTGCTGAGCATACCATCTTGTACATAGGCACAGAGCCGTATGTAATTGCTACAAAGCCTACGATGACACTGAAGACATAGTTCCTTGCATTCGTCAGCCATTGCTTTCTTGCGCCTGGGTTCGTGAGCTTACATGACCGTCCTGTTCTTCTGCTTGTATCTGGCATGCATCTGGTCCATACTTGGCACGGCGCCTTGCCTTGCATCTTTCGTGGTCTTATTCAAACTGATCCAACGGCGCGCGGCGGGCATTGTGGGATTGGGACTACGAGGTATGCGTGTGAGGGAGCGCGAGCATGCTGTACATATCCACGGCTGCGCTATGCGCGCCGGGAACTGTCGTAGCGGCAACGTGACAGACATTGTGATATGTGAGAGGGGTGCTTTGGCGGTGGAGTGATGAATCAATGAATTCGAAGTCCGCCGCCCGCGGGCTTTCTAGCCTCATTGGGAACTAGTGAAGAAGCATCACTCTTGCGCCGGAAGACTGTCACTCTTCCTCCAGTCCACACTTTTGCAGCTGTTATACTCACAGGATACCCCGGCTTCCTTACTCCTGATTGGTTTTGATCTGGAATGTCTGAAGTACTTTGCGGCGTGTGCAATTCTGAGCCAAAGAAGTACAAGTGCCCAACTTGTGCACTTCCATAGTACGTACAATGTCGCAATCTTTCGCGACCTGGACACTACTGACTTGCCTAGCTGCTCCTTATCGTGTTTTAAAGTGCACAAATCTACACACGCCGAAGCTGCGCCACCACCAGCCGCACCTGTCGAACCTGAGATACCTCAACCACCGCCGCCAGCGCCCATCCCATGCTACCTCAAAAAGAAGACCGACTTCTCCATCCTCGCTACGAACCCTAAATTTCAAGAACTCCTCAAGGCATATCCTGTCCTACTACCTACACTACAGCGCGTCTATGCTGCCACGATCGAGCCTGATGAAGATGACCAGCGACGGTGCTACAAAAGCGGAAGGGGAGGCTTCAGAGGTCGGGGAGGGAGAGGTTGGGGAGGGAGAGGGCGCGGGAGAGGAGGACGACGAGACGACGCGCCGCACAAATGGACCCAGAAGCAAGGCGACGCTGATGGTATGAAGATGCTGAAGGAGTACAGGGGAAGGGAGGACAACGATAAAGAGAAGGAGGCTATGGCGACCTTCGTGCAGCTTGTGGAGGATACATTCGCTGATCCGGAAACTTGAAGAGAGGGAAAGTTTCCTGCCATCCGTCGTAAATGAGTGCATCACCTACTTGAGGTCGTCGACCCCCCTTTACAAATGGACATCACGAGCAACATTCACCATCCCCCGGGTGAGCCGATCGCATCTGCGGGCATTGGTTTCACGCTGTCGCCTCCAGGTACTCGTCTTGTCCAGGTCAGCAAAGTCAGCATCTCTAGACGGCATTCACCTTACGTTCTGTAGATGGACGAAGACCTCATTATGCACATGGTGCTTGAGTATATCTCTCGCTTTGTCGATGACGCCGAAGTCGCCGAAGTCGCCGAAGTACGTGTCGAAATCACAAGAAGAGTTGTGTGCGCCGCGCTCATACCCGTATGTCTTGTCGCATGGACTGTTTGGCTTGGGTTCAGCGCCAATGCTCTTCAGCCCCTTCCAGTAAGATGCTACACTCTGTCACAGCACCGTGGTAGTCTGTGGGTTAGGATAGAAACCAGCACTATGGAGCCCCCTCATCAAGATCCCGCATCTTATGACTGAGCACAGATCTTTCAGACAGGACGGGTTGCTAGGGTTTTGCGTGTCTTCTTGTCCTTCCAAAGTCATGCCAATCGCAGTGTCGACACAACTGAGCAACTCCTCCAAGATGGGTAGGTGTTTCGTTGATCCGGGCTTTGTGTGGAACTGTCAGTAGTGTACAATTGAACAAGAGAATCTCCGGCACTTCATAGCGGTCGACTTACCCAGGACACGATCTGGCAAGCCCGACCGCAGCTTTACTTGCTTGTCTCCGGAGCCGTAACTGAAGGACAACTCTTTCTCGTCCTGTTCGACCTCTATCGCCAACCTCCTTGAGTTGAGCGAGAGATTCAGCGTCCTTGAGCTGATCGGCTGCCATAGTGTCCATGCTAAAAGCACCTCGATGCGCAGTAAAGGAAGAGCGCATGTGCAGCAAAGAAGAAGTGAAGTCAGCACAGGTCCCTTTCGCCGTTTGCTGCCAAGCCTACCTTCATTTTCACTTCGCCAATCGATCAACTCATCACAGCTTTACGACAATGGAGGTACCAAATTGACGCCCAAAATATCGGCCATCTTCCTCTCTCGTATCAACCGCACATAAGTCTCGATTTGTTGTTCTCGCTTAATTTGCATCATGCAAGCGGCAGCAGGGCTCCTCGTCCGTTGCCTGTTCGCAGGCCTCATCACCCCCTCCTTGCACAGAAAGAGTCTGTACAGTATCAGCTTTTTTGCAGTAGTACACAAATCTAACAGCAGTCTCAAAAACAGGGTTGCTTCACAACCTATCGTCTAGCAAGGTTCAACGCGACCCTGATCCCCTAAGACAGTTCTTTCCGTGTCTCGAAGTTCCAGTGGCCGTCGAAGAAGCAACGCAAATTCGAAGGGCTCGGCATACTTCCGTCCACGACGAGAACAACAAGCTCCATCTCTGTCAAACCCTCGTTCCTTTCACGATCCCAGGATGGATGGTGTGGCCATGTGAGTACGATTGCGGTCACTTACGCCACCTTGTGCCTCTGCAATGCAACAAGCTCCCGCATCGAGATGCATCAGGCACGGAGAGTCGTGCGATATGAGGATTCCACCACGCATTTCATCGTGTGTGTCGTACATTTTGACGCGCAGGCCCTCACATGAACACGAAGTAACGAATGTAGCGACGCACCGCTTGCGATGGTGGAACAGACATTTCACATATATACATGTCGACTCGACGAATGACAATGGCACCTTGAAGCGACAACATGTTTGGAAATCCCTCTCCCCGACGATTTGCACACACACGGCACGATGGATCTGCTGTTGGATGGAAGTGGCTCTCCGGTGATATAGGGCAGGAGTATTTGGTTTGTTTACCGTTCTGATTGGGACTAGGGTCAATAGCTTTTGTGGGCGGTTTCTGACCCAGGTTTCTCGAACAAGAAAAACAAGAAATACAATCAATCGAGATCATATTTCAATATCTGCCAATCGTTGGAGACATCCAACAAAAGTTGCTGCGTTTCGTTAACACAGAGCGCGCACATACTAGCGAAACTCTGCTCAAGAAGTGTGTATATGGTTTTACCAGATGACTTGACTTAACATTTCATTGTGCAGCTCAGAGAAATACGGTACTTCTCACTGCGGTTGAATGAGGAGGAGATAGCATCGGGGACTGAAGGATGGTCGCTCAACGAACAGCTCTTACTACTTGATTGAAACATGGACATTATCGAAAGCCAAGTGCCACGAGATCTCTCGAGACAGCATTCACTGACCTGTGACACAAGATTCAAAAGCAATTCCAACAAATGCTCTGGACCAGTGCTTCAGCCTCTCCTGCACGCACTCCATACAAAGTTCCCGATTGAGCTCGGCAAAACCATCTACGAGGACCTGATCGATTGCAGCGCGCCCATCGTCATTCTTCAGCCAGAAGTCTCCGATGATCTACAACCACTCCCACAATCATGTCTCCGATGCGGACGTCATGGGCCCCGCCGTAAGCCTAGAAATCAAGGATCTTTTCGCCCGCAAAGCCTCGTTTTACTTTCGCAGCCCCCTAGATAACATAGACCTCAATCAACTGCTCGATTTCCACCTCCCCTCCGGCAAATACATGCGCAAACTAATCAGACATCTCCGAGTCTACGTACGCTACGACGACATGCCTCACGAAAAAAAGACTTGAGTGAGGAAGAACAACAGATGCGCGACTGCGTGTCATATATGAAGTATTCAGTGCATCGCCGACAGCTCTCTCAAGCATCGCGTACAAGGACCGTAAGGTCAAGATGGAGATATGCATGCTAATCACCCAAGGCAGGAAAGACGGACCAGATCCCGTGACGTGTAATTTTCTCGAGTCAGTCAAGCCCATCACAGTCCGCTCAGAGCGACACTGCAACGGGCTCGGCGCAGATGTGACGAGTATCTTGGACTGGGGATTGAGGTACGCCCACCCATCAGGTACGAGTATTTGTCGCAGCCGAAGGCGCACTGCAGGTACATGATCCATCGTTCGTCGCCAACAGCGACACCATCACCGCTCTGGGACTCGAAAGTTCGACCAGTCTTGCGCCGATAGCATCAGATGTGGCTGCGGTGGTGGACACCATCCTGCGCCCTTGAGCTTGGACGATGATCAGGGCGATAATCCGCACCCGGCCCACTACAAAGAGAGGATGAGAAAGCGGAGAGGGAAGAGGAAGAGGCTTGAAGCCGAAGCGAAAGCTAGAGGAAAGACTGGTGAGAGTTCGAAAGCAAAGACTGAAGGACAAGAACGCATGGAGGATGCAGTCGCTCTACCCGGGCCCAAGAGTCAGGTCGAATAGGCAAGCGAGGAGAAGGTTTGAATGTACAATCTCGTTGCAGTTGGGTATATCCTATGTACTCAGAAAACATGGCAACTGTGTGTATGCCTGCGCATTGGGCGCTACATGTACGTATCAAAAAGAACAGCATGGTATCATCAACAAGAGGAACGTCGTAACATCATGCCTCCCGATCCATCTCTACACCTACTCTTCCACCTCACCCTTCCCGACTATCGTCAATCACCGCTCATAAACCCGATCCCACTGCGGGCTCCTCTCCCTCCGCCCGCGACCCAGACTCCCCAAGCTCTTCAACGGCCAGTCCTTAAGCGGCCACTCGCTCACCCCCTTACTCCCCCGGCGCTCACTCCTTTCCGGCACAACGGGATACGCATCCAGACTTCTATGGCCCCCATACAGCCCATCGTCAACATCAATGTACCCGTTTTGGTACTCGGGGCCGTAGTCCTCGAGATATGCGTAGTCGTTGCTGAAGGGGTTGGTGGGTTGGTTTGGATTTACATGCTGTGGGGTAGCGTAATCGTTGTTGGTGGTGGTGAATGTGTTCGCGGCTTTTTGCTGAGGTGGGGGAGGGGAGATGGGAGACCCGGGGGTTGTAGGATCTGTGTTTGCGCTCGAGCGACGCGAGTCCTCTGGTGAAGAGAGCGTCGCGGCAAGACCACTTGAGGAGCTGCCACTGTGATCTTGGTGCAGCATTGCGGGGCGCAGGAGCGAGAAGTGTCCAAAAGACCCGCGCTCCGCGACGGGACTAGTCAAGGGCGATTCAACCTGCGGGTGGGGTTCCACTGTGGAAACAGGTTTGCGCCGGATGCTGGCGCCGACCGGGACGGGTGGGAGGTCTTGAGGGCGCAGAGGCATGGATGAGCGGCGGAGCATGCGCTTGTGAGGGCTATATGCTGTATACTCTTCGTCGGGCTCTGTGACTTCGGCGACGGAGTGCAAGCTGTTGTAGCTTGTCCGCTTTCCACGGGCACGGTTTGAGCTGTGCGTGTGGACCAGTGGAGGGCCAACGATGGTCTTAGAGTCGTCCATTGGCATGCTCGACGCATTCTGCTGCGGACGGTGCTGAGAGTCGTCTGCAACAGGCTGCATCCACAGCTCGTCGTCTTGGTCCCAGCTCTGGCTTCTGTTGAGCGGCCTGCGGTATTCCTGGTAGCTGGTCGACTTCTCCTGGAAAGCACCGTGGGGCATGAATCCTGGCGAAGGAGGTGGCTCGTAGCCGCTGGGTTTCTTCTGCTTCTTCTTGCGGAATGCGAAACAGCATGGGATCAATACAGCCAGAAGCGCAAGAACACCGAGTGGAACACCGATCCCGATTCCAATCTTTGCTCCCTGACTGAGTCCAGAGTCTCTGGCTGGCGGACTGTCAGGGTCCGAGGTAGAAGATGTGATGGCCGCTGATGTTATGGTTGATGAGTCGGCTGTGGTCGAAGCACTGCTAGCGCTCGATATAGGTGTCGAGGTGGGCCAAGCTGTTGAAGGGCCATACTGCACGATGAGGTAGCTTTGTATATTCGAAGGTAACGCCCTGAACCAGTCGGGTTTGTTGTCGTCTAGAAACTCATGCCATAAGATGCTCGACACCGCGGGTATGTTCGTTGCAGCGATCTGACGTAGTGAGGCAGGGAGAGCAGTGAGCAACACCTTTGCAAGCTCGATACTGTCAAACTGGTCAGTCAATTGCGTTCAAAATCAAGGCTGCAGTGGTTCGACATACGCATTGGGATCTTGTCGCTCAATAATAGGTGCAGGCGTGATGGTGGGTATGGGCACCACTGCTCCTCTCGCACACTGTGCTCCAAGAGCCAACACCAACCATCGCAATGCTGTCATTCCTCCTAACGAACGCATGAATGAGCGATTGAGTCGATGTTAGGATAAGAATGATAGTCGTCGCAAAATCGTTGAAAGGCCGTTATCGTTATGAGAGCATGTTGGACCTGCTTCAGCTGGAACCAAGCCACCAAGTGACGACCGCCCTCTATCTTATGAGACTGGTACGATCCATGTCCCGTCGTGCATGTACACTTTGTCAAGAGGCAAAAGCCAACGGATCGACACCCACAGCCCGCCGGTAGTGTTGTCCACATCCAGCAGTTCGTGATGGTGATCCAGGGTCCACGATCCCAGTTGTTCTTGCAGGAACCTGGATTGCCCCTCACTAGCCACAGCTAGAACATGGCATTTCCGTGTCGCGACCCTGTTTTTCTGGGCTTCTCCATCGATGTCATGCACGTGCGGCAGATGCGATTGGTGCGCAATTGGGGAGTGGCGAAATATACGTGGCTGTGCCTGCTTCGCTCATCGTTCGGTTGTGAAGCGAGGACGTTTGTGTGGAGAGGGCGTGGAGCAGGCTTGCGGGAGTGCGCAAGTGCCGGCGACGCGAGGGTTCTGGATGTAACGGACGGTTTTTGCAGGCTTTGAGTGGTTGCACATTGCTGCGATGACGACTTGGCGTGTAACGAGGATGGGAGTCTATTTCTGTGGTCCAATGAAGGACCCAATGCCGTCAGGAAAGCAGTCCAGGTTGGCAGACTCGCTTTCGCAAACAAAAAAGCGGTATCTGCATCGAGAATAACTGTGATCTGCCGTCCTCAGTTGATTGATACCATTACCGAGTACCGTTCGCACAGCCACAGGTCGGTTGCCAACCGACAGGCGGCTCTGGTGCGTTGACGTGAGGACGATGCCCACCAGCCACAGGTGCTTGTTGACAGCTCCTCAAGCTCAGTTGACAGGCGCTTTTTCGAGATCCATGTCCACCAGCCACGGGCCCTGCACCGGCTTGTACGTGACCGACATGATGCTCGCATTGACCATCAAGGTCTCTCGTCCGAATGCAATGGCGTTGTCCCCACCATGACTGATATCCACGAATGCCGCTCGCCCATCCTCCATCCGTTGCCTGTCCACCTCCATCGCGTCAGCACCCTTGAAATGCTCCTCAGGCTTGACGTCCAGCTGCTCCCCTTCAGCCCATTCAACCCTCTGCGCACCCCACCCCTCATGTATATGCCCAAAACAATGCAATCTCGGTCTACACCGCCTCACAGCTCTGAGTAGATGCTCACACCCAACATGCTCACCATTCTGCACTGCATCAAGTATGCCCATGGGCGGGCCGTGTGTCATAATCACATCGATTCCCTCATTCTCCTGCCAATCCGGCACAGGGTTCTCAGCGATAGGCGTGGCACCCGGTGAACACTGGTGCGGAGGATTATATCGATCCTCATTGCGCTGATACGGGAACGCATAGTCCTGTCATACAGTTAGCATAGACCATCAAGCACAAGCATGTATACATACGCAAAACTCAGGCTGGTACGGACTAGCCCACACGCCCAACCTAGCCCCATTCCCCAACTTAAACGTATACCTACCTTCCTCCAAATACGTGACCCCAGCCTTCCTCGCACGCTCACCCATCCACATCTCCCTCGCTCCACGCGGCATATCCGCATCGAACCGCTTTCCTTGCATGTGCCGTCCCATTCTCTTGTAGTACGTCTCGTCAAGACTGATGTCGTGGTTCCCAGCAATCACGAGCTTGAGTTCTGCGTCAATACTTTCTAGCATGTTGAGGGTTCGTTCGTATTCGTCGAAGTGGCCGAGCATTGTCAGGTCACCGCAGTGCAGGAGGACGTCGGCTTTTGGGAGGGGAGAGCGGTAGGGAGCGTCATTGTTGGTGTTTTGGGAGGGCTCGGAGGAGTGCGTATCCGAGAGTATGAGGAAGCGGGTTTTCACGTGGGTGCTTGGTGTTGACGGTGTTGGGGTGGAAGACATGTTGGTGCTTGAGCTTTGGAGCCTGGGTGGAAGCTCGACAGTGCAGGTGGGGCCAGCGGGGGATCACCAGAATCGCTCCGTCCCTTAGACCACAACTTGATTTAGGGTGGAAAAAGCAATTAGACTTCTTCTTGTACGGTGCAGTGCCTAGAAGTTTATGTACCTGCATGGAAAGGTTGACTTATGTTGGAGGACCAATGGCTCTTTGAACTGCAAACATATTGCATTGCATGGCAACCATTGCCTGGGTATCGTGACTTCGTAACTACAGGAAGGAATTACATCTAGCTTCTAGTACAGCCTCCGCCAGCATCAGCACTTGATAAAGTGGAGTTCCAAAGAAATCCTCCGTCGACCCAAAACTGTGCACACCGGAACGCCAGCGCTCTAATCTATCCGGAAAATCCATACCCAACAAACTGATATGACAGTTGACGTTTTGAGATCCCCTTGTAACCCTCACGGATCCGTCAGAAACTCCTGCAGCGACTCATCCTCGACTCTCCAATTTCTGATTGTTTGTCCACTCGCTGCGGCCTGTCGGAGCCGTTCGTTCTCGAGCTTCAATGCATCTCTTTCTGCCTCAATCCTCCGGATGTATTCGATGGCACTCGCTAGTACCATAGCCTTGCTTGGCTTGGCTTGGCCCATGGCTCCAGCCTCATCGCTCTGGGGCAGTGTTGGCACGGCCCTTCTCAGTCTCTCCAATTCGGCGTTGAGGCCTTCGCGGTATTTGCGTTCAACTTGGTTGTGTGGTAGGCGTCCGGTCTTCTGGCTCTTCGACGATGGCGAAGACGTACTGGAGATTGTCTTGGTGCGATCAAGTCGTGGTCGGCCTCGCTTCCGTTGAGGCCGCTTAGGAGTGGGATCTTCTGAGGTCGAGTCAGGGGATGAAGGGGATTCGCGCTTCAGGTTGCGAGGCGAGAGGGAGGGTGATGAGGCCTTTTCCGGTGCGTCGCCGCAGAGGGAAGGGGTCCTGGAGGAGATGTGGGTGTTTGGGGAGAAGCAGGCTGTTTCGAACGGCTCGGTTGATATCGGGTCGAAGGAAAAGCCGAACGAAAGTTGTTCGAGCTTACCGAACGGTGCGGCATCCGATGGGTGTCGCGAAGTCGAGTAGATGCTTGTTCTATTGCTCGGTGTGGTGCTCGACGCTGATATGCCAGTTGCTGGTAGTGTGGGATTGAATTGGCCTTGGTCCTTAGGGAAGGCCGATGACATGTCAACCGATGTGAGGGCCTGGTCGAAGAAGGAGTCGAGCGAGTATTCGGGAGATGTGGTGTAAGTGTCCGCGAGATGCGCACTCCCGAACTCATCGCCGGGGTAGGATAACATCTCCTGTGGTGGGGAGTAGTCGAGGTTGGCTACCTTCGGGTAGCCGGAATAGTTCATTGCCGATGTCGATGAATGAACGTGTGGAATGTGTAATGATGTGTAACGATTGCTGGGTGGTTTGATGGTTCGGTGGGAATATATGTAGTGGTCTGCCCGAAGGCTAAAGTATAAACAACGCTGATGGATAACGGTAACTCGTTACGCCAGAGGCAGGACCCTACTTTATGGTGGTGTGGGAGACACGAGCCTCCTTCGTATATATATCGACGATTCCAGAGCTGTCAGGAACTCAACAGGGCAAAGGCTGTGCTTGGTTTGTGTGGCCGAGAGCCAGACGCTCCGCTTTCCAAGCTTGTTGCGTCTCGCTTGTTAACTTCAGGGTAGGATAGTCGAGAGGCATGCGGTTCAAACTTAAAACCGCAATTCCGCCGTTGATACATCCTTCCATTTCCGCGTCCCCCCCTATGTATGTTTGACTAAGATCCTTGCTTCTACAGTAAGCATCCGAAGGCTTTGGTAGTATGCGTTTGTCGAACCATTAACTGCTCATATCGGTGCTGCCCGGTAGAGAGGGGCAGCTGCTCTCATGTACAGTGGGGCCAGGCTCCCGTGCGCCGTTGATTCGTATTCCTGCGTGGCACATGCGCGCGCCGACTTTTGACATGCCGATTCGCCGAAATCAAAGATGCGGAACAGGAAAGAGCTCCCGGCTGGATGAGGGAGACGACCTCTACCATTCTGTCAAAGACTGTCAATCGTCGTTGCGTCTGCTGTTGTAACACAACAGCAGGTTATGCATCTCGGACGATCTCAGGCTCCCAAAGCTGCAAGCAAATGGAGCCGATGTATTGACGGAACCAATCCTGCGGATACTACAGCAAACCTCAGACCTTCAAGGAACTTGTCGTCGAACGATTGCGTGGAAGCGAGCGGCTGCCTTTCCCTTATGTAATTCGCCGGCGAATGCTCCGGAGGGTCAACTCCACGAGTCGAGTTGATCAACTGAACATGACGTCGATCAGGAACGCAAACCCCAGCTGTGTCTGAGGATCCGAGAGCATGGCTCCCATCATCGCCGATTTCTGCTGCTGTCGAGTCGGCGCATACACCGCACTTCTGCGAAGCAAACAAGAATTGTGATAGTCGCTCTGCAAAGTGTCGATCGCTGGCGCCGGAGGGTCGTCCTTCATTCTCCCTTTGATATTGTAAACCGAGTCATCATAGGGTGATGGGCACCAAGCTCTGACTACCAGCAGACTAAGCGGACATTCCCGCCGTACAGTAGTTCCAAAAAGACTGTAAGGCTGAAGAAGAGTTGTCGGATCTGATTACGGGGCGCGCGGAAGCTGTCGTACATCGTAGGTTTGCTCTGCACGTGTGGAGGTGCCAATTTTCGCAAGGCTCAGCGTGATAGTGGTGTGACAATCGTTCCACTCTGCCCAAAGCGGCAATTTGACTTGGGCTTAGCAAGCAAATTTGCCGAGAGTTTCCACCTGTGGCGTACCCCAAATGGTCTACCAATTTTGGCATGACAGCTCGAGTGCTGTTGTTCATCGTTCTTGGTGCTGGCTCCTCTGGCAGGCATCATCCCTTTGTTCGCAAGAGACTAGAAGAGCTGCATTCCGGTCAGACAGGACTTCCATGAGGCCAGACCTGCGTATCCTCCACAGTTGGCTTCCCTTGCGACACTAGAATTGCCGATGGAGCACCGCTGCCGTGCCGCCTGCCGTGTTTAACGCACCGAGCTCAACCGCCGTTGACGTCGTCTCCAACCGCCCGCACGGATGTGGAAGGGAGATTGATCGATTCTGTCACACGGCAGTCCCTGCCGTTGGTGTAGGTCGAGCATTGCGAGATGTCATGGTGATGTGGGAAATTTGAGGTTTAAGAGATGAGGCTTTCGCGTCGCTATGGATTTCACGGTGGGGCTGAATTTAGCGTCATGAAGGTCAACCTCGGAAGGTGCACTCTAAAGTCACAACTTGGTCAAACTCAAGAGAAAGGACGGTTCGAAAGCTAACAACTGATTTTGTGATGGATGTGATGACTTCTTATACGCTTCTGCCCAAACCGCTTGCAACGAAGCTCAAGCGTGTCCCAAGCATGCATCGCCGCATCCCTTTTGCTGTGTCTGCAGAAACACAAACCCTCCGAGCAGGGGGATAAAGACAACGAGAACGATGAGGATGTATCGCCAGGCGGGGTACTAACACCACCGCTTGACTGTATCCAAACAACCCCTGACCCACTTCTTCTTCGGCTCTGCCTGCTCCTCCAGCTGCTTCTGGTCCTGCGAAGCCACGTTTGACTTTGGCGCAACATTTTGGGTGGCTTGTGTCAATTTCTCTGCCTCTAGGTCATTTGCGTCGATACCCAGAGGATGTTTGTGAGAGAACCGCTTGTTGTTGAGACCAACGGTAAATTTGCTCGACGTCTCGGCCTTCAGCTTGTTGTGAAGCATTCTGTCCCCCTGTTCCTTCCACTTCTTGAAGCGCTTTTCGAGCGCACCGCTCTTCTGCAGCTGCTGTATCTCGAACAATTTGGCGGTCAGGTCATTGTAGTTCTCGCAGGCCCTCAGCTCTTCGTACAATCCCCCATCGAGCTTTCTGAAGTCGACTTCGAACTTCCCAAGTCGGCCAACGATATGTTTCCACGGTATCTTGCCTCCATCGTAATCGAGAACTTTGGTAGGATTGGGTAGCGCGCGCCATCGTTTGACGTGCTCGAGAAATTCCAGTATGTTGCAATAACGCCGATGCACTACTGTATGGCGCCTGAGAAAGTAAAGCTCCAACCGCATGTCTGTGTAGGTCGCTTCGTCTTTCAATTGCGTCGGAAGGCCTGTAGTGAGCCATCCGGACTCTCTATAGGGGTTGGATTCCTAATCATTCCAAAGGCAGCCCAAGATGTTCAACAACGCCAGGTCGTATTCAGCCAGCAAGGTAACATCAAGCCCACTGCTGGCTACCAGATCTTTGACCTCATCTGGCAGTAGAGTTGGTGTCTCAACAATGAGCTGGAGCCGCGTGACTAGTACCAGGGGTCCAAGTATGTAAGGTACCGACTTGCAGAGACGGAAGAGCGGGTTCCCCGCATACAGGGTAACGGAACGGTGGTCGCTCATATTCTGGGGCCGGGGTAAATTACGGTGTGGCTCATACCCTGGACTGCCTCTGCGGCGTATGGTACGTGGACTGACGATCTTCGGATAGTCATCGGACCCTTCGCTGACAGTGAGACGGACCTGGCCAACTCCTCTCACAGGTGCTTTTGTCGTTTGAGGCGAGGCAGGCAGAAGAACGGTGCGGCTCTCAGACGCGTTTGTCAATGCCAGACTGGGTACACGAAACAAGCCGTCCGCGTTCTGAGGCGATAGGCGCCAAGCAGGTTGCTTTGGTTCGGCCAGCTCTGGGGGTGAGACTGCGCGCCCTTTGCCTTTATCTTGCTTGGCAGAGGGTACGCCGGTCTCCAACGGGTCTTCGACGAGTCCGGCTGCATGTGGCGGATCCTCATGCTGAGGCTGAGGCGCGGCTTCCGTAACCAGCGCAGGTAGCGGACTTGAGACTTCTGTACATTCAGAGGAGGTCGGAGCTGCCTCAGATGCAACTTCTCCGACTTGTGGCAGAGGTGAAGTTGGAAAGCTTGCAACCAGCTCTCCGGCAGTTGCTGACGTTGCAGCAGCATCTACACCTTCGCCAGGAGTAACCGCGTTGTCGGCTGGAAGTGTAGCCACTTCATCCTGCGATTCCTCGGCCGATTGGCCGCGTGGAGACTGGGCCTCCTCTTTGCTGATCGAGGCCAAAGGCTCATTCTGTTGCTCGGTGAGGTCACCCATGTTGATAGTAGTAATGCGATTGTCGATAGTGAGTGTCGGCAGCTAATATGCTGGAATGTGCAATGTCGGTTGTGAAGATGGCGTTGTGTTGTGTGTGTGGAGCGTTCAGGCACCTGCAAGCGTGCAGTTGTTTACGCTCCAGGGCCGCCAGGGCAGGTGCGTGGTTGCCAAACAAACACATGCAGAGGGAAGCCTCGACACCCGACGATCTTACGAAGGAAGAGCATGGGCAACATGGTCAGGCAGGCGCGACGTTACCGTTCTTCGTTCAAAGCTTTCGCATCATCCACGGCCGCTCTTGCAATCTTTTTCAGCAACGACTTGAAATCAGCTTCACGGAATTTCTCCCATCCATCCAATCCTTCGCTCGAATCAATAGACAGAGTTTCATATCCCTGCTTGATCACGATGCTGACCTCCTCAGGACCGAAATGCTTTCCCTTCTTGCCGTCTGCTAGCAGAGAATGGTAATGCGAAGACACATCAACCAGGATCTGCATTGCACCTGAGCTGCCCAATCCGAAAGTGTCGCGGAACTTAGTGAGTATGTCGCCTGTTTCGACAAGCTTGTAGAAGAGATCATCGTAGGAGGCAGGGTCTGGGAGGAAGTTCTCGCCGCTTGATAGAGCGAATGCGAGGACATTGACCAGTATGTCGATCATCTTGCTGGATTTGTAGTTTGACTTGATGTCACTCTCATATTGAGTCAGGAAGCGGAGGAACGATAGGAGTGTTCTCCACAGTTCGGACCAATGGTAGGTGATGCGTGTCTTGGTGCGGCTGAGATATGATAGAAGACGTAGTAGGATGCCGAGGGAGAGACTGTATTTTGTCAGCTAGGCATGGCGGCAAATCCTCGCACACACATACATGTAAAAGTCAACATCGAGCCGTCTTCGCAGGTTGTGATTGATGCCATCGATCATGAGATCTAGTATGACGGCAGCTGGGACCCGTTCGCCTGCAACTTGCGGAAGCAAAGGCTGTCTCTGACGGCACATGCGGACGGACAATTTGCTTTCATCGCTACATAGCCGCTTCACAAGCTCTTTGTCTTCCACTAGTATCTGCAGGATGAAGAGACAGAGGTATGTGTACAGAGCAGATCTTGTCGATCGATGCGCGTGCTGGAGCAGGTACGAGGTCATGGACAGGTAAGCGCTGAGAGGGGAAGGCGCTCCCTTTGTCGCCGCAGGTAGTGACGCCAGGTGGAAGCAAAAGACTTTGTTCGCGTTGACGAAGTCGTATGTTGATAATAGTACACCAATCTCCGGCCCTGGCAAGGCAGCGAACAGCGACTTGGTCTCCTCTGGGTTTGGTGTGGGTGTCGTCGGCCGCGACCCTGGAGCAAGTACGCCCAGCCCAATTGTCCTCAACGTCGAGCCTAATGACCACGCTTCTGGCATGTCATCTTGGATCGCCACGTATGCATCTCTGACCTCTTGACAAGTGGTACCGAAGCAAGTTATCATGTCCCGTATGATTGCATCGTTTACGAAGTCGTCCAGTCGCAGTCTATACGGATTCTGAAACTCGAACTTGTTGTAGTTGGCAAGGAGGCCGAGGAGGTACAGCGCGGGCAGCACTTGGGCGCTGTCGTCGGTGTCTTGGACGTACTTCATAAGCGGAGGAAAGAGGTCGCGGTGTGTGAAATATGACGGCAAAGCTGTGTGGAAGCCGGCCGCGGTTATGGAGAGTGTAGCCCGAACAGCTTTACGTCGTAGGGGCACTGCATCTTGTCAGCTCTGCAGCTGCTATTGTCCGACTTTCCACATACACGTGCGTCCAGTGCGTATTACAGTGTCCAGCGTAGCTATGAAGTCGGTCATGACGGCGTCTGCGTCGTGCAGCCCAGCGAGAACCGAGATGATGTCGGAGCTTGGGTTCGTGTACTTCTTCGTCAGGGCGGCGTCGAGGAAGACTGTCAGGGTCTGGCCAGTGAGCCATTGGGTGCGTTCATAGGGCTCGGCATGTTCGTACCTCGAGCGCGACCTCGTCCGAGGGTGGTTTGGCCTGCTTGGCCCTTTGTATCGCGCGACGGAAGAGTTGCTGCGAATGCGCCTGGAGGTGTAGCATCTCGTCTGGGGACACGGAGCCCAGTATGCGCTTCAGGCCGGCCGAGTCAGGGCGGTGCAAGAAGAACTCCTGCCAGAAGCCCTCGGTGAGCTCGACATCTTCTTCGTCTTCCTGCGTCTACGCTGAGCTATAACCCTGGCTTTGAACAAGCACACGCGCACCTTGAATAACGTTTCGTAGAGGCTGATGATCTTGGGCTGGAACAGCTCAGGCCTGGACACCCGCGTCAGCGGTGAGGGCTCCATGGTGAAGAACGAACTCGAAGCTGTGCAGAAGGTCGAGCTTCGACGTTGCGACAGGAGTGTTGAATGATGAAGGCGTTTCGAAGCTCCCACAACTAGCGTCGGCCCTGAACCGAACGCCGATCAAACCCCACGCCCAGTCTTAAACTCACACAGGACGTTGAACCAATCAATCAGCCCCACGCCCCCACCAGCTCCAACATCAGTCACGTTTCTCAGCCTCACAGCACGACAACCCTCCAAACCTTTGGGGCTTGATCACCAGCGAAAGCCAAGACAAAGTTTGGCTTCTAGTCAGTCGACCCTTCTGAACATCCCCCGGAATTGCAACCTCATTAGCAGCCCCACCCCTCACCACTCAACACGGCCTTTGATTAGAGGTCCCGTACGTGGGCAGCAGCACACCCATGTCATCACCACCCCTCCTAGTAGGCGTTTCAGGCCCCTCCTCCTCCGGAAAGACAACCCTGTCCCGACTCCTCCGGGACATCTTCCCACCCAAGCAACTCTCCGTCGTCCATCTTGACGACTTCTACCTCACAGACGCTGAAATCCCCGTCAAAAACGGCGTGCAAGACTGGGACTGCCTCGAATCGCTCGACCTACCAGGCCTTCGATCAGCTCTGCAACACATCAAACAGCATGGGAGAAGTCCAGGCTGGCTAGTCAGCAAAGAAGACCAAAACAGCGTCGGTGAACACGGCGTATCTACGCGCGTCACCAACGAGCTCCGCAGAGAACTAGAGGCACTGTTACGTGCCCACCCAGACTGGCGCGACCGACGCATCTGCATAGTCGACGGCTTCCTTCTGTTCAGCGAGGAAATGAAAGATATCCGCGAACTGTTCGACGTTCGCGTGTTCTTGCGCACGAGCTACGAGGCGACCAAGAAGAGGCGGGAGGCGCGGAGCGGGTATGTCACACTGGAGGGCTTCTGGGAAGATCCGCCGGGGTATGTTGATGACATCGTGTGGCCGAATTACGTCAAGGATCACAAGTTTTTGTTTGAGGATGGGGATGTGGATGCGGAGTTGGATGAGGAAGTGCTTGAGAAGACGGGGATTTATGGGATGCCACAGGAGGCGGAGGGGGATATGGAGGTGTGCCTGAGGTGGGCTGTGGGAGTGCTGGAGGATGTGATCAAGGGGTCATGATAGTTGAGAGGATGTGAGCCGGGGATGTAGAAGATGTAACATGCATTGCGCCGGACGCCGTAGCTTGGCTTGTAGCCGAGCAGGCCGCATGTCGAGTGCCAAGTAACCGAAAGCGCCGTATCCAACCTATGCAGAAGTGATGATACAGATACGAAGACAGAACGCGCGGGAAGCAACAGGCTTAGGTGCTGCTCTTCACCTTGTCGATGTACGCCTGCCCTGGGCTCTCGTACACGGAAGAAAAGAAAGCATTGACTTGAGGCTCCTTGGAGAGCCATGTCGTCATGCCACTGAGCTCCTCGCGGAGACGGTTGACAGCTTGGATATCCATGTTGGTCTGGGCGATGAGCTCAGGCATCGACACTGTGGACGCGTTAGTAGAGGATGAGCGGAAACGTGTACGTGTTTGGACCCACCGAAGAGGCGCAAAAGATGCTCGCCGCCATAAATCTCGGACATCGACTTCCCGGCCAGGTCATTCGTTGGCTGCTCGAGCTGCGTCGAGATGTCGTAGAACTGTTCACGCTCAAAGCGGTAGAGTAAGAGTCTACCCAGACTCTTGTTGAAGTACTCTTTCAGGCCTTGGATTACCTCTTCCAAGATGTCCGTTTCGGTGCTGTTGCGGTTCCCTGTCGAGGTAGCAAATGCAAAGTACTCGTCCAAGATGACAGCAGCTGGCTTGCTGGATGGCAACTGAACGAGCTGCAGGTTTTTGGTGATGTTCTCCCAGTCATCGACGAGAAGGCTCTTCAACCGGTCTGGCATATAGATACGCACAGCGCGCTTGTTTTGGAAGACTTCTTCCTGGAATGAAACGTTAGAATCAAGTGAGAGCATGCTGAACGATCAAGGTAGCTTGTAGTCAGTAAGAGTAGATATACCTTCTCGAGATCGTGGTCACGCATGCGTTTCTGACCACGAGGTGCAGCGGAGACAGACGTTTGGCGCTCTTCACTCCCGCGAGTAGAGCCTTGAGCCTTCTTCTTAACGGGTTGTGGTTGCGCCCGAGCGGCACGCTGAGCTTGAAGCATCTCGTGCCTCAGCTGGTTTGCCATCTCTCGATTTTCAGGACTGAGTTTGCGAAGACGATCTTCGGGCACCCAGTCATCCCAGCTGATTCTCGTCAGCACAAGTAAATACAAAGAAAGTTTCGGTCGGTTTATGTAGGTTGATGTGGTGGCAGGGTGTGGGTGGAGTGTTGTTACGCTGTGAAGTTGAAGTGGTTGACCCTAAGGTCAAGGTGTGGGCGAGGGGCAAACGTGACTTCCACGGTTGGAGGTTGCCAAACGACAAACAAGAGGCAAACAGGAGATTACGAGAGATGGGTACATACGTGTTCTTCCACCCTTTGTAGTGGATCTTGTACTGGAAGCCAGTCTTCTTGTCATCTCCCTCGCTGGGCTTCACATCAATGACCTTGGCCTCATAGAGCAACTCATGATGGAAGCAGAAAACCTTCTCGTCCTTGCGGTACGATGCTTCTGTGGCCGATGCAGGCGCCATAATTGTTGTGGAGGGTCAAGCTTGAGATGGTGGTGTTTGGTTGAGGAGGCAGTCCACACGAGAGGAAAGGGTGAGGACGGCTGCACACGTATCGCTCACTGCTGCCTTCTCCAGGCCGCGCAACGTATGTGGCAACAATGGATGTTGATGCTGCGCTATCAGATAGATTCGATCAACTCGAGCAGGCCGATGATGAGCTGAGTTGTGGTGTCCGCTTGAGCGACGTTGTTGTCTTCGCATCTCACGGTAGGCTTTGCGCGCACAGGCCAACGCGTCGACGCGCTTCACCCACCCTCAGTCCTACGCCTATCTCCACCAGTCTCTCGTCATCACTGACGCGCCGGTCGCGCAATTCGATCTGGACCACTTCACGACGCCCACAACTACCGCAACCATGTCGTCGCAAGAAGCCAAGCTGCTCAGCGACTTCCTCCTCGCACCAGCACCATTACGCGACTTCATGACACTGCGCCAATTCATTGACATCTTCCCCCGCAGCCACCGCGAAAACCTGGCCGTGCAAGAGCTGTACCGTGAGCTGCACCGCCTGCGCGAAGCTGAGATCGAAGTCGTGCGCAATGACATCACGAAAGAAGTGAAGCGGTCGAAGCCGCTGAGACGAGCGTATGCGCAAGAGAGACGGCAGATGGACGATGCATACGTTGCAGGAATAGATCCAGTGGCACTACAGATGGAAGAAGAGGTGAATCAAGTATGGGAGTACCTTCAAGCACCAGCTAACACGTGAAGCAGCTTTCCGGACACGGGCGAAAGACTCCGCACACGCTACAGACTGTCTACTCCAGTATCGAAGATGCTTGCCAGAGCCTCGAAGCACAGATTGCTGAGATGGAAGAGGAAAACCAACGAACTCTAGCCGAAGTCCAGGAAGCTGTCGGTGCCCTGAGTGACTTGCGGCACGGTCGATTCGCGCAGTCAGCCAGCGGTGAAGACATTGGAGAAGAGGTGCTGGCTACTCTGAAAAGGCTTGAAGCCGTCTGCGCAAATCCGGCAGGTTGAGGTCATCGTTGCTGAACACGACACTCTCGTCCCCAACAGCCCTAGCAACATCCCGGAGCCAGCTTACCACAGGCCATCCCACCATTGGTAGCATTCGCGCTCTGACAGCATGTCGAGTCTGAAGGTACTGCTCAAGAGCCCGCAGAGCCTCCACGGACGAAGCAGTCTCACAAGACAAATATGGCCAAGTTATAGACCCCCAACTCCAGAGCCTGGCCCCCCGAGCCGCTCGATACCACGCAAAGTTGTCCTTTGCAGCTCCCTCTTCTGAAGGACTACCAAAACTGTCGTAACTATTCAGCTTTCAGGAGAGCGAATCGCTAAAACCGGGAATACTAGGATCTGGGGTCGTGGTCAGGACATCCGGCTACGCATCTGGGGAAGCGTCATCTGATTGGCCACTTGATGCATGGCAATCAAAATAGATGAACAACTACAATATCCGCAGGCATAACACTGAGCTGACCGTTCGCATGCGAGACGTATCTATAACGCCCAACGTGTTCACTTGGAGCAATATATCAATGACTGGATGGTCGCCTTGCTGGACATCCGCAATGCATCTCGCTTTGACACCAACTATGCATCTTACATCTACGCTTGCACTTATCTCCGCTCTTTCTTTCTCGTCACTCCTTCCACTCGCAACTGCACAGCTTATCACAGCAGACAACCACTCCTTCGGCGGAGTCAACTTTCCTCTCCTGCAATACTTCACACCCAAGCACCGAGATGAAACCATCCGCGCCATCGTGAAAAGCAAGGCCAGAGTCATCCGACTCTTCATCCGCCCAGACAGCCACCACACCGATCCCGAGCCGCAACTCGGCGAGTTTGACAAATCTTTACTTGACCAGCTCGACGATACGCTTGCGGCTGTACATCGCATTTCAGAGGGCCAGGTCAAAGTCATCATTGCTCCCCACGATGCGCATGCTCTGCGAAGCACCAACAATGTACCATGCGACGCATACTGTGAGAAGATAGGCGGCGCATTCCTAGACTTCTACAGCAATGACGGCATCCGTGCGATCTACAAGACGCGCCTTGATGTGTTCTTCAAGCACTATCCGTCTAAGAACTTTGGGGGGAGGAGTTGGAGTGAACTGTCTGAAGTCATCATGGTAGGCATAGCCTTCCAACATCTGCTCGCTTCATCTACACCCGTGGTGTCGCCGGAGCTGTTCATCGTTGTAGTCCAGTACTCACACTCCACAGGGCGTCGACATCCAAAACCAACCCTTCAGCGGCATCTGGCCCATCCCATCCGGCGAATCCTGGCTCTGCGACATCGCCACACACCTGAAATTCAAAGCCGGACTCGACAGCTCCAACATCTCCGTCATCAGCGGCGGCGTCTCCGGCCTGCAAAGCCTCGGAGGTATCCAGAACTTCCCCGACAGCATTTTTGAATGCCCTGCTATCGACGTGATAGGGATCCATGGTCGATTTGCTCAAGAAGAAGGTGCTACCGCCGGAACCCCTTGGGGGGAGATGTTCATCATGGGTAACACACTGACAGCGCGAGCCCACGGCAAGCAAGGAAAGAGGAAGTTGTTGTTGGTTGAGGAGTGGGAGTACGTACACACTGACTCCGGACTCGAGCACAAAAAAGAAGCTATTTTCGACCAAGGCAACGCCCTGAACCTTCGTGGCATCCCATGGGTAACTTTTCGCCTCTTCCTCCAGCGTTGAAACACCTGCTGACGAACGGTAGATCTACTCCCACCTCTCCTCCAAGAACGAATCCACAACACCCATGATCAACCCTCTTCGCCCCGAACACGCCTCTATGACCGCCCTCACAGACATCCTAACCCGCGCATCCACAGCCCGGAGTAACTTCAACTGGTCTTCCTACCTCCCCGCGCCGTCCACGCCATCGACCTCGCTCACTGAGATCCCGCTGAACCCATACATTCCTGCTGACAGTACGTGTGTATTTGGTTGTGAAGGCCATCTCTGCTCCTCCGCCGACTCGTGCGCACCCACCCTCCTCTGCAAAAACAACATCTGCCGGTCCAACCCCGAGTCCCAACCAGGCCAGATCGGAAGTGCATGTAATAGCAAGAAACCGTGTCAACCGCACCTCCGCTGTTCCGGCGGTGCGTGCCAGGCGTGCTCCGTGCGGCCTACGCTTCCACCACCGGGGACGATGAAGGTTGCGGGCGCGAACGATGCAAACGGGTCTTGCGCGCCAGATGCCATTACTGCGTTCTTTGGACATGCCTTGCGCCCTCCAACATGTCTGAGCACCAAGGGGAAGCGGAATCCGTGCGAGAACGCTCAGCATTGTGATGGGGATGAGTACTGCTCATGGGGGGTTTGCACACCCTGTTCCTCTGCCGATCTCTGCCTCGGCGCTCAGTGCAAGAGCAACAACGCCTGCAAGACTGGATTTTGCAATAGTCATGGAAGATGTGACTATGGCGGCCAGAAGAGATTGGTCTTCGGACCGGGCGTGAGGGGGCGCTGGAAAAACGGGAGGGTGGATGGTGTTCCGGAAGGACATGAGCGCGGGCCTGCGAAGGTAAGGAGCGAGGCGATGAGGATTGTTATCCCGACGGAGGGCGTTATGGAGACAGGGCAGGCTCAGGCAAGGGTTGTGTCGTAGACGGACTGAGTGGTGTGTGGGAGTTGCACGGAAGAGCAAGGGCTCCTTCATCTCTTTCCAATGCATCACGCTTCGAGTCGAGATTGCAATGCATCTGGGCAATATTGTCCACGATATTGCACTGATTATATTGATCGTACACGTTCTGGGGTATCGAATCCTCAGGAAACTTCCCTCTATCGCTGAATTACACCGAAATGCTGCACCACCATTTTCTCTCCTTGACTCGTCCATGGGTATCATTTCGCCATCTTGGTTACTCTGTCATATTCCGTCCTTCTGCCTGCCCTTTCGTCCACCCTTCGGCCGCCTTGCCTGCCAGCTTACCCACTCGCAGACATTTGCCAGAGACACCGTGTGTTCTTGGGTCCACATGTTGTCTTCTTCGAGGCCAGGTCTGCTCGCAATCCCAGCTACGTGTTTCTTTGCTGAACCCACCCACATGCTTCTTCTTTCCTCCATTGTGAGCTCGTCGGCTCGTACGTGGCGGCTGCTACCCACTCACGTCAGCGCCATTCATAAGCTTCAACAACTCCTTATTATCCGCAATCAACTTGTCCAAGAAATTCGCCGCCTCCATGAGCACGCTACTCTTACTCAACCCTCCATTCCGTATCTCCGGCACAAGGTCGTGCAAATCATCGAAGCCGCGCTTAATCAGATTTCGCCGTTTCTGCTCCGAGAGGATGTGATTGCTGCGCTTCTGCTCCTCGCTAAGGTTCTCGCGCTGCAGCTTCTGTGCTGCGGCGGAGGCGCGTTTCTTCTTGCTGTCTTCGGCGGGAGGTTTTTTGGGCTTGCCGACTCGGCTGCCAGGCGCGGTTTTGCGTATGCTTTCCTTTTTCACTTGGATGCTCTTCTTTCGCTTCTTTGTAGGTTGGTCGTCGTCTGCGGAGCTTGTTTCTTCTGATTCACCGTCGCTTGCCTCTTCTGCTGGGGTTCGGCGGGTGTGCGCGGCGGCTTCGGGGACGTGGGCGCTGGGTATGTCTGGGATGAATGTCTGAGAGTGGCGCATGTCGCGCATCAGGCGCCGTGTTACTTGCTCCTCGGTCTCGTTGTGGGGTGCGGAGAAGCCTGCTGGGTTGCTGAAGGAGTCGTCTGTACCGAACGTGTACGTCCTCTTCAGGCTTGGGCGATGTAGTATTGGCCCAAAACCGGCTTCGTGTCTTTGGTGTGCATCGCTGCTAGCCCACTGTGCTGCAAGCTGTGCGTCGAGTGTGCCCGCTGCGTCGTGGTTGGGTAGGAGTGCAGCGAGGTGTTCATTGAGCAGCCCCTGCGATGTAGCCACCATCGGTCTCGAAGCGTGTGTATGGTTCGGTATACTGTGGTGGTGCGGATGGGTATTGTTGCTCGAAGACGAGATGTCGTGAAAGCTATGTGACCGGTTGGTCATGTATGGGTGTTGTTGTGAGTTGTTGAAAAGGGTCGATGCAGCCTGGAGGTCGTCGTGCGTGGTGCCCATGTGGTCGAACTGCTGTGCATGTGTTGCGAACATATGGTCGCCGGAGAACCCGTGGTGGAGTTGTGCTTGGTCGGGGACTGTGGCTGAGACTTGGTGTACAGTCGCTGGGGCCATGAAGTTCCAGTCGCTGAAGTCATTGCCTGCGAGCTTGGTATCTGTGGTCGAGCCGAACGGCTGAGAGTCGGAGAGGTTGAAGGGGTCGGTGTTGGAAAAGAAGTCGGCGAGGGACTGGCCTTCCATGTCACTGAGCAGCGACTGTCCATTGTTGTCCAGCGGTGTGGAGGAGCCATTGAAGAAGTCGCTGCTAAATGTATCTGCGCCGTGTCAGCATCGTCTCCATGCATACTCAACCTCCAGACGTACAGCCGAACGGCGGCGGATCTTTGTCGCTCATGGCTGGACGAGGGAGGCCTCTAGGCGGCGCGCCCTCGAACCCTGCAAACGGTGGTTGCGAAAGGAGCTCCAGTTTGGCGGCTTGCAGAGGTCGTCGTGGGAAGTGGAGCCTCCAAGGTTCAAGCGCTGGAGGCGGTGACTGGCTCGGAATGTTCCTACCAGCGGTTGTTGGGAGCTGCGACGCGCGCAATGACGTGCAGTGGGGATTACGTTCAGGTGAAAGGGCGACTGCGTGCTGGATGCGGTACGTAGAGAACCGACAGTGCGCGGACAGCGGTGCCTATTATGCAGTCGCGATCCCCAGCACACATCGCCGACTGGCCAGCCCTGCGGCGCTCGACGGGAGTCTGTACGGAGAGAAACCGTGGGGAAGAGTGAAGGTGTCGCGCAGCCATCTTCACATGTTCACATGCCAGAACTTCTGCGCAGCACGTGTTCCTCGGCTGCAGCTGCCCGCTCAGAGTTCCGAACTACCCCGGATTTCCCAGCAACCATCATCTCCACCATCACCCTTGCATGTCACTCGCAGTCATCACGAGGAGCTCTCGTCAGCTTCCTTTCATGCCGCATGTCGTTCCGTGGGGTTCAGGAGGTTCTGCAACACACCACCGGCGCTCTCCTCACATCAACGGTATCCTGAGGCGTCTGTAATACCCGGCCCTTCTATTGTTTGCATCGCTCGTGCTGCTTTTAGTATCTGCTCCGCGAACCTGTCGATCCTCGCGAAGCCATGCATGCACTTGGCATCTACCTCGGACTAGCTTCCGTCTCATTCCCTTAAGCTCACACTTGTTGCTGTTCTCTGCCAGGAGACCACCTGTACTCCAGCCCCTGCAGTCCCTGCAGCTCTTACCATTCGCCGTAATGGCACGGCAGCGATCTGGGGCTGTTGCACATCTGCGCCTTGCGAAACCGTAAGATAGAACCTTATGTCGGCATGTCCGAGGTGAACTGACTCTGGCCCCCAGGCTCACCACTGCTTACATACTCGGCTTGTTGTCGAGCACTAGTCCCCGTCTGGCGAGGATCCTGTTCTTGTTTGGGAAGAGGAAGTTGACTGCTCGGGCTGCATGGCTGCAGGTGGGTGACGTTTGCTATCTGAACGGACGTATCCTTCAACCTGTGGGCCGTGGTGGAGGATCTACCATATCGTACGACGGGCTAACATGACTACGAAAGACTATCCACACGCTCCGCGAGGCACTTGCCGTTCACCGTTTCCCCACATTCTGCGCTGTCTTCGTCGGTGGATCGACGCTCCTCCAGATTCCGATCAGGATAGTGCTCGGCATCGTTCTACCTCGGCTCACGTCTTCGTCAAGGCCTCTTGGCCTTGGAGTTGCTCGACTGTTTGCCAGATTTATCGCAGCTCTTATCTCGGCGTCTGTCTCTTTCAGACTGCTCAACAACCCTCCTGCTCGCAATGCAGCTCTGTCTGTTACAGAACGAGCCCCAGTGCTCAACAGATTCGCGCCAGGTCCCTTCGATGAACCGCCCGAAGAGCAGTCGGTGGACGTGACTTCTCTGTCGAGACCAGATCTCGCTGGAAGAACCATGGATCTCACCCTCTTTGCGGTCATACGAGCTTTAGACATCTTGGTAGGTACCACCACCTCTTCACTGAACCCATCTTCCCTCCTACGTAAAGCAACTAGCAGGTTCCCCACACCACTTTTCTGCTTCTCCGTAGCCACAATAATGTGGTCCTGGTTCTACAGCCCCAGCCGTCTGCCACGGAGCTACAATGCCTGGATCTCCGCCGCCGCCGAACTAGACCACCGTCTGGTTCTCGCTCTGCGACATGCTCGATACGGCACCTTCCAGTACAGCAAAGAGACGGGTATGGCTCCCCTACTCGGCTCTATGGCGCGCGACTATGGGATGCCGGAAGACGCAGGGGATCCTGCGAAGACGATACCAGTGCCGTGCGAACTGGTGCATATGGGCTGTGGGAAAAGCTGTGAGAAGCATGCACTGTGGCGGTTCTGGCGCGGTTGGGCGTTTGCGGCGAAGATGTACTTTCCATTGCAGTTTTTCGTGCTGGCTAAGCATTTGATGGAGCCTGGGCATCCTGGCGATCGACTGGCTGGGTTGTCAAAACAGAGATTGATGGCAGCCATCAAGGACGCTACAAGGCGTTCTTCGTTTCTTGGTGCGTTTATCGCGTTCTTCTACTACGGTGTCTGTCTGTCGCGGACGCGCCTGGGGCCCAAACTGTTTTCACCGAAGACCATCACACCGCAGATGTGGGACTCTGGACTGTGTGTCTTGAGCGGGTGTTTATTTTGCGGACTTAGCATACTGGTGGAGGAGTCAAAGAGGCGTCTCGAGATTGGGCTCTTTGTGTTGCCCAGAGCTGCTGCAACCTGGCTGCCTCGCCGGTATCTGCCTGAATACTTGTGGAGAGAACATCTGGCGTTTGCGCTCAGCGCTGCTGTCGTGATGACGGCGGCGCAGGAGGACCATAGACGTGTGAGGGGAGTCTTTGGGAAGCTATTGCACAGGGTGCTCAAGACTGACTAGGAGGCACCATGAAGATGTATGGGACAGCTCAGCAATTGTGCTGCAAGCACTTAATTACCTCAACGTCTTGTCTGCATTCGAGCGATCTGCTCACTGAACTTCGAGCATAGAAAACAGGCAACACGAATACTACAACCAACACGACGAACATTCGCCTATCCATCTTCTTTATCAGAAAAGGTGAAAGCTCAACTCCAAAACCCACAGGCCTTCACCTTCCTCATCCGCCATGCCAAGTTCTCATCCGGCAAAATTATACCACAAAGTGCACAAAGAGCAACCTCTTCGACTTTGACTCTGAGATCCACACACGGGATGACCTGCTCCACCTGGAAAAGGTTTCGGTCCACAACACGGCCACGTACATGCGCCACACCCGCCTCCCGCCCGATCTTTGCACCTTCCGGAATGAACCGACCCACCCAAATCTCCCACTCACCACACAGCGCGCCCAGCAAGAAGACACAACGCGCAAGCACCTCCACACGTTCTATCGAAATCATTAAACTACTTTTTAAACTACTTTTTAAACAACGTTGCCCGTGCGTCACCTCCCGCGCAGCGGCGGCGCACTGCTGCAAGCGGTACCTGACGGTTCTTCCCATTGTGGAAGCCGTTGGGAGCCTCGAATGTTCTTCTCTCTATTTCTGGCCCAGGGCTCCAAGCCCTGCGCGCCAAGCAGTGTGTAACCCGTACCGAAAGCGTTGGGTTGGTGGTACCTGGTGGTACGAGATTGGTGTGCACTTCGTTGCTCCTTTACGAGCTGAGACTACTAGTAGCGACTTTTGGCGAGGCAGATACGAGTGTAGTCGTGTTGTAGGCGTCTGCAGCGTTTGTGTTCCTGGAAGTTTCCGCTCGTACTCCCTAACGCTCTTCTTCCACTATTCGGTGTGGTGCAAGACGTTTGCGTGCAGCGCTGTACAGTCGCAGGTACCCGCGGGTGTGAACTTCACCACGGCTGGGTACAGCTACACCATGCAGATATCCCATGCAAAGTCTCTCGTGTAACGGACCGGTGCCAGCATCCGAGACAGCGATTCGGCTCTCCGCCTCGTTTTGACACGACACCAAACTACCATCATGAGATGCAAGACTGTTTCGTACAAGCACCTCGTGACACCTGACAGCGATACCCATAATTGCTTGACTACGTTCATGGATACTAGTATCATGTACACTCACACACACAGCCTTGCACTTGTGACAACCCCTCCTCGTGTTGCAAAACCGTTTCGTTTGCTCTCACACGATGCCGTTGCTCCACATCATTGCACATCCACAGGGAACATGAAGATGCAACGCCCGCGCCGCCCCACATCATCAAACAAAATTCGCCCAAATTCTTCCGCTTTGTAACTCCAGCCCCGCATTTAGCTCCAGTCAGCGCTTTCATCCACTTTTCAGTCCAGGGATCTCTCGTGCCCGGACCCAAAGCCTATTTCAAGCATAGTCTCCCATATTCGTATGACATCATTACAGGCCCAGCGAGTGCCTCACCCAGCGTTTCCGTGAACGCGTATGCAGGGGCAAATCGATGTGGTGTAATGTGTGAGTAGGCGTTGCATATGTGGAGCAAAGCGAATATTGTTCTGGAAGGCGTTGCAGGCGTTGTGGATGTGGGTGGGTGTGGTGTCGGGGTGTTCAGAATAGAAACATGTACATGTGTAAGATCGATCAACAGATGATCGCGTCCATCACCACTGGATGCGGTAATGACAAGGCGTCATTTCGGTACACACCTGTCAGGATCTTGGTGCTCGTGTTCGTGTAAGGTTTACTAGAGTTTGGACAACGATCACCACGTCTAAGATAGCTATGTTGGTTGGTAAGATATGTATTGTCAATAGCACAGCTACTGATGCTAGTAGTATGAGACTAGAAGATAGGTAGAGGTGGGGTAATAGGTAGGTAGTATGTACTATGCAAAGAAACGCGATGCGGTGGTGTAGCCTCCGAGGAGTGCTAATGCAGGTGGTATCATCGAAACAAACAACACCGAAAATGCTAAACGAACGCCCATGGGCCCTGTGCCCTGTAGTGTATCCAACGCCGCAATGTAGTGGTGCTCAACTCGTTAGCTGCTGTCGTCATCGCTGCCTGTCGAGGCTGTCGATACGTTGTCGCCAGGCAGCTTGCCTAGTGTCCACCGCCAGTCGCGACTGCGTTTCCGTCGGCCGGCGACGGGCGTCTGTGGGCAGGTGTCGCTGTCGTCCTCAGACTCAGACGAGTCCCGTTTATCTCCAAGTCTGGGTGGCTTTCTTTGACGAGGCGAGCTCTCTATTTTTGCAATGGTGGGCTTTTCTGAAAACGACTGGAGAGACAGCGAGGGCTTGCTGAGTTGGAGTTTGGGGGTGACCGAATGATGTGTCGCAGTAGCTTCTGATTCAGTGGAGGTTGAGTCTGTCGATGTGGACTCCAAGGACGTCAACGTCGAACTTGAAGACTCCAAATCTGAGTTGGCCCAGGTGTACTTGACGGTCTTGATCTCCTCTTCTAACGGCGTGCGAAAGGACACGCGCTTCTCTGCAGGGAACATGGGTCTGGAGGCCATCTTGCGTGGGACTATCCGGCTGTTGGCGAGGATGGAGTTGAGGTTGTGGGGTTGCTTGTACGGTATTGTGCTGCTAGCTGATTCACTGGAGGCTGATGTGAGTGTTGATGAGGAGAGAGTCGAGGCTGAGTCAGGGGTGCATATGCTGGCTGGATTGGAGGTCGTGCTGCCAATCTCCAGGCGCAGCTTTGCAGGCGGTCCAGGTGGTGGTGCGACGAAAGTGTTTAGCGTGTTCGATGTGTTTGTTGTAGTAGTAGGCTCATATGCGTTGTTGAAGGTGTTGCGCACTGTGGGAGAGACTGCGCTGAGCGTGTCAAGCCGTAACGAGGCTCCTTTGCCAAAGATGCGGGGCTGGTGGGTGTTGACGGTGAGCTTAGGGCGCTGCGAGGGCCGCGAGGGCATTATAGGCAGCGAGGCGGCCATGGTGGACTGCAGCGCAGGTGACGATGAGAAGGTGGGCGGCGCGGGGTGTGATGATATAGTCGAGAGCATCATGGGTGAGACTTGCCGCACTCAGAAGCCAGGTGGGCGCAGACAGAGGCAGTGTGGCGGGGATCCGTCAGCCTTCTCTGGCCAGGTGCAGCGGTCGTATCTGTTGATGGATACGAGGTCGGTACTCCCAAATACAATGTTCTTTCTGAGGTTATCGTGGTATTATCGCGTATTGTCTATACTCGGAATCAAAGACTGCGCGCGGGGCCGCGCTGCTTTTGAGAAGCCCGCCGCCATCTCTCGTTTTGTGGTAGACGCGCGTGCTGCATGCTGAGCGGCTACCAGGTTATTTTTGGCAGGCACGCTAAGGAAACCTTGGACAAGCACAGAAGCGGCAGGGGCGACCCACTCACCACTAGCCCGTAGCGCCCTCTTGTTTTGCATCCTCCGCACCTGCTCCTCCACCAACGCGGCACCTGTCTGCGCAGGTCAGACTGCGAGCCGCCGACTCCCTCCGGCCAGGTGGCTTCGCAGTTCGCTTCGCAATGAACGGCCCTCGCAGGAAGAGGCTGAAGCGGCAGCTCGAGTCGACCATCATCCACTTTGTATGTCAGCACACAATACTCAACAGCCAGGCAACCCGTCGCGGTCGTTACACAGCCTTACCAAGGACGCCTGAACGCTGTGGACCACCTTGGCCATCGTCGTAATTGCTTGCGTCTGATCGTACTCAGCGTTGCTAACGTCCTGCCTGTACGAATTTAGGACTATGTACGTGTTGCCCTGTGCACCGAGAGTCACGACTAGGTTCAGATGACTGGCACCTGACATGGCTTACACGCGCTCGGTTAGGATTGCTTCTACGCTAGCGTCTTTGAGCGTGAGCAGCCACGCCTCAAGGCGCTTCCACTCGCCGTGCAGCAGAAGCAAATTGTTGTGACGTGCAATTACGAGGCTCGTCGAAGGGTACATCTCCCGTCTCCTGTCATACCTTCTTTACGTGCTGTTGCCCAGACATGGCTACGCAAGCATGGTCTTGTGCATTAACAGTAGCACACATGCATTGCTCGATTACAGCGTAAGCCAAGTATCAGTCTGCTGACTTGTTCAGGGATTGTACAAGCTGCAGCTGATTACAGAGGCGAAGAAGGTTTGTCCTGATGTGGTCATCGTCTTGGGCGAGGACCTCACACGGTTCAGAAATGCCTCGAAACAACTGTATGGCTTCCTGAGCTCCTTCTCTTGGAACTCGCGCTGTGAGCGACTTGGCTTTGATGAAGTCTGGCTCGATGTGTCTGATTTGGTCGACAATAACGTCACAACACTGAACCTGTCCAACCTTAGCAATTCTTTCTTTCGTCTGTCGAAGCATGATCCAACAGTAGGTTTCCAGTTTGATGCAACGAATTATGCTGGTCCTGTTTATCCAGAGACACCAAACGAAACACAGGGTGAGTTTCCCTATCTGTCGCGTTTTTGCAGGGCTGCATGAACTACATGCTTGTGCTTCTGGAGTGCCCCAGAAACTCAGAATGTGGCAAAGAAGCGGCTGTACTGTCTCATGGATACTACGCTATCGACAGGCATGACGCCAAGCACTTTCATCACATACTGGCATGAGATCATTATGTTTCCCCATGTTTCATGTTTCAGCACTGTCTTTCTCAATATACGTCTGACAGGCAACAGCAGTTACTATTTCGCATGGCCTTTTACACTTTCGCCTACTGCTAGCAAGCCACTTGGCTCAGCATATTCGACAAAAGCTTGAATATGATCTGGGCTACACAGCTACGGTAGGTGTGTCAACCAACAAGCTTCTTTCCAAGCTTGTTGGCAATCTGCACAAGCCGAACAGTCAAACGACACTGATACCGCCGTACACCGCGGACCATGATGAATGGGACAATGTAACTCCGTTCATCGACGACCACGAAGTTGGCAAGATACCAGGCATTGGCTTGAAGATCGCTCAGAAGCTTCGACGCCATGTTTTACAGAGACCAGCAGACTTCAACGCAGGTCTCGTGTACGGTGGAACTAAAGAAGACGTTCGGGTGCGAGATGTGCGCACCTACCCCGATATGGGCCCAGACGTCCTGGAGCGGATACTTGGTGGTCCAGGAACACTACATGGCATAGGCACTCGAGTTTGGGACCTTCTGAACGGCTCCGATGACACAGCCGTCAGTCAAGCTCGCGAGGTACCTCGACAGATCAGCATCGAAGATAGCTATATCCGGCTTGACACCATCGACGAAGTGGTCAAGCAGTTGCGCGTCTTAGCCATCAGTCTGCTTAGGAGGATACGCACCGACTTGGTAGAAGATGGCCAGGAGCCAACTGAGGACTCAGCTGCCACCAGCAGGCCAATCACTCAACGCTGGCTCGCCCATCCTAAAACCCTCCGCCTTTCGACACGTCCACGCCCACCACAGAACCCAGATGGAAGCCGCAATCGTTCATTCGCACGCATCTCTAGGTCAGCACCAATGCCAAACTTCATCTTTAGTCTGAAAGAGAGCATTGAGACACTTGCTGATAGGCTGATTCGCGAGACACTCATACCACTATTCAAACAGTTGCATCCTGAGAAGCAAGGATGGAATTTGAGCCTCGTCAATCTTGCCGCGACCAACATGGTGGAGGGAGCGAGTGAAAAAGGTGGAGCTGGCAGGGACATTGGTAAGATGTTCAGCCGGCAGGACGATGTACTGGCGCCCTTCAGGGTGCGGGACGGACCTGCTCAAGGGGACATGAAACATGTTGCAGAAGAGCAGCATATGGCAGGGGAGCATGCAGAACAGCTGCAAATCAGGGCCAAGCCTCACCAGTATGAGCCGAAATTTTCAACGAGCAGATTCGGCTCAGAAGATGTTCCTACACCATCTCAGGAATACGACACCGACATCGACATCGACGATACCCGGGAAGAAGATAACGATATGCTAGATGCTGACACGTACCGGTGTGATGAGTGCGGCGCCGTTATGCCGCTCTTCGCGATGGGTGCTCACGAGCGGTGGCATATTCAAAATTGAGTCGACGACACTATAGTCAAGTTTCTTTGATAGCAATGTAATATCAAGAACTGGAGGGGAACATACTAAGCGCTAAGCTTTCACACAGCTTTGCAGCCGAAGGGGGCCAAGCCTACGGTGAGAGCGGGGTACAACCTAGGTGCGCAAGGGTGAAGGTCAACAACCGAGGCAGCGCTGTCCTAATTCAGCATTACAACAAGCGATGATGAAGTATCCGTCTGTATTCTTCTCACATCGATAGTGAAGATAGCCGCGTCGATTGCATGCTACCAGGAACAAGACCTACAGACCTACCATCATAATGCCTCGGAACTCCTCAACAAAGCCTCTTCCTTCCACACCAGATCCAAATCCAAGTGCCATCAAACTAGCAAACCTTGAACTAGAAATAACGACAACCTTCTCAGACCAAACAACAACAGGCTCTCCAATTGACGGCGGTCACAAAGCATGGCGCCTTCTCCTCTCAGCCTTCGTGTTCGAATCCCTTCTCTGGGGTTTCCCATTATCCTTCGGTGTCTTCCAGGAACATTACACGCGAATTCAAGAATTCCGCAACAGTCCCTACATCTCCATCGTCGGCACCACCGCGTCCGGGATCTCGTACCTCGGCGCCCCGTTTGTGGTCCCGTTTATTCGCCGGTGGTCCAAGTACAGGACGCATATGATTCTTGTCGGCTGGCCGTTATTCATCATTGGCCTTGTAGCAGGGTCCTTTGCTGATTCACTGAGTACGCTGATCTTGACTCAGGGAGTGCTATATGGAATTGGGTTTATTATCTTCTACTACCCTATTCTGTCGATGGTGGACGAGTACTGGATTCGCCGGAGGGGCATGGCGTACGGGCTTCTTTGCAGTGCATCTGGTGTTAGTGGCGCGGTGACGCCGTTGAGTCTTCAAGCTCTCCTGAAGCAATACGGACATAGGACGACGCTGAGGGGCGTAGCGGTGTTTCTGTTTGTTGTGACGGGGCCGCTTATACCGTTGCTGAAGGGGAGGCCTGGGCAGAAGCAGAATGTCAGACTCATAACGGACTGGACGTTTCTGAAGAAACGGCTATTCTGGATCTACAGCGTCAGCAACCTACTCATGGGACTGGGCGCTTCTTCCCCGCGCTATTCCTCCCCTCATACGCAAGCTCGATTGGCCTCAGCACGTCAAAGGGCGCGCTACTACTTGCGCTCATGAGCGTTTCCCAAATCGCAGGCCAGTTCACATTCGGCTATCTCTCGGACAAGCGGACGTCAGTCAACGCACTCATCACTGTATCAGTATCCATCGCAGCGATTGCAACACTCAGTGCATGGGGTCTCGCACGCTCAATAGCACCCCTAATCCTCTTCGCACTCTTGTACGGCTTTTTCGGCGCTGGATACACCGCGATGTGGGCGAGGATGGCCACTGCTGTCAGTGAAGAACCTTCTGCTGCACAAGCCATCTTTGGGATGTTCAACTTTGGCAAGGGTGTTGGGAATATTGCTGCGGGCCCAATCAGCGCGGGGTTGTTGAGGTAGGCCACTGGTGATGGAGGGTATGGACATGGGACGTATAGGGCTGTCGTCTTGTTCACTGGGGTCTGTTTGCTGTTAAGCGCTGGGAGTTTGGGCGCGGTTCATGTTCAACCGAAGACATAGCGATCCATTAGGGAGACATTTTCGGATGAATGCAAAGTACGACACTGAACTCCTCGCTCTCGTGAGTGTACCGGCTGCCACGTCACTCGTGCAAAAAATTGCTCTCGTCGGACTGTTCCTGGCATGCTCAACACCTCGCCCATTCGCTAACTTGACCGCCAGATCTCATGGAGTGAGACAGCAGCACTATTTCCAGCCTTGTCTCCACAATTGTGGAGCAATATACTAATGCAGCGCTCCTGATAGAATCATGGTCACGAACTGTAAGCCTCGTGTTAGGGCCCACTCGAACAAGGAACCTCGCGATTGGGGACGTGTGGCGCCGTGGCAACAAAGCTCAGCCTCATGGGCAGTTTTCTCCGAAAGTGCAAAATGTGGCTGAGGGTGAGAAACACGGAAACGTGATATTCGCAAGGCTGACCAAAAAGAGAGATGGATGCTATGCTTCTGGAAGCTCTAGAAGCCCGTTGGAAGTGGAGTTCGGCAACCTTGGAAGCCGACTGTGACGTCCCCGCTTGTGACATGTGATGGCCGTGCAGCTTCAACGCACCGCCTTCGGCTCGCCTTCGCCATGATAGCTGTCAACCATCACAGTGACTACACAGCGTCACGATGCCGGGCTCCTCGCGTCTGCCCGTCAGTCTTCGCGACACGTTCAATGCGCACCGAGGGACGCCGAAAGGCCAGCTCGCCGTGCTGAACATCGAAGTGTATGCACCTTGGTATCTATAACATGCGCATAACTAATGTGAATGATCTTATAGGCTGCGCAACATTGTCTTCATCCTCTTCCTCCTCCGCTGGACACGGATCTTGTTCTACCAGCTCAAAGGCCGCGGCATCTTCGGTTCGCTGTCCGATCTCTATGTCGCCGTGAGACGCTACCTATACGGCGTGTTCCTGCGCCTCCCCGGCGTGCGCACCAAAGTTCAGACACAGATCTCCGAGTCGCTGCTCAAGCTTGAGCGCAAGCTCGTCCCCAGCGGCCCAGGCGTGGAGCGCATCACGACCCTGCCAAACCAAGGATGGAGCGAAGAAGAGGTGCGCAAGAAGCTGGGCGAGCTGGCAGACATGGAGCACACGCGCTGGGAAGACGGGCGCGTCAGCGGTGCCGTATACCACGGCGGTGATGAGCTGATCAGACTTCAGACGGAGGCTTTTGGCAAGTTCACCGTGGCGAACCCCATTCACCCCGACGTCTTCCCCGGCGTCAGGAAGATGGAAGCCGAGATCGTAGCCATGGTGCTCTCCCTCTTCAGCGCACCCGAGGGCGCTGTAGGCGTCACAACCAGCGGTGGCACCGAATCCATCCTCATGGCCTGCCTCTCCGCGCGCAACAAAGCCTACGCCGAGCGCGGCGTCACCCAGCCGGAGATGATCCTCCCCGAGACCGCACACACAGCCTTCCGCAAGGCCGGTGAGTACTTCAAGATCAAGATCCATCTCGTCGCGTGCAAGGCGCCCAGCTACAAAGTGCACCTCCCCTCCGTCTCGCGGCTGATAAACCCCAACACCGTCCTCCTGGTCGGCAGCGCACCCAACTTCCCCCACGGCATCATCGACGACATCGCGGGCCTCAGCAAACTGGCGCACAAGAAGAAACTGCCGCTGCACGTAGACTGCTGTCTGGGCTCCTTCATCATCCCGCTCCTCCCCAAAGCCGGCTTTGACTTCGAGCCCTTCGACTTCCGCCTCAAGGGCGTAACCAGCATATCCTGTGACACGCACAAATACGGGTTCGCGCCGAAGGGCAACAGCACTGTTCTGTACCGCTCAGACGATCTGCGGAAGTACCAGTATTTCATTTCCCCCGACTGGAGCGGCGGCGTGTACGCCAGCCCTTCGATCGCTGGAAGCAGGCCCGGCGCGCTGATCGCAGGGTGTTGGGCGTCCCTGGTTAAGCAGGGCGAGAGCGGGTACATTGACGCGTGCCACAAGATTGTCGGCGGGATGAAGAAGATCGAATCTGCTGTTCGCGAGAAACCTGAACTCAGCGCTGATCTCAAGATCATCGGGCGCCCGCTCGTCAGCGTCGTCGCGTTCCTCTCCAATACGCTGGATATCTACGACATCGCGGACGGCATGAGCGCGAAGGGATGGCATCTCAACGCGCTGCAGAATCCGGCTGCGATTCACGTAGCGGTTACGCTGCCGATTGTTGCGGTTGTGGATAAGCTGATTGGCGATTTGGTGGATGTGGTTGAGGACGTCAAGGAGCAGGAGCGCAAGAGGGTTGCTGAGGGCAAGGGGGCGAAGGGTGCGGTTAAGGGCGATACGGCGGCGTTGTATGGGGTTGCGGGGAGTTTGCCGAATAAGAGTGTTGTTGTGGATTTGGCGAAGGGGTTTTTGGATACTTTGTACAAGGTGTGAGGTTGGCTTTGAGTGATCTCTCTGCAGTGGCCCAATTTCTACATAGCGCAGGTCTCGTACACACAACTACAAACGTACTTGGACATGGTATTATACATTCTTCACAACGGCGCTGATGGCTGGTTCGCCGCGGCTGGGATCCTCGCCGCCTGCTGCTCAAGAGGAAGCAGCTTCCTCGGCCTCTTGAGATCCTCCTCTGTGACACCGTTCGCGAGCTTCGTGATGCCCATCACCGGCGCATCTCCCTTCTTGACGAACTCGTACAATCCTACCAACTGTTAGTCGTTCGAAAATCGACACGTCCCCCTTCAAACGCTTGGGATCTTGGTAGACTTACCAGGCAGTTTGTTCCCCGCCAACCTAAACGCATCCCTAACAACCTGCTCGTGCAGATCGCCCTTGATCTCAAAAATAATCTTGCTGACCGCCACCCTCGCCGTCCACCTATCAAAACTTCCCTTTCCCTTTCCCATACGCACGTCATTACCCGACGTGTACACACCAATATTCGCAGCAATGCGCATGTACATCCTGAACTTCATTCCCCTGAGCCTCTTACGAATCGTGTCCTCGGCAATCTTGAGCTGCTGCGCGCTGATGCGCCGGTCGTGGTCGCGCATTCGAAGGCCGTACTCGCCCCAGACGACTGTCGTGCCGCGCATGCTGCCGCCGGTAGGCACGCGGCATCGGCCTTTGCGTGATTTGCGGGATTCGCCGGCTTTGGGGGCGAGCCAGTTTTGGTGTGCCGGTGTGGACGAGAAGAAGCGGACGGCGGTGGGTTTAACGGCCGGTGTGAGGAATTGGCATCTGGGGAGCGCAGTTGCTGGAAGATGTTAATCGCGATCCATTTGAAGAGGCGTAGAAGTCGTACGTCTCGGCCGAGCAGCATTCAAGCTCAGGGAGCTGAATGAAGCCAGCAGGCTTTGCTGTATCCTGGGCGGCGGCATGGTGGTTGATGTGCGCTGTGACGGAAGTCCGCAACATACATTGATGTTGGGGTTCGAAGTTCTGAGTGCCAAGGTGTGGCTGCCAGTTGTGGCGCACTTGGCGCGTTTTGGAGCCTAATGACTTCGCGAGGTCGCGAGGCAGGCGCGTCCATCACGTCAATGCTGCCTCGTGGTGGAGAACGACTTAAGAACGCCCACCGCACCCATTGTTGTCGCATTGTCGTCAGCAAACTTTCGTATTAGCATGCATGCGTAATTGAAGACTGTTGTACTTTCAAAATGCCTGCCGACATTCGGAGCTTCTTTGGCGGAGGGCCGCCAAAGCTGAGCCAGGGCAGTGAGGGTTCGCAGAAGAAAGATGAGGTATGTACACACAACTGACGCAATTCTATGCTGCACGCAGGCCTCTTCTGGTCTTACTCATTGCCGTGGAATACCCGAATAACTCCACGCGCAACTAACTGAGGCCTCTCACGCTTGACACTGGTCACAACACAAAAGGGCTACAGCTGACGGTCGATACAGAAGCCTGCACCGAAGAAAGCAGCACCCAAAAAGGGCCGCGCGAGTCGAGTTGTAATGGACGAGTCTGACGACGACGACGAAGTCGAAGAAGTCAAGTCAGATAGATCCCATTGGCAGTGACGTGAAAGACTCGATCTGACAGCTGCCAGACCGAAGAAAGCGACACCCAAGAAACCAGCGCCGAGGAAACAGAAACGCGAACTCACGCCCGAGCTCGAAGAGACGACCACAACTGACTTCTTTGCGAAATCGAACAAGCCCAAACGGAGCGAACCTGTCAAAAAGGCCGTCGACAAGGCTGTCGAGACACCGAAGGCCACACCGAAAAAAGCGACCGGGCGAGCGTCAAAAATTGCCACACCAGCGACAAATGGCAGGGCATCCGGGAGAGCGAAGAAGCCAGTCACATCATACGCGGAGCAGGGCAATGGGAACGAATTCGACGATGACGATCTCGACAATGCAGACGATATCTTTGGAGACGACTACAAGAACAAGGGCAAGGACGACTACGTCGAGGGTGCAGACAGCGACGACGAGGATCTGCCGGTCAAGCTGCCACACCGAGAGACACCAGCGAAACCCGCCAAGCAACAGAAGAAAATCAAAGATGAAGATGACTTTGAGCCAGAGGAGGACGTCGACATGAAAGATGTCGATGCAGAAGATGAGTTCGTAGAGCCCGAGCTGGGAGACGGAGCTGTCAAGAGCGAGCGAAAGAAAACCACCGCTGGACGAAAGCGCAAATCGCCAGAACCAGACCTGGATGAAGAAGAGGAGTCAGAGAAGGAAAAGCCAAAAAAGAAGGCTGCAAAGAAAGCAGCTCCTGCCAAGTCACCTGCAAAGAAAGCAGCTCCTGCCAAGTCACCAGCAAAGAAGAAAGCAAAGAAAGAGGACGAGGCTGAGAGTGCGGACATCCAGGCCATCTACGACAGTATCCCGACCGTACGCGCGCCGACTCCTCCGCCTCAAGATCCGAACAAGAAGTTCGACTGGAGAGCAAACGCCGGTCGCAGTGAGCCAGCCCCACTGGGCGGAGGATCATCTGAGATGCCATCTGGATCTGAGACCTGTCTTGCTGGACTCAACTTCGTTTTCACCGGAGTTCTCCAGAAGTGGGGGCGTACCGAAGCGCAAGAACTCGTCAAGCGGCACGGAGGCAAAGTCACAGGCGCACCAAGCAAAAAGACAAACTATGTCGTTTTGGGTCAAGATGCTGGTCCCAGCAAGCTGCGCAAGATCCAAGAGATGGGCATCAAGACCATCGACGAGGACGGCTTAGCGTTGCTCATTGAAAAGCTCACAGAGGCTGGCAACAAGGGCGATTCGAAGGCACAAGCAGCACATAAAGAGAAACAGCGGAAAGAGGAGGAGCAGATCAAGAAACAGGCAGCTGAACTCGAACAGCAAGAGAAGCAACGCTTAAAGGAGCTAAAGGCAGCACAAACAGCCAAGGCAGCTGCTGGAAAGGCGACTGCTTCTGGCATCACTGCTGCTGCTCAGAGTGCCGGCCCCGATGTTGACTCTCGCTTGTGGACAACAAAGTATGCGCCATCGTCACTGAACCAGATCTGTGGCAATAAAGCTACGGTTGAGAAGATCCAGCGGTGGTTGCAGAAGTTTCCCAAGAACCTCAAGACTGGTTTCAAGCTCGCTGGCGCTGATGGCAGTGGTGTCTTCCGCGCGGTCATGCTCCATGGCCCACCAGGCATCGGCAAGACCACAGCAGCACATCTTGTCGCCAAGCTCGAAGGCTACGACATCGTTGAGAGAAACGCCAGTGATACTCGAAGCAAGAAGCTCATCGAAGAGGGCCTTCGTGGCGTGCTCAGCACGAACTCGTTGCACGGCTACTTCGCTGGTGACGGTCAGAAGGTCGAGGCATCCAAGAAGAAGCTGGTCTTGATCATGGATGAAGTCGATGGTATGTCAGCTGGTGATCGCGGAGGCGTGGGCGCACTTGCTGCTGTCTGCAAGAAGACTGAGATTCCGATGATCCTGATCTGCAACGACCGAAAGCTGCCGAAGATGAAGCCATTCGACTTCGTCACATACGACCTACCATTCCGACGGCCAACCGTTGATCAGATCCGCTCTCGTATCATGACCATCGCTTACCGCGAAGGCCTGAAGATGCCGGCACCTGTGATCAACGCATTGATCGAGGGTAGCCATGCCGATATCCGCCAAGTTGTCAACATGCTTTCCACCGCCAAGCTGGATGAAGAAGCAATGGACTTCGACAAAGGCAAGCAGATGAGCAAGAACTGGGAGAAGCACGTCATCTTGAAACCGTGGGACATCACGCAAAAGATCCTCGGTGGCGGCATGTTCGCTCAGAGTAGCAAAGCCACATTGAACGACAAGATCGAGCTGTACTTCAACGACCACGAGTTCAGTCCGCTCATGCTCCAGGAGAACTACCTTGGCACAAATCCGATCAAGGCTCTCAACTACTCTGGCAAGGAAAAGAACCTGAAGTCACTCGAGCTGGTATCTGAAGCCGCTGATAGCATCAGCGACGGAGATCTGGTCGACCGCATGATCCATGGTTCGCAGCAACAGTGGAGTCTCATGCCAACACATGCAGTCTTTAGTTTTGTCAGGCCTGCAAGCTTTGTGTCTGGCAGCACTGCCGGCAATCAGACTCGCTTCACATCATGGCTGGGCAAGAACAGCAGTCAAAACAAGCTCCTGCGACTTGTCAAGGAGATCCAGGCCCACATGCGGTTACGGTCGTCTGGCGACAGGCACGAGGTCCGACAACAGTACATCCCGGTCCTGTGGACGGAGATGGTCGACAAGCTGCAGAAAGGAGGCAAGGATGCTGTGCCCGAGATCATCGAGCTTATGGACAGCTACTTCCTGACGAAAGATGACTTCGATGCCATCATGGAGTTGGGCATTGGCCCAATGGACCAAGAGAAGGTCAAGATTGAGACACAGGCCAAGGCCACCTTCACACGATTGTAGGTTTATGACCCGCACTGTGACTTGAGCAGACGCTAACAGAGACGCAGATACAACCAGCAGTCACATCCTCTGCCGTTCATGAAGGCGTCATCGGTCGTAGCACCCAAGAAACAGGCCAAGGAGAAGCCCGATCTCGAAGAAGCCATCGAAGAGTCCGACGAGGGCGAGGTCATCGAAGAGGTCAAGGAAGAGGACGAGGACGTGGACGTGGACTTGTCCAAAGACAAGTATGTCAAGCAGCCGAAGAAGAAGGCGGCGCCAAAGAAGAAGGTTGCTGCGACAGGCAAGGGCAAGAAGAGAGCGAAGGAAGAGAGCGAGGATGAAGAAGAGGAGGAGGAGGATGTCAAGCCGAAGGCGAAGGCGAAGGCTAAGGGCAAGGCGGCTGCTACCAAAGCAAAGAAGTAGTGAGTGAGCTTGAATGTTTAGATACACATGTACGTGCTAGGCGAGTGTTTGATATGGCTTTTGGGTACTGCTTAGCTAGACAGCATGTACGTGGCAATGATACCTCTTGAGCTGTCTTACAGGTGCTTGTCGAGCTAGCACTTTGTGATCAAGGCCGGACCACATACCGGGCATGCATGTGGTCAGGCGAGCAGTTGAGCGACCGGTGCTCTAGCGTGAACAAAGGGTCGCCCCACAAATTCGGGAAGACGTCGCGATCCACTTGGCAAGCTTAAATCCAACAAGACTCTGCCCTGACTCCCGCACAGTTCTTCTTACAGGCGCATTTGGTTCGAGATACCCACTGTTTTGCAGCTGTCGCTTTCCGGCCAATTACTGCAATATCGCATATACCCCAACACTTGGCGACTTTCACGACTCCAAAAGGAGCACGCGCACAACGCGCCACCCCTCCATTTAGCGACTGTGACGAGTGCCGCGGGGGGAGACATGGAAAACAACCAATCCGCCGCGCGCGCTGCGAAACGCTTCCTCGACGACCGCACGCGCAACGACTGGGCGTATCCTGGTCTACCACCTCCTTGGGAGCACAGCGACGAGGAAGTCCGCAACGCGGTTGATTTCCGCGAACGATACTATGGTGAGAGTGAAAGCAGCGACTCCGACATTGAGCCCACCACCGGCGCAAGCAAGGACGCAGAGCACGATGCCTACAAATTCGATAGCCCAGATGCCATCGGCGACGCAGTTGAGCGCACGCGAGAGCAGAGGCGCAAGCGCAGGAGAATGAGACTAGAGCAAGAAATGGCCGAGAACGAAGGCCTCCGGATCTGGGTAGAGAGAAGAGATGCATGGACCGGCGCAGCCAGCGTGTGCAAGTACGGTCCTCACTCGACTCCAAAATCACACCCTCCTTCCCCGATATCTCAGCACGACTCCGGCAACGGCGCAGAAGACACCATGCAACTGGACCCCACGCAACTCGACCCCACGCAACTCGACCCTGCGCAACTCGACCCTGCGCAACTCGACCCTGCGCAACTTGACCCCACATCACAACCCCCGTCCACTTCAGAAGACACGCCAGCTACATTCGACCTCTGCCCCGTAGCCCCGCGCCTCCTCTCCGACAACCCCATCCGCGCCAGCATAAACCCCAAAACGTACGCTGACATCTACGCCAAAATCGTGACATCCTCGCGCACACCCTCCGTGCCCATCAATCTGTCCGATATGACGAGAGCGCTGGTGCAGGGGTGGAAGGATACGAACGAGTGGCCGCCGAAGATTGGCGCTGTAGATCCGCTGGTGGGGAAGAAGAGGAGTAGCCATGGTGTGCTTGGGGGTGGGAGGGATGGGCTGGGGCGAGGGGAGGGAGGGGGGTTTATTCATAGACATCCACATTTGGAGAAGGGGGTTGGGAGCGTGAAGAAGATTTTGCATATGAATGGACATCATGGGGAGGGGGCGAAGGAGGGGTGAGGGAGGGGAGGCGGAAAAGAGATATCACTTTTGGACAAGTACACGTAAAGGAAAGCCAGCCATTTCTGACAGATGGTGGTTTGCTCAGGGTGGGACGCCTCTTGCTGATAGCATCCAGCGCCAAGTAACATGAAAGGCGTGCGTCATGAATGTTGGCCGCTATAGCAGACAACAATAGGCTGGTCGAGGGAACGCAGGCGCACTGCACGGCAACTGTGGATTCAGAACATCTATGGCAGCAGCGCAGAGTACATTGCTTTCGCGAAAAGAGACACTTGGTCAGTAATGACAGGTTTCATGCGGTTCACTTTTTGGCTGACGACATATACAGAATATGAATAAACTTGGTTAAACCCGTCATTGAACCCAGTGCTTTCCTGCTGGCGCCCCTCCTAAAGTTCGCAACTGCTGCAACCGGTGCTGAGTTTACCCCTGGCATGTGGGAAAACAAGCTTATCTCTTTGCGTAACCGAGCACCACTAAGGGATGATGGGCTCATCTCCTGGTACCTCGCCCCAATCATACGTCCGAGCCGCACAACTGCTCGAGAACTAGATGCCGACGAGGTTCTTGAGGCGGGCTGAAGCTGTTAGCTTAGGGATGGTCCTCGAGCTCTCAGTTGTCCCTTTTTCTCTTTGCTTCACCCCACCAACGCTGAATCGACCAAGTAAGCTTCAGGATGAGAGTATCACTTCCGGTCCTCGCGCTAGCTGCGTGTGCTCTATAACAAAGCTTCGAGCCAGCAGACTTCAATGTCACGGAGGTGCTGCTGAATGATGGCGTCAACGTCTCCGTACTTCCTGAGCTCTCAGGCCTAGTAGAGCGGTCAGGACTCAATGGCTGCACGACGGCTGTAAGTCTCCTGCTTCTAGGAACCACGCTGTCAAGATTCACCAATCTAGTACGACTCGCTCAAAGCCATATTTGGCTCCAATGTAGTCATTGAAGGAAGCACTGGATACGTCAAATTCAGCAGCGCTTACTGGAGTGCACAGCAGGAAGCTGTCAGTCCACACTGCATCTTCTACCCTACAAAAGCTCTCGATGTCTCAACACTAGTCTTGCTCTCACGCCTTACAGAGTGTCCATTCGCTGCGAAGAGTGGAGGCCATGCAGCTGTCGCAGGAGCCTCGAATATAGAGAGCGGTATCACTGTGGCCTTCTAGAAGATGAACGGTCTCAAGCTCTCTGCGGATAAGAAGGCCGTGGATGTTCAGCCAGGTAACGTCTGGCACGATGTTTACAGTGGACTTGAGGAGGACAACTTCGGTGTTGTAGGAGGCCATGTACGTGTATCAGTATTTGCTCCAATAACGACCACCTACTAGCATCTTCTCAGGTAGCGCCATTGGAGTCGGTGGTCTCATGCTCGGCTGGGCGTGCGACAACGTCGACTCCTTCGAAGTAGTGACGGCATCTGGTCTGATCGTCACTGCAACCCCAACATCTTACTCAGATCTCTTCTGGGCCCTTTGCGGTGGCGGAAACAACTTTGGCCTCGTCACCAACTTCAAGCTCAGAACTCTCCCCTTGGGTAAAATGTGGGGAGGTGTCCGCGTCCTCCTCGAGTCCCAATCCCCCGCTGCAATTGATGCCTTCATCAACCTGGGCAAAAACCCCGCTCACGACACCAAAGCCGCTCAGATCTTATCTTTCGTCGTCCAGGGCGGAACAAAAATCGCATCCGCGCAACTCGAATACGCCGAACCCAAGGCCAATGCCTCCATCTTTGCCGAATGGAACGCAATCACTCCTGCTGTAGACAACATTGGAAATCACACGCTCTTCGAACTCACAGAGATGCTCTCCGCTGCTAATCCGTACGGCGAAAGGCAAAGCTACTGGGCGCAGACGTACAAACTCGACAAGGACCTGTTGAACTACATCCTCGACGTCTTCTACGAGGAAGGCGATAAGATCTTTGATGTAGCGAACTTGCTGAACTCTCTGTCTCTGCAGGTCATCACTCTCCCGCAGATGCGAAACATGCAGCAAAACGGCGGCAACACCCTTGACCTCGATCTCACCCAGGGCCCGCTTCTACTAATCAATCCAGCGCCTGATGCCGCCCACGATGACCGCGTCAGCCAGATTTTCAACACGCTCATCCAGCGTACGGTCGTTGAAGCAAAAAAGAGGGGACTGGCGAGCCAGTACGTGTACATGAACTATGCGAGCAAGTACCAGGACGTTATTGCAGGTTATGGGGAGGGGAACAAGGCGAGGTTGCAGAGTATTGCGAGGATGTATGACACGAAAGAGGTGTTTCAGAAACTGCAGCGGGGGTACTTTAAATTGGATAGGGCGCCGGCGACATTAGGGTAGGCAATAGATGCTGATGTGATTGGGGTGATGTTTTTGAGCCATGTTAAGCGATTAAAGATTCATATGTCAGTGAACCAGTATCAAGCTCCGGTGGGATCCGAGCCTGAGAACGAAAGCCGGCCTTGACGATGGCTTGAGCTGTGCTAGTTCTCGTGGTGAGGATTCCGAGTCCTCTCCCTCTGATCCCATTGCTCCTTATATCTTGCTATTGTCCCCTTCTAGGGGGGTAATAGCGCAATATTTCATCATCAATCAGGCAAAGACTACTATGCTCACTGCCGCTGCCACACTTGCTGCAATCCGCGCCGTATCATTCCTCATTCAACGTGCCAGAGAGTGTACTGCCAGCGAGGCTCTTTGTACAGACTGTAGCAGACACAGCATTGCGAATAGGTCAGCCCCATAACTTCTATGCTGCGTAGACGGCGGTAAGGAGATCAGCATAACAAAGAAAGAGGGTGTCGTGTGGCTTTGGTGAAGAAATGATAGGGACAGGATGTGTATAGCCAGAGAAAGACCCGCCTTTTCGTACCCTGCTTCATATCCTGGAAGCAAAAGGTTGGGTCCACCTGTTGATTGCCAGGGGCTACCATTTTTCGCGAGACATGGCTGACTTAAGAGCACGCGCAAATCCAGTATTTCGGAATTATGATGAACAGCTCGACACCTCCTATGGATATATAAGTTGCCAGCACCGTGTTGCTGGCGCGCGCACAATTAGCGACTTCAGCCCCAATGACGTCAAAACCCAAACATCGACGTTGACCACCACACAGACTCGGACTCCACCTATACTACCTCTAAAAAGTATCACAGGAAGCCTACCATACCGAGCGCGATTGATGCTCAATTCGGTACCAGCCACCAAATCCCAAAACGATAAGAGCTATGTCAGTGTCACAAGGCAAAGAAAACGTTCTCCTGGTCCGCTGCCACTTCGTCACCTTGCCGTGTGATCACTATTGCTATATACGGCTATTCCGTTGTGTGCTGGGAACGTTGCGCCGGTCGATACGGCATCGTACGCTACATACGTCGCCACCGCAATATCTTGTGGAACGAATTGGTCTGGGGTGACCTGGGCTGGAAGATAGGCTGTCATGCTAGGACCAAGAGCATGCTGCTGTATATCGCTTCCGTGAGCGGATTCCATCCTCCAAATACCAGCCACGTGGGCAGGATATCGTCTCGACACCGTCTCGAAGGAGCTCATGGCGACTTGGTAGGCCCGTTCAGCTACAGGATCCTGCATGACTTGCAACCACCGAATCACCTTCTTTACGTAATAGATCAATAGCATGCTATCCTGCGACGTGGACGTAGGGTACGACAAGCCAAGCAGGAACACGGACACTGCCTGCATCATGTGGTGGACGATACACCACCAAGGACCCTGGTCGTATATGAAGTGAGCATTGGGCTCATCGGGGAGGAAGTCCACGACCATTTTCGCCGCCTCGATACAGCTGTTACCCATTCGTCTAGCAAAAGTCGCTTCATTCCCTTCTCTCCATGCTTGTCTTCGAGGGTTGAGACAGAGTCGCCCCAGCAACATCCTGGCGCCACAAAGCGGGAACGCAAGAAGCATGCGTTCACGAGAGAACGCCATGCTGGCGCTATTGATTGGCTCTTGGAAATTGAACTCCCTGGGAAGAGATAGCACCCATTGATCGAGGCGCTGACCCAACTGGGCCATCTCGTGCTGGTTTTCTGCTGCAGACCTAGTTATGGTTGATGCAGTATATAGCGACGTAAGTATGTTCTGGGTTATGATCGATAGCTGGACTGCAGCCTTGAAGTACGACCCAGAGTTCGCCTCCGTTGTACCGAGCCCCATAGGTGTACGAGGAGGATCAACAATACCGCTTGACCAACTTTGAGGCGTGGATATCAAGCTCGAGCTTCTCTTGCGCATTCGATATGCAGCTTCCATCTGGTCCGATATTTGTTCTTCCGTTACGGGGATTGGCAATGGAACCGAGCAACACGAGTCAACGATGATGCTGGGTCGACCAGTTACAATACTCAGAGTCCGCTCAAGCGAATACAGACTCCACCAGGTACGGACCAGTGTTTCTCGTTTCACTGCCGTCGCAGATGGGTCCTCATTACGGACATGAAGACCAAGGGTATACGCGAAACGGAGGGCTATGCCAATGACCGTCCAGGCACTATTTGTACAATCAGTAAAACTCTTAAGGAACCTTGGTCTTGGATAGGGTCAACATACCGGCTGACCTGTCCAATGGACAGCCAGTAAAACCCAAGAAGCCCAAGGCTCTGGATCTGAGGAACGTCCGAGTGTCTCGTCAAAGTAAATTCATTCAGACCGAATGCTCTGGCGCGAGCCTGGTAGATGAGATGGTCGCGTTCATCTGCTCGCCAACTAGCCTTTGACAAGTGCGAATACTTGGCGCCTATCGCGAACACAAGGTTGAGGATCGCCTGCCACATCGGGCTGAGGCGCGGTGCGTTGCCGTTCTGCAACGCTGTGAAGTACTTACGGAACTGGTCTTCGAAGGTCTTGCGGGGTAGGATTGGAAAAGAGTCGTGCACCTTGCTGATGTAGCAACCCAGAAGCCTCTCAGCGGTCTCCAGAGGTGGCAAGTCGTAAGGGTCGACGAAGAAATCGATGTCCACGCTCTCGCTATCGGTCCAGAAACTGTACGAGCTTATCTGTTCGTTACCGATGCCAGGTGCGTACGAACCTTGTCGGTGGAGAGCGCCAGCTTCATCGTCTGTTTGCTCCGATTGCGCAAGCGTAACAGCTCGTAGCCATTGAACCTCGGAATTCTTCCCAACGAAGCCAGTTGCACGCGCTCGATCGTTGATGTGTAGATCCTCGTCGAGAAGGCCCAATGACTCCGTATCGAGCCCATCCTGGTGGTCCAGAGCACCTAGTTCATGACTCTCTTGTGAGCCGTTGGCGTCAGTATCAGGGATTGATGGTGCTGTTGTTCGCCGAGACCCTGATATCTCCTCTTCAACCTGCAACCAAGTCAGAAATGAGAGCCGTTACTCACAAAATCGTTATCAAGCTTACGGCCTCTAAGAGATCTGCAATCCTGGCATCGTCGTCCGCATTTGCGCAAGATCTCAGTCCCTTCAAGAGACTAGCCATCTGCTGACATCGCTCCATGACGCTGACTCGGTCAGTATGAGTCGGAACAACGAGATCGGAACCACTCTCACATCTTCAACCTGTCTTTGCGAGGCATGATGTATACACACTCTCGATTCGTAGTCGCACAGTGCTTGCAATGCGGCCTTTCCCCAGTGCACTTGATCTTATGCGACCGACACTAGATTGGGGGGACATCGTTAGCCAAACAATCTTCGATGTCAACCTATGGACTAATTGCGAAAACCCTCGAGTACAAATATAGGAGTAGGCGTGCTTATATCGCTGTCCAGCTTTGAGGAATTACAACATACAGCTGTGCATGCGCGCGGAACACGGCGTCTGTCCTTCATTCCATTCTGTCCTTGACTGGGCCTCTGCAATCGGGGAATTGCGACTTTGCGTTGCGCGAGCGGCGTCGCGAAGTTCGTTAGGTATATCGGAGTTGAAGGCATTGTCTACGAGCGCGCACCGCCGGCCGAAAAGTTTTGATGCTCTAATGAACGATTGCTCATCCACGAGATGACAAGACTTCAGAGTACCGGTAATGAATGTGGCGGATGGAATGGGGAGACGTTAGCTTGGCTGGACCACTAACGTTCTGCTGGGGTTTGCCTATGCATGCGGCTCCAGTTTTAGCGAGAGTATGAATCAAGAGATGACCAGCAGGCCTTAAGGTTCGAGAGGCACCTTTGGGCCGCCCAGGTTCTTCACTAAACACACACCCCATTCTGGACATGTGCTGAGATAATCCTGCAGTTATCCGTCAAGAACATGGGAGACATTCGCCGCACCAATGAACAGTCGAGGGCACGCTCCAGGGACCTTCTGCTTTCATCCGCTTTTGGAACAAGCTCTGCTTGTGCTCCACATCCCTTCCAACGCCATCTGCTAGGATTGTACTCGCTACCTGTCAGCCTCTTCAGTATCTCTGGCGCTGCTGCGTACTGCTTGGCGGCTGAAGCTAGAATTCCTTGCAGCCAGCGCTCTGGACAACCAATGCATTCCCGTGGACCTCGACATCAGAAAGATGTATAACGGGCAAGAATACTACACCCTGGACGTATCTGCTCCCCGATGGATAATTACACTGTGGAAGATACTCCGTTGAGTCTGGAATTTCTCCCAGTCAGCTAATCTGCGCAGTTTCACTATGCGCGACCCGTCCTTAGAGTACAGAACCCGCCTGAGCTATTTCCGCATGTCTGGAGGCATCAAAGCCTCACCGGGAACCTTCACCTAGGCGAAAGTCGCCCTTTACGCCGATGCACGCTATAGAGATTCGATCGTTCAGCGCCATGTCGGGTCGAGGCCGCATAAAGTGGTAGCACGAGATACTGCGAGGACAACATGAACGCCTTCAGGCTGGCTTGAGTGGTGGATATACTGGCAGAGGTTCGCTAGATGGATTATGCAGAGCGGTTCCAAGCGCGTTGCGTAGCTGAGTTGCACGGCGTTGTGGAATTTCACGATGTCGATGGGTCATCGACGATGCATCGCGATAAATCTGTATTCGGTATGGGGTTACCGCCAACACGGTGCCTATCCGCACGAACATGGGAGTCTTAAATACCCTACTGGGCGTAATCATAGTGATGATGTAGCTCTGCCTCGAATCCAGGTTATCAGGTAGGTTTGTACATGCGTCTGTTTGAGCTGTAATTGGTGTACCACGTAGACAATGAATTGTGCAGAAACAACCGCGTACTTTGAGACCCTTGTCCAGATCAAACCTGGTGAAAGCCGGCCTGTGGGGCACATTCGTGCCGTCCCAGGATCTGACAACGAGTAGCTCGCAGCCCGGCAGTTGTTGTTTCGCTCGTCTGAAACTTCGCAATCGCGAAGTACGAGTGAAGAGGGTGTCAGAATGGTGTCACTGGCGCGTTGTGGTGACGGTATCCGAGGGGTTTCATTGGTCAGGATGCAGAAAAGATTAAACGGGCTCTGTGCGGCATCGGATGAACCGGCTCTTATGCACCCGTAATTTGTTCCTCAATACAATCCACCTGTGATTGGCGAGAATCTTCTTGTCAAGCCCATGCCTACCGCATTTTGCTATTCGATGTTCCCCCCGTGGACGCACCAATTACTGCAAGATGAAGCATCATGGAATGACCTTGAAGCCACAGAGCGCAGTTCCAAGGCCAAAACGATTCGGACACGCCTTCGAAATGTGTTGACAATGGTAGACAGTCTTCGCCCCGCTGCGTTTGGCGCAGTGTCGTATCATCGATCGGAGGAGCATTGATTGCCTAACGATCACTGGCACCTTAGCCCCTGGAAGCGACGTTCGTTCAATCGCAATCCATACCTACAATTGAATTTTCTCATGACGCAGGCATCAGACATTTCCACCGTTACCAAGACCCCGAACCTAACCCGCTGTATTCGTATCTACCCCTCGATAAGATCAGCATGCGAATATACTTGCATGAATCTTCTCAATCTGACATACAGCTCGTCAAAGCAACTGTCTCCATTATGTCTTCCTCGTACATGGTGGCTAACACAAATACCACTTTTAGAAAGCCTCTTCCCTATCGGTCATTGGCAATTAAGAGTCGGTCTTGAACACCGAACCAATCACTCTCAGCACTAACGAGTTTATGCTCGGCCCATTCGATCCGCACGTGATTTGGCGTTTGTGGAGATCGACATTCAAGGTTAGACGGCGGACTAAAGACAGGGGTCTTGATTGTGTGCAGATCCAAGAGTCACACAATCTCAATTGTTAACAAGTTGTGTATGGTAACAGCCGCGATCATCCCGACTATAACAGCCCTTCTATAGAACTCTGGTCGGGGCTGGAACTTTGCAGTTCAAACTGACGTTTAACCAGCTTGTCCGACGCCGGAAAGGTTGGAACCGTACTGATAGCAAACAGTCTGGACAAGACTACACCATATGTTCTCTCACCTCGGTTAACGAACGGGTCCTCATAACCTCAGCACCACTGTCAGAGGAAAGAATGCAAACAGCAACTAGAACACAACAGGCGGGGGAAAGTTGACGCATTGCAGTGCACCAACATGGTGCATTGATCCTCACCGTTCAACATGTTTGCGATTCGTACCTTTCCCTGGTCCCCAGGCAATTCCGGATGACATGTCCGCTGTCACCAACGTTTGTCACCGAGTCGCGGCCTGAACCACGAATCGTACTGGAGGTCCTGCCTTGCGCCATTGCTACGATTCAAAGCAACGTTCCGCTTCTAGATACGAGATTGCGGGGACTGAACATACACTTCCGCGCTCACAACAGCTGAATGCTCGAAATGTCTCCTAGACACACCAACAGAACCTGCGCATTGTTCCTCTCAATCCTGAGCTCGCAAATTCACATTATGGCAACACAACTTTGCGCAAGGTCTTCTCGAAAGCATTGCTGTTGCTCTCGACCCGACCTCGATACTTCTGGAAGTAGTATCTTCGAAGCGGAACAGCCTCAAAACTTTGTGCGAAACCCGTTTTCTGGTTCGTGGCGCTCTCTTACATGTCGCATGCAGCATCGGCCGCTCCACGCGTTCAAAACAGCTTAGTCCTTATTTTACGATGCGGGGTTATGTCACAGTTGGAAAAGCGGCATGCAGTATCACGAAACATAAAGTTTGAAAAGCCGGCTTCAGGGCTCTCGACATTTTAAACTTTCATATTCTGCTTTCTTTCGCCAGGCGAACGGATCACTGACCACGTCCAGCGTATTTACCTGCCGTTCTGCACGCCTGGAATGCCACGTCATTGAAGACTGCAGATGCAATAGGGTCATATTCGTGGGCCAGAAGTTGGAATTTTCGTGTAATGTGAAACTTAAATCTAGGGCTGCAGCCGTCTGATCGATGCGGCCAGGATGTGCATCCACCAATGGGATTGCAACGCGATTAGCCGTTGTGTAGATATACGAAGACGCCTGGAGTTCTTTCACTTTCAATACCAAAGCATCGAATGTGGCATAAAGATGCATCTAGAAAGTCGCAATGTGGCTGTTGCAATTTACCCGTCTAGCCATTCGCTTTATGTCCAGGTCCGGGACACGAACAACGAGACCCCTTCGGCCTCCAGTAACAAGACAGCTAGAAACAACATGGCCGCCCTTAGAATTCCCAAAGTACATTTGCGGCGTTGAGCGTGTAATGATGAGAACATGCTCATTGCGTTCTCAAGCCGCAGGAATGGACCCCGTGGCTCATTGCTCGCCAGGCACAACGGCTGGTATTTGTAGCGACGACTCGTTCTGTAGCACAAGGCTGAGTACTCTCGACAGCAGGCTGAAGGCTAAATCGACGGAACGATTGTCCACCAACATTGGGATCTCCCACGCTAGAATCGTTGGGTCTTGGTGGACGGCATGTCGCAAGCTATTGACCCGGGTCGACCGCTGTCAACGACATCATGACTGGTGCGGCTGAAGTCTGCCCCTGATGAATTGGATCTCTGAACCTCTTATCAGCTCTACGATCTGACAGTCGCTTCGACTGTCTTGTGGTGTCGACTGCGTGACCTTACGACTGGACTCCAACTTCACCGATAATTTAGTCTGCCCTTGTGAAGTGCTCTTTGACTTGAGCGACCCCTAGTTTTCCCGCAGCATTGTTCAGATGTGGAGAAAGTCTGAGTCCGGAATCATTCACCAGACAGCGCCATTGCCTGTTGGTCCTTGTTGAACCACACCTTCTGTCTGTTGAGATTGAAATGCGATAGCTTATTGGATCTGCAGACAGACTCGACCGGCGTCGAATTGTGACAAGCGGTAAGTGAATGTCTCATGCGATGAAGCACCAGAGTCCAGCAGTGCGATCAGACGCAAGTCAGTTTGACAAAGGTTCACGGCCTCCAAGCTCTTATCAACTCCAGCGGCCAGAAATTCATCTCTCTATGATGCTCAGACTAGGTGAGCCACGATCGAACGCCTTTGTGTACTTTGAAACGAAGTACATGGACGGCTAAAAATTGGAGTAGTGATCGTCTTCTGGTATGGCAGTTGATGATTTCCAAATGGCAGAACTGACTCATTTATGACGGTGATGTGCTGAGCTGTAGATTAAAATGGTCATCGGGCTCCCAGCGTTGCAGATGATCGTCGTGGCAATAGACTTCTCGTAAGAACATCGTCCATCCCGAGCCGCTGATCGGGCACTAAGATATGGTCAACAGAAAAACAGGCCTCTTCGCTTCTTGTTGGAACCTCTATTAGGCGTCTTAGTGAATGCATCTCCGACTCTTTGCATTAACGACAATACTAGAGCCAACCCAGTCTTCAACCATTAAGGTCCTCCCGATTGACTATGCGCCAAACGACAACCCAAGCACCAATGGCTGTATGCAATATACAAACCTACTGCTTGGTATAGAATAGCAGTGAGGATAACCCAAACGGCTCTGTTATGCACACACGGCCGATTACTTAAATGCGAGGCCGTACCTCTCTGATGTGATCACATAGGGGCATCATCCTACCCCCAACTGTACGTTGAAAAGGCGCATGAACTGTGGCCTGCTTTTCGTCTTGACTTGAGGGCGCAGTCGTAAGGTTTGTATGTGGGCTTACAACTGCCAACACGAGCGGTCAGAGCTTATCAGGCCTTGCGCGCAACGCTGGAGAGCGGAATAAAGGCGCCCGCTCAAAGTTTCGCTGCTGCCTGACATCGCAAGACAATACAGAACAGGTGAAGCTTGCGGATCCATTTCCTCATCCTGGCAAGCGAGTTGTCACAACCAGTAAATAAAAGTCTCCCTGAATGGCTGTGTGGAGCGAAGATAGTGAAGGGAAGGGGCGCTTAAGTCAAACCTCGGCCAGTGCCTAAAAGAGCTAGCCCCCTGCTTAGCACTACTCGCCTCCACTCGCATTCGCGTTTCGACATTGCCATCAACACCAACAGAATGGCATTTTTGCCCCAGGTCCTAGTATTGTAGGATGAAGAAAAACTGCAGACGAGAATTACCAGGATATACGCTGATCATCGCAACGCCTACCTCATTCGAACGGTCGGAACAGCGCCATTCCGTGACACTATTCGTCGGAGACCTTCTTCGTCCAACCGAGGTTGCTTACGATCGACGTCACAAGCTGCGAGAAGCCACGATGTTCTTCGTTGCTTCAATCATCATGAGAAAACATGCATGCCGATATAGGGACGAGAAGTCTTCGTCCAAGCTTATAACTGCGACACTTGCCCTACATTAGCATTCACACCATCACAATGGAAGTCACACCCGCAAACGTAGCTTTGGCAGCTGTGCCGGAGTCAGTCCTTGCTTTTTACCTGCTCCCAAACCTCATCGCGAAGGGCACACTGATATCCTTCTTCCTTGCTTTCCTGGTCTTCAACTTCGTGCTTTATGGCATCTACAAGGTCATACTCTATCCATTCCTCTTGAGCCCACTTCGACACCTACCGCGAGCAAGTGGCTTTAAGCCCCTCATCGGACATGGCATCATCATGTTCCAGCGTCCTCCGGGGCAGGCGCATCTCAACATCATGAAAGCAACACCCAATGATGGTATCATCCGAACGCTGGGCTTCTTTCACACCGACAGGCTCATCGTCACCAGCCCCGCGGCCCTAGCAGACGTTCTTGTCAACAAGAGCTACGACTTCGAGAAACCGCCATGGGCGCGTGCTTTCTTGCGGAAGTTCCTGGGCGATGGCTTGTTGATGACCGAGGGCGATGAGCACAAGCACCACCGCAGGCAGATTATGCCGGCGTTCCACTTTCGCCATATCAAGGAATTGTACCCTGTGTTCTGGGCGAAATCGATCGAGTTCTGCAACACAGTCAAGGCTTCATTAGCAGACGATGCATCGAAAGTACTCGAGATCGGCCACTACTCGACTCAGGTCACGCTTGATATCATTGGACTTGCAGGTCTTGGTCGCGACATCGCATCGTTGCGGAGCAGCGAAGACGAGCTCGTTAAGAACTACGAAGAGATTCTGGAGCCCACATCCGAGAAGGCGATATATTTCGTATGTCACTTGATTTTCCCACCACGGCTGATTTCTGTGTTGCCGTGGAAACTGAATGAGAGAGTCAAGATCACGACTGGGAATCTCAAGAGAATCTGCACGGATTTTGTGGTGGACCGGAAGTCGAAGATGAAGCATGAGAGTCAGGAGAGTCGAGACATTCTTTCGATCATGATACGAAGCAAAAACTTCTCAGACGAAAATCTGGTGGACCAACTCCTGACGTTCATGGCTGCTGGTCACGAAACTACTTCTTCAGCTCTTACCTGGGCATCCCATCTGCTCTCGAAACATCCAGACACCCAAGACCAACTACGCTCCGAGATCCAACAACACATTCCCGATCCGCAGATCCTTTCCGATCCCACTTTCGATGTTGCTGGGTTGCTAGAAAGCATGCCCTACCTTAACGGTGTCTGCAACGAAGTCCTCCGCCTATACCCCACTATACCTGTCACTGCACGACTCTCTATTCGTGACACTACCGTGGCAGATGTCTTCATCCCTAAGGGCACTATGGTTTTTGTCGTACCGTGGGCTATCAACCGTAATCCGCAACTTTGGGGTGACGATGCCGAAAATTTCGTCCCAACGCGCTGGATCGACAAGTCAACTGGACGAGCAACAATGAACGGTGGTGCGGACAGTAATTTTGCCTTCTTGACGTTCCTCCACGGGCCACGCAGCTGTATCGGCGAACGCTTCGCGAGGGCTGAGCTGAGAGCACTGCTTGCAGCATTTGTTGGTCATTTCGAAATGGAGATGGCCGATCCGAATGAGGAAGTCCTTGTCGGCGGCACGATCACGAGTAAGCCAGTGAATGGGATGAAGCTCAAGCTGAGGCCCGTTAATTGGGGACCATGAGTCTCGATAATATCCGCCGAGTATACAATAGATGCTGGTCGTGTGAAGTAAGGTCCTAAAGACCATGCGCCCAAACCTTTTGCCCTCTCATCACTGAATTCGAGCTCCTTACACAACATCTTTCGGGGTTCTTGGCAATATGTTCGGGGCTGTACAGTCGGGTACCAATAGTCTGTTCGCAACGGCTTTACCCCTACCAAAATCGACCATATTCTATAATAAATATAACAGCCTCTGCTTATCTAAATAATAATATAAGACAAAGAAGTATAGAAGTGAATATAATGACATGCAAATTGTATGGACCACCACTTTCTCGGTACACTAGCCCTCAAAGCCACACAAAGACCCACTGTCGAAGCTACCTGGAGTCGGCGGAGGAGCAGGTAGGGGGAGGTGTGGGCGGTCTACCTGTGATATGCGTGCAAGTCTGGCACTACGATCAGGTAGATGACGTTACCATTCATGCCGTCTGTGTAGGTATGGCTCAGGGTCTTTCTCAGGGCCCTGGGCACGTCAGAGAGCATGTATATAGGGGTCAAGTCTCCCACACATACTACACGGGTACATCTGGCCACTCAGAGTACCCCTTTCGCCTTTCGAATGTGAGTGATAGGCTATGGCTACCATGGGAGGGGTGGTCCGCACATTTCGCCAACCACCGATATCTCTTTCTAACACTCTCTCTTTGCTATCTTCTCTACTCTCTCTCTTGTTTTAGAAATAAGATAAAGATCTAAAACCTCTAGCATATATTATACTACTACATTTCTTTCTAAGAGTATAATTTTATAGCTCTGTTATTTAGAAAGGTAGATATCTTAAGGTGAAAGAGGTGACTTTTGGTGAGGAAGTCCGCTAAGCGAACAAACTTTTGGCCTAGTACTGTAACATGACTGGATGCGATCAATCCGATTTCCCCGCAACGTATGTGATGGAGCTGCGGATCAGTGCAGCTCGGACCCTGGCACTCTTCCTCAGCATTGCGGGGATAAATCTGCACTACTCTCCTAAGCGCCGTCGCATACCTCGGTGTATCCTGACATTTCTCACGCGTGCACGCTTTGAATAAGTCGCGGCTGTACACGTTCTGTTCGTAGCGTGGCTCTACTCACAGCTTGCAAACTACACCTCAAATTTGGACATCCATCATGGCTCTTAAAAGATCCATCAAAAGCAACAGACCCAGCGTGGCAGGCACAGCCGTCTCTGGCATCACAAAAGCTGCCAGCGAGCCACTTCTGACTGGTGGCTTGCTATATGTCCTCACACGAGGGCCACCACATCTGCGTGCCCGTCTCCTTGCGCCTTTCCAATCCACACTCCCGGTCTTTACGAACACCCCAAAAGGCGTCGCCAGACTCGCAACTCTAATCACAATCCTCAAGATCCTAACCACTGCGGGCATCCTCCGTCGCATAAACCAAGCGCTCAACCGCCTAGCATGGAACAACTGGACTCTCGGCCGCAGTGGCACAGGCTGGCAATTCGGCCCTGGGAAGAAAGAGGTCGTGCTCATCACGGGTGGAAGCAGTGGGTTTGGATACGAGATGGTGAAGTCCTTCTCGAAACAGGCGCGAGTCATTGCAATCGATATCTCCTCTTTCCCTCCGGAGCTGGATGCCATGCCTGACGTGCACTTCTACCAGTGCGACATCAGTGATACGGCGACGCTTGAGGGGGTGTGCGAGCAGATCAAGAACGAGCACGGAACCGTCAGCGTGCTGATCAACAACGCGGGCATCGGGCTCGGGAAGACACTGCTCGAGGTACTTCCCTTCCCCTTTCCCACCTGGACGGAAAGAGCTGACAACAACAGACAAGTAACGCAGAAAGCCAAAAACTCCTCCAAGTCAACCTCTTCTCGCACATGGTCCTAATCCGGTCCTTTCTCCCCGGCATGCTGGCACAAAGGAGGGGGCACATCGTATCCATCGCCTCAATGGCGTCTTTCGTCGCCGCACCCGGATTGATCGACTACTGCATCAGCAAAATCGGTGCTTTGTACCTGACTGAAGGACTGCGCGCGGAATGCCTCGCGCACTATCCCAACGGCAAATCCATCTGCACGACCTCCATCCATCCGAGTTGGCACCAGACGGGTATTTTGAAGAACGTGGATAGGGATTTGCTGGACAAGCATGGTATTGTGTTGGATCCGCCGACGAGAGTTAGTGATGTGGTAGTTGAGCAGGTATTGAAGGGACGCAGCGGGAGGATTTGTGTGCCCGCGACTCAAGAGAAGCATATGGGGATTAGGAATTGGCCGAGGTGGGCGCAGGATTTGGCGTTTGGATTGGTGTTTGGTAAGGCAGAGAGTTTTGCTGACTTGAGAACTGAGAACGAGGCAAGGGGGCGTGAACATTAAGCCTGACGGAGCGGCGGGGCGACCTCTGCGAGGTCTGGATATTTGCGTTTTTTTTTTAAATCTAAAGGGTATCTCCTAGGATTCTTTATTCTTGCTAGTATGCATATGAAAGCGAACGCCGGAGTGCTGTGTTTTCGTTGCGAAGGGTGCGGATGTGGAGAAGTGTCCGGGGGGGGAAACGAGGTTTCAAGTCTTCTGCAGCATTTTATGTGATGATCCACTGGATTGTGTACACGAATCTTCTTTCTTTTCCCCACTTTTTGCTAACGAGTTGCTTCACGAGGTTGTGCCTGATGTTGGAAGGAGCAAGAGAGACAGCCTCGACGGACAATTCACGGCCCAGTGATCGGTGAAGCCAACATGCCGATCGGTGCTTTCATTGTCAGCAACTTGGTAAGCTTCGCGACTACCGCAATACCAAGGCATCAACTGAATGACACCAACAAGTCGAGCAACGTACTCAGATGGTCTGAGCGGTGCTGCGGACTCCCAAACTAGGGGACTCTGTAGGCCCAGTGGAGCATAGCGTGCAGTGTGATTGGCTGCGCTAGGCGAGTATACAACATGAGGTTAGACCGTCAGAGAAGGACCGGATGCTACACCTCCCGTTTGGACAGACAATTAGTAAGATACCGTTGAAAGTCGATGTTCGGTGCTTGAGAGGGTGCGATGCTGTACGATGCTGTGCATCGAGTGTTTTCCACGACCAGGCAGACACCGCCGTGACATAGACAAAGAAAGCTATATATACGCTCCCATAGCGTTGCAGAACACATCAAACCACTCCAAACCTCCAGTCCAATACTCCCAAGAGCATCAATATTTCAAGCACCCAGCATGTCTGCCAATTCCTCCCTCAAGCCCATAGCCATCTACGGCAAACACGGCCCCAACGCCCCAAAAGTCCGTATGCTCTGCGAAGAACTCGGCCTAGCCTACGACCCGATCGACACGCAATTCTCCGACCTCAAAAAACCAGACTTCCTCGCCATCAACCCCAACGGCCGCATGCCAGCCATCCACGACCCCAACACCGACCTGACCCTCTGGGAGTCTGGTGCCATCCTCGAGTATCTTGTTGAAAAGTACGATACTGAGCATAAGCTGAGCTTCCCGGCTGGTTCAAAAGAGGCCCAGTTGGCAAGGCAGTGGCTCTTCTTCCAAGTCTCCGGGCAGGGGCCGTATTATGGGCAGGCGGTATGGTTCACAAAGTACCACCCAGAGCAGCTTGCGAGTGCGCAGGAGAGGTACTATCGCGAGATCGAGCGCGTGACCTCTGTTCTCAACGGCCATCTTGAGAAGCAAGAGAAAGGTGCCGATGGGCCATGGCTGGTCGGCGGAAGGTTCTCGTATGCGGATCTGGCGTTTGTGCCGTGGCAGGCTATTACTCAGCAGGTGTTGGCGGATAAGGTGGATGTGAGCGCGTATACGGAGGTTGAGAGCTGGTTGGACAGGCTGCGTGCGCGTGCAGCGATTAAGAAAGTTGTTGATGAGTTTCCGGGTGGGAAGTAAGGGCTCGGATAGGAGGGGAAGCATTGTATGTAGGCATGGCAAGCCATTGTTATGTAGCCTTTGCCTTGCCGTTAACCGTCCCATTCCCAACATTCGCCATACTTTGCCTTTTGATGCCCAGCACACGTTCCAACACCGTGATCCACAACTGCACGAATACCGCCACAGCCCTGACGACCCAATCTTTCCAATCGAGCTCTGGTTTCAGACCCCTACCAAACTTCGCATCCTTAACCTCCCACGGCACACCGCCACCCAACTCCAAACCGACTCTCATCCCACTACTGAAACCATCCTCGTGGAACCCGTACCCCGTCCAGGCGCCCGCGAACCAGACGCCGTTCCTCCCCTGGATTGTGTGGAGTCGCTCTTGGGCAGCGATCATGCGGGAATTTGTAAAGCAGATGGCGGTACTCGAACTGCGCCTGCGTCAAGGCTGGGTCTGGAGGTGTTTCGGGGTTGAGAGTGACGAGCACGTTATCGAACTTCTCAACAGGGATGTGTTGGAGGATGTTCATATTGTACGTCAAGCTGACTGTCTGGAGGGTGCCCGAGGGGTTGGCGTGTGAGGGCGAGGTGGTGGTGAGGTAGTTCCAGGCGGACCATGCGGCGCGGCGTTGCGGCACAAAAGACAGGTCCGAGTGCAGGTATGCGATGTTGGGGGTGGTTTGGAAGGCGTTGAGGATGGCGGGTTCTTCGAGGGTGGCGAAGGGGCTGAGGAGGGTGCGTGCTTGGTCGCCGTGGCACGCGAGGATTACTGAGTCGAATATTTCTTCTGTGGTGATGCTTGGGCCGCCGAGGGTCAGGCGGACACGGTCGTCCTTTCGTTGTACCGATTTAACGGGTGTGCTTAGGTGCAGTTGTAGATTTTTGCATTCTTTCATGACGGCGTCGATGTAGTGCTTCGCTCCGCGATGCACTGTTAGCCACGGCGGGCGCTCGCTCACTGTCGCCAGCAGGTGGTGGTTCCACATGAACCTCACGAGCGTAAGCGCTGGGAACTCCAAAGCGCACTTGTCGGCTCCCGTACTCCAAATACAAGCCGTCATTGGGATCAAGTAGTTATCCCGGAATGCGTCTGAGTAGCCGTTTCTCTCTCCAGATACTGGCCGATGCTCTCTTGGTTTGCTTGTTTGCAGCAGCCGATCCTGGAGGCATCGACAGTAGGTCCAGGGCAAACTGGTTGAATCGGACAGTGTCAAAGATCATGCGCCAGAAGGAAGGCTTGAAGATGTTGGAGGACTGGGCGAAGAACGCGCCTAGGGACGTGCCAGACCATTCGAATGCGCCTGCGTCTCGCGAAATGGCAAATGTCATCTCTGATGAATCGGTCCTGGCATTTAGAGCCTTGAGGAATTGAATGAGATTTGCTGCAACCAGATTAGTCACTAACCCCAGCTGGTAGGCTCCAAGCAGACGTACGGTAAGTCGCTGCGTTGAGCACAATGAATCCGATATCAACGGGTGTCTTAAGTCCATTGTCTCCAGTTGACGGTGTTTGTGTGACCACCTAATCGATCTGCTGCTTCGAAGAGGTGAACTTCGTGTCCTGCATTGCGGAGCGTCCAAAGCGCGCTGATACCGGAGATGACGCTACCAACAACTGCTATACGTTTTCTTTCCATCTCTTTTGCAAGATCCTGAACACTCCAAGCCTCGAGTGGCGATTATACAGGCACGCTAAGGTATGCGTCCGGGAAATGGCAGAAAGCCAGCAAAACAGAGAAAGAGCACATGGCTGCGAAGACTGGAAGTGTCGATGTCGTTGACTCGCAGCAGATTCGGTTTCAGCTAGTACAGGCCGAATGCAACGCGTTTGGCACCATTAGTAAAGTCTGCTTTCCAGACGTTCGTCTCTTCTACGGCCGCGAAACACCAAAGTTTCCTCACATATGCGGCTCCGCGGAGACAGTGTTTGGAGGGAGGTCCATCACGTAGGATCCACTTGCAACTGTGCGCTAGGCTGTGCGCTAGGCTGTAGACTACCGAACAGGTGTTCTTGAGCAATCGGAGTTGAGTGTTCAGATGGTCAACAGAGAATCGACGGGACAGTGAAACTGTTGCTGCAGGTGGAAAGCAGTTGTGAAACAAAATGCCGTGGCCCAAGTCTCAAAGTGAGCCGGACGAGAGCCGAGGGTGCTGACAACAAGGCGCCCAAGCACCACAGCTCCCTATTGAACGAGTGACCATATTCTTTGCAGCTGTCGAACGACTTGATGTCAAGGCAGCAGTATCCAACCAAGCGTGACTTGCGAGAAAGTGATAGACAGAAAGCTCTCCACGTGATGCGACAAGGACACCCTTGCCTTGGCAGTGCGTAATGCGCCCCGTCGCAACTCGGCAAGTCAACAGCCAACAGCGTCAATACCCTCCCATGTCCCCGCCTCGGAACCTCTCCACGATACCCCATCCACACACCCAATAGAGTCTCGCCGACACGCCCACCATGTCCAATCTCATCGACGCAGAGGCCGGCACCGAGCGCTTCGGCGGCTACGAAGCAGAGCTGAAGCTCGTGCAAGCCGACCTGTCGCAGCAAATCGAGCAGATCAAAGACACCACCGGGGAGCCGCGCAAAGCGGCAATCAGCAGAGCGGAGCGCGCGCTGGAAGAGGCCGATGAGCTGGTACGTCAAACCCTATACGTTGCCGCCTAGACACCTGCACACCACGCACATGATACACCACGCACACGATACACCACGCACACGATGCTATGCGCACTATCGGGGACGACGGCTAACGTGTATTCGACAGATTGGCCAGATGCGCCTCGAGAAAAGTAACATTCCGGTGAACTTGAAGAGCAAATACAACGCCAAATTCCGCAACTTCGAATCCGACCTCGACGCCACAAAGCGCAAGCTGCAACAGTACACCAACGACAAAGCGAAGCTGTTCGGCTCGCGCTACACCGATGACCCAGAACAGGGTGATGCGCAGCTCGAGCAGCGACAGCAGCTCTTGTCCGGCACAGACAGGCTGAACCGGTCCTCGGGGCGCCTACGAGAGTCGCAGCGGATAGCGCTCGAGACGGAGCAGATTGGCGCGGGGACGCTGAGTGACTTACATCGCCAGAGGGAGACGATTGAGCATACGAGGGAGAGGCTGCTCGAGAGTGAGAGCTATACGGATAGGAGTATCAAGACGTTGAGGGGCATGGCAAGACGGTAGGCACCCCGTCGTGTTTCATGGTCCACTGGTGGCTGCTGATGCAGTGCCAGGTGGATGCCGTTTGGTCAGTCGATATGCTAACGAGATGCAGGATGGCTACGAACCGCATTATCACTATTGCGATCATCACCGTACTGGTACTGCTCATCATCGCTGTGATCTGGAGCAAGTTCAGATAAGCATGTTTCGTTAGCGTTCTCGTTCGGTTCGGCGTCTGGAGCATCTCTACCGTACATATTGGCTCAAGCTCATTCAAATGCGCTGAATGACAACTTTCATCATCTTTCATCATCTTCATCTTTGGATCGCTGTGTGCGTACCAATTCATGGGCTGTTGTAGTTGCTTTGCATGATGTAAAGCACGTGAAGTCGGATCGTCAGCTGGTCATTATTCCATTCATGAAGCAGAGTGAAGGCCTCTGCGGCCTGCTTCGCTGACAGTAGTTACACCCTATTACACCTTCTCGTCAATGTCCCGGAACAAAACAATAACGCTTGAGTTGTACAAAATGAAAGATACACCAAACGCCGTTGCATACAGCGCCAGACTTCAGACCTGGGTATCGTTGTTGCTCCCGTCCATGTGTGCCCTGTTCAGTCTGTCTTGGTAGAGATGGGATTTAAGAGGCGAGGTGTTGTTCGACGTGAGGCGTCGCTGGTGAAAGCCAGGTTGCATCGACACAGTACTTTTGAGAGTTTTACTCGTGTTACCGGTTGGTGGTCGATAACTGTTCCGGGCGTGGTTTACCGCAATGCTTCGTATGTGTGCCGCTTGATTTGCCCTTCAGGTGCCGTTGACATGTGTCGTGACGGCGAAGGGTACTGATAGTACACCTCACAGCTACCCTGTGACTGTACACGAGGTGTCGGCTTGCGCTCGTCTGCTGCGATGCATAGCAGCTCAGCGCGAGGACCTCGCAGATTTCGCAGACTTGTTCGACCGAACATACCCGTACTTCTCGTACATACTCAATAGTCACGCCTCATCCGCCTTCTGCGCCTCCGCCGGCCTTGGAATTGCAGTAAACGACTTTGTCCAATCCCCACTGCCCACCGGAAACGGCGTCAACGGCAACGGCTTCGTACTAACCGGCGTCCTAGACGGCCTTCTACTCGTCGGCAGTTTCGTGAGGTTGATACTCGCTTCGCTCGGTCGCCGACTGTAAGCACCAGGCGGGAGGGTACTCGTATCGTCTTCCGAAAGACGACTAAGATGCAGGGAGATTGGCGGTGCAAACGGCGTCACAGGGGACATGCGCAGCGGATTCAGTGCCTTGCCTTGAAACGGACCAGTGGTTGTGGTGGAGCGCTCGGGGATGGTGACAGAGAGGTTGTTCCTGCTGCGGGAGTGCGCCACACTCCCACTTCTCGACTGTGTGCGTTGGCTAGCCTGGCCGGAGGTGCGTGGGCGCGTATCAATGGGTAGCTGACTGCCGGCACGAGAGTGGACTGGTCGGATGGACTGGGTTGGCGTGTCGACTCGCGTGCTGACGGAGAGGGCGCGGATGTCCTTGGGGCGCTCGATGTCGTGCTCGAGGACTGTGGTGTATGCGGGTGCGGAGGAAAAGTATTTAGGCATCATTACGGCAAAGAGCGGGCGCATTGCTGGGAGGCAGGCGCAGATTATGCCGACGTTGACTTCGACGGCGGAGAGGGTGGCTTGGTCGGAGTTGTCGAAGATCTGGTCGTTGGAGTTTGCTAGGTTGTCCAGAGAGTATAATCGAACTGTTGAGACTACCATGACACTGTCGTGCTGTTAGGTCGTGTTTCGAATCTCTGAAAGGGAGGACTTGAGCCTACCTGGCGCCAAGAGCGAACATGGTGATCAGCCCCTTCTTCTGGCTCCTGCTGATTTGAAGACTCCGAATGACTCGGATGGGAAGTAACAGAACAATGGCATCTTGCCCGATGTTCAAGCCCGCTGTAGTGAACAAGATAATGTAATCGTTCATACAGCGTCCATCTTTCACAGACTTGTCCCAGAAGAAGTTGATAGGGTAGCATAGAAAGACATTACCAAATATGCCCCAGGCGCCACATGCAGTGACAATGCACAGCATAGCATAGCATGCGCAACGAAAGTGGCGTGGAGGGAAGATTCGAATGTACTGAACGACGATGGATACTTTGGTCGTAGTGAGTGCGAGATTGTAAATCCAGAAGCTGGCCCATAACATCTGTGCGTCGAGTCAGCATCGTTCAAAAGCTCACGGTGTACGCTATAAGTGAATGGATCAATGACAGCGTGCCAATCTTTCCGTCCTTGTTGCTGTACCTGTTCAGTTCATGTGCCAGGTACAGCGGTCGCAAGCTCCAGACGGGCGCATATGGTCGGGACGAGTGTTGCAGTCCTAATGAAATCGAGTTCGACATATGGGTGATGCTTACCTTCAACGTAATGGTGACATCGTCAGCAGAGAGGTCATATGCATGTTTCCCAAGACCGTGCATGACCTCCTCCGAAGTCACTACAGCAAGGGCAATTGATAACGCCTTCAATGGTCAGCACAGTTGGAAGAGGCTTAAAGGCTACAACATACCATAGCAATAGCAATGCAGACATCCTCAAAGCCAGCTCCCTTCGTCAATATCAACCTGGTGAACAATCGCAGAAAGACAACGGTTCCAGCAACGAGTGTGAACGCAAGAACGGTCGTGTTCACCCGGATGCCAGCGGGCGAAGCGTTGTCGAGCATTGCGGTTGGGATTCGAACTAAGTGATCGCACTCCACGTATTATAACGATTAGGAAGAAACAGTACAGCAAACCTCCAGCATGTCACCCCTCCTCAATCCATGGTAGTTCTTTCGAGGCCGTTGAAAGGGGGCCTAAAATGAGGGGAGTGTAGATCCAGGGCGAGTTCAGGTAGACGGCGGACTGGGACAAGCCTAGGAGGAAAATGGCCGACCATATCAGATGGCTGCCAGAGCGGAAACGTGGATGCACTCCTGGTGCACGAATCGTGAACCCGATACTGCCTCCATTGGTGAGATCACAGTGCCCTCAGAGTTAGCCTGCAGGTGCGTGTGGGTTCCAGACAAGCTGTCCCAGATTGGAACGCGGAGATGTCGAGGCTTCGAGCACCTCCACACCAGACCACGTTCCTGCAGCGACTATCAACATGTGCGTGACAATAGTCACAGAATAAGTGCAGGAACATGAAAAGATCCATGTCGCTACATCACCGTGATTGGAGGGGAGCCGAAAATGGCAGTGACTTGCTAGCAGCGGTAGGTACTGAGGGGGTATAATGTCGCAACTATAACCCTAGTGGAAAACTCATGGCAGCCACTGCAGCGGCCTTGTAAGGCTAGCCTTTGGGTCCTGAACTTAGCTGAGGCACTTATCCAAGGCTGTGGCGTCGCATGTCACAGGCCTAGATGCAGCCTCTGAAGGGACCGGTTAAAGGTTGTAGGTGGCCTTGTACCGAAAAGCCTTTGCCATATCTTGCAATCGCATTGTCGTAAATATGATGTCGATGGCCGCCGATGTAATCTTTCGTCATTCAGCAATTGTCATCTGAGGCATTTGGTGTAATGGCAACCTAGAGGGTGATCAAACGGTGGTGGTGGGCAGGAGTTCGGTGATGGATTGCGACTAGGCTAATGTCCCTGATGCAGATCATAGCCGAGAGAGGACCGTGCCCGAAAGTTACCTGGTCTAAAAGTGGGTGTCAAACATACCGCATGACTCTGAAACGCTACCTTAGGCTGCCGGCTTCAACCCCATAGTTTTGCCTTTGATTCCCTCCGAGCCCTCCGCAGGCGTTGCAGGTACTATGGCATCCTTGCTGTGAAGATATCTGATACTATTGGATCGTACGACAGCGGCAAGATTTGCGATCGTATCTCTGCGATGGTCCGTGAAGGTCCACATTGAGCTACAAGCTGTAGTCCTCACGCCAACCGCGTGTCAAAACCCTGAAGTTTCTGGTAACTTGCTGCTACTTGAATCGGTCTTAATACGGCCAATATAGGTCTGAGGAGGCCGGCTCCGACATATATGAAAGGTTCGTACCGATCTTCAAAGCAAACCTTCACTTGACGCTTGGCCTAATAGTATTCCTCGGATGATCTGACAAGCTGGAACCTTTGGATACGCCACACGGATACGGTAGAAGCACGATGGAAGCCAATGCAGACTCAGCGTTCAATGCAAATAGAGATTGAAACGAAGTTGCCTCGAGAGATGCTGTGCAAGTGCTATTGAATAGAAAGGTCTGAATCTAGTCTCCTTCTCTGTAGCAACGTCTGGCGATCACGCATGCAGACTTGACTGTCCAACATATTGACCCTGCCGAGCTCACCATTGTCGCATCTTTATCGAACTATGTGACTCAGTGTGCTCGAAGTAAGATCGATCTCACGGGCCGGAAGCTGAGCGGTGCATCAGGATTACGCCTTTGCAAGTGCCGCTAGTAGTCTACATTGAGTAACATTCTGATCAGCATTGTGGGTGCCGTCAGTGCCGTGCGGTGAAGTCGTAGGATACTATAACCTAACGTAGTAGGACTTGCTCCAATGGCCTGGTAGGTTCGCATGGTCCCATGTAGGATTGCCCTGTATTTCAGCTCTTGCGACTGCTCGGGCCTTGCGTTCTCGTGCATATTACCACCGCTTAATCTTACAGTCGAGAGAGGGCCGGAGCCACAACTCTGCCCATACAAGAAGCAAACGTGAGCGGCCAATGGGGCACCACGACGAACGGACCCTGGCCCTTAGCGATCTTGCAGGAATGAGGCTTGGTGTGGGCCTTAGGTGACCAGCGGCTTGATAGTCAGCTGCAAAGACGCGGTAGATGCGAACGAAAGTGTCAAGCCAGTTCCAGAATCATGCGAAGACGACGCATTCGGGCATCTGCTCAAGCTCTACGGCACCTAGTTCTGCCGAGCACACCTCCAGTACTCAGATGCAGCCTTCCTTCCTTCCTTATGCTCTAAGTAATGCGGCGAAGGGATCACATCCTGGACGAAGATCGATCCTTTCGCCCAAGGGACGCATGAAGCACCTATCCCTCACTGCACGCTGTATCACCGGGGCAACCTTTTGCCAGTCTTGTGTGCAGCGCTCCTACATCGTCGGTGCCTATCCTCTGCGCATATTGTCCGCCGTGCGCACTAACCAGCGGATGTGTCTTGTCGATATTGGCAAGCTCGAAGTAGATCCTGGAACAGGCTTAGAGGTAGACGACCCTTGTGCTTAAGTCTCGCGCGGTTGATGGGTACGGTTGTCGAGTATTTCGTGCTTAGTGAGGCCATCCGGGCGTCGTGGCCGTTCAACGCTGTTAACGAGCTGATGAGACTGGAGCAGGTGTGTCGGCTCAATGTATGGTGGGAGCGACTGCACCATCTGCAGATGTGCTGTTGATGTCGTGTTCCTGTCCAGAGAACGTGCGCCTTCCGTCTGACGCGGTGTTGGCATCGATTGCAGAAGAAGCGCCCGTATAGACCTCAAGCGTATGAAAGCCTATGTCGCAAAGACGCGTGACATGTATTATCAGGGGCGCAATCAGTGCTTTTCGAATGTGTGCGCGTATCTTTTGGCGTTGTCTGTTGTTGGCGGTGGGGAGGCAGGCGCAGCTTCAAGACTGGAGAGCTATAGCGGCGGCGTGGTTTCTTTCGCGTTGGTGCTGTCGAGACTGTCTGCGACGCTGCGAGTATCAATGTACGTCGACCGAGGGATCGTCGCGCGCTGGGTGGATTTGTGCAATGTTGACGTCGCCGGCAGACGCACGTCAGCATCGATTTGATGGAGGCGGTGGTTGTGAGTTTGTTCTTCCTCAATCTCGCGGCAGGCCACGGGGATCAATGAAAAATGAACTGACAGCAGTAAATGGGATACAAAAATTCCCAGCCGATCCGAAGACCAACTGGAGCAGTCATAGTTGTAGTTTTCAACTAGCAAAAACGCTACCTCAGACGAATCTTCACTGGTAAGCGTAAAGCCCTAGCACTTGGATGCAGGAGGAAGCCAGGGCCGGAGGGCAGCGAGATTTTATGCCCGCGCTGCGCACAGGCAGCAGCTTGGCACGCTAGTATCATGTGACGTGGCACGGTCTGCTGACGGTCGTTGCGCTCTCCGAAGTTTTACCAGTCCAATCAAATAGCAGTGGATGTGAAGTCGTGAAGCAGGCAACACCAACATCATGTTCTCGCAGTCTATCGGATGACGTCGCCGGAGCTCAAGACGCGCAGGTTTACCTTCACCGGGCTCTCCTTCACCGGCGCACGTTGACCGATATGGTTGCTGAGCATCGACATTGGCGTGCTGTGTCAAGTTTGGCTATGTTCTGGACGTGAAGAGCACAGGAGCGCAAGACCGCTCTGTGTCTCTCGTCGAGGAAGCAGCAAAGCGACTTCCAGGCACAAGTACGAAGAGGCGTGATCTTACCGTGGGGGGTAGGCAACACCAGATCATGTTACGCCAAAACATGGAGACAACATGAACAATCCAAGGTAGCAGAAGCAACCGTCCGGCCTACCTCAACTCCACATGACAATGCGGTTGAGTCGAGACCGAAATTCTCAAGCACAGCTCCTCTCGACCTCTCCATTGTCTGGTATCTGCCATACTGTAAGCACCATTGTGGCTGCGCATATACACAGAAGCTTTCTTTCGAACAACGAATTATCGACTCGGCAGATCATCACGCCAGCATTGCAGCGCCGACAGCGACCGGTGCTCTTTGATCCAGAAGCATTACATGTACCAAACACCTAGCAGCAGACACGTCAAGTTCTTACAAATCTTGTTGAAGCTTCCAGCAGATTAGATTGACTACAAGATAGTCAGTCGTTGATTTCAGCTTGTGGACGAATTTTTAGACCTGGTTATTACATCTCCATACTGCTTCCTGGCCCTTCGAAGATCTTACGCCGTTGTGTTGCTCTTTAATTACAAGAGCGGCATTTCAGCAGGATGAACTAGCAACACGCTACCTCAGACGAATCTTTACTGGCAGCGTAAAGCCCTAGCATTTGGATGCAGGAGGAAGTCAGGGTTGGAGGACAACGATGAAGGTGAATGTGAGGGCTAGGATACCGCGCTCGCTGCGCTCAAGAAGAACCGCCTCAAGAGGCAGGCGACCGCCAGCGTCCCAGGCGCACGCGGAAATCGCCGCACTCGCTCAAATATGCGCCAAGGGCCAACCAACTGAGGCTCTGCGTCGGCCACCTACCGATACCTATTCTTCACCATGTGAACTTCGTTGTCCTCTTCTCGCCCAGGTTTGTGGCTAAACAGTCCCTGCCTCAAATGAGCCCCAAAACCCCTTCCTACGTTTCGAACGTCCGCGTCTACGTACCCACAAGAGTTCATGTGGAAGTACTTGCCGACCCCAGTATTCAGCCAGCTCTCTACGCAGGCAGACCTTGTCACCCCGAGAACTGCAGATGGCCCGTGGTCACAGAACCTCACCACAGAGCCACTCTCAGATGTTGACATAGCCAAGGAAAGGAGCCGAACGATCTCCAGTCACCCCATTACAGTGCCAGATGGCTTCGCTCACGAGCCGTCGGGCGCAGTAGGCACTGACGAGGCACGTGACTTCACCACAGCCAACTATCGCAGAATTCAAGGCGTAATCTTCGGTGAACGGATCGGATAATGAGCCTACATTCAGAAAATGGCCCTGGGAAGAATCAATACCTTTGACATCGAAGTAAGCAAGAGTGCCGAGATGATTCCAATGGTACTTCACTAAAAAGCATTTCACGATCCGAATGGAGGCCTGAAGCGCAAAGCGGACACCATCACCACTGTAGCCAACATGAAACAAGAAGAGAATTCAGCAATGCCAGCTACTCGAGTTGTAGTAGCCGTCAGCCTGCAGGATTAGGATCGGCTCCGAGGCCCAGCCTCGATCTGTGATCCTGCGCAAATGTCAGAACTCGAGATTCTGAAGACGAACATGGTATCTCTACTGATGATACGGAAGTTGTAGCCAACACATGACGTCATAAAAGACTCAAAGTACCGATTTTGAACAACGTAGTAGCCTTCATCGTTGCCAGTGTCTCAGTCGTCTCCAGAAGTTCGACCTCGAAAGTTAGTGGAGCGAAGCAGAACGTGGGCGCATCTGGGGCGGAGTTCGAAAACGTTATGCCACGTCCATACAAGACCACCATTACCCTAAAGGCGACGGAGAAAGCCAGAGCTCGAGCTCAAGCACAAGCCGTTGCCAGCACAAACCCCCTCACTTGCCGCCTCGCTTCAAGACTTTGCACCTCCTCCGATCTCTAATTACTCAGGCTACGGTTCCGTCCTCCAACGCCCAACCTCTCCTCTCGTCGACCCCTGCCAACACTCCGCTTACCATAGGCACACGGCCGCCTCTTGTATCGTCTTCGAAGCGCGCAGCCGAGGAACCTCTTATCAAACCGGAAAAGAAGAAGCGAGCGATGCGACCCTACTGCACTTCGCGCAAAGATGAAAAGGGCAAGCAGCCAGAATGTGACCACGTCCTCCCTTGCATAAGCTGCTTGAATGACGGCATTGAGGTCAACATGCGGGTACGATCCGGCGCATGCCCTCAAGTACAGCTTCACTCCTCCATTGCAAAAAGACGTACCTGGTGCCGATCTGACGAAGGGAATGTACCTCGCCACGACAGTCAAGTGAGACAAGACTACGGGACGGTGAGGAATGAGGGACAAGCTAAGACAAAGATTGAGTACCTCCAAGCTTCGTACATCAAGATGTACAGTACTTGTCGGATGGCAAGCCTGTCCCGGCACTGAACCGATTGACACCGGCACATCCGGCTACACGGCTAGGTCACAGACAGACTATTGTAGTCAACATGAAGCAAGATGTAAAGTTAAAATCGCTGACGTGCAAGGCTGTAGTAGCCGTTGAAAATGGGTTGCAGAGCACAACTAGCTTCGAGTCGAGTCCTGATTACGGTTTCTGCAATTTTTGAAAACTCGAAGCTTAGGAAATGAACAAGTCGTTCCGTTTGGTGAAGTTGTTGTAGGAGAATTGTAGCCAACACACAGCGTTAAGAGGCTTCGGAAATGCTGATCTTGAGCGATGTAGTAACTGTTGTCCACCGATTTCTTGAGCGTAATTACTTGAATGTCGCCAACGGAAACGCGACCTTCAACGGTTACCAAGTCAATCTTCGCAGCCTCGCCGATCACAGCAACAACTCTGTTCCCTGGCTCGTCTGGTTCGCCGAATGTTCCTTCATGTTGTACTTGGATACCATCTAAGACTTCATAAGGTGCCACGCTTCTACAGAGAAGGAGTCGTAATACATCAATGACGCATTGTATGAGAACGTTGCAGAATATCGCAAGTGGGCAGAGCTTGACAAACCCGTGGGTTTTGGTTTGAACTCGACATGGCCTCCCACCCAGAGGTACCACGGAATTCAGGCTGGTGCGCAGTGCAGCAATAACAGCTGCAAAAACCTGGTGCTACAACACAAACATGCGCTATATGAGCCCGCTATAATTGTCTCACTTGATCCTGGGCGTCCTGGAGAGAATGTGGAATGTCGACCATGCGGGAAGTATCGCGAAGTCCACGAAGGCGAACTTAGACCTTAACACCTGGAAACGAAGTTCGACTTCATGAGAACTGCACCAACTTCAGAATCCTGTTCGATCCTCCTTTGCGACACTCGCCTGGTTTCTCGGCAAGTATACTAAAGTTATCTCTCTCTTCGTCGCCCTTACGATGCCGGACTATTATATCGACCTTGCATGATCTGAGAGGGGCATTGTTTGTTGAGCACATGCTAATACTAAGCAGCAACTTCTCAAACAAGATGCCAAATGGCATCAAAATCAGAACAAGCGCAGCAATCGCAGCAGCATCCTGTAGCCAACACAGTATACGTGAGAGATACAATCAAGTCACATCTCGAGATCGAAGTAGCCTTTGCTAACAGCTCTTTGGGAACTCTCACTGTCGAAACCTATTGCTCGTCGCCCTCGCCTCATGATCATATGCTGCGTCGCTGCATGTCGCGAAGTAAGCGTGCTGCTCAACCGGATTGCCCTCCGCTCAGGTCGTCTTGTCGCAACGAAGAGCTTTCTTAATTGATGCGCAGTACAGCGATGACCCCTCGGTACTTTTGTCAACCACGTTTCAGATCTGAAGTGGAGGGTTGCTTTTCGCGCCACACGAGATCTTGAAACGACCGAGCGCGGTCAAATGCCGAGGCAGCCTTACCAATATACACACTTATCAAGACACTAAATCGACACGAAAAGCTTGTGTCCACTTGAAGAGTGCAAGCACCCAATGAAGAAAGTAGTTCGAGAGCAGCCCCTTTGAGTGCATTCTTGACTGCGCCCAAAGGAAGACTTCACGTCATGCGCAGGTTTCCTGAGACCGCCGTTCTCTTGTCAAATTCATGTCCAAACACTGACACATTGGACAGGTTGGTTTGAGCCAATGATGACGGTCACAGACAGTTGCAATGCGAGGCACGAGTGCCAGACTTGCGGCACTCCAACTACATCAACCCTGCTTACCGAACAGTATCTTGTTCCACTTTGAACCGCCATACCGAAGTATGATGTCGCCCTTGCATTATCTGAGATGAAACTCTTCGGCCACAAGGTCGATCAAAGTGGCAGTGCAACACATGGGACCCGAACTGCCCTTGTGCACATCTACTCGAGGCGAACGTTAAGCTGACTCCAACACCGAGAACCAGGATGCCTGAGCGATCAAGCCAAGTGTTTGACTCAATGCACCGCAGTTGCATTAACAGAGCTCTGCATAGGCTCGAAACGGCCAATGAAAAGTCCCATCGCTCGATGTCTTCCTCGGCATCTGACTTCGATCACTTTGACGTTCTCCAGATCGCTTGATCCTCCAAATGAAAAGATCTTCTCCTCCACTTGGCATCGTCTTGGGTCATGCCCTTGCTTTTGTTCCGACCATACCCCGGGCGGACTTGGCATCTCAGGCAATACGAACGAACTGAGGATTAAAGAGAGTCCACCGCCAACATGTAGCCAACATGTAGCCAGCATCAGCAGCACTTCGCTTTTCGATCCCCTTTACTTCACCACAGGGCCGGCCCTCCTCTCTTTCGCTTCTTCATTCATTCGCTCAAATCGTTCGACGCCAATATCAAATTTGCGACTATACCCACCGACTCTATCTCAATCAACATGTACTTCCAATCTTCAATGCTTATTACCGCTCTTGCCGGCCTTGCCGCCGCCAGCCCCTTGGAAACCCGCCAGTTTGGCCTTGGTGGAACTGGCAGCACGTCAAACGAGTTCTCTCAGGGTGGATGCAGAGACATCCTGTTCGCGTGGGCTCGCGGATCTACTGAAATTGGCAACATGGTACGAAGCTCCGCAATCTAGTGCAAATCGTAGGGTACTGACTCGGACAGGGCACCGTCGTTGGTCCACCAACCTCAGACGGACTGAAGCAAGAATTCGGTGACAACGCCGTTGCAACTGAGGGCATCGACTACGCTGCCACGATCGGCACAAACGCCATCCCTGGAGGCACGGACACTGCCTCCAAGAGGCTCATGCAGGACACCCTCAACTCCATGGCGCAGAAGTGTCCGGACTCAGTCATCGTAGCTGGTGGCTACTCTCAAGGCGCTGCCGTCAACCACCGTGCCATCGAGGAGCTCGACGCTCGTGTTCAGGACCAAATCGCTGGCGTGGTGCTCTACGGCGATACCCAGAAGCAGCAGGACAACAATCAGATCCCTAACTTCCCAGCCGACAAGGTCAAAATTATTTGCCAGACTGGAGATGCCGTCTGCCGCGGGCAACTGGTGGTTCTGCCTGCACACTTGACATACGGTTCGCGCGCCGATGAAGGTGTCGAGTTTCTGGTTCAACAGGTCAAGGGCGCTCAGGCGAAGATCAAGGCCAGGGACGCGAAGCGTGACGCGGAGAAGAGCGCTGTCGGCTTGGCTGCCACTGTCAAGAAGGTTGCTATTGCTCTCGTCGCCTAGATGAGGAAATTTTTGTGAATGTAGGCCTGGACGGCTGCAGACGATGTTTATGGATATGTGGCGTTTTTGAGGCAAATGCAATGTGCAGGCTACAACATTGACCGAAGACGTCAGCCCGGGTCTTTGTTCTGGCTTCTTGTTCTTGTTCTCCTCTTCTTCCAAACAGCGCTTCCAGTTTTCAATTTATCAATGACATCATTTTCGACCACTGTGCAAGCCTTGCCTTTTCGTGCGATCATTGCGCGAACCTATCAACCAAAGTGTCAAACAGAGATTCCACGTTGCTGCGGCCTCGGGCTTCTTCCACCATGGTGCCTGCGAAATTTGGCGCAGTCAACATTCTACCCCCGACATTGGATACACTTCAGCGCCGCACTTACGAGAAGATTCGAAGTAATGTGTACAGGATCATTGGGCGTTGGCTGTCCGCTGAACTCACTGCGGAGATCTTCCAATTCGCGCTGACTGCCGAGGAGATACCTGCCGGTCCGCGAATTATTATACCTGCAGTACACAAAGATGACAAGGAGATCACATGATACGATGATGCCTTCTCAAATCTTCGAAGAGCGCTTAAGACACCCCTGATCTGTAAACATTCACTCGAGGATGGTGTTGGCCGTTGCAGAACGGGGCTCAATATATCGCCAGTAAAGGCAACTTCGCTTACAGTGACGATGAGAAGCGCTGGTCCGTAAATGACGAGTGTGCATACCATCTTCGTCATGACACTGATGGCAGCATATCCACGTGTTTCTACGACTTGGACGATGCTGAGAGGTAGAGTTCTACTGCAGCTGGCGAAATCGGGGCGACGGCGGAGTCAGACAATGAACAGCAGGCAGAACTGGAAGTCAGAATAGCATAACAGGCTGTACTCACTGCTCGAAGGCCCCAACCCTAGTCCAGCAGATTTTTTACGATGCAATGGCACGCTGTATTCATTTACCAATCTGTTACCTTGCGATTGTCAAGTGAGTCTGCTTTGATGCCCCCGAGTTTCTTGAAAGCACACATGGGGTGCGCTTCCTGTCCGCCGTCGTCCATCTCAGAGAAGGTGGTGTTGGCTGGCCAGTGCACGACCCCGCCGTCCATGCCATTCGATATGCGCTCACGCCCAATCATCCCCCACCTGCGCGCATCTTCCGAACACACCGTGCCCTCACCACCTCAACGGAGCAAACACACCACAAGATGGCTGCAGTTTACAGACAACGGCTGACCCCGCAACGCGATCAAGTGGATGAGGTTGATCGGCCGGACCTGTTGATCGTTCAGCCCTTCCCGAAGGCGGTTGTGCTGCCTTTAACTTGCACACATCTGCATGTCACTCTCATCCTATCTGCGTTCATCATCTTCATCTTGCGACTTGAGCTAGCTCTCAATCATTGTCTTTACCGTTTATCACTAACCTAATTTTCCAAAAATATGGTCTTCCACAAGCGCGAGCCGTCCAAAGACATCACCTCGAATACAGCATACGTCACACCGTTGCCCACCTACTACTCACAGCAACTGCCTCGATGGACCAGCAAGAGCGCATTTGAAGACCAGAAGGCGTTCGACGTCAAGACTGAGCCGCTTGATCCCTGTTATCCGCAGTTTGCCATGCCCAGGTTCGATGACACTCCATTGCCGCCGCGCCCACAGCGTCGACGCCTACCGAGGAAGACCATTTTGATACCCTGGATCCTTGCAGCTATTTTCTTCCTCACCACTCTCTGGTTCACCTCGATTGCGCTCGGTGTACGCCTATTTATGGTACTGCAACCGGCACCCACCAGTCCACCCGTACAAGAGATTCGTGTCATGGTCGATGGAAACATATTTAGCACTACTGCGTCTGCATACACTTCGTTCGTCACACTATCTGCAAGCGCAGTGACAGCTACAGAGACTGTAAGCGCACCGACATCCACATATGATAGGAGCGCTGTACCCACGACCACCGGGCAGCTGGGCACGGCGCCTACACCAAGCGCTGACCCACTGAAGGTTGTCAACGAGTTCACAACGATTGCCCCGGTGCCGAGAAATGTCAAAACAAGCCCCACTGGGTTTATCACAGTCGCCAAGATGGTGTAGCGGACGACTCCCCCGGCGCGTGGGGCGAGCGAAGCGCAGTGAGCGTGTCATGGAATGAGAACTATTAGAGATTTATGAGACACCTTCAGTCTTCTCGCCTTGCGATTCGAACATATGCAGCAGGCCTTAGTGTTATTTTGGAGATGGTCGCGAGCTCTTTACGCTTCACGAGTTACATTCATCACCTTGGAGCGACTCCACGAGTTTACCTACAACACCGTGCACGTCATTACGGCATATGCGGACCCGAGCGAACTTCGAAGCGCTGCAATAACGAGATCCTGGCTGCCGCCTGTCACAGAAGTCTTGAAACAACACGGAGCGCTAAACAATGCAATGCTGGCCTCGCTAAACCCCTTGTAGCGAGTTTCAAAACACTGACCTCTCCACCATAAAATCCACCCAATCTCGGCTGACCACTTCGAGGCCCTGCGCCGCCGCCTCGCATGACAGACATTTTGGCTACACCGACATAGGTCAAGCCGCTGCCTCATGCAGATTGTTTAAGAACATGGCTTCCGTCTGGGCAGCTCGCTTCGTACTCCAAAGCAAGAATAGCGGCAACGGGTGTCGTGAAGGATCCATGCGACAACCCTGGATATCGGAATTAATTGTTGCGGCACAGGATCGAGGAACTCTCACCTTGGTCCGCAGAGTAAGAGCAGAGGTTTAAAGGCGCCGCAAGCCCAGCTTTCCTCTTCTTGATCATTCCAACGGCCAGTCCTTCTTTCAGTTGCTTGCAACAGTCCATTCATTCTTTTCATTCACTCACTATCTCACATTCTTTTCGTGATCCGGCATCACTAAGTCAATTGTTGTACATACCCTTACACAACATTTACCATCCAACTTAACCCCAAGATGTTCTCTAAGGCTATCATTGCTACCGCCCTCCTCGGCGCCGTCTCCGCTCACCAGAACTTCCACCAGTTCTGGATCAATGATGAGACACCCGGTTACCAAGTCGGCATCCGCATGCCCCCCTCCAACAGCCCCGTCACCGACGTAAAGTCTGACGACATAGCCTGCAACGTCGATGGCTCCAAGGTTCCCTCCGGCGTCGAGACCGTCGAGGCCGCTGAGGGCGACTCTATCAAGGTCCAGTGGGACTCCTCCGGCCACCCCGGCCCCATCACCCACTTCCTGTACGGACCCGTCGACGACGCGTCCCAGGCTACGGGTATCGGTGCCGGCTGGTTCAAGATCGACGAGCAGGACCAGGTCGATGGCAAGTGGGCCAACGAGATCATGCAGGCAGCCAACATGACACACGAGTTCAAGCTGCCCACCGGTCTTGCTAGCGGAGAGTACCTCCTCCGTTCGGAGATGCTTGCGCTTCACGGTGCTCAGACCGTTGGTGGTGCCCAGTTCTACAGTAAGCTCTCCCTTTCTCTACCATTCATTTGTGACCACTACTGACACCTCCCAGTTGGTTGCGCTCAGCTCAAGATCACCGGCACCGGCAGCAAGGGCGCCTGCGGCCCCACCATCTCGCTCCCCGGCGCCTACAATGCCGAGGACGACGACATCTACATCCCCAACGTGTACAACGGCTTCGACGCGTCGACCTACACCGCCCCCGGTGGTCCTGTCGCTACCTGCGGTGGCTCTGGCAACTCTACCCCCGCTACCTCTGCTGCTTCTAACGGCACCGCTATTGCTACCCCTACCGCCTCTGCCTCTGCAGTTCTCTCGGCTCCTGCTGCTACTTCTGCTGCCGCTGAGGAGACCCCTGTTGCGTCCAGCGCTGCTGCCTCTGTTCCTGCTGCTACCTCGGCTGCTGCCACATCTGTCGCTGCTGAGACTCCCGTTGCCAGCGCGACTGCCTCTGCACCTGCCTCTTCTGGCAGTGCTCTGCCTGAGGAGTTCACCCTTGAGACCTTCATTGCCTGGCTCAAGGAGCAGGCTGCTTAGAATTTCTGAGCAGTGTTCAGACGATGGGATGATAGATGTGTTGATAGAGAGACACCTTCTTGTACATATTATGTTGGCTTGGAGATATATTGATTGACTGTTCGAACGACCGTACCTTACTATAAAATACCATTGTAGCAATGTCAATTTGGTATTACTGTTTGGTGAAACGTGAACGTAAGTGCGTTCAGAATTATTGTGCCATGGCAACCCTCGAACGACATCTGGCCTCGACTCAAGGTTGTCCATACTCAATATTTCGTTTCGATGTTTTACTCATGCCAATCAAAGGACCAGAGATGCATTCGAGCTTAAGCTTCAAGCTTGAGTTCAAAAGTATCCTGGAGGTCCAACTTCGTACTGAGATGCTCTGGTTGTCGTTACATGCTCCAACGATGAGCCTGACAGCCATACATCTTTGCCTCCATAACTGTCTCCCAACCACAAACTCTGCAATGCAGCCTGCCATCTTACCTCCTCCTTTCGTTTGCAGCGACGTGCTATCTGTTCACGACTTTTGCGATAATAGTCAAAAGTATCATGTGTGATTGGCTGAAGCTCGGGAGCCGCGCTCGGCCTGCTGCTGAATAATCTAACGTCATATTGCCGAAACCCGAATCTTCCTCTTTCCAAACAGTCCAACATCGCTATTGCGCAAACTCGAATCTTTGCCCCGACGAAGTCCTCTCACACTCAATAAAATGGCCTCGATAACAATACCTCGTGCTGTCATGCGCAGTCTCTCACGAGCAACGCCCTCCATCCGTTCCAGAGCGCCGCGCATCGCCACAAGATGTCTGCACCAGAAGTCGTCGCCCCTCACATCTTCTCCAGTACAGCACCGACCGAGAGCGCAACCATGGAGTCAGGGTGCAATCTCACCATCCGCAACTATCGCACGGCGAACAATGTTCATCCAGACCGAGCCCACACCAAACGCTGATGTACGTTCAACAATCCCTCCACACGATTACCGCATATTAATTCTTCCAGGCGCTCAAATTCAACCCCAACATGCGCGTCCTCCCCGAAACCATATCCTCTCCCTTCCTCGAATACATCTCCCCCCGCTCGACCCTCGCACCACCGCACCCCTCCCCGCTCGCTGCCCAACTCATGAACATCGACGGCGTGACAAGCGTTTTCTTCGGCGTCGACTACATCACCGTGACAAAAGACTCGTCCACACCTTGGGCGCACATCAAGCCCGAAGTCTTCGCCGTCATCAACGAGACACTGACATCTGGCTCGCCAGTCGTTAACACCGTTGAGGCGAAAGCTGGTGAAGAGGGGCAGGGTGGCACCGAAGTAGACTCCCTCGCGTACGATGAGAACGACGATGAGGTTGTTGGTATGATCAAAGAACTCCTCGAGACGCGGATTCGGCCTGCGATCCAAGAAGACGGCGGAGATATCGATTTCCGCGGGTTTGTGGATGGACAAGTACTTTTGAAGTTGCGCGGCGCGTGCAGGACTTGTGACAGCAGTACGGTGACGCTGAAGAACGGGATTGAGAGCATGTTGATGCATTACATTGAGGAGGTCAAGGGGGTGCAACAGGTGCTGGATCAGGAGGAGGAGATTGCGATGAAGGAGTTTGAAAAGTTTGAGGAGAAGCTGAGACAACAGAAGGGCAGCGCGCCGGCGGCTACGACAGGCAAGGGTAGCTTGGATACTGTGGAGTAAGGAGCGGTGTGAACTGAAGTTTAGAGATACCACTACGCTCGTTCGGCTTTTGGAGGACGAGATTGTACAAAACGTAATGCATTCGTAAAGCAAGTTCATGGTATGCAAACGTCCGTTGAGTTATGAGAATAAGTGTGTACAAAGTGTTGTGAGCACGTACAAGTCAGTCTGTCCTTGTCAGCACGCGCGCAGTGCCTACATTGCCGGTTGCTCTATTGAAGTTAACAAAGTCAATACAAACATGTGATAACGCTACACCAACTCGAAGGTTGACGTACACAGATATGGTGCCATCTGCATGCCACGTAAGCAAATGAGGGGGGAGGGTGGCAGACTGAAGAAGCGCATGCAACAGTGTTCCGTATGCTATACACTCATTATGATCCTAGTGTCACTGTATTGACTACGCAATAATCCTGATTACACCCAAGTACGGGTGGATCATCACAGACGATAGGATCCGGAATGTGTTTGTGCTAATGTTCATGTATTAGGTATTAAGTTCGTAAGGTCGTATAGTACACCATTGTGTATCCTTCTCGGTCATATCCAGACCAACCCATGGTATAAAGCGTTAAGTCGTAATAGTAGTACAGTTGAAGGGTAGGTATTAGTCAACCTTCAACACCGCCCGCAATTGACAAGATATCAACCTTACTTCTCAACCAGCCATCTAGTAGTGGGTCACAGGAGTAGCGTAAGTGCCAGTGGGCGCAGTGTGGTACCCACTAGTAACCGGCTTGTTGTAAGCATGATTGTTGAGGGGACCGTGAGTAGTAGTGCCATGAGGCGCATTGACCGTCGAGCCCGTCATGTGAGTGTCATGACTAGGGCGGTAGTCACGCGCACCAGGAGCCAGAGCAGCATGGCCGGTAGTCGAGGTACCATGTACGTCAGCGACTTCCGGATCGCGCAGCTCGGTGTTGCGCTTCTTGCGCTGCCAGAACTTGGTGCCGGAGCCGCGGGTGTAGTTGTTGGTCGGGCCGGGGCCGAAACGCTTCTCCTTCTTGTGATGGCGACCGAGCAGGATTTGCACGGGGATGGAAATGAGGAAGAGGAAGCTGGGAAGAATTAGCCTGGGATTGTGTGGTGGTGGATGTGGTGAACTTACGCTCCGACGATGGCCACGGCGAAACAGGCAGTGTTCAACCTGCATGTGGTGCCGAGAGAGGCAGAGTAGGTGATCTGGTTGCCCTGGCCATTGCTGCCGAAGCCCTCCTTAGAATTGCTAGGGCCGTTGCCGAGGGGAGTATTGACGTTGCCAGTGCAGCTGGATGCACCGTCGCGGGTGAGGACTGCAACAGCGATCATGGCGCCACAGCAAAGGACGTTGAAGATCAGGCCAAGGAGAGCAAAGAAGGTCTTTCCGCCGAGGCAGCAGGTGAAGACGATAGCGAAGATCGTGTAAAGAACTGTACCACCAGAGAGACCGGTGACGGCTTGCTGCCAGCGGGAAATGTCGACATTGCGATCGGCTTGGACTGCAAGGAAGTAGGAGTAGATTCCAAGGACGATCGCAGCGCAGCAGAACTCCAGGGCATAGAGTACTGTTGCGATGGACTTCAGCGCAGCACCGCCGAAAGTCATTGTTAGGGACTAGGTGTCGACCAAGGGAGAAGGAAGAGTTAGGTAAAGGATGACAATGTTAAAGGTTGACTGGTGTGGACGATAGGAGTTGTGTTATTAAATGCTAGGTCTTGATGTTGCAAGAGCAGCCTTCTTTTATGGATGGTCCCTTCCTATGACGCAGCCTTGTATTCCAGTTTCACAAGCCTCCACATCATTCGCACGTCCTGCAGACCCTGAACCATCCTGTCACTCCTGCCTTGTTGTTCCTTCGATCAAAGCACTCATTTGTTGTCGATCACACCAAGCTTTTACCACGGCAGACGTCATGCGGTTTACCTTCACCTCGATTCCAGCATTCTAATTGGCTCATCAGTCCGACGCCACAAATGTGTTCCTGGTTTGGCCGGTACGTCAGCGTGGTGCGCCACACCCACCTTTCCTTGCCCTTGCATCGTTCGTCGCGCAAACGTCAGCTGCAAAAGCCACAGGGTCGAGCGTTGAGGCCGCGAACCGGGTGTTGGAGTTCAAGCATTTTCTCTGTGTTGTTGAATCGTGCTTAGATGGCAGCCCCAGGTGGTCTGGACCTTGTTGTTATCTGACACTTTTCGGCACTGCGTGTGATGTCTAACTTCCAAGCAGGTTTGACAGCGAACTCAGTTGGTTCGCGACGAGCCCGTGACACGCTTAGGGATGTGTTCCGCACGTGCTCGGTTGCAGACTTTGAGGAGGGCTCATCATCTGCGGTTGAGCGGGCGACCGAGGTCTGGAGAAGCGCCCTGAGGCTATGCGCAGCGTGAGTGTTCGGATCGAGTTGAATGATGATATTGATAGCCGTCTTGACGTTGAGGAAACAAGATCTTGGTCCTGGTGAGCGAGCATATCTTATTGTGTGTGAGAAGTCTTACTACTCCAGTAGTGCCAAAAGCCTGTCATTATAACTATTATTATTATTATTATTATTATTATTATTGATTGTAGCTCGATACTGCGATAAAGATGCAGGCACAACAAGGGGCGTAATGTAGTTTATAGAACGATGAAGCTGAGTTGCCAAAGGACAGACGTTTTCCTCAACATCGTTATCCTAGCACTGCAGTGAAGTAGCTTCGTTGAAAGAGTAGTCTGGAGGTACTCAGACTGTTGACACCACGGAAGTATGTATACCTTGAAACCTAGAAGAACACAGCATATTGTTGAAAGGGGTACAACCCCACATCGGCAGGCTCCAATCTAGACGCCCTCATAAACATGCAGACAACCATTTACGCAAAATCCAAATCCCCCTCCTTCAAATCCTTCTCACTAACATCAGCCAGTGGATCCTTCTTATCAAACGCATGGCTCGCCCTCTCCTTCCTGCTCATCTTCGTAATATTGTACTTCGTCCCTCCAATTGGATTCTTACCACCAGCCCCCCGCGTCCTCTTATAGCTCTTCAGCATCTTGTCCCAGCTCCCAGGATCCTTGTCCGTCTTCTTTGCGAGCTTGGCCTCAGACCCGCCTTTCGCTGTTTCGCGGATCTTCTCGGTGTTCGAGATGCCCTTGTCACTCGCGAACTTGCCCTTCTTGAAGTACGCGGCGGCGTGAGGACGCCATTTCACGGCGTCGCCTTCGGTGCCGTAGTCGTGGAGGCCGTCGGAGAATTTAAGGAGGGAGGTGTGACGAGGGGATGTCGGGGAAGTTGGTATCAGCTCTGATTTGCTTTGCGAAGTCGAGAGCTGCGAGACCGCGCAGGAGTGCGTAACCGACCAGGCCGATTACGGCTTATGTTTTCTCACCGTCTTCGTTGCCTGGACATTGCTAGCTGTTTGTTCATGTGTTGGATGCCCGGGCATTGCAGACCTATGAGTGGGCAATGATCAACTTCGTTGACCCAGAGGCTGAGAGCGCTGATGATGGCCCAAGTGTGCTTCAACGCACTGTCGCCGTTCTTGATACTCGTGTCGAACTCGACAATCTACCAACACTAGCACTAAAACCCCATCCCTAAACAAAAACTACATCAACCACTCACGAAGTTCTCAATCAACTCCGGAAACCCCCACCTCTCAAAATCATCATAAACATACATCCCAAACCGATCGGGGCAGCAATAATTGCTCCTGCGCCTATGATCCATAAACAACTCGAATGATTGATTGATTGATTGGTTTAACGTCCTATCTGAGTCTAAGACTATAGAAGGCGAGAGAAGCAGTAGCCCCTCTAGCAATGCAAAGATTTAGTTACATGAGTTTGAGTTCAATGAATGTACAAGAGATGGTGAGGGCTCAGGCCCAGATAAACAACTCGAACCCCTCCCACATGATGCACCACTTGTGCTCCGGGTGGTCTTTAGCCGGCGATTTCTCGTGATCGAAACATTCACCAGTGTTACGCGATCTGATCGATGATAAAGTTTCGTGTTCATTGTTCATCATGGTAATGCTACCTAGTAACGCCATGGATGCCGCTAAATGCAAGATGGCTAAATGCTAAACGATAATGTCGTCTTCAAAGTCAATTCCCCACGGTCTATCGCTGAAGAGCTCACTCTTGGTATCATGAAACCTTCGTAGAGTACCCATCAATGTCATCCTCTCAGTCTCAGCCGATCCAATGTCGTACACGACTTCCTTCTTTGCGCGGCCCTGGCCGAAACAAACGGAGCGCTGGTCATCACTCCAATTTGTTTCCAGGCTACTCTGCAGACCCCTCTTGCAGAATGCTAAGATGTCTGCGTACTGTGCATTCGATGGCGCCGCATCTGCATCTCCTCGGTATGAAGGCACGCCGTGTGGGACTGTACCTTGTATCATCTGCGTGATGTACGTGCTGAACTCCTCTAAATAGGTGATGAGTGCAGGTTTACCACGTCCTGTGGTCATGGTCCTGTCCACAATGTAGTCCAATAGCCGAGATATTGACGTAGCAACTTCGAACATATGTGCCAGACCCGTCAGTGTGCTTGGCTGTTGTAAAAGCAGGCTGTCACCCTTCAGCTGCTCTGTGCTACGGATCAAGGCATGCGCGACAGAAACGATGCTATGAACTGTCGAGGACAGACTATCGTGCTGATTGACTCGCAGATCGTAAACCATCTCGTCCAGCACAGCAGGCAGGCACTGTAGTATTGGTCTGGCGATAAGGTGGCCCGCGCGCGACGAAAATGCCCCTTCGATGTAGGCTGGGAAGATGGCTTGAAGCAGCACGGTCCGTAGTGCCACACGGCCGGTGACAGGCGCTTCGTCGGTGCAAAGAGCCGTCGTGAGCTGATTTACGAGGTACACTTGTTGATTATCGGCGGCGGCTTGCTGCGCCACAGTTTGTATAAACACAGATAGTTGTTTGGCAGTTCCAGAATCCTTGACCTTTGGCGCGTATCCGCACAGTCGACCGACGACGTATGTGGGATCTGTAGAAGGCAGTGGGAAAGCCACCGAGTCTGTGAAGAAGGGAAGGACAGGGCATATGTCGCCTGCGTACTGCTTCAAGAACTGAACAATCTTCTGTACGAACTCCACATATGCTCCGGTTCCTGTGGTTGCTTGCTGTAGCTGTTGGTAGTTGCTCTTGAGCCTTGCCATGAAATCTTTCAGCATCGCCGCATACATTCTCTTTACCTCAAAGGTGCGCGCCGGTTCTTGTACAGAGGTAGCGTACACGTCCTCCCGCATGTTTGAGAGTAGGCTCGATATGAGGGCAAGGCGCCTTGAACGTAGGGTATCGGCCGTGATGTCCAGACCACCATGTTCGACTCTAAAGAACGGAAGATTCCTCAACAGGGGGTGGTCTTCATCCGTCCGTACGATAGCGTCCAGAAGTCGATGCTGGAATCTGAGCATGGATTCTCGATCAGCCAGACATAGCAACAAAGCTGTTAGGAACTCGTGCCGATGCTCCTCGTAAGCAGCAAGGTCACAAGGGATTACGGCCGACATGAAGTATGGACCGAACTTTCTCGTCTGCTCGGTGTGACGCAGCTGTTGCCAGGACACCTGGCTGAACGAGTCCATGTAGTGCGACCATTGCTTTCCACCGGCCAGAACCTGATCGCCAGCAATAAGGACCCATGTGTCGACGCAGTCCATGAGGAGGTTGTCATCCGGCGGACACTCAGCGCCAAAAGCGTTGGACATCAGGTGCCATAGAGGTCCTTGTATGAAGTCGAGACGCGAAGGGCGAGGTATTGCCTCAGTCTGAACAGGTTGCAGTGTCTCAGCATCATCCAAGTCGTCCAGATCCGGAAAGTCACCGTAGTCCTGACTCTCCTCGCTCCTGGGCTGGCTCTCCTGCTGCTTGATCTGGGCTCTTTGCGTAGATGTGTATTGTCGAAGGACTGCTAGAGTGTCTCTGATTACGCTGAGAAGTCGGTGATCTTCCAGGTGTGGAAGTTCGAGCAGATGAACAATGTCAGAGTCAACCAAGAAAGTCGCAAGGCTGGTCTGATCCTTAGCGTGCTCAATGGCCTTCTTCATGCCTGCGATACTATCACGCAGCGTTGCGATGACTTGCTCCTGATTTCTCTCCATTGTCTGCCGTACCATGACCGCAGACACCTCGGTTGTCCCGTCAAGAACTCCTGATTTGAGGTAATCCTCAGCCTCGGTCTTAGCTAGTCGGTACTGCTTCAAGGTCTCGTGCATGATATCTCTGTACCAGAGAGCGAAGGGCTTCGCAGATCCGTACGGTTCATCTGCTGACAGCTGGAAAGTAGTCAAATTCGCCCACGCACGTACGCTGACTCTACACGCTTCGCGATGTGAGGTCTCGTGGCTTACGAGGCCTCGGATGCGATCCAGCTTCGGACGACAGGAGGGTGGGGCTGCACAGTAGAGCGCAGACAGTAAATAATGGTTGTTGCGAAGGGCAGCTAAGCTCTCCTCTTCGAGTGGTTGATCCTTCGGGTACGTACGGCCATGGTTGGGAATGCGTCTGAATACAAAGCTTCGTATCTTTTTTTCCGGGTACGCATTATTCATACCCTGCAAGCCTGTGACCAGGCATTTGAGTGCGATGTGGAACGAAGCCTCGTTGGGTACGAGTGTCAGACCGCTTGCTGCTGCGAAGTCTTGCAAGAAGTTCACTGAGCCTGTGGCAGTCTCGCGTCGAAGCGGCTTCAGCCCATGCTTGCCAAAGAAGTCAAAGATGACATTGAGGATCTGGTCGGGACGCTTCCAGTGCCAATCGTTGATAAGGACGTAGCACCTGGTAAGATTGACGCGGATGTAATCGTTGATTGATGAGCCGTTCTGTCCACAGGTGCCAGCATAAAACCCACAGATCCGTTTCAAGAGGTCGCATAGACAGTTCCAATTATCCTTATCGAAAGACCAGGTTCGAGTTCGATCAGGAATGCCTGACAAGTCAAACTCGGTGAAGGGTAACAGCGAGAATACAGTTGCCCAAACGTTCTCGAAGACCCGCACATGGTTTGCCGAAGAGAGAGGCGATGATAGTTCTTGGCTGACCAAATCCCAAAAGCCCAAGGTTGGTATGTTGAGCAGCTCTAAAGCATGCATACAGATGACGACGCTCTCAACAAGGGCGTCATGGCCTTGAATACCGTTCTCGCGCTCTTTGTGGAGTTTGTTCTTTTCGTGGAAGTCATACAGTTCTTCTGTTCCTTTAGTGATGCCATTGACGGTTAGTCGAGAGATGTCCTCGATGGTGACCAAGAGCTTGGCCTTGTCGCGATTGGCATTCACAAGATGTTGTGCGATCTGCTGGACCTGCGTACTGACGACAAGCAGATGACTCAGCACGCGATTAGTGCTCCGTGCCTGCTCCGGCAAACAAGGAACCTCACGTCGAACGAGTTGCGCTGTAGAGACTCGATCGAAGACCATCTGCAGAAGATGTTGCATCTTGATTGTGAAGTCATTTCGGTCGATCGGATCTAAGAAGCTAAGGTGGCGGGTAAAGTACGATGCCAGCGCCCGCAAGACTGTCGAAAGAGATACTAGAACATCGACCAGGGGTGTTTCGCCGTTTTCCTGGTCACCGCTGTCGCCTAGAGGTAACAAGATTGTCGTCATCAGCTCGTAGATTCGTGAATACGTCTCGTTGTTCCACGGTCCACATCGAATGGTCGTTGAGCCCTGCGAGACTGTGCAGTATCCTGCAGACTCGTCCAAGTCTCGAGTGTCATGCCTGCCAATTGATAAAGCTCGTCGCAGATCTTCGGAGCCTATGAAAGTGTCCGAATGAAAATATGTATCACTTTTCAGTGGTGTAACGTCGAAAGTAGTAGGATATCGCGTGCCAAAAGGTCCAAGTCCTTTCAGCACATTTCCGTATTGCTCTATGGAGACGCTCTCGGTTGACACCAAGACTGGTACAGCAGCAACAGGGTCGAACATCGGCTCGCTTGGCTGCCTGTACTCTCGCGCATCAACATCAAGTCGCTTGGCCTGGGGCTTGCGTACAAGACGCTTCCTCGGTATGGGAACATTTTTAATGGCGCTGGCCTCCATGGGACTTTCGCTTTGTGACTTCCCAATGTCCTTGGCTGTCGGTAGAGGTGGAAGCACAGCATCATCATCGGCGAGAAAGCGCGCCAACTGCGGATTTAGAAACGGCTGCTTGGGAGCTTGGTGGATGCCAGACTGCTGTTCGACACGCTGTAGACCCTTCTGAAACGCCATCTTTCGGTGACTGCTGCCAAACTTTCTCTCGTCGCCCTCCAGTTGCGCGGCCCTGAGAGAAAGCGGGCCACGCTGGACCACCTTCTCAGGTCCCTTGAAAGCTTGTGCTACCTTCTTCGGTCGAGATGATTTGCTGACGAGAGTCGAGGCCCTCTGGAGCATCTGAAGTGCAGGGGCCACAGTCTTGCGTTCCTGCGACCGCTGGTTCGATATCGTGGGTACCAGATCGGTGTCGACATCATTGTTAGCATGCTTGTCAAGACTACTCAACCGCAGAGGTTGCTGCCAATTGTCTGTTGTGTCTGCTAAAGGTGGACGGTCGCCTTGTCGTTGACTGGTGGTGGGCTTGACCTTGGGCTTCAAAAGACCTTGTCGCCACTGCCGAAGGGCAGCGGTCGCGTCTTCTGTATCTCGGGCGGTATGCAGGTGAATCTGCTTTCGACGAGGACTCTGACGAGCTTGATTGACATCTCGACGTGCGGCGCGCCTAGCAAGCTTGAGGAACTCGGGCACAATTGGAGGCAGCTCAACATCCATCACACTGAGAGCTGGTGGCGGTGTACCATGTGGTCTTCTAGGCCCGGCATGCTTTCTTCGTGCAGGAGGGCCAGACGTAGGCTTTGCAAAGCGACTGTCTTTAGTAATGCCGGCCGAGATCTTTGTCCTTTTCGGATTTCCAAAGGCGTCTGTGATCTTTGGCTGTCGCCTTCGCTTCGCCCCAGAACCTCCAAGAGTAGGCAGCTGCAATCGATCATGCTCCATGCTTGCTAGGTCGCCACCAGAGTCGGCGTAGCGATCGTCAAACATCGCAGCCAGGGCCAATGCATCTTCGACTGAGTCTTGTACATTGTTGACTTGTCGGTATGCAGAAGGCTCGTCTTCCTGATCGGACTCATCTGAAATGACCACAACGCCTGCTGGTGCTGCAGTTGGCCTAGCAGGATCGGCAGGACGACCAAGTAGTCTGGAGACTCGTTGTGCTACACCTCGCTGGGGTTCTGATGGCTCGGGGGACAGTGTAATATTCAGTCGAGCTCGTTGCCGAGCAAGTGCTTGTCGTCGTTCCTGTGCCTGTCGATCGATTCGAAGCCAGGATGCCGGAAGAACACCTCTTATCTTTTTGCTGACCCTCTGGAGCTCACCGACCACTTGCTCTGACTCGCTGCCAGCTGCATCCGAGTCTGACGACGGTTCGTCACTAAGGACGATTCTTGTCGGACGACGCAGCTCTCCGCCGGATCTTTGAGCGCCGCGAGGAACGGGATCTGAGTCCGAATCGGGCAGCAGCTGAGGATCATCGTGGAAAGTTGAAGAGTTGGATGGCGTAGGCAGACTGTCAGCATTGCTTGTCGAAAGCACGTTGCGTAGTTGTGCCTTGTGTGGAGGGCTACTCGAGCATGGCGGCGAATTTGGGGGGACGGACCAGATATCAAGAGGGAGAGGACTGCTCTCGGAAGTTTCTGCCGGTGTAGCTAGTGCTTGGGTCAGAGACACATTCAGTCTCCTCCTTTTGACTGGCTTTGGCACACGAAGCTGAGTGACAGGGGATTTGCGCCGCGATGGATCTAACCTTGGCCGTTTAGTAGAACTATGCGGTTGGGCATCCTTCCTTGTTGGTTGGGTAACAGGTGTTGAAACGAAGATCTCTGGGTCCGGGGGACTGCTGGAGTAGTCTCTGAATGGGTCGAACTCTTCTTCTTGCGTTTCGACATTGTTCTGACCTTGCCTCCGCTGCGGAGATCGTTCTCGAGGAACCGGCTTAAGGCCTCGACTCTGTACTTCTCTGCGGTATCGTTCACCTTCCAGCACGTATGGATGCAGCTGGATTGGCTTTCGTTGGCGGAAATGGCGTCGTCTTGCTTCCTCCTGTGCAAGCTGCTGTTGTAGAGCTGTCGAGGAAGGAATTACCACCTGGACGGCGGTCCGTCGGCAAGGCGTGGCGTACACCGTTGCCGGTCGAGGCTCCCCATCTGACAGATCTGAAGGATAGTCGGACAGATTTGACTCTCCATCTGAACCTTGGCCCAGGTTCAGCTCATCCTCCGAATCATCTGAAGGAGCCTCAACTCCAAACTCGCCCAGGATGGTGGAGGCCTTTACATTCTTCAGCTCACCGCTTCTCGAGAACTCGTGCACCGGTTTTGTGGTCTCTCCGAGGATTTGCGAGGGGATTGCAGCGGGAGCTTGAAGTTGTATCTCCTCCTGAGAGATGCGCTGGAGGGTCGGCGATCGAAGCGATCGCGAAGAGAAGTCTGGCTTCTGTGATCGCGGCTTCAGATCCGCTGAACTTTCAAGTGAACCTGGGCTCCCGGAACGGTCGTCTTGAAAGGTTGGTCTCGTCGAGGGCGTAAATGGCGAAGGCGTGGGTCTTTTGGGCGAGGTGTGTCTTGTAGGTGTTTGACTGATGAAATCCCCTCCAAATGCCACTAGAGGCTCGTCCGAAGCTACAGCACTACTTTCTGCATCTTTCTGGTCTTGTGCTACCGCATCTTCATTCGGATTCTGCCCATCCTGAGCCTTTAGAACGCGCTCGACGCGTCCACGTGGGCGTGTATCTTGCTTGGAGTGTTGACTCTCAATCTGAAGCTCGTCTTCTTCCTCATCCGAATCCTGGACAAATCCTTTCTGGCGCCATTCGGACATTTGGCCGCCTCTGCATGTCGTTCTGTGTTCGAGGACTGTGGGGTTAAAGTGGCAGGCACCCATGCAGCTCGACGCGTTGGCTAGCGTGTCGGTGAGCACCACGCCGAACTTTTTGCTAGCGATTGGTTTCGTCATCCATTCCACTTTCACCAGACACACCGTGCATTCACATGAGCACAAGCATAGAGCAACAATGGCAGGACGTATACTTCCGGTTGCACTGGCGACCGTTTCAGGCATTGCAATTGGCATGGCAACCTTTGGCGAAGAGCTGAAGGCGCAAAGGATGAAAAGGCTCACAGAAGAGTACAACCGGTAGGCTACTGTGTGTTGTGTATGACTCGACCTTCACTGACTCCTGTCTGCAGAGACGTAGTTGCCGCTGCTGCTGCGAACAGCGAGAACCCAGCAGCCATTGCGTCTGCTGCAACGACCGTCACGCCACCACCCGCTCCCACACTCCCGCCGGTCAAAGAGGAGACCAAGCCAGCAAGCACCTCATGGTCTGATGCGTTGGGATTCTGGGCCTGGAAGAAGAGCCCGCAGCAGGATGCCGTCCCTGCTGGTCTGGCTGCTCCAGCCGTGGCGCAAGAAGCGCCGGTCAAGAGCACGACGGAGGAGCAGATCAGGAAGCCTTGATGAATGATGCGCAGCCTCGTGCATTCACAGCTGCAGCCTCTTCTCCAGGTCTTCCCACCGACCTCGCCGCAACGCATCGAGACGCTTCAACTCCGCCAGCCACGCCCTCATGTCCTTCGTTGTGACCGCGCCAGTCCCCGCATCGACCTCCAGATACGCTTCTGCAAGGCCGAGCAGACCCTCGTAGATCCATTTGCAGTCCCTCTCGTCCTCCAAGATTTCTTTGATGTACTCCATCTCGTTCTCGTAGTACTTCTGCCGCTCGCCGTTGGTCAGGTCCTCGACAACAAAACCGTTTGGAGGACACGATGGCGAGATGGTCGACATCAGATATTGATGGTAGAACCAAATGGACTGATCGAACGGATCGGTGTTAATGGCTTCGCAGATGAGTCCCAGCTCTGATGCTAGGAATGCACGGCGTGCCTCTGCGTCTGCATTGCGCTCGCGGAGGATCCGAGGAATCAGCTGGCTGCGGTTGTGCCAGGCAGAGAAGTTGGAGAGGTTGGTCTTGATCATCTTGGTCGTGTAGTCGAACTCAGACTGCGCAAGGCTTGAGCTTGTGTCTGCAGAATCAGTTGTGGATGAGCCCAGCCGCTCAATCTTCGAGACTACGATACGTCGATAGCCCCAGGCATGGAAGTTGCGGCTATCAGCATGTAGCATCTTGTTCACCAATTGCAACTCCCCCGCCCAGAGCTCTTGTGCTGCATCTGCCCCCAGCAATGATTCTGCTTTTTGCAACAGCCAGTCCCTCTGATTCCAAATCCAATAGCATTTGGGAAACTTGCGTAGCAGCACGAACGTCAGTTGCAAATCGCCCTGCAATAATTCGTCTGGTGATTGTGTTTCTTCGGTGACCAGTGCCACTAACACCCGTCTCCTGTGGTTCCAGATTGTGTAGTACTCAGGGTTCTCATGCAAGAGTTTCGTAACCAGACCGAGGACTTCGACTGTGTATTGCTTCTCTGCTATCTATCGTGAAACACCAGGTTAGACGCGGTTCTGACTGATAGTCGAGAGTGACCAACCTTGGTATTGACCAGATCAGACAAGTCCTTGTAAGCTTCAATCTGCTGCTGCTCTTTCTGTCGCGCCTCTTCTGAGCGGACAACAGAGCCCGAGCCACGCGAGATCCCATGCTGCAAAGAATGAGCCCAGACTCCAGAAGTATTTTGCGAACATCAACTCACACTTGCCATCACGTCTTCCTGCAGGTGTTGTGGACGCGGTTGCCTCGAATTGCGACCGCGCGAAATCATGTGCCCCACCACGCCTTCCCCCACGCCACCTTTCTGGAAGGCAGTTCTCTTTCCAAAACAACCCACAACCTAGAATTCGCAAGATCCTACAAGACTCTCAATCGTTTCTCTACGACTAACCGAGCAGCCTTAACCACGCGACGACAGGTCATCCATCAGGGCACCTCAATCAGTGACACCACCCTTCTCCGCTACTATCTGTACATCTGGACGTCGCTTTATTCGATATGAACTGAAACTGGCATCCAGTTTCCCGAATACTGACCTGCAGTACTCCTCATGATGTATGCCACGGACGATGAATCGACTCCATCCGGATCCGGCTACACCACACCGCCCCTGTCGCCAACCAAAACCATCAGCACAGAAGGCTGGTCGTCACCCAGGACCCCTGGATCACCTCGCAAAAGTCGAAGCTGTTTGTTCTTTCGGCACATTGACCATGAGCTCGAGGAACCCTTCTTCACTCCCCCACCATCCCCTACGAAATCAAAGTTTGCAGCTCAACTGGGTGCGCTTTCGATACCCGAAGTCCTGTCGCCCACGTGCGATCCTACTTCACCAGATTTGACGGACGACTCGCCTGTGAAGCGAAATATATCGTTGTTCGATCGACCATCTCCTCGACGGTCACTCAACGTCGCTCGCTCGACCAATCGCTCTTTACCTGCTTCTATCGATAATTCTAACACTGCAAAGCCTCTTACCGTACCTTCGCTTGACTTTTCGAGAAGCCCTCAGGATAGACACATTCACAGAAAACAGAGAAGGAGCTACCGCAGCTCGTCTGACAGCTCCATAGACGCACTCGTCGCCAAATACGCAACTCCGCCAACGACTCCGGTTGAGATCGGTGCCGATATCGAGCGTGATACCGATCGATTTCCTAATGAGTTCGACTCGCCTATGAAGCTTGGTCGACTGTCCACTCGATGTGCGAGCTCACCTTTGCGTCCAAGTCAGTGGGCTTCGCGCGGTGGCTTACTATCGCCCCCACGCAAGTCTCAAACGAGTACACCGGATCGCTTTATCCATTGCCGTCGCCCACCCGCAGTCACACGCGAGAGCTTTGAGCTGAACAAACCAATCGAGCGTGAACAGATCTCCCAACGTGGCCACCGCGCGGGCGGTGATCCTTTTGGCCGTCGAGTGCGCAGGAGTGACCGCCTGAATGCTGAACTTCGAGGCTTGAGAGAAGCTCATACTGTCCTCGCCGGAAGGTCTGGCGGAGGTGTACGAAGTCCAAATCTGAGACTAAGAAGCAGTTCTTTGGTTACCGCTGCACGCCAGATTAGTGCGGGCGCTGTCTGGAACGTGGGTGGACCATCCGCTGTGAGCGATACAGTAGCGGCGGTCTCTACGGGCAATGGAGGCATGCTTGGAAGTGGTACTATTGCGCCTCTTTACACATCCAGTTTCCTCGATCGAGCGGATCCCGAAGCTGAACTTGAAGCGTATGAAAGACGTCTTGCACTAGCTCTCGATGTCGATCAAACAGATCGTATTCTACAACATTCGCCATCACAGTCTAGTCGCCCTGGCGCGACACACAACAACACGCCGCCACACAAACCACATATCTGGAGGGATAGTGCATGGGCCCAAGATGGTGTCAAACCACGTTCGTTTTGTGGTCTACCAAACTTTCGTGAGGCTGATTGCTAACAAATCCCTCGAGCTCCTCGACGATCACACCAGAAGACCCGAAGACCTGTGCCGATCCTACCCTTCAGATATGTCGCAACCACACCAGAGAAAGTTTAACTATGTTGACATTAGCGTACAGTCCTCGATGCACCTCAATTGCGAGACGACTACTACTGCACATTGCTTGCGTACTCTCACACCGCCAGATGTCTCGCAGTAGGCCTTGGGAACTTTGTGCATCTCTGGTCTGAGCGAGATGGTGTCAACACTCCCGAATCATTGAACTCTATTCCTACTAATGCAGCGTCAAATTCCCAACACATCACTTCTCTCGACTTCTCTTCCAACCAAGGTGGGCATGCGATCCTCGCTGTAGGGCGAGCAGACGGCCGTATCGTACTCTGGAGCCCCTTTGATTCAGAACCAAGGTTCGATGCCACACAACCGAAGCCGGTGTCATGCGTTTCGTTCAGACCTACTACCGTGCAGCGACCATCACTGCGCGACAGGGCGATCGCTGTATCTACGGAGGAGTTACTCATTAGGGATGAGGTCGGACACATCTACTTCTACAGTGTCGAGTGGCCATCGGCAACCCAGTGTGCGCTATTCGGCTGGCATGGAGCCATGACACTGCTCGCACGCATGACCATCCACACTCAGCAGATCTGCGGACTGGCGTGGTCTGCAGCCGGCGACATGTTCGCCAGTGGGGGCAACGACAACAACTGCTACCTCTTCGAGACCAAACGCGTACTCCAGTCGGAGACCAGCGCAACCATCTCAGCAACCCTCAACGTCCGCGCAGGTCCAGCCGGTGAGTCCATCTACACTGTCACCAACCGCTCAGGTCCAGTACTTCATCTTCCCCACACAGCAGCAAAACACAAATGGACTCTCAACGCCGCTGTCAAAGCAATGGCCTTCTGCCCCTGGCATCGCGGTCTTGTTGCGATTGGCGGTGGCTCGAATGATCGCTGCATTCACTTCTACCACACGCGCTCGGGCACTTGTCTCGCGACCATCGATTGTGCTGCGCAAGTCACAAGTCTCGTATGGAGCCAGACAAGACGTGAGATCGCGGCTACGTTCGGCTTTGCGCAGCCAGAGCATCCGTATCGCATTGCGGTGTTTGCGTGGCCGAGTTGCGAGCAGGTCGTTGCTGTGCCGTGGTGGGACGAGAATCGGGCGCTGTGTGCGGTCGCGTATCCGGGTGGGCCTATGAGTACGCCTGATGACGAGGAGACGGATGGAGAGAGGGCGAGGGGCGAGGATGGACTGTGGAACCGACGAGGCGTTGAGGAGGGATGTCTCGTTGTTGCGGCTAGTGATATGGCGGTTAGGTTCCATGAGATTTGGACGGGGGGACGGGGTGGACATGGGAGTGGTGGGCTGTTGGGTGGGTCGACCGGGCTGCTTGGGGGGAGTGATATTCTTGAGGAGTTGCATGGGGTGGAGAGGGAGGGTGCTGTTATTCGGTAGGTGTTCAAGAGCGACAGGGCAAGTTCGCACTGTAGATAGGCACAAAGTTATTGTTATGCTTTAACAATAGCACAGGGTGCAGCACATGCGTAAAGAGTGGTTCAGATCGTGAAGTAATGCAATTGTATCATTGAAGACAACTGCCTTGTGCAGTCAGTGGGTATGAGACGCCCGTGCCTAAAATCCCGGAGCCCGTAGTGCGCTTCCAGAAGCACGAAGCCTGCACCCTGTTCTCGTGCCGACGCCAAAGTAAACATTCACGACTTTTCATCATATATCATGACACCGTCAAGAAGAAATCTAGTGGCGCATGGAAGACGCACGCCTCTTGCGGGCCTCGGCGGTCTCGGCCTTGGCCTCGGAGATGCGCTTGGACAGGATCTGAGCGTACTCGTTCTGCAAAGTATTAGTACTCTGTATAGTACGATTGTGTATGTAGAGATGGGGGAACGTACGGCGGCATCCTTGGAAGCCTCCGCGCGGCGGCGCTTGAGTGCGATACGGTGGCGCTTGTGCTGCAGACGCTGGGGAGTGACAAGGCGCTGGATCTTGGGGGCCTTGGTGTAGGGCTTCGCGCCCTCCTTCTTGGGCTGGACTTCGCGGCGGATGACGAACTTACGGACCTAGTTACGCTCCATTAGTATACCTGTATTTTGACCTAACGTGTAGCTCAGACTCAGCCGGTCACTGCCACAATTGCTCGCTGACGCTCGCAATTGGGCAGGGGGGCACCGGCTGGCGAAGAAGCTATGAGAGAACTCACATCATCTTCCTTGCTGAGACCGAAGAAGCGGCGGATCTTGGTTGCGCGCTTGGGACCGAGGCGCTTGGGGTGCACGACGTCGGTGAGGCCAGGGACATCGGCATCGCCCTTCTTGACGATGGAGAGGGCAAGGACAGACAGGTCCATGGCGACGATGCAGCCGCGGACCGACTTGCGCTTGCGCTCACCAGAGCGGCGGGCGCGGTAGCACGAGTGACCGTCAGCGAGCAGCAGGCGGACACGGGTGGGGTGCATGACACCCTGCTTCATTGGGAAGCCCTGCTTGTCGTTTCCGCCGGTGATGCGGAAGATATAGCCCTTGAACTCGTCGCCGACGCTGTCGCCGGGGACTTCCTGACCCATACGGCGGTCCATGAAGACACGGAGCTTGCGCTCGTCTTCGATTTCGATGAGCTTCTGCGAGCCATTGTTGGGGTAGGAGATGTTGAGCTTCATCTTGACGGCGGTGGCGCGGGACGGCGATGTGCTGCAACGTTAGTAGGCTGGTCGTGCTGGAGACGACAGAACTTTTGGAGTTCAATTTCGATTCACTGGTGCAAGTGCTTAGTCATAAGCGAGCCAATCACTGGATCAGATCGCAGGCGGGTCGGTCGGTCGCTAGCGCGTCGTATCAAGGAACATCGCGTTAAGTGGGTTGAAGAAGTGACCGAGATAATGCTGTAATCGTCGAAGATGCGAAGTTGGCTTGCTTTCTCGGACGACGAATGAGCTTCAACGACCACTCAGAAGCATTATTCTGTGTATATTGACTTGTGTTTGGCAATTACTTGAGTTCCCACATGTTCATTCAATCTTTCGATATAGGTGCGTTGCTCAGACTTACTCTCCATAATTCATCTTCTCCAAATCTTTCAGCCTGCACATCGTCAGCTGTACATCTTTTGAACGCCACCCATGCAATGTTATACAACGGCCATCTACCAGCCTGACCCTCCATAAGGCGTCGCACCGTAAGGTGTCGTGCCGCCCTGCGCACCGCCTGCGCCTCCCCACTGACTCGCGCCGCCGTAACCAGGTGTTGTGTATCCGGCCTCCGGTCCACCGCTATAGCCTCCGTTCATCGTTGGGCTTTGCGCGCCCTCGAAGCCTGCACCATCTGGTCCTGCGCCTCCAGACAGCTCGCGAATGACCTCCGCCAGTTTCGTCTGTAGTGTTGAGATGCCTCTTGTGACAATCTGATCTGGGTCTAGGCCGCCTACTGTCTCGACGTCGTAGAAGAAGCGGTTTGGGACTGCGTTGTAGTTGAAGGGTTCGTCGGGGTTGGCTGGGCCGCCGTCGAGGTTGATGCGGTCTTGATCTTTGGGCCTTTACTTCGTCAGTATGCGCAAACTTGGCCAGTGTAGAAATATCGACATACCACTCAGCATCCGCATCCTCTTCATGCCAGTAGTCCAGGTGATGCAGCTTGTTCGCCGGGTCGTACTCGAAGCCTATCGCCGAAGATGGCGCCCATTTTGCGTGTTCCTTTGCAATACCCTTCTTTGCAATACAGCGCATGTGAATAGCCTGCCCTCTCCGCAGCTTCACGATGCAGCTCCCTGTGCCCTCAGGATCCACAATGACTGGTCGCCCCACCTCGTCGTTTGGCCTGTTGCTTTCAATCACCAGATCCCGCGCATACACCTTCATAATCTCGCTGCCTGTGCATTTTGCGTTCAGTGTCAAAACGACTGAACAGTTGTCGCAGTAGCCTTCGCAGTCGCAGTCGCGCGAGTATAGCAGATCGTCGACGCCTCTCGAAGATAGGGGAATGAGACCAAGACGGTGGCAAACAAACTCGTCGGCGAGCACAGAGGTGTTGTCGAGGACCTCGACGACATCGATGGCAAGTGTAGGGATCTCCGCAAGCATCACTCGCCGCAGCGAGTTGGCGGTCTCGAGGTTGAAGTTTTGCACGATGAACTGGGCGCGCTGGTTGTCGGCCTGCACATGACCATGTTAGTCCTTTGACTTCCACTGGTGTTGACAGAGCGGGCGGTGTACCTGCAGGAAGCGCACGTTTATTGCGCCGCCCTCTGTGTCGTAATCCATCGCGGGCAGGTGTTGACGCGTTGACTCGGTAAGGTGGGCTGTTCAGGAGGTGGCAGAGTGTCGACGCGACTGCGGCTGGAGGTGGAGAGCGACGTGTAAGTGGGTATGTGGGGTGCAGCTGGGATGCGGTTGACTGATGCTCGAGATTCTTTGAGGTGAGAGAGCTCAATGCGCGGAGCAGCAGGGGACCGTGCGCCGCTCTCAGCCACATCTCCTTTCACTCGCCAACAACTCGAACCTCTTGTCATCCCTTGAACGCGGACGGAGTACAATCACTCTGGACTCTTCCAACCTTTTACGTCTCGTTTTCGTCTTGTCAAACTGTCGGCATACCTACCCGAGCCTTTGACATAGCAAGAGTAAGGTACTGAAACTCATCATGCGAGTCTTGAAAACTCGTCTTTGGTCATGTCTTTGATCATTACAAGATGTCTTTCACCAAAAAATGTGGCCATGATCGTGCGGGATGTATGCATCCGGGCAACGTGGTAGAGTGTCGATCGTGAGGGCGTTCAAGGTACTGGAGACACTCACGAGACACGGCGTGACTATCGTGAGCGTCGCAGTCACGAGTTGCACAAGTTGAAGACAGCCTCACAAACAAGCTTCTCTACAACCAGTCGCTCGATTTCAGCACTTGCTTGAAATGGTGTTTTATTAATGGCTTTGGTAAAGCGACTCTGTTGTGACTTACCTGAAAAAGACATGCTCTAAACGAGTATGCGAAGAGCGCCTATGGCTATGTTCAGAATGTGCCTGATGGGTCTTCAGTTAGTAAGGAGGTTGCCATCACCGTACTGCAGCGTATCCTCGCATGCAACGATGGGCATGCACACGGCACAATTTCATGTTGTTGATCACTGAGGACTAAATCAGCCTGCCCAGTGGACAAGATGCAAACAAGAAGACGTATTCAACTGTGCCGGTGGTGTAGTGCGTGCAATACCATCCGGGGTAAGCCGGCGTAGACTAGTGACTTCAGACATTGCTCAAACGAGGGATCATACGCGGGTGCTCCGAGCAGTTGTCGACTACGTTGCGAGGCTGAGTTGTGCGTCCGTGACCAGTCTGCTCAACAAGGCAATGCTGTTGCAACTGCGTCCGTGTCTCGGCCACTTGCGCTGCCAACTTCGCCACGCGTCGGCCGACACAGCTCCTAAACGCAACAACACATACAGTGTTGGGCTGTCAGCAAAAGTGCTGCCGGGCTGTGCAAGACAGCCCAGACAAGAAGACGGACTAAGTGCTAGAATTTCGGAGTCGTCCGCGGGTGGTTCCAGAATTCGGATGCTCTGGTAAGGCCTTGGCATTGACTTGCACTGCCCCCAAGCAGAAGCAACTCGACTGCATGACGGATGCGGAAGCTGGAACGTCTCCACGCCGCTGCACGCTTGATATAAGACTCTAATCGTGTCTGCCTCGCTCTTCCACTCCCCACAGCGACTCACCACACAGAACCTCTGCTCTCCACACACACATAATCGCAGCCGCAAACATGCAGGTTACCTTACCATCACCATCGCGCTCGCGCGCATCATCAGGAAGCAAATCGCCACTTTCCCTCGACCTCTCAGATCTGCCGCCCCTCGTCGAGCCGTCGCCGCCTTCAAACACCCTGATCATCACAGTACGTCCATCTCCAAACTTCACACCAAACACAACTAACACCCATCCCAGAACCTCCTCGCGCCCAAGATCTTCCAACCCGCCACGCTCACAGAAATCCGGCAAACTATCGACGCACATGCAAAAGTGCACACCTGGGCGCCACTAAAATCCTTCAAACGCATCGTGGTCTCCTTCTTCAACACATCCGACGCCATCACGATCCGGCAGACGCTGGACGGCGAGACATTAATGGGGTACCGCATCCGTGTCTACTTCGGGATCAACACGCCCATGAACCCGTCTGATCAGCACTTGCCGCTTCCGAAGAGCGATAAGCTGTTTTTTATCAGTCCGCCGCCGAGTCCGCCCATGGGGTGGGAGATGCGCGATGAGGATGCGCCGAACAAGGTTGTGCATCCGGAGGATCTAGCCGAGGCGCTGGCAAAGCTGCATGCGAGGCCGAATGATGTGAATTCGCCAGTGTCAGACTCGGGCATCTCTCCCATTACGAGGCGGCGGACGGGCAGCACGGTGGTCGTGTATCATCCAGAGGATCACGGTGACTCGCCGCAGTTGCCTGCTATTTCGGTCGAGGACACAACGGAAACTCCGGAGCTGCTTACACCGGACGCGATGGAAGGCGTCGAGGGCCCGATCGCGACGGAGAAGGCCATGGGGCGGAACGTTGGTACTGCAAGGCCGCCGGTGGAGTTTATGCACTGAGCGATGGCTCGAAGTTTCTTTATTGTTTGACTAGGCGTTAAAGGTAGCATTTGGGCAGGATGAAGCGTGCATGCAACGGCGTTGGTGGTACAGGCTTCAAGAGCCTTTTGCTTGTTAGGACGGGCTCTTGAACGGCGTCGTTTTGGATGCAAGATCCTTAGTAATTCACTACAACATAGCATTCGTTGTTTCTACAACACTATTCAATACCCCTACGATCGTCGAGTTCTTTTTTCCTCTCATCCCTGTGACGTCTCGAACTTATATCGATTTGAGGTATTTATTTGCATATGTCCGTCTACGCGACCCAACAACTATACACCCTGATCTCGCCAAAACGCCAGCATATGCGACATGCGCACGTGCGCACTGGTATACAACGATATACTCGAAAACAAAACCTCGCTGCTTTTGTCGTCTTCCTCTCTTCCACATTCGACATGGCTGCGCCTATTCCAGCCCCTTAAACTGTCTGTGGTACTTCTTATGTTGTTCCAAAAACAAAAACGTCAACACCGTATGCGGCCCCACCCTGATAAAACTCGGCACCCAGCCCTTGAACATCCATCTCAGGCCCTCCTGCCTCGTGGTATCGGTGATGAGCTTGACCAAGCCTTCCTTGACGTGCGAACTCATCACCCGCGTCTTGATCACGTCGACGGGACTGCATATCGTCGTTGCCACGAACCCGGCGAGGAACGACGCTGTGAAATGCGTTGTCAGGTTGTCTTGCAGGGGCGTGTAGTTTAGCAGCACGCCCTTGAAGCCGTCGTAGGTCGCGAGCTGGCCGACCGTCATGAGCACTGCGCGCGCGCTGTTGGGCCATACGCCTTTCCACAGACTGGCTACGCCTTCTTCGCGTGTCATTCTCACAACGCCATTTAAAGCGTGTTTGTAGTTACGGCGTTTTTCTGGGGGCAGCGCGGAGTCGTGCTGCATCCGCACATTCAGGATGTCGCCCGGGTTGCCGGCGAAGCCGCCCAGGAAGCCGGATATGGAGGCCATGCCTACGAGAGTCAGGAAGGAGGGTTTTGTGTCGGAGGTGGTGAAGCGGTCTTTGAGGGATTCGTAGACGCCGAAGCGGGTCATGGAGTAGGTGATTTGGCGGAGTTGGGCGGCGGAGAGCTAGAAGCAATGTCAGAGTGGACTGGAGCCATTGTGGGTTGGGATGCGTACACCGCGATAAAGACCGCCTATGCCGTCGGTCTTTGCAATGTGGGCGAACATTTGCGACATGTTCAGCTTGACTCCACTGACTGATTGTGTTTGTAACCGGACCTGGAATTGTGAGTTAGACGTCATACGTGAAGTTGCTGATGATAGATACCTTGACTGCGCAATTGTTAGTCTTCGTCCATTGAGTGAGACAGCTGCAGCTTACCAAGGTCCAGCGGATGTGTAAACAGCGTCGCACAACAACTCGCGCTCCCTCCAAACCAGAACGGATAATGCACAGGTTTGTTCACCACATCCTCGCTCTTCTTCACCTCCGGGCTACTTCTTTGCGTTTTGAGGGCTAACATTGTGCAAAGAACCTGCGCAAATACTGCATATAGCTTACTACGGGCTCTGCGACCTTAACCAATAGATATATCCTACGAAGATTTGAGAACGAATGCAGAGCTCGGTGGTTGTTGTGCAGCCGAGCGATTCACGTCATCCGGAAAAACGTGCAGCTAATAACGCGCAAGGATATAGCCGAACAGGCGGTCCTGCAGGCATGCATCCGCGCTTGGCGAGAGACTCGCGTGCTGCTTGCTGCTGTTTTCCGGGCGCACGACAGTGCAACTTCAACAGCAGTTGCTCATCGAGAAAATGCATATAGCCGGGCTATCGAGGGTGCTGTGTCGCCAGGTGAATCCAAATGCGGCCCTGCGGATACGGACGTCACCATTGAGTCCTCGGCCATGGCTGCAGTCGATAAGATGCAATTCTTCTGGTGAGTGAGCTGTCATGTGATACTCTTTCGGCACCAAACATCCGACGTGTTCACGTCCATGTTGTTACCCTTTCTCGGTCATTTTCTGTCTCCGGTCTTCTTCTGTGCCTTTGCAATTCACGCTACACATCTCCATTTCAAGTCCTTTGTTCATATGTTGCTGTCAAGACAATGCTTCATGACAAACTTCTAAAAGCGGCCAGCATCACCAAGAGAAGTCGTTGTCGAGGGAAGGACCTACAAGACTGACGAATGGATGAACACACCGTCCTCAATACTTGACGCCATACCCCGAAGGCTGCACCTCCAGCCAGACCACCCACTCACCATCACCCGCAAACTCATCGAGTCCCGCTTCCCTGGCTACAAAGCGCACAACGACCTCTTCCCCATCGTTTCCACAGTTCAGAACTTCGACTCTCTAGGCTTCCCTACCGACCATGTTGGCCGAAACCGAACGGACACCTATTATCTGAACAAAGAGACAGTATTACGCACCCACACCTCCGCCCACCAAGCCGACACCTTCCGCGCAAACGAATCAGAAGGCTACCTTATCAGCGCGGACGTCTACCGTCGCGATGCAATCGACCGTTCCCACTACCCCGCGTTCCATCAAATGGAAGGAGCACGCACATGGGACCGCGCTCAAGCCGCAAAGGAAGGAAAATCCCTCGCAGAGATCATCTGGGCCGACGTCGAGAAGATCCCAAAACACAATGTCGTAGTCGAAGACCCGAACCCAACTATCCACGCTGAGCGCAACCCTCTCCAAGCAACCCACTCAGCAGAAGAGGTTGAGGCTATCGCCGCACATCTGAAGCGCAGTCTAGAAGACATGGTAATCACCATCTTCAACGCCGCGAAATCCGCCACAGGCACTCCAGACACATCCTCCGAACCCCTGAAAATCCGCTGGGTAGAAGCATACTTCCCCTTCACCTCTCCGTCCTGGGAACTCGAGGTCTGGTGGCAGGGCGAATGGCTCGAAGTCCTGGGGTCGGGCATTGTGTCCCAGCCGATCCTCAACAACGCATCCGTCCCTGACCGAGTGGGTTGGGCGTTCGGCCTTGGACTGGAGCGCATCGCCATGCTGCTTTATTCTATCCCCGACATTCGGCTTTTCTGGTCCAATGACTCGAGGTTCCTGAGCCAGTTCAGTGAGGCGGGGCCAATCAAGACGTTCGTCCCGTTCAGCAAGTACCCCGCGTGTTTCAAGGACGTGAGTTTCTGGCTGCAGGCTAAGAAGAGCGCGGCGGGTGGTGCGGGCGCGGGGGCGTCGAGCAGTAATCAACCACCGGCAACAACATCCTCAGATTCTGCAACTAGCACCATCGTGCCGCCGGCGGCGCCGGCACCCACCACCCCCTTCTTCCACGAAAACGACGTGATGGAGATTGCGCGAGAAGTCTGCGGCGATCTTGTCGAAGACGTCCGTCTCGTAGATGAGTTCGAGCACCCTAAGACTGGACGCAAGAGCATGTGCTACCGCATCAACTACCGCAGCTTGGAGCGCACACTCACCAACGAAGAGACGAACGAGCTGCATGAAAGACTCAGGGAACTGCTGGTCGAGAGGCTGGGCGTCGAGCTGCGATAGTCTCGCTCGATCTCGTACGTGTTTGCTATATCAGGAAACTGATGTAGCGCAAGATCACGTGTGAAACACACTGCGGTTGATGTTCTAGGCTGAGGTAGTGGCTTGACTGAAGGTGGTCACGCGAGCAAGTGATTCTGGATCTGGAGCTGAAGTGTAAAGGGCCTGGGTGTACTAAGAGTTGGTGACATCTCGGTCGTAAAGCATCTAAGACCGCCTCACGTTTCCCACACTCCATCCGGTAGCCCAGACATGTACACATATGTAAAAAAGTTGTAACAATGTTTTGATAAGCCTGGGTGTACTATATGTAAAGCGGGATCTACGAGCCGCAGCACTCGATTACCACGTGCAGTCTTAACTCATGTCCCCAATTGTGTATACATCATCCCAGCTGGGAGGGTGTGTCCCAAGTATGACCGCCACGCACTCTGTGTTCCCTGCAGTCGCCATTGGTGAACAGATCACCTTGCCGTGCGGTAGCTGCCGCCATTGCCGAAACGCGTCAGAGATGTTACTTGAAGCTGGTCGCCATAAAGTTCGCAAATTGCGCATGAGTGAATGCCTCACAAGCCATTCACTGCGCTATAACACACTAGCCGTTTTCGAACCGGAGAGAGTATCCGAGAAGTGCTGACTGAATCGGCGCATGGATCCGTGGCTGAAGAGCTGCATTGTGCATCAGGAATCTGCCCTTCTTTGGTACTCGTATCGTATGAGGTCTGATCTGCTATACTATAGATCTCGACGATGAAGTATACAAGGGCTGGACGGTTACTTGTGGCGCATGTATGGTAGATCGTGAGCGGTGCTTTGTGATACTTCTGGAGAAGTTCGGTAGATCATGAATGTGGCTTCTCCTCGACGAGACTAGCAGATGAGAGGGTTAGCGTGTTGCAGACTTAGTCGAAAGGGTTGTGTCAGCCGAAGGTAAAGTGGAAGTGAGGTATCCATGCCTGATTATTTGCGATGCTGCCTAAGCGTACCAGACAACCTTAGAAAAGCCTAACATGGCTTCTTGTCAATAAGGGCGGTCGAAGGTGAGGTATGTTATGTCACGAAACCAGTGAATGAGGGTGTAACAGCCAGAAGTGAGGCAACCGTAGCGCACGCCCAGTCAGCAGCTCTAGAAGCTACAATGTTTTGCTGAGCTAGTCTGAATCCGTTAAGTTACAGTATGAGATTTGAACTCTCTCCTAAATAGGCAAAAAAAAAAGCCGGTGAACTTGGGTCGTCTTCTCCGAGTGATGGCTAAGAAGTCGTCGAGACTGCTATCGAGACTGTTACGTGCTCAGCCGCAAAGGAAGTGAGAACGGACGGCCTCCTTCTCTCCAAGCTATGCAATTGATTCGTTCGACACTGCCTCGCATAAAGGCGATTCATTGCGACAGTGCTGGCTGAACTCTATGCTGTCAATCTCTGAAGATCAGTGACGAAAGTTTATCAAGGTGGAGAGATCGGGTTTAGATCCGGTGAAGTCATCATGTCGTTGATGTAAGCACTGTGTCTGAAAGCCGTTTCGATGTAATCAGCTTTCCGGTGAACTGTGTGAAGAACTGGTGGTATTGCATCTTTCTCGAGACCTGGTCCCTACCTTATCGATATTGCTTGCGGATCTCGGGACATTGTAGTCGGTGCAGACGGAGGACCTTCTGGGAGACTGAATGGCTCAATGGTCGCAAAGAAGGTGTCCCGTTGAGCGAACTAGTCCTAGCATGGAACATGCTATGTTGGGGCAGCATGCAGTACTGTATGGCAGGTGATAGATGAGTAATGATGAGCTCCTCACTCGTCTCCCGTAATGAATTTTCGTGTGCTGAACACAGACTACGTCAGTCCTCGGCGAAATTCCGAGATAGTGCGAAAGACGTGATAGACGTGACGCAGGTAATGGCGGGAGAGACGGGTAGACTGTTGAAAACTGTCTGACCAGTGACAGTTGCAATGCTACCCCTCTTCCAGACGCTGCTGTCAACGTGGACTACTCTACCTGCACAGTGACATACTGTAGTATCTGGCGTAAGTAGTGTAGGTAGGTCCAGCACAACAGGGATGTCTGCGGATGACACAGACATCCCCTAGTGACAGAATGAGATTGATCTTCACCTAGTTTGTATATAATGTAACGCTTACCTATCCACTACTCTATTTACACGTCATCGTCACAATTTCTCCTCGAACCAGGTAACACATAAGAGGCGCAGCGATCGCCCATCAACGCTCGTAAATGCCCAAGTTTACGAGCTTGAGGTATACATTCAATACTTACGATCCACGCGTCAGATGAGCTACTTTCAGCTTGTACATGGCCCTTTTGAGGCATGGGGAGTGTTACAGGATGTGATGCGTTAGGCATTACAAAGCAGAGGTTATACACGTCAAGCTGCCCTTGCTAAGCCACCTCTTACTGATGATACCATGAAGATTCGCCTTGAGTGGGCTGATCAGCCTGTCAACTAGGAGTCTTGGCAGTGGTGGATGATCTTGTGGAGTGACAAGACCTTAATAACCGGAGGGAGGCATTACAGCAGATGAGTAACAAGGAAGCTTGGAGAGGAGCTTGATCTTACTTATGTGATAGATAAGATGCCAGGAAGGCGTGGGTGGATGTTCTGGGGTTGTTTTCCTGGTGAAACGAAAGGGCATCGCCTCTTCTGGGATGAGGAGTGGAATACTATTAACTTGGAGAGGTACTGTGAGAGGATAGTACCACTTGTTCATGGCTGGTTAACCCTTAATCCTCACCTTCAATTTATGCAGGATGGGGCGCTGGGCCACGCAGCAGGATACACCCTTAATGAGCTCCAAGAGCGAAGCACAACACCTATTTACTGGCTCCCGTTCTCACCAAATCTCAATCCAATTGAGGTAATTTGGCAGGATGAAGGATCATATAGAGGCTTACTATTCTGACGTGCTTGCTACCTATGATCAACTCAGGGGTATTGTATAGGAGGACTGGGACTCAATTACCCCTGAGGACCTTAGAGAGATCATAGGTACTATGAAGGATTGCTGCCAGGCAGCTATTGATGTTAAAGGCGGTCACACAAAGTACTGGGATATGTATGTAAAGTATGACCAAGCTGAGCTCAATTCAGCTCAAAAGTACTGCCAAACACCCTTGCTTTGCAGACCCACCTACACTACTTACGCCGGATACCACAGCACACAGTACCGAGCGGTCCGCCATTGAGCTTATCACAGGCTCCTAGAGACCACCTCTGCACGACTCTTTTTACAGGGTTGCTATAAGAGCTGGTGCAGAAGTGAGATTTCGGGATTTGGCTGCTGATGATTATGTGGGGAGAGGAGGATCGGCAAGTTTCGGTAACCCACATATTAGTAGGTGAATCGTACGATATAGTTGTCGAAGTATAGTCCTGATGACCAGGTTCGAAGCAAGCACACAGTGCGGATGCAGCCTGAGAAGGTAGGCCGGTACGCTCATATGCGCAGATGAATGCAGATTATCGGCTGCAGTCTTGCGTATTGTTTCTGTCGATGCAGTGACGATGTTAGAGATTTCACTATGCCTTGCAAATCGATGCATAGGTGCCTGAGTGAAGATGGAGCGCGCCGCACCCGTGTCAGCACCTTATCGCTTGCAAGAATCCGATCATTTGAAGAGCTGATCTGCCCGCTGAGCTTGGGTTTAGTATGTATCTCTCCTACATGTTATGTCAAGCAAATGCAGGTAGACGTGGCCGAAGGGCAACCCTGGTCTATAATACAGAAGATGTAAGTGATGACGGCCCGACTGAATGCAGCTGAGCAATGTCACAACTCGAATATGTCGCACTTTGATTGAGTGGAAATCAAAGCTGATAAGGCGAACGTGTTCTGTGAGAGCGCAACCTCCAAAGTTCGTCCACAAAATCTTGAAGGCGGACATGGCTACCTTTCCGGTCAGTCAACAATTGTCGAAGGATCAAGACAGTTTACACCGACAAATCTAGTGTGTGCTTGCGACGATTCGCACATAGGCCTCCCCGCAGACCTAAAGAGACTATCGAACCAAGCCAAATTACCTGCTTTCGGAGCGCGTTGCCGCATACGAATATCTGTGCTGCAAGAAGAAGTAAGCGCGCAACAGCTCTCAAGAAAGGATCAGGAAAGAAGGTAGCCGTATGTGGGCCGTATCGAATGATTCGGGGTTGGGAGGCGGCTCGTGCTGCTGCTCCCTGGCTCGTCACCGCGTCGCTTGGCGTGACTTTGGATCATGACTTGCAGGTGGAAAGCATTGCCGACGTGTTATACATCGAACTTCTTCAGCAAGATGTTTGACTGTGTAGCTCATTGCCTTCATAATGGAAGGTCGACTTGACAAGCATCGAACTTCTGACCAATCCGAAGCGTTCTAAGGAGTGTTCCGGACGATCCAGATGTTTGCTTCGAACGTTCCTCGACAAGCCACATAGACAGGGATGGCATCATGAAACGGCTCGGGCAGCTACAAACCAGGCCTACTCCTTCTGCAAGCACGTTTCGAAGGATTTTCAGTTCCAGTCAATGGCTTGTAAAAGGGGCAGGACAAAGTGCTTCCTCGGTTGATACTCGTCACCTTTGAGCCACTGCAGATGTAGATTAGTGTGCATTTTGTGTGATGAACGAGCAGACTGCTGCAAGAAACAGAAATGGCATGGGATGGGTACTAGAGAAAGCTTGGCGAGTCTTATCCCACGCGACTGTCTTGAGCGACCTGGGTCTTGCCTGTCAAGCTCCTATATTGGTATCGTGAAAAAGTTTCGTTGAAAGCAGGGAAGCTGGAAGTGCAACAGAGGCCCCGATGTCAGGCAGCACAAGAGGAGCTCTACTTACGAGAGCCTGCCCTTCTTCATAGATGGATCCACGCCGTCTGGAGCAACCTCAAACGTGGCAGCCCCGAGGCAGGCCGCCACATGGGCTTAAGCGAAACGGAATATGCCGTCTGCGCTGGGAAAGGTCTCTTCTTCGGTTACTTTTCAAACAGCCCTTGCTATGGTTGCGAAAGACGATGTGATAGAGGCGATGCAGGTCCTCTGTGCCTGATCTGCAACCTGGTATAGCGGTAAACATGGGTGCGTGGCTGCTTTGTAACAGGCGCAGGGGAATGGCTAGGGAACCTCAGACCCTGGCCAGCTCTGTTTTAACCCCGCTGATGGTAATGAATTGCGCGGAATGGCCTCCTGCCTGCAGTGAGATAGCGATCGCAGAGTCCGGACGACTCCCAAGAAAGACTAAGGTCACTCCGAAGGTCGCGCTACAAAGTTCTGAGGTTCAGCTGTGCCGCACTTCAACCTTGTTTCTTGGGGCCTTCCTCGCGTGGCATATGCGGATAAGAGCCGGAGTCAGCCTGAGCTGCTCGCTTCGGCCTTCCTGATTCCTGCTCACGCAATGACCCCTGAGAACATCGTGCACAAATCTGCAATATCGCCAACGCTCAGTCAACTATCATCTCAACGACTTCAGGAGAATACAACGGGCTTGCGGGAACCGCCTTGTGGACATCCTTTCTCCGGCTCGCCTATTTTGAAAGGTGAAACCAACCTCACGATGAGCTGTGCTCCTTCCGCCTACCCACCCACGTGCTGCTGGGTTGAAGCATGCGATTAACCGGTTTAGCTGGCTTCCTCCGTCACTGATGAGCAACCCGCCGTTCAGAACGCCGGTGCTGTTAGGAATTGTGATTGAACTCTGCTGCGTCATGTGCTCGCCCATCAGCGACATGACGCGCTAGAGCGGGACTCAACGGCGCTGGTGCTCGCTACCCAGTCCTGCAGACCAACACCATGCATCTCATCAAAAGCGCGCCATCCGTATGGGAACATTCCAAAAGTGGGCTTGCTAGGAAGGTGCCGTGATGCGCAATGTGCAGATCTAGTCCTTATTTCTGATGTTATAGCCCTCGACGTTCCCCAGAAGTCGCCAGACACGGGAGGTTAGGCTCACGTTTCACACCAAAGCTCGCCATGGCCAAATCAGGATGCGCCTCCGACAGCCTAGACGCACCGCTGTTAAGGTACTTCGCCGTAGCAGGGGGTTCCTCGTCGTTGCATGTATCAATGGCAGTTTGGAGGTGCCACACTTAAGGCGCCGCATTGCCTTTTGCCAGATACCATGCAGGGAACGCCCTTACGTTTGACAAACCCGCTTTCCGAGTCTCATCTACCTTGTACTTCAGACAGTAAGCCAAGGGAACTTCAAACAACGATCATGACACACATCGCCAGCTGCATACGGCCTGATGCTGTTAAGACATCCGTTTATATAACTCAAGAAACATCCTACAGTATGAACGTACGTGCCCAAAAGCATATAACTTCTCCCGATGAATTACCATCTACCTCGTCGGTCCTGTTCGCTAAGAGACCTTCAGGCTACCAGAGACTCGAATGTGCTAAGTGCGCCTCTGCTCAAAAGCCCTTCCACCACCAACCTGCCTCAGGCTGCCTCCAGATATCAACTCTGGCCATCGTCGAAAAGTCCTGTAGGATCGTCGTCTGATAAGCTGGCTGCTTTATCTGTTGGCCGCTCTGGTACATCACTCAGTGATACTGCTGTTCTTCCAGAGACTGTACCGTTCTGGCAACGTGCAGGCTCAATGTCAAGGAGGAGAAAAGTCAGTGTCCCTGAACTATCGGGCACCATGACAACGGTGCAAGAGATGCCTGTTGACTCTCGTAAGCACCGTTCGAACCACTTTCAGTTGCCACCACTAACAGGCCCAAAGCTACAATTCCAGGGAGGCCGCCCCTCCGCAGGCCATCACATGAGAACTTCGGTCATGAGAGGTCCTACAGTGCCCCAGGCACGAACTGGAGAACAGGCCCATTTGGTGATGCAATGGTCTCATGTGTCACTGGACCCTCGCCTGTTCTGGCGCAGCAGGCGACTCCCACTGCCTCACAAGAATCACCCAGCATTACTGGCCAGCCACTTTCCCCAATTCTGAGCCCTGGTGCAAAGTCGGCTTTGAAGACAAAGACAGTAAATCCCGCGTCACCGCCGGAGGTACCTCCTAAATCGCCTACCATTGAACGCAAGGGTTCACCAGCTCCTCTTAAGCTCAGCTCGAAATCGAGCAAGACCCCACTCGCAACACCAGCGTCCGCTACATCGGGTGGAAGTACCCCTCTTAGCGCAGCTGATGTCAGACGCTCACCAAAGACTGGAGCTCTCCTGCCAACTCCGTCTTCCGCAGTATCACATTCTTTCCGGGCAGCGTCGCCACGCAATTCACCAAGGGTTGAGAAGCAAGACCCTATTGCCACACAAGGTTCCTCGCACGGCCGGAATATGTCAGAATCCTCGATCACGGACCGTGGTCGTCCGACTCATCGTGCTGCCAAGAGATCCCACAGCCGAACTTGCTCAGAATCTGTTGGCCCTGCTAACCAGGTAACTGACAACTGGACACTTCCTCGAGGCATGCGAGTGCTTGAGGCGTCGAGGCGCATGAGTGACGCAGATCAACAGACACTCCACAAGCAAGCTTACGAGCAAGCTGGAAACTTCGAAGTGCTAAACAAGGGAGACGTGGCTTCAATGTCCAGGGTCAGTTTCGCCCCAATGGCATTCCATGTACATGTGTTAACATCACCACAGGAACTTCGAGCACTTGATGAACGCTGTGACTATCTTCGCAAGACCTACAAGTCTCTGCGGGCAGGACGCCAGAAGCTTCACAGTCGCATGATCTCGAATCTGAAACGCGGCGAGACTGTCATTTTCTCTCGCGAATCTCTTCTCAAGCAGGAAGAGGCTCTTGCAGAGCTAGACAACTCCATCGACGAGTTCATCGCCAAGTTGGAGCAGTCTGAGAATCGACGCTTGCGCCTCCGGCAAAAGCTACTTGAGCACGTTGCTGCAGCTCTGGTACTTAGCCCCACAATGCGTGGCGATGCCGCAGAGACTACCCCACCCCGGAGCCCTGTAAAAGCAGAGAACAGCCCTTCCCGTGCCGAACGAAAAGAAACGGAGTCGATCAAGATTTACGCTGACGGCCACGTCCTCAACCTATTCTCCGACATCCAGAAAGCAATCGGCCAGATGTGCGAGCAAACCTGCTAAGTCTGACACGACTCATTGAACGACACTCTTCCATTTCATCTTCACACTACGACAGCAAAGTCACCCGGCCTTATCTGGCGCTTCACTAATACTGGATCATAACCTCCGAAACCATTCTACGACATCATCACGGCCTGTATCATTCTTTCAGCTTCATTTCTTGTCCACTATTCATGGGTCCGGCTTGACCTTTGCCCTTACTCGATACAGCGCGGCCTTTGTTCATGACATTCCACTTCTCTTTGGATTTCATCCGATACCCGGGTCGCACTTCGTTTCAGTACTTCACATTCTTCTTTGTTGCAAGGCTGCTGGTGATAACATCTTGGGGCGTTTCAGGTATGGCAGGTTAAATCCAGAAACGGCAGGAGTACCGCGACATGATGTAGCATAGATCGGATACCGCTCCACAGGGGCCTTAGATTCAGAGACTATTTCCACATACCAAAGCATTCTCCACGTTTCAAACAAATGAGAAGGTGACCGACTTGCCAGCCACAATTGACCCGGGCACTATCTCACTGGTTCCACGTTCCCACTGGCTGGTCTCGTCGGAGGCAAGATCCTTCAAGCTGATACTTGTCGTTACCCACGATTGGGGACTCGGCATTACCAGCAACGACTTGGCTGTTGAAGGCAATGCCGGAACAGGATGGCGAGGCTAGTCGGCAACCTGTACCCGCTCCTTTCGAGATAATAACTGGTCCAAGAACAAGGAAGTACTAGTTGAGGTCATCGTGAGACTAGAGGTATATAATTACACCTATAGTCTGTTTCAACGGCATCGGGACGTTTAAAAAAAGTGGCCGATGTGTAAAGACGCGCGGGGCAAGCCAAGGTCGCTGTGAACTAGCTCAAACACAATTCGCATCTCACCCTGACTGTTCGGTGGGATCAATAGCACGACAAGACCTCCGATCCTGACGTCACAGAGCGCAACTACGGGCTGTCCGGATGTCAGCTTGCGTGTGGGTACACACGGTGCGCATCGAGAGCAGAGGCGTGGAGAACGAAGCAGCAGATTGTTCTGGGCGTTCAATATCACTTTTCCAGACCCATAGGCCGATGTCGTGTTTCAGAACTTTTCATAGGGGAAATCTGCCTCGGGACGCCTGTCGGGTAAAATCGTACTCGAGGAAATGCAAAGCCGGAGAAGTCCAGCTTTGCGGTAGTCGCCACTGCTATTCTCGTTGGCGAAAGTTTGATCCAGAACGAGCCCAGGTCGAGTGAACGTGGTGGAGCTGTTCGCCATCCCTTCCGCAACCACAATTCAGGGGTCCGAGACTTGGCGGGGTCGGAGCGCACAGGCCACCTCGAAAAGTTTCGACAGAAACGACACGCAATAATTGAAAAGAACATCACACTCACCACAAATCATCACCATGGCGACAAACAGCATTAAGTTGCTCACTGGCAACAGCTACCCTCAGCTTGCTCAACTAGTCGCTGACAGGTATGTTCTGCCTTCTCCGAACGATTCAAAGCGCTCCTTGGCACGCTGGTTTTGCATCGACTCAGCTGCATTCGTGCTCAACAGCATGTTCAAAACGCTATTCTGGTGCCACGGATGTCAGCTGCCGCTCTCACTTGCACTCACGAAAGGTCATGAGCTAGCCTGATTGTGCTCATTTCCGAGCATTTTGATCCCTCAGGACAATACTAACAACTAAATATAGGCTCGGTATTGAGCTCACCAAAATCCTAGTCCTCCAGTACTCGAATCAGGAAACATCCGTCACTATTGGCGAATCTGTCAGAGATGAGGATGGTATGCTTTGTCACGCAGATCATGAGGATCTACTGTAGCTCATCGTACGACAGTATTCATCCTGCAATCTACCCCACCTGGCGACATCAATGATGCTCTCATGGAGCTCTTGATCATGATCAACGCATGCAAGACTGCGTCCGCACGCCGGATCACTGCCGTTCTTCCGAACTTCCCCTACGCCCGCCAGGACAAGAAGGACAAGTCTCGTGCGCCCATCACAGCCAAACTGATGGCCAATATGCTTCAAACTGCCGGTTGCAACCATGTGATTACTATGGATCTTCACGCCAGTCAAATTCAGGGTTTCTTCAATGTTCCCGTGGACAACCTCTACGCAGAGCCTAGCACGTTGAGATGGATCCGCGAGAACTTGGATGTAAAGAACTGTGTCATTGTCAGTCCTGATGCCGGAGGTGCAAAGAGGTAAGGATCTCCTGCTCACGAGGCAATCTCGTGTGAAACATGCTCTTTTTCAACCCTGAATGAGAGCGCAACTCATCCACTGCATCAGACGACAGTGAACGGGGTGAAGCTGCGGCCCCGGATGTTGTCTGTGCCATTTGTGGTCTTGTAAGACTAACAATAGTACAGAGCGACATCCATCGCTGATGGTCTCAACTTGCCCTTTGCGCTTATCCACAAAGAGCGCACTCGCCCGAACGAGGTCTCCAGAATGACTCTTGTTGGAGAGGTAGCTGGCAAGACCGCCATTCTCGTCGATGACATGGCTGATACCTGCGGTACGCTTGTCAAAGCCGCAAGTGTTTTAATCGACCAGGGCGGGGCGAAGGACGCTATCGCAATTGTCACTCACGGTATCTTGAGTGGAACTGCCATTGAGGCCCTGAACGGCAGCAGACTCAAGAAGATCGTTGTAACTAACACAGTGCCCCACGAGGAGAAGAAGGAGATCTGCGACCGCATTGAGACGATCGACATTAGTCCGACTGTAAGTGAACATGTGATGATTGATAAGGAATCATTGTCTAACAATTGTATAGCTTGCCGAGGCCTGCAGACGTACCCACAATGGCGAGAGCGTGTCCTTCCTCTTCAAGCATGCGCCCGTTGATTAAATCTGGTATACCCCTCAGGAGCATATGCTTTCATTCGTCACTGGCGTTCAGGAGTATGGGTCAAAACTACATTGCGACTTTGCCGACTTTCAGGCTATTTTGATGAGTCCAACGAGCTATTGCATACTCAAAGATCGTGATCTTCCGCCACATGGTGAAGCCACTGCTATCAAAGAGTTGAGACGCTGTCGCGCTACAGCCGCCTTAGTGACTACGAATTTCCAAATCTTATCTCTCGCTACGCTGTGGCAGAATACTAACGCGCTGTCAAAGGGTCTGACGTTCGCAGCAAGGCGACACATGTTTTGCAAGTGTGTGCATTGCGCTAACATGACTAGTCACGACATGGACCGCACCGGCCAAACTTTATATCGTCGTCAAACCGGCCATCTCCAATTCAAGCGCGTTCGATATTGTCCTACAGTTGCAGCGTTTCCAACATTCTGACCGCCCACGAAGTTCACCGCGTGAGACTTGCAAGTGGACTCAGCACATCTTTCACATTGTATCCGGACCGCAAGCGACCTAAACTTCGTTCATCTTTCGTTCCTGCTCTGGTACACTAAAACAGCATCTGGCTTTACCGCATCTGTATGCGTCACTGAGATCTGTGAACGAAACAAAGATCATCTGCACGAGTAATTCCCATCGTGGAGGTGCCAGGCGTTCAAGATCCGTGCACTCAGCATCAACATAGGACCATTCGCAAGTCGGCAGATTTATCCTTCCGAGGCCCCTGCTCGAAGCTCGAGTAATCTCCTTGTACCGGAGCTCCACATCTCCAGATTCCCAATGCCCGTAGGTCTCACGGACGATGATGGGAAGTATCGTTGCTAGCCTCCGGCTGCATCCTACACCGCGTGGTTTCGTATCCGCTTCAAATCCGTGTCCGTCATCTCCAGCCGCTCTTGAGGATATTGCGGAGATTGCACGATAACCTCGCGAGCTCAGAGTCAGGTTCTAAGGGTCCGCGGACAGTGTTTGCTATTCAGAGCTATTCAACCAAGCTTTCAACGGAATGGCCAAGCTCGCGCGACCACTGTGTTGACGACTGACTCGGCATCAGATATGCACTACCGCAGCCGGCGTTTCGACGCGTGTGCCAGATGTAGATGTACCTTCCCCATCTTTGAGCCAACTGCCCTTTATGATCGTCATTGCATGATTCTTGCGCGACGATTTCATCATCAGCAGTCCGTCTCATGGGCTGCAGCGTATCTGAGGTTCTTGCTACCTGCTGACAACGCTATTGATGCTAAGTCCATCGTCTCTTGAGATGAGGCTCAACAACATGGCGTCCGCTGGGTTTGTCGCTGGCAGTGTTGGTATTGCAGAAGCGGACTCCAAGTGACACTAGAGGAAACCATGCCGCAATAAATCCAGCTGCGCAACATCGTACGCCAGAAAGGAGATGCTTCGAAAAGTCAACATTTACGCGATTTCAAACCATCTTCAGCGCCCAAAAGCCTTTAGTCCGCATCCTCCACGTTTTCGTGGATCGAAGGTGCAACGTCCGGCTCAACGTCGGCTTCTGAAGTTTCCGCCCCGCTCCGCTCCGCCTCCTCCCCTGCCTCGCCGATACCTTCCTCTCTCGTGCTCCGCCGCAGGGACTCAACGTCAGCAACCTAAACACACTCCAGGTCGTCAAAATCGCTCCGAAATCACCGAGCAAACTGTATCTTACCGCCCATCCGCATGCGAGACACTGTGCTCCGCATGTGTCAAACGTTACTTTTCCTCAGACCACGATACGAGGAAGAGGTATATACGTTGAGCAGAACCGATAGAACGGCGTCTACGGCGTAGAAACAACTCAACAGACCTTGCGTTGAGCCTCGTGGTCCATGATGTGAAATAAGTTTGTTGGTTTGAGGGAAGGCCCGGTGGTACAACACCAAGAACTCCAATACGACCTCCGACTCCGACCTCGCAACGAGGGCCCAAGAACAACGTTTCAGCGAGATGAGCCGTGCCTATGCACCAAGGCGATCGAACATATTGAGGCTGGAGGTTATTGTAGGTTGTGGGTGATACACGTTCGGTCCCAGTTCACTGTTGACGTTGAAAGCTTCTAGAGTGGATCACTGTGTAGAGAGGTAGGGAAGGAAGGGTCAGAAGAGAAGCCTTCCAAATCATGGGATGTTGCTTCTGCGCATGCTGTCCGAGCCTCGTAACAATCAGAGAAGGTCATAGCGAAGGCGTGTGGGTGGTGATGTTTGTGAGCAGCCTAATGCATCACTTGGTTGAGCATAGAACCTCATACCACTGGCATTAAGGGCTGGAGATATCAGGCTGTACTGCATGTTGCAACTGAATGAGACTATGTCTGGTGCAGAGCCATGCGTCTGGGAGCCATGCGTCCGGGAACAATGTATCCATATCACCATACATACAACAGATGCGATGTGTACCGCGTGTACGACAGACACTACGCATACGACACACCACACATACGATACATACAACATGTACAAATGTACAATGTGTACTAAAGTGCACATTGAAGCAACCCTAAGCTCCGTACGAACGCTCCACTCATACAAAAATGCAACATGAACAATACATACGAATCTGTGACAAACACGAATGCGTGATATGGGCGTACAACATCGATACGTATAGGGTATCCAGATACACACCCCCTAGCCACAACTTCCAATTCCTCCAACTCGTCGTCTTCCACATCCCCCGTCACCCGGTTCAATCGATACTCAACACCTACCACCTTTACATGCTCAGACAAAAACGCCCCCATACCTAATACGTAGTATCCCTATGCTACAACCCCTCCACAAACCCATACATCACCATCCACTTTTCCATTCTCATCCCACGACTACAAGTCAGTAGCCACACTTCCTCGCCGCCCTTCCTTCGCGGAAGGAGACTCGGGACCCTCTCCGCTGTCACGCTTTCACGACTTATAGCGTGCATGGCGGAGGTTTGGTGGTAGTTGGGCGAACGTTGCATGGCCATGGGTCTGTCAAACGAGTTTGCGCGTGTCGAGTGCGTGCGCGAATGGGAGAATAGAAAAGCAGAGCAAACAAAGATGGTTGTGTGATATGAGAGGGAGGAGATATCGGTGGAAAGAGATCGAGGATGAGGAGCGCTTGGAAGAGTTTAGGACGGGGGAGTAGTGAGCGAGAGCGAGGATTGGTTTCGCAAAAGTTGATCGGGGCAGAGGAGAGAGCGGGGAGCAATGTGCACACACCACACGAACGATTGATCTGGCAGCAACGACGCCAGGCTGGGCAGCCAAGTGTACTGTATACGACGGCCTGGAGTTGGGCAATAATAGCGTGGTTTGTGCGGGTGGCTGGAGGCAGTTACGACTCCAACTCTGGATGTAATGCTAGTGAATAGCCTGGAGGTAGTCAATGGCATAAAGCAGGCGTGAAGGCAGTCGCAACTCTCGTCCTGAGCGTAGTGTTTGCATAGTCTGTATTATCCAACGTCGACATATGTGATTGTAATACGGGCGTACTCAGCAATCTTGCGCTGCTTTTCCCACCCTGTAGGCCCTCAGCCAGGGCAGCCAGGTCTCGAGCCGAATGATTCGCCCACTCTGAGTGCGACGGACGCCGACCGAGCGCATGGCAGTCTCGCGCTACCCCTTCCTCCACACCGCCCCCCCATGTCTGGTGACGGACGTGTAGAAGGGGTCGTATACTCCCAGTAGGCCCATCTCATGGGTCGATATCTCGGGGCGTTTTACCAGACAAAAAGTGTAGATGCCGACACTATCGAGGAATGGGGATGATTGCAATCTGCGTTCACATTAGCAAACTTGTTGTCTAACATACGAGCCTGGAGGCACTCAAGACCCTGATGGTACTCACCTGGTTTCCGAGCGCAATAGATATCCTCGAACTGTCGTGATCCCAGCCCAGGTTAAACTCGCCATCTACACTCGGATTCCACTTGCTAGCAGGACATTGTTTCGCGCGCCAGCAGGCTATTGGTACTTCGCGCTTCTCCACGTCCCAAATCGTGACGGCGTCTGGTCCAGCAGCTGCGAGGAGGGTGCCGTCGGGTGAGAAGGCGGTCTTGAAGGCTTGGCTGTCGTCAGTTGTTGATAGTCGTCGAACGCAGGCAAAGGGCTCGTTGGCGTCCCATATGCGTGCGTGACCGGACAAGGAGCAGGTTGCAAGGAGCGTGGAGGGTAGTGATGTGCCGTTTGCGAGTGTGTTGTTAGCGGATTGGACGCGGAAGTCAAGATCGTTAGGGTATCGGTCGGGATACTCGTGGACTTGGAGGTTGATCGAGTCGTTCGGGTGGAGAATGCCGAGATAGTATTGCTGTTCCCGCATGCCGAGGGCTGCGATGATGCCCGATGACGTGTCGTATTTGATTGTCTCCCACGTGATTGGTGTGTCCAGTGTTCGTTGTGTTGTCAGTGATTCGCCGTCGACCTCGTATATCTTGAACAGCTCAGTGCCGCAGACCACGAACGCCGCGTCGCTGATCCAGTAGGCGTCGTAGATCTGGGTGGCGGTGAAGTCGGCCCATGCGGGTATCGAGTCGCTGTCGTGCTTCCAGATCTTGATAGATCCCTTTTCACCGTCTGTCGATATCGACAACAGCAACTCCATCCCAGGGTTCCACCGCAGGGTTGTGACTAGTCCAGCGGTGGACGATATGGCGTGCGAGGTATCGCCAACAACCTTGATCAGCTTGTCCATGGTCATCTTCTCGCCTACTTCGTTGACACACTGCTCTCGTGCAGATACTGTGATCTCGCCCTCGGACTGCCAACACAGTGCGGTGATATCGAAGTTGTTGACAGGTATGGGCAGGTCCATTGTGATGACTCGGGCCTCGTCTCCTTGGGTTGTTGCTTTAGCCACGTTGTGGAGTTGAAGGATGGATTTGCCGGCGGCCAGCAGAAGTGGCGCTTCTTCTGGCCCCCACGAGCTGTGCTCGACCACTTTCTGGAAGTCTTTCGGTGCGGGTATAAAGGTGGTGTGTGCGGTGAGGTCTGCGATGTCGTCTGTCTGTATCAATGCGTCTGCGCCGATGCGCAATGTAGATATGGGTATGTCGGTGACTGATGGTGACTCGGCTTCCGAGGGCGCTGGCTCGGACTCTGCTCGGACGCTGTTCACGCTGTTTGTGGGCTGGGTGGTCCCGTGCTGATCGAGTTCCATGGGGTCTCCATTGACCTCTGGCTCTGAGCGTTCGAGGCGCGGTTCGGCAGGCACGCCGTTGGTCTTTGGCTGCTTCTTCCGCTTGACGCCCTTCTTCGGCGGCGGCTCTTGCACGACTCCATTCGCTGCTTCGGCGGCGAGTTCGTGCGCGGGTATGCCCTTGTCGAGGGTGAGGAGGTCGCCGTTGCGCGCAGAGTAGGGCCGCCCGTGGTCGGTACCGAAGTTGTATTGTGCGACGGTCTGCCACAGTCAGCGCCACCATGTATCGAGAATGCCTCGAGGCTCCCACATACGTTTGAGGCTTCAGCGCGCAGCTTGTCGAACTCCAAGCCGTCCTGCAGGATCCTGATAAGGGTGTGTGGAGAGATGTTCTTGGCGAAGGGAAGGGAATCGGGGTCGCGCAGCCAGCACCGCGACAGCTGCAGCGCTGCGTTGCCGAAGCCTGCCTCTTGCAGGTAGCGCCATACTGTCATGGATCGTTAGCAGGACACCCTTCCGGCAGAACACAGTGCGCAAGTCAGAAGTGACGTTAAACCAATCAATCAAACAACAGATCAGTCAACAGCGCGCAAGCTGGGAGGCAGCGAGGGCTGCAGGACGAGTGAGGTGCATGCAGTACCTAGGTAGTTAACGACATTGCTGCTGAGGGCCATGGCGCATTCTGGGCTGCAACAGGCGCCGGGAGGGAGTCAACAGCCGATTGAAGTGCGATGCGTGTCGCGGGAAGAATGGTGGACGTGGTCGGGGCAATGCGCGCAGACGGTGCTGGTCGTCATGTGCTGTGTGGAGGTTGCATGAAATGAGGCATCGCGGCATCGCGGCATCGAGGCATCGAGGCATCGAGGCTGCCGGCCTGCGATTCGTCCCGCTAAGCTAGAGCCATCAAAGTCCCCGGGGCCGCCGCCGCCGCCGCCGCCATCGCCTTACGGATGGATCGCCGCCAGTCGCCAGCCGAGCCACCGAACCCTTGTCAGATGGCGCGCAGCTCCACTGCGAACTGACCTCCGGGGCTTGTCTGAACGTGCAAGAGGGACACCATCCCATCCTCCACGCCCAGCCATGGCCCGCATAAACCTGCCGCCCATAACCCGGGCCCTGCTGGCAGCCACCGTCTTCTTCACGCTGCTCAACTTCGTCTTGCGGCCGCAGTCCAATTGGGTCGAGAAGGTCGAGAAGCCCTTGATCGGTGTCGGCAACGGCGTGCCCTACCTCACCATCGTGCCCGGCCACTCGGTCATATATCCCTGGGTCTTCGCGCTGGCCACCGTCGTCGAGCAGAACCTCGCCGGCCTCATCATCAATGGCGCCACCCTCTTCTATGGCGGACGCTACTTGGAGCGCGCGTGGGGAGAGAAGCAGTTCGCCAAATTCATCCTGTTCGTGGCTATGGTGCCCAACATCTTGAGCTTCCTGCTCTATCTCGCCGGCTATGTCATCACCTCAAAGGCGGTCCTACTGTATGTACATGCAGTCTCATGCCCGCTACCGTGCTCACTCATTGCAGCCGCACCACCATCTCTGGCGGCATCGCCATCCAGGCTGGCTTCCTCGTCGCCTTCAAGCAGCTCGTCCCCGAACACACCGTCGCCATCGCAAAAGGCTTCATTCGCATGCGCGTCAAGCACTTCCCCGCCATCTTCCTGCTCGCCAACACCATCTCCGGCATCGTCCTCGGCACCGAGACGGCCATGTTCCTCGCCTACTTTGGCTTCATGACGGCCTGGGTCTACCTGCGGTTCTATCGTGTCAGTCCATCGCTCTCTTCTGCCGCAACCGGTGACGGCTCGGTCATCACGGGCGACGCTTCTGACACTTTCGCCTTCGCCTACTTCTTCCCCGAGCCCATCCAGACGCCCCTGGGCCAGCTCGCAGACGGCATCTACAACGTCCTGATCTCGCTGGGCGTCTGCACACCCTTCTCCACCCAAGACATCGATGCAGGAAACGACCAGGCAAGCGCACGCGCCGAGGGAGGCTTGCCGAGCATTATGAACCCCAACAGCACGGGTGGAAGAGGAGGAGCGACACGCGCAGAGGCCGAGAGACGGCGGGCGTTGGCGTTGAAGGCGCTGGACCAGCGGCTGCATGCGGCCGCCGCCCGTGCTGCGGCACCTGCTGCGCCGTCAGCTCCGGAAGCCTCGAACGTGTTGGGCGAGACGAACTACGAGCCGGACCGACCAGACGCCCTAACGCAGTCTGCATCATGATCACAGAGCGGTGAAGACGGTGACGAAGAGAAAACACTGCATCTTGGAGTGAGCGATTGTTTGTTTGCGTCATTGGAAGCGCGGACGATACCCTCGCGTCAGTATGTATGCATGCTTGTACCCACTACTGTGTTCTATATACCACGACACCCAGCAACGGACACCACTATCTGCCTGTGACTCTCCACACAACCGTTGCCACGCATGCAAGACCGTTCTGTGTACAACAAACGACAGGCAATGGCTCTAACGGCTGCACAGGTATTCGCGATCGTGTTTCCGAATCGCGATGCTCTGCATTACTGCGTGCATGTATTCCTACCAAGCCACCACAGCGCCTCGTACGCCGCCACACAGCTCTCACATCTCAGCCACTGCGACATCATTTTCGCACGACTATCATCAAGACAGCATATGTTTCCGCGACCGCACCTGATTGGCCTGTACTTCGCCTGCTTGCAGAAAGGTCGCGTGCTGCAGGTGGTAGCGAAGTTTGTGTAACCTGCCACAACGCCTGCCTGGGGAGACCGCAGTACCACTTTGAAACATCACTTTGCGATAGCCAGCCCAGCAGCGGCAACTATCATCGAATATGGGGCCAACACATGACCACCTTGCTTCACCACTTGGCTTGCAAAACACGACCAAGAGAAGTATAAAGAGATGGATGGGAAGTCATTCCTTCCAGCCAGCGCGCACCAGCCTCCACCAGAACTCCCATACAAAGCATCAACACCGCAACCGCAACTCCCTCAATCTTCCAACTTCCTTCATCCTCCCTAACAAACCTCAGCCACAATGTACAAACGCACCCTCCTCTCTCTCCTGTTCACCACCGCCCTCGCCCTTCCCCGCCCCCAATGTAGCTCCCCAGTCCCCGGCATATGCATACCCCCTGTACCCTACAACTCACCCTGGTACGATGACTGGGCCGAAGACCAGGTCCGGAAATGGAAAGAGGCCCAGGACAAGAAGAACAAAGATGGACTGGAGCGGGATCTCGGCGCTGTAGGGATGGTCGTGAAAGCTGAGGAGGAGGAGGAGGAGGAGGAGGAGGAGCCGATGGCTGGTGTAAGTCATCTCACTCCTTCTTCCTTCTTAAAGACTGAGGAAGGGGAGCAAGGGAAGCAAGGGGAATGAGGGCATGTGAGGTGCTGACATACTAGGTGATAGGTGTATTATTGTGAGGATATTGCCTGGGGCGGCGCATGCCAACACGTCGTCTCCCCGCTTGGCAGCGACCCCGAGAAGTGCACCATGATCGACAGCCGCGCAAGTAGTATTGGACCGGATCCAGGGTACTACTGTATATTTTACACGTACGTCTCTCTCTACACTCACCAATTTACACCCAGTCTACGCCCCCCCTCCCCAACTTGTTCTCTCCTCTATTCATGACCCTGCTTATGCTGACGATGTGTCAGGAACGCATTCTGCGCCCCTATCGCCTCGGACGGCTCAGACACACTCACGCTTACCTACCCGGGCAATGATAACTTGGGATTTACGGAGAAGGGCGATTTCAATGATCGGCTGCTGAGTTATAATTGCTTTGAGGACGAGTACTTCACGCTCGACCCGGAGATTGGCACGCCACCGAATGTGGAGGAAAAGATGGAGTAGATGAAAGGAGAGGACGGGAAATGTTGGGAGTACATGGGAGAATGTGGGAGACGGCTGGGGGGCTGGAGGTGCGAGAGCAGTGATGGTTGGGAAGGGGGGTCCAGGTGTTAACTGTTGTGTATTTGCTCAGCTTGTGTCGGTGTCGGATATGGTTTATTTGGTGGATAGCTGTTTCTTGGTAACGACTCGTAGTTTTTTCCTTTTGACACTGGGTCTTTGCGAGCGGTGTAAACCGCGCTCTATAGGCAGAGTTGGCAACAAACAAATCAAGTAAAATCACGTCCTCTTCACGAAGCACCATCTGGTCTGTGCCAGCGTGCACGCCCCAATAGTAGGGCCATTCGCGAGACTTGATTTGACTTGATTTGAATTGATTTGTTTGTTGCCAACTCTGTCTATAGGACTGTGCTTGGGTCTGATCCTCGATAGCATCTGAAAGAGCATTTGGAATCAGCTTGTCGGGGTAGGTCAGCAGTGCTGCCATAGTGTGCTTGTGGGGTTGTTTGCGATCTGTTTGTCGCGTATCGTCGTGTATGAGGGGTGGGCGCCTTTGCAGAAAGTCAAGTCGTGCGCCTGACATGATTTTACTAATAGGGTTGAATAATCACAGATAACTGCCGGTGAGGTTTCTGTCTTAATCGCATATCAACAGGCTCGAGTCGACGTTACGAGCTTGAGTAAGCGGTGCTGTTTGGTACTAGTTCGTTGTGGTGGTGATCATGACGATATTGTCAATGGAATATATATAGGCTAGTGCATGTGTTCTATCACATACGACCACAGGACGTTGAAAACAAGTTCTCCCGTGCGACCCGCCGTCTGTCGAGGTACCGCTTTGAGAATGCAGTCACCTGTATTTCCGTTTTCGGTATTCACGAACCTGACTTCCTCACCAACACGACTAACCATTTTAGGCCAATTTGCTGAAAACATGAGACTGAATCTTGTCTGCATATTCGTGGATGCCAATATTCGTTGTGTCTATTCTTGTAGCCTTGGTTCTGCATCCTTTCAGATCTCACCTTCAAACTCCTTTCCCTCCTCCACTCCATGGTTTGTATAGACTACAACCGTTTCACAACATCTTGCATCTTTCACATTGCGTGCCTGAATAGCCAAGATGGGGAAAAGCGCTCGATCATTTAACCTTGAACTTCTTAAGGAACGCGCCCGTCAGGAGAGGGCTCCACAGCCCTTAACCCTCGACGACGTCAAGAACGCTCTGAATAAGGCAGCCTTCGAATCGTACAAGTACACAATAAGGCTTTGGAAAGAGTGATTAAGCTCGTGTGCCCGACCGATCATCACTGATAGTGTGTGTAGGTTCTCAATAGACGTCCTCGAAAAGCCGATGGCCGAGGATCGCTTTGATCAAGCACCTACAACACTCCAGGTACAACTTTACCTCGAATGGTTTGCGCAGACAAGGACAGGTATTTTGGAGGAGAATATAACGGATGTTACCGTTCGCAACCGCCTCTCATGCCTCAAGCGTACTGTCAAACTGCACACGCAATATCAGTACACACAGCTCCAAAACGCAGAGATCGACAAGTTCATCGAAAAGCGTTTGGTTTATGGGAAGCATGTCTCAACATGTGCTCGAAAAAAGCCGCTTGCACCACTCGGCGTGGCTGAAGACATCATTCGCTTTCTCTTCGCCTGTGACGAGTATATGGGGTTGCACCATCGTCTACGCAACCAGATGGCTTTTGCTATCCAACTCATGTTGCTTATTGGTGTCCGGCCGGGCGAGATCATTGAATCTGATGCGTGGCGTCAATCCAATGAAGGCCTGCATTATAGAGATGTTGAGCTCATCTACCAGCGTACCGAAACATACCACGGATGGCTCCTCTATGTCAAATTGAGGAACCGGAAAGGACATCGTGAGTACAAGAAGCACGCGTATGCAGCTCCGTAGAGGCCTTGTTTGCACAAAACTAACGCAAAAAAGACCAACCATGGTTCTATACGAAGAGCCGCTCATGAGATACATGTGTCCGGTCACGTGGTTTTTATCTCTTGCCTTCGCAGATGGCGTTTTTAGAGATCTATCTTCATACAAAGACCTCAGCAAAGTAGAGCCCCCGCCAGGGAGCTCCCTTTACAGAGCCAAGTACACAGATGTGGCTTCAGAGCGCCCTATCATGCGGAATGTGCGCGCGGATGGAACGATATCCGAAGACAAAATCTGGACCTACGACTGCTTCAACTTAGCATTGAGGGGTACTGGACAAAGAGCTGGCTACAAAGAGAATCTCAGCGCGTACTGCTTCAGACGCGCCTTTGCGCATGCCGTACAGAGCAAGTATTTCAATTGCATATCTAAATGGGACACTACTAATGCGAGATCAGGAAGAGCAACAGCGCCGCAGCTCAGAACGCTGTTAGGGCATAAAGGCAAAGAGACTGCGCAATACTATGTCTCTGGATTTGTTGGGATTGACAGCCAGTCAATCGTTCACGAACGAGAGCAACGCCTCGAACTCTACAAGGAGTCTAGCTCTATGATGGCCAATAGGAATCTACTAGCACCCAAGCCACAGGGGTCCACACTTATTCAGCAATCTTCTGCTAGGACAGGTCAGCTTCTCAAGGCTCTCGAGGCCCTTGGTGAGCAGGATGTTGAGATCATTGCTACGACACAACTATCACCAAAACAGGCTTCCAAGCTTAGAAGGCAATCGCGGAACAGAGCATACCAGAAAGATCGAAGGGATTTCTATGAGGGCACGGCTATACCAACCACGCAAAGGGAATCGACATCTCCGTCGACAGACATATCTCGCGGGCCTTCCCGCTACCTCATGGCACTACTCAAGTTCGAGCCTGCACGCAAAAGTGTGATAGAGATGATGTTTAGCGATCATGACAGTGTGGATCTGGAGCTGTCTCTTGATGTTGTTCTTGCGCCACTCATCCAGCTGGCAAGCCCGGGGAAGAAGCGCTATGCCTACAAAACTGCAGAGCCTACACCAGACAATCACTGTCCTGACTGTGCAAAGGACCTGAACACGTTAGCAACCCTCTTGTACATCTCGTCAAGCATTATTAACTTCTGCTAGTCTTTCGAAAGTAGACCGAGTCCATAGCCACTTGCTCCAGTGTGCACGACGTCGACGAGTAAAGAAGCAACAGAAACATATGATGGACCAATTTGTGTCTATCAGGACATGCCGTTGGAACGATTGCTACTATCAATTTACACAGGCTAAAAGAACGTGCGGGTCGTACTTGAAGCACATCACAGATCATCTGGAGGCGAACAAAGCACACCAGTGTCTTTGGAAAGATTGCAATCAGATACTCGAGAGCCAGGAGGAGCTCGCTACTCACATCTCAGAAGAGCATGGTATTCCTAATAGTTGGACTACACATACGAGTATGCATTACTGTTACGAGCACGATGTTTGGTGTCATTCCAACCAGATGTGGGATGCCCATCTGCATTTTCAACACCTTCAACGTCTAAACGACTTTTGCGGACTTCTCAAAGAACGCGGAGTAGTCATGGTCGCGGCGCACTGTTTGTTCTGCTTGGGAGACACCAAACCGCTGTCAGTTCGGTTTGCCCAATATCACGACGTGTTCGACCTCCACAAGCACATGACGGGTCATTTGGCAAAGTTGGGGACCCTGAAAGCCTGTCCTCATCCCATCTGCAAAGACACGCTGGACTCAGAATCAGACTTCTGGGACCATGCCACTTCTGTTCATGGCATCCCTTCATTTGGTCCTCGCAGGATTACAGGGAAACGCAAAAGGCCTGAAGATGGCGACAACAATAAGGTGCGGAAAGGACTGAAGGTAGCATGACGCATTGGCATGGCGAGTGCGCGGGATGGGCGCTTAGAGAAGTCGATCATCGAGCAACTGGATCACCAGAGAATCAGATAACAGAAACAGGATAATGTACACCATGTCAAACAGTATACGTGATTTGGGAAGCGAACAGAGCTGGCTTTAGACAATCCAAATAAGACACTTCAAAACCAACCTTGGTTCACAGAAGTCATAGGATTGAGCGTGGCGCAGCGAGTGCGTGGGATGGGCGCTTAGAAGAGTTGATCCTTGAGCAACCGGACCGGGTAATTAGAAAACGGAAAACAGAATACTTATAATATGTCAAACAGTATACATGGTCCGGGAAATGGAAAGAGTTAGTGTTGAACAGACTTACTAAATATAATAGTTGAAAAGTGACTTGATTGACTGCAGTCTCCCGCCACAATCGCTATCGCTATCTAGCAATGTTGCAATCTCCCGCTTGCATCTACGTTACAAAACGCAAGTTGCAAGAATCTTCAATTACACGGTCACATCACGCAAAACAAAATGGGCGCCGAAAAGCAAAGGTAGCGAGGAGGCGGCATATCCAGGCGCATCAAGCACTCGCGCATGCGCTCTCGTACCCGCTTGCTCCGCAGCTAACCGAACCTCCACCCATTCTGGCACCACGTCCATCACGCGAACTTCTGCAATCCCGCCTTCTCAAAATGCTTCAATATTTGGATGGACCATCTCTTGGACAAAATGCGGAGCCTTCCAATCTAAATGATACAACAGCAAATTCAGTATGTGGCCAAACTCATTGAATCAGATTGTTTGTATCAGACCATGGAATAGACTGGAGAGAGCGTCGTTGGTACGTAGACTAAGATTCAATCCATAGCTGTATGCTATTGCAACAAATTCGGCACTATGCCCATGGTAGACTACTCTCTAACGCTTCATGGAAGCGTCTATTCCTTGGCACTTTGCATCCCAAAAAGCCGAACGGCCTGATCTGCATGATTGGTGCTGAGCTACTAACCAACAAGGTCTGGCGCTTGCTTGTGCAGATGTGATGTCCAAGTTGCAATCCGCATTCCAAGCCAATTACACACCGGCGCTTGCGGGGAAACCGGCAGACGCATAACAGTGCTCACACTGGCCGCAGTGTGGCTGCTTCTGTGTCGATACAGCGGATGGAGATCGCGGTTTGTAGGCAACTTGGATGCCATCCTTTGAGGCCTTTGACGCCCCTCGGCGTAGGTCCGTGCTGACAGTAGAAGGATTAATATTTTGTGCCTCCTGGGTCCGGATTATGATAAATAGTCTTGCAACTGTACAAGCCTCGTTGCAACTCTTCTATCTTTGCAAGCAAAACAATTGCCACATTCCACTTAGTGGTCTTGCTCATCGCAATGAGTCTCCTTACTACGCCTACTCTTGTCTGTTTATACAACAAAATACTGGAACCGAGACTGCTTCTTGGTGATAGAGATATCGAATGCATATAACAAGGCGCTTAGGTCCAAAGGAGTGAGGAGTTCGGCTCCAAAGTCCGGAGTAGCGCACAACATACGTATAGACTGGTATACAAAGGTGTCCCTGATCATGTTGGGAATGTAAATTCGTCCGTAAGTTCTTTTCCAAGTCTGTATCCACGCTTTAAAGTCCTATGCTCGCAGCAATTCTGACAAGATGTGATATGATTGGGTACACTTGGGCGAGCTTGGCGCAGCAGTCGGAAGGCCTACCGGTACCAATAGTGTGCCGATTGCCGCCCATGTTGAAAACCGTAAACGTAGAACAAACGCCTGCTCAAGAAACTTTTACTAGAACCAGGTTCGTGTTAGACTGAACAATGAAGACGGTTCACAGCATGGTTCGAAGCTGCGCATAACGTTGCAACACCTGTGGGTCACTAAAGGCACAGCCTGCATCATTCCTATAAATAGCTTTCATCATACCTTTGTTAAGGCTGTCGCAATGTGTTGTATCATTTTAAGCTGTTTCTTTATCAGACATCCAGCGAAATCCAAGAAGCGGCCGTCGCCTGCAGGGGACCCACCTCCTTACAAGTCAGTCTGCACAATTCTACCCCACCTTACAAGACCTAATGTCTACACAGAATCAAACCTCGCATAACTGAGTTGAGCAATCAAAAAACAACTGTTGTTTCTAATGGTAAGCGGTTTGCCTTAAGAGACGAGAAAGTGGTTTTAATCGTCCGTTTGAAGAAGCTCAAGCCGGTATCCGCGATACCAAAGCCAGTCACGAGAACTCCTAACCAGGGAGTATTGAGTGGATCACTGCTGGCGGGAGTTGTGGTGGTAATCATCATATTAGTACTGTCACCAGTTGCTTTCATGTTTTGTCAAAGTTGCCGACGTCGACAGCGACAGGAAAGGTCAAAAACCGATGGTCCTAGGGCTGAGGCATGCGAAACGTCTGGAACAGCAGTTTAAGCTTCCTGTAAATTTACTGTAGCCTGAAAACGAGCGAACTAGTAAGCAGTTTCGATGCCTTCAAACCAGGGATGGTTCAATGCCTGACAAGCTGTAAGCCGCTGTGAGGGATCCAGACTATTCAACCCTCGGATCAAGTCCTTGAACGTCGAGTCAACATCTGTCCACTCTGAGAACGGCACATATGGGATATAATCTGCCGCTCGCTCCTCCCAAAGCATTCTAAGAACCTCGCAGTTCGCTTCCTCGTAACCAACATGCTTCATGAGCCCATTCAACCCTTCTTTGTCCCCAAAATATGATATTTGGCGCTGCAGGCGGATGAATGCAGGTAGTGCGCCTTTCGATTCGTGTAATTTGAAGTCATCATCAGGCCCTAGTATGACACGCCCAAGAACAGCGTAGATGCACTTAGTGTGTTAGCAATGAAAAATCTTTACTCAAATTAAGCACTTACTACCAGCCCGAATGAGTATAAGTCAGATGGTTTGTTCAGCTCTCCCTTGAAATGACCTTCAGGGCTGCGCCAGTTATCATTTCCAGCTAGCATTCCTTTGATACACCTAGGCTTTGGGAGATAGGCAGCATTCTCAAGATCAGAGATTTGTACCTGTTTGATTACGACCTCTTGGTCAACATGGCGGTAATTGACCACAACGTTGTCAGGCTTGACATCTACAGAAGATCAGTTATTCATGTTGACTGTGTAAAGAGTCAAATCGTTGGGCTCACCTAAATGGACAATGTCGCGGTCGTGTATATCTGCAATTCCTTGCAAAGTAGCTTTGAGGATCTCCTTCCGAGCTCGCACTGGGATCTGATTCCGAACCAGACTCAAGAAATCATCATTCAGGTATTTATACACAAATATGCGCTGATCTGGGATAGTGTCCAGTGGTAGTCGTATGCGGGGAGTTTGAGGAAGTCTTGGTCGAATGTTCTCGTTGAAGGCTGAGAATATGTTCTGAGGTATATCTTTCAATATGAATAAATCATTCCCAGATCTACAGGAGTGTTAGTTATAGCAAAAGGCATACGATACGGGAGGGTGCTCGAACGATGCTAACCAAACGCGACCAAGGTGTGGTCTTTCCTGGATCAACTTCCTAAAGAAATAACAACGTCCAGTTGAGCCAACTAAATTGAGGGACGTTGATGATGCCATTTTGATACTCGTCCGGAACATGCTTTCTCACCGCTGGGGATGAGGGGGTAACAATAGAACTGATGATCGTTGAAAAGTACCAGGTGGCTTAGCGAGTCTTGGCATCACGTGCGAGCACAGCCGGCGAAGCCCTGGAGTTTCATCAAGCGCTTGTAGGTCGGCGGGTGGCGCAGATTATAGCATTTTAAGTGTAAGTTACAGAAGTCAATTGAATCATAAGCATCTAGATTACAAAGCAGCTGGGTTTGACTACACATCACATCAAGCTTCAACACCCGGAACACTCCTCATGACTGTTGTGGGATGAAATCCAGTCCTAGTGGCTGTTAGCTTGGAGGCAAGACAATCTGAGGAAATATCCAACCTCTCTGTTTCTGAAACACTCATACACCAAAGAATTCCCATCCCGCTTCACTGTGATGTACAACAAAGGGATGGTGGCGAACAAATCGCACTCAAAGCTCTGTGTACCTCCTTCTTCTAGAGGCAGGGACTGCCTTGACTGATCGTGGATTCGAAACGTAGCGTGGGAAGCCTATTTCAATTAGCTTGCGGTGAACTCACATTGGGCATTACACACGTCGTTGCAAGCTTCTTCCATATGCTGCACTATTTCAGGAAACCCCAGAGGTAGCTCAAAAGCATCATCTTCACCACCACGCTCCACTCCTCTATGGTGACATCGATGTATGCGAAAGCTCGGAGGTTGGAACTTGGATGGCAATTGAGTCCAGTCGTGCTCTGGCCAGATCTCTGTCCACTCTAATGGGCTTGAGTACTCCGGTGGACTACCTGGAGGCAAGCCTGCGCTATCTGGCGGTTCGATAGACACCATTGCCGGGAAGTTGACTGTCACCGTACAGTTGGTGTCTACTTCTGAAGGCGTCTGGGGTAGGAGAGTGTAGGCTGTCTCGTTTGATAAATCGTCTTCCTGGGGCTCCGAGTAGTTCATAATCAGGTCAGCATGGATAACACTGGTATCGTGGCTTATAGAGCCTTCCAGTATCATCGACTCCTGCAATCCTACGTCAACACTGTTGCGATGAAAATGTTCGGCCAACTTACTAGCGGTTCCTTGATAGTAGAATCGTAGACTTGGAAATCATCCGAACGTCTAATCTCTGCATATACGGTTGCATCGGATGAATCCGCAAAACGACGAAGCAGAAGGAACAGCAGGTCCTCTTCTTGGAGCGGGCTCATCTCGCTGATGCAGTCCTGAACTTTGTTCAAAAGCTCGTTAAGGTGACCGAACACCTGACTATACTGTATTTTGATGGACTGTGGTAGCTCACAGGTTGGTGATATGTGCTCTGGACCGTACTGTGAGGAGACATTAGAAGTTGTCCGGTTCAAATGCTATGTATATTCACTGACCGCGCTTGTAAAGTGCGGATCTCTGATGTATTCAAGGTGGTTCTGGAGATCTTCTACACTCGGCTGGCCCTTCTTCACGAAAGTGGACCGGTACTTAGCATTCTTGATTTTCCAGAGCTGACTCGAAGATGAATGCGCTGAATATGCAGGCGGGGATGGGAAAGAAGGAGCAAACGAAGAAGGGGAAGAAGGAGAGGAGGAGGTAGCCATTAGCTGAAAGGAATATTGTGAGCAAGGAAGGATGGGCTCAGGTCCTAGTGAGAGTGTGCAGTCGTGAAAGGTGCTGAAGGACGTTTTGCAAGGCACGAGTTTCAGATAGAAGTAACATAAGGATTACTCCAGCAGCAAATAAACACGTTGAGGAATAGATCAGACCCGGCATGCAGTTTGCTGGTGCGGTGCAGCTTTCTGTTATCAGTTTTAGAAGTTCGACCCACCCAACACGACGAGATGCCGGGTGGAGGCGCGGGTAACGTGGACGCGTATTGGTGGCACAGCAAGCGCTTGCGGTTAACGAGATTCTGAATACAGTACCCGCACAGAACGGATACATTTCCCAAAAAACGCAGAGGCGAAAACTCAGACGTTCAGAATACAAATTGAAAATATGCCAAGATTTGTACATGGAGCCAGCGGAGTTCAATGTCTACGCATTGCAGAAGGAGCGGTGCAGGCAGCGGAAGGCAGAGGGAGTCCCAGAGGATATCAGGACTGAGGAGCGTCATTGCCTGCTGAGGGAAGAGCGCGGTTCGCTGATCGAGGCATGGCAAGACCACATAATTGTTGACATGTTCAAATGTTGGACGTGCGTCAGCACCTGCTCGCGGAAGGTTGCCAGAAGCTACACGGATATCCGCAGAGGGGAGATATCTGCAGAGGGGGCTTTCTGTGTAAGGTTATTCAATGAAGCAAGGGCGTTTGGCGCCTCATGGCACTCGTTCCATACCTCTGTTGCTGGTGCCCATACCGTTGTGATGTTCAGCCTCAATATCATGAGTGCTGACAAAACCTACTAGTGCTGCTGTTGGGACAGTTGTTTGCGAGGGATTGAAACTTAACACCATGACGCAGCGGCACGTGCGTCCCAGTCACCTAGTTTAGTGGCACAGTGCCTGAGCCACACATTGATTGGCCAATAGCGTGTTTGTTTCCCAGCTGGTCACCGTGAAGGTGAAGGGCAGGTCACCGTGAAAGTGAAGATAACTCTGCAATTGCCCTAGACGCTAACAGAGCTTTGCAACAGCAAATATTTCTCCCTCTGCACCACAACCACTACGTCTGCAATCGCCAACCGCGCTGCTGAAGCCTGCGTGGAGCTGAAGAAACTGTAGCAGACGCGGAGCGAGATCTGCAATGTTGGTTTGGTGTGAGACTTGTCCACAGTCGCCGCTGGGAAGTATACCTGATCCAATTTGATGAGCTCCGCTGACTACACGCAGATTCTCGCACACGCCTGCCATCTTGACCGCACCCGATCTTCGACCGCTGGGAAGTACGCCTCGTCCGCCGCGAGATGTTGCTGATTGCAGGTGTTAGGTTGGGTCGTCACACACATTGAGGCGCGCGAGCGCCTGCTCCCTTGCTGGGAAGTATCCCCTCTCACCAGACTGCGATACATGTTGATACACTTAGGAATCTCTCGCCCTACCTTGCTCGCATCGACCACTGGGAAGTATACACTTGTCACACTCTCACCTACAAGTACCATTGACCACGGCTGACTACACCAGAACAACGTTTGACATCGACACACCGTCAACTTGGACACACCTGGGGGCAGCACCAGATGCCGCCTGGTTCAACAAAGCACAACAAGCAGCTGGGTGCCTTTAATGGCAAGGCTGTCGCTAGGGTGGTCGACTTCGTCTTCTACTCCGGGCAACGCCCCTATGGGCTTGGATCTTGTGCTTCGGCACACAGTACCATACTTGCAGTTCTCTCTCTCTTGCCTGTGGATGCGGCTATGTTGACTCTGGTTCGGCACGGCTCGAGTTTGAGATACTCTGTGGTGTTCTCCTTTGGCGCATGCGGCGAGTAGTGCCCCGCGTGTCGTGTCAGATTACACCCAGAACCATTGGAAGGCCTATCGCACAACCCCCACACGTATCAGTTGCTAGTGTCCTGACGAGTTCACTCAGCGACGGCGTTGCCTCTGGCGCGTCCAAGTCATATCTCACGGCTTAAACAACCAGCCCAGGCGCACTGGGTGTTGGACTTTGATCCGCCGGTTAGCCTTAGAGAGGATACGTGTGGGTTCGAGTTGAACCCCGCTCGAGCTTTCAGGTACCACGATTACCGTTGCTGGATACACCATTGCTTGCTGAGGAGACAACCTCCAGCGTTGGGTACTCTTAGTTTCGGGAGCGGAGATTGAGGCGTCGCTTGTGGGGGCACCTGCGAGAGACGTTGAGACTTGGGCCGGCTGGTGGATTTAGAGTGGAGCTCGAAGCATGTCAGCTGCTCTGTGGTTTCAAGTTGGGACTGATCATCCCTTCCATGTAACCCGGAGAAAGCGGTGGTTCTTGTGAAGCCTTGGTGAAGCCAGAACGCACATACCTTGTGAGAAACCTGTCTGCGGATGGGGGCGTACCTCAATACGCTGATATGAACGCATGCGCGATGTTGGAAAGACGCACAGTTGGCAATAAGCAAGTCGACTTGATTAACTTGTTTGACTTACTTGCAAATAAGCAAGTCAAACAAGTCAAGTCCCGTTACTAAAAATAAGCAAGTAAACATGTCAAGTAAAGACAGCGTACTTGCAATACTTGACTTGTTTGGTATCTGTGCGAGTCATTGTGCGGCATTCCTGACAACAGCCAACGTTTTGATTACCTCAAAAAATACTGTTGCCCACAACACCGATATTTTTCTGAGATATTAACACGAACTCAGCTCAGATCACTACTCTACACTTTCCGAGAGTCTCGTGCAAAAATATAACGTTGTGGTTGAGCAACATTGCTGTGAGTTAAGGCCTGCAGCTGGTGGGCAAGGTTGCCAAGCATTGTTGTCGTCCGCAACGCGACTCTCAACGTGCCTACACTACAACCACTCACAACACTACATACGTGTATTTTTCTATATTCTTGCGACAATGGTTGAAAAGGGCAGGAAGCGTGCTGCTGCAACAGCCAAAGACACTCCCCTACCAGCTAAACGTCCCCGGCAGCCTACACAGCGACTTCTTGAGAGTCAACGACTCGCAACGCCTCCATCCACACAGACTCAGCAACTATTGCCTCCGCCTATTACACCTGTATCACTGTTGAGACCATCTCAACGCGCTTCCCCGCGTCATCAAATACCTCTGCACCCGCTGTTCATGTCATCTCAGGCAACCAATGAGGTCCCGTTCGAATCACAAGTACGCGACAACAAGGCAAGCACTGCGTTGAGAGCACCAGAGGAGATCTCTATAGCTGCAACAGAGGCATCAGACAATACAACAGACATCAGTGAAGGCGCGTTAGATGAGCCTGATCGCTTTGCAGACGACTTTGAAGGCATTGAGTGGCAGCGGCTGCCAGGTCTTATCAAGCCCCTGGTTCAACCTACTTGTAAGAAGTCTTGGGTATATCATCACGGCTATCGCTGCGTAATGGCAAGAGAACCTCATCGCGTGTTCTTTGTCTGCCACATCTGTCATCAGAGGAAGGTTATGTTGAAGTCGTACTTTAAGCAAAGCTCGTAAGCACTATTCGATGGGTTCTCGAAGATGAACTCTGGCTCTGGAACAGTAGGGGTAAGTCGCCTGGGTGAAACACCTAACGATGGCTTGGGGTAACAATGAGTAGTACAGGCAATCTGGCTAGCTTGAAGGTTGGTTGAGATCCAATGACAAACTTAATTGACGAGGTTGAACACAAACCATAAGGGTTGTGTTCCTACACATATATATACAGTTCACCAGATCTGCTCGTTGACGAGCAGAGTCGGTCCTGGCCAATCCGGATGGATTGCGGTTCGTCAACGAGCATGGTACGATGCTCGTTGACGAGCTCCGTCACGTGTGTCAGCTCGGCTGAGAGCAATCCCCTAGGCGCCGGCCGGGTGGCCTTGCCTTGCTGCACCTTCCCCCAGGCCTCCGTGTTTGGTTGGCGGTTACTTATTGCTTGTCGTCCTATCGTGGGACGTAGGATTGTAACAGTTAGGTTGTATTAGTAGGTAGTCTATTTTTAGCTTAGGTTTATAATTTTAGCTTTGATTTGAAATTATCTGTTGAATTGACAGTTTTTATCACAGGAATTTATCACATTGTTAGAACTGATACGTCGCTGACAGAGGTTGATTTGCTCTGAATACTTTTAGATGGCTCTAACATTGCGCTCCTGTTTAAGGTTACCAGAAAGGGTGGCCAATGTCAATCCAAGCGAGCCAGGACGCACGGTGTAACGGGACAGGTTTGCATTTTGGACCCTCGCCATCTCTTGCTTGAAAGTGCACAGGTCTATGGTCATTGCAATAATGTCTTGTAGTCTACTCTCCACAGTTCCATCAAGGTCCGGTACCAGCCATCGCAATGGTGACCTTGCTGTCAATTGTTGTGTCAGTGCCATCAATCGATCTGTCGTCAATACCCCCCTGTCTGTTCGCGATCTGTGAGATCTCTGTAAGCATCGGGGGTCTGATAGGAAGTGAAATTAAGGAAGATTGTATCTCTAGGTCCTAGAAGATCTTTTGACTAGAGAAGTGTGGAGCAAATATTGCAAAGAACGACCCGGCACATTGTGATACGCTAGCGCACCTTAGTATGCTGTGGCTTGCATTAGTGCGCTCAGGTGCTGTCGTGTGTTACTGTAATAAATGCAGCGCCATACCTATAGCAGATTAGCTGCTAAGAACAGCTGTGACGCATACTGACGGCTTATCGGAGGCCTCTGCGAGCGCATGCTTAGCCTTATTGCTGCAATGTGTTTGAAGCTGCGCTCTCTGGTTGAGAAGTAGCCTGGCGTGCAGCTTTCAGCAACGAAGGGAACTGGGGAGATCGGAGCTGGCGGATCGGGTATGGGTCAGGACACCTTATTCCAGATCAAGTAGTGCACGGTAGCTTTCGCTGATAACAATATTGGAGGTACAACGTTGATGAAGCTAGCAAAACCCTTTTTTTTTCGTTACTGACTGATGCCTTTCTCCGCGTCGACTACACCCGTCCTTGCTGGGGGTACCCTCGACTCAATCTGGTGATCTCGTGATGGCTTCGATGGTTCGCGCCCCGCTGGGCGATTTGTAGACTTCTTTGTTGAAAGTTGTCGGTCTGGGAAATCCTCTTGTTTTGGATTGCAGTCGAGAGAACTACAGTCACAAGGAATGCGGTACCCAGGCGTAAGATCCAGTGGATTACTCGGTCCAAGTGGTACTCGATTTTCCGTACGCATTGTGCACTTGCGCACCGGGCGGTTGAGTTTCATCGTAGTGAAGGCATCCAGCACTTCTACAAGGTCCATCAGCAGATGCTGAAGACGCCTTACTCGATGGTCAGGTACTATGACGTTGAACTGTGGGTACTGTTGCTGCTCAGTCGCGATGGACTCCTCCTCTTCGTCCAGTTTCTTCAGCTTCTGCTCGTGCTCAAAACTCTCTTTCAAGGTCATCTTGTCTACCTTCTTGACATCATCGTGACCCCGAGCTTCTTGCAATCTTTTCCTCTCTAGTTCTGTCTTCTGACCTTCTTCTTGGTTAATGATATAGTCTCTCTTGGTGTTGTAAGCTTGAGGATTGGGTTCTGTCGACCATTTGCTGGAATACAAGCTTCGGAATCGACGGTAAACGATACGCTGAAATTCGTCCTCGTACCATTCGAAGAGCTTGTGCAAGCCCGGCGAGTCTCCATGCTTCAATTCAGAGGCTGGCTTGTACTTCTTCTGGAACTCGGTCCACCCAATTACTCGCAGCTCTCGGGTGGTTTCAGTGGTTTCGGTACCCTTATGTTCAACGACTTCGGTAAGGTGTTCTTGAGCAGCCAGTATGTCGCCTTCGAACCAGCGCATCTCGCGGCTTTCCCGTCCCTCGTAGTCCATAGAGATAAACTCGTCTTGTATCTTCCAAAGAAGTTTCTTTAACTTCTCGGCCTCTTCGCCCGTGATGTGTGCGAAGAAGTGTGTCATTTCGCGAATGATATGAACGCCAGCAAAGTATGAGCCGATCAGGTAAGACGTGAACTCGCTGTTCCATCCGTCACCGTAGGCTGCGCAACGCTTTGGACTGTAGTTGTCTTCATCCAGAATGTCGAAGAACCAGTTGGCCAGGTCCCATGCTGCGATGATGAGGGGCACTGAGTATCGAGCCAGCGCCTTCTTGTTCGCACGAGCTTGAGTTCGATGTTCGTTCCATCCGGACATCCAAGCAGTCGCCAGCGCGGCAAGTAAGGCAGCAATGCCCGTTACAATGGCTGCGATAATAGATCCGTCGAGTGCCATCTTCTAGCAGAAGCTTGCTGTTCGAAGACGAGGATTGAACGGGTATTAGGAGTAGGCACGAAGTGGTTGAGTACGTTCTGTCAATCCCTGTCGCATCGATTAGTGATGACAGAAAGAAATTTGGGCTCGAGCGATGACGGCAAGGCAGTAAGATGTGTCAGGCGTGGTAGATATCGAGATGGCATGGTTACTTATCAACCACAGCTGAGAGCTACTACCACTTTACGCCCGTTGATCAACACGAAGATCAACTTGCAGATGTGAGCCTAGATTGCGCTAGTCGTACACAACGTATGCAACTCAACTCTGGACATCGTCTTTTGGGACGCTGGAGTCAGCCACGTCAGATCGAGGGGATCGACTCAGATTGTACTTGCTGCGAGCTTTCGACCTATTACAGCCGCGACACAAGCTTCTGGAACTTCATTGTTATCTCGTGAATGAGGTCCACCTGCTGGCAATGTCGAGGCGTTGGTCCATGGCCGTGATGAAGATGTCCACTCTCATCAAAAGGTTCTGGAGGTAGGTAGTAAAGAGGCGCACAGGCTGACAGCTCCTAGCCGTGCGCAAGAAGATCTCGACGATCTCATGCGGCATCCAGACATTGGCCGGCGCCGACCAAAGATCGAGGCCCGCTAGCGCACGCCACATTGGTACCGTGTCCGTGCGCGTGATGCGCGGATTCGCGTGATGCACCAAACCACCAAAACACTATAATTGTTACAGCCACACAGAACACAACGCAATAGGACTAAACAAAGCGTTTAGGAGCTTGGTGGGCTAGAAAGATAGCCAAGATGGCAAAGAGCAAGACTGCACACTTGAAGGGTCAACTTAAAGTAAGGAGTGTGCAATCCGGCAGTTTCTCCATGCAAACAGCAAGATTGTCAAAACACGTGTGATTGGCTGTGTGTCCTAAGCAACATTTGGCAGCAGTAGCGTGCTGAAATGTCTGCGAGCCGCATGTTGAAGTCGTACTTTAAGCAAAGCTCGTAAGCACTATTCGATTGGTTCTCGAGGATGAACTCTGGCTCTGGAACAGTAGGGGTAAGTCACCTGGGTGAAACACCTAACGACGGCTTGGGGTAATGGTGAGTAGTACAGGCAATCTGTCTAGCTTGAAGGTTGGTTGAGATCCAATGACAAACTTAATTGACAAGGTTGAACACGAACCATAAGGGTTGTGTTCCTACACATATATATACAGTTCACCAGATCTGCTCGTTGACGAGCAGAGTCGGTCCTGGC